ATGCCGCTGGGCTAGAAATATACAAGAATCCGCTCTTAACACTACCACAAAACGCACCACAGTAGTCTGAACACATTGTTGCAGAAGCGTCGTCTGACAATTCGTCCCTCTTGTTTTCAGGAACGAGATTTGGATGTAAACATAAACATCCTTTTTCCAAATTATCCAGATGTGAATAAGAGAGCTCGCTGTACTGCGGTAAATCACTGTCAGGACTTGCAGGAGAAACTTGACAGGAATATTCGGCTGCTTTGGCAAGTCCTAGTAGCTTTTCATTCTCTTTTTCGTTCATTGTTTATTGTTTAAATATAAAGAATCAAACAAACCATCAATTGCCCTCTACAAGGCTCAGAAGCGAGCTATGAAACCTATCGAAGTTTGATAGTAAAAGACCAGGAAGCGCACAAAAGTCCAAAGTAAAAGCACCTTAATTTAATTCCGGTACAAAATCAAATGATATCCTATCATTACAGCTCTGAGAGACGAAAAATACAACGGCAATGGCAAAGGCAAGAGTTTTGTTGAGGTGAAGTTGTCATCAACCCAAATAGGCTTTCTTTTGCTGCCTTCGCTATTTCGTTTACCACTTATTCCTAGGTATCGGTATACATATGTTACTTCAACATTTGAGTAGCACGTTACTTTCTGAAGAGAAGAGACCGTTACTCAAAATGCATTCTAGGAAAACCCATCTTCTAAACAGCCAGTGGTGAACTACATTCGATAAACAAAGTAAAAAATAAAAATACATCATCTTTTCAAGTTTCAGCGTCTACGGCCATACCTAGGTGAAAACACCAGTTCCCGTCCGATCACTGCAGTTAAGTGAAAACGTCTGAAGGTCTCGTTCATACTATGTTTGGAGACAACATGAGAATCCGGGGTGCTGTAGGCTTTTCACCTTCCAACGCTCTTTTTTCTTTTTATTTATATAAAAATAAGCCATCCTATTCTTAAGGAGGTGGTCTCGATAGACAGTATGCAAGACGTTATCCACTCCCAACTGTTCCAACTTCTGACAAAACACCAGTTTCCATCAAGGGCTGGACAAAGGTATTAGTAGAGCGAATTGCAATCGCCACCAGCTTTTTGGGTCAAACGAACTAACCGTAAGTGATTGGGTTACACTTCTTGGGTATCAGGTTATACTAGCGATCAAGTCGGATTCAAACAAACCACCAGGAAATGGGTAATCGTTAACTTTTTCGCATGACTCGTCCGAGACTTCCAAATCGATATTAACTAGAGCCGGGCTGTAAGACCACTGTTCAAGTTGGGTATTAAGTTCGCGGGCGAAATCCGCTTTTCGCGAGGTCTCACCCCGAATAGACTTCAGCCAGAATCAATTACACGTTGTCGCTGAATCCCGGATTGTCTCGTAGACCACAGTAAAGGAACCGGTGATAATCAAATGGCTCAAATCCAGGGACAGTTTTCATTAACGTCTTCCAGCTTTCTCCCCGGAGTATGGAAAAACCCATAGCATTAAAATAGCCATTCTCGTTGACGTCAGGAGAGTCAAGATCGTCATGAGCATCAAAGTAAATGAACCTTTATCCTTGATTTTCAAGCCCACCTGCGACAGCAGAGCTAGCCGTGCAGTTGTCAGAAATAATCAGGGGAAACGTGTTCTTGGCGACGGTCTCGGTAACTGCACGCGAAATGCGGCGAAAAATCTCAAAACTGCGGCCGATTTCACCCTTAAAGTCATCCACGCGAATGATTTCCTTCAACTCAATTTTGGCACCGAGCCGCCGTTCTAGTTCTTGGACTAATCCCAGCGATCGAATCCGGTTCAAACCATTTCCCACACGGTGATCACGAAGGCCAACATGATAGGGAGAAAAGATAATGGTAATAGCACAGGCGGAAATGATAATATTGAGTCTTTATTTTTTGTTTTGCTGAGATCAAAATAAGAATCATATGATTATAGTTAATGAAATTGAACGCTTAAAATGAACATTATTTTTGAGAACAATCATTTCGAGAATTATAAGTTTTAACCATAACGAAAATACCTTGACTCTTTTCTTTTCTTTTCTTTTGTTTCTTTGTTGATCGTCTAAACTTTTGTTATCAAAGCTGATCCAATTGTTTCTGATTCAGCAGTCTGAAGTTTTCGCAATCCCTAGTAAAATTGCATCTACTCTTTGCAAAGAATGTATAAAAAGAAAAGAAATCTCCGTTCGTAAACGTCAAAGGACATCATCAATACTATAGATTTAAATCGTAAATTATTCAGGTCCGTTACTCGCAATATTCGTGTCTTTTTTCCTTTTTACGTGGGTGCATCATCCTGAGCTTGACTGTCATTCAACCTCTTTTCTTTATATTCACGGACAGTTGTTGTCTCTGCATTTTTTCCATCCTGTTCATCGGACATTTGGGTTAAAGGGTAATCCAAGTCAGGAATTGCAGAATAAGCAATCATTTGTCCTTTCCTCATTTCCGGATCAATTTTTACCTGATGGATGCTGCTCTTTACCTTTCCACGGGTCAAAAAGGGCAACATATCTGCAATATTCACTCTAAAGCAACTCGTTAATAAGAAGGATAGAATAAATACAATAGAAATTTTTTTTACTTACGAAATCACATCTTTGTCAAAGGAAACTCTAACCCAATCAGGTATAATATTCCCTCCTGGAGGTTTTATTTGTAAAAATCCATATTTTCTTTGAATAAGTAGTGTGATTGTCCCATAATCAAAATGACAATCAGTATCCACATCATCCTTTTTGTGTTCCATTCCCTCAGGAACGCTGTATTTTATGAGACGAATGAAGTCCTCGGCAGAACTATGGCATTTCGTGAAGAAATCACTTGGAAGTTCAAATCCAAGGGCGATTAAATCAAGAAGTTTTAGCGAAAGACTATAGCACTGTTTTTGAAAGAGTGTCATTTCGGGTAAGAATTTACGGATGGGTGGACTAATAACGCTGGGATTTGAGTGAGGAAATCTTGCTAGGTCATAAAATTCCTTTACAGCTCCAGTTGATGGATCATCTGAATACAACTTTTCACCCATACGTATTGAATACCCTGCTTGTAATTCTCCTCCTTTGAACAGGAAATGTTTCTTTTCCTCAACAGGTAAATTAAAAAACTCATCGCTGACTTTAAAGACTCCTTCCATCTGTTCTATATCAATTCCATGGTTTTTCACCATGAAAAATCCCCATTCTTTACATGCATTGACCACCTCCATACTAAGAAGACTTGTATTTTGTTCAGACAGATCTATAAAGGGTATATTTAACGATTCCATTTGGCATAGATTTAGTTATTAATGTAAAGAGAGTCTAAAATGAGAGAATTTTTAAGGTGAGCAGACGTAGAATTTCTTTATTGTTGTATGGCAAAAGCTAATAAAACCACGAAGTAGTAAGTACTTTTTACATTCAAAACCACTTCTTCTACTCACTAACAGCCACTAAACTTATGTAATATCGTTCGTCATATATGTACTTATTTCGCTTGTCCCTAGGCATTTTTTTAACGAAAGATTATTTTTAAAGACTGGGCCATCATTCGTTTAACTCTTTGGTAATTTTAAAAAGGGTAAAACTTACCAAATTAGAAATAAGAAATTTCCTTTCACCCTTGGCACCCTGAATTTAACAACACTTACTATTAAGCTCAGAAGTCTCGTTCTTACTAGTAAACAAAAAAGTTTCGAACAATGTGGACTTACTGTCCAACCTTCCTCCATATTGAAAGGTTGGATGGATCTGGCTAACGAAATAGAATTAGCGAGACGGAATACAACACAAAGTCCATTTTTGGTATACATTGCTAGCTACATTTATAGGCATAAAGGCATGATTATCTCGCGAAATGCTTTTTTTTGATAGAGTGAGATTACCTCTGTGTCACGTTTGTCACTGTCATGGGAAAATACACTGTATAGTAATAGGAGGACGGGTATCCAATTATGACACTGTTACTGATATAGTGATACATACGATAATGTCTAATACTACTTTTTACCTTGGCGTTTTTCTTTCTTCCTCATATCAACCAAACCTGCATTGAAAGACCAACAAGAAGCCTTCCTTGTTTCAAGTCTGCCAATTTCAACCAAAAGGGAACGCTAGCATTGATCAATAAGTAGGAGAGCGTCATAGTAACTTATCAGACTTTATCGTTCATTTATTCTCTCTCTTTCTACTACTATTTTAAAGGTGTCGTATAGCGTAACAAAAAAACCTACTGTTTGGAATTAATAACTTTGCAAAATGATTGCGTAAGTCTTTAGTACTTGAAAAATTAGTTTTAATCAATTCAGCTGACATATTGCAGTCCAGAGAAGAAGTTTTTTGATCTAACAAGGGTCACAGGACATATTCCTGAAAAGGATGTTGAGACAATATTCGACAAACTCAAACCAGTCTCACCGTCGTTCATGATTGGTGAGTGGACTGGTGGAGACTTTGACACCGGCCATATTGGCCATAAATACCTTACAGATATGCGCTGGGCTGGCAAAGCATTTCGGTCTCTTGATGATGGTGACCCTATTCTTATTTATAATGACAAGGGTCAACGGGTGTGGAACAAGGACTGGGGTCATGCCTCTGTAAGTTCAATATTTTAATTATTATTAGCCATCTAACTAATTTGTTATTACAATGTAGCTACGGGAAATGGTATTTCGCAATGTGACCTCAACATCAATGATTTATGACGAGAAGCCAATTTTTGACCATTTTCGTTTTATAACAGACGACATGGTTGCTGGAGCAATGGAATCACCTAAAATGTTTGGTACGGAAAGTACTTATTATTTTTATTTAACTCGCTTGAAATAAAAGAAAGGCCAATGCGACGGTGTGGCCACAACCATTTAAAGTATCCCTGTTAATTGTCCCTACCTTTGCTTTTCTTTGATTGATTTCAGAAATTTCTTTTCCAAGTCTTGCAGGAAGTGTTGTTAAAATCTTCTCTATCTTTACTCCGTAGTTTTTGTAACCGTAATTCACGCAAATGTGGATAATCAACTACGACCTTTACTGCAGTTCTTGTCTCTCCAACCTCACTCGTGCAATGCTTGCTGAATCTATTCAAAATTGTGTGTGTGTATCACCAACCAGGATTGGCCAGTGCGAAGCTAAGCAAGGAGGTATGCTCGGTTACCCTCTACTACCAAGTCATTGAAAGATCCAAGCGTTAACATATGAAACTTTTTTAAGGCAATCTATATTTTCAATAAAGCTTTCATAAGAATTGTATTCTACAAAATATACCTAGGCGACGACAACACAGTTCCCGTCCGACCACTTGTAGTTAAGTGAAAACGTCTAAATGCCACGATAGATAGGTGTTTTGTTTTAATTATCATAACTATCACGATAAGAGAATCTTTATAGAGCGGAAATAATAAGCATGGTGTAAACTTTTGTTATCAAAACTGAACCAACTGTTTTCTGATTCAGCAGTCTGTAAATTTGCCCAACTCCTAGTAGAACCGCATTTGCTCTTTGTAAAGACCGAAGGTATGAAATCATACTTTTGATCAAAGTTTTCATAAAGTTCAAATAGGCGAGTCTGATTTTTGGCATCCATATAACGTAAAAGTTACGTCGCTAAAAAAAAGTAAATATTCACCGTTAGTCACCAGTATAAGTAAAAAGTTACCTTTGCTACTAGCTACTTTCTACGAAGAAAAAAGAAACTGCGTAGAAGCAAAGAATTAATTAGTAACTTGAAATTGTTGATAGCAAAGCCAAAGTAAAATGGCATCTATATATATTCTTGAGCAAACACTCCTTTTACTGTATATTACAATCGTTGTCAACATGTCAGAAACCCAGTTTGCCCATTCAAAACAAAGTAGCAATCGTCACCGAAGCTTCAAGAGGTATTGGAGCAACTATAGCTGAAACACTAGCTCGTCGAGGTGCTAGAGTGACACTTCCATTTACTTCAGATAAGTGGTGCTGAAGCCAAAGAACAGTTGGTTAAGAAAATTAAAGGCTTTGGAATCTCAGCAGATGCAATCAAGATCATCTCTATTCGTAGACATTAATATACATCAAGAAATATTATTTTCTATGTTTATGGATAATTACTCACATCATGATACATTTGATTCGTGTATTTTCTCCATACAAGTCGGTGCTCACTGGTCATGACGGACGTTGCGATCGTTTTTCTTTATATTCACGGGCAGTGATTGTCTTTGTATTTTTTCCATCCTCTTTATCAGAAATTCTATTTAAAGGACAATCCAAGTCAGGCGTAGCGAAATAAGCAATCAATTGTCGTTCTCTTGTATGCGGTTCAATTCTTATTTGGTGAATACTGCTCTTTACCCTTCCACCAGTCCAGAAATGCAACATATCTGCGACATTGACACTAAGGATGTTGTTAATAATAATCTTATATCCTCGTTTTTCATATTAAAGAAAAAGCAAAATAGAGACCTTTACTTACGAAATCACCTCTTTGTCAACAGAGACTCTAACCCAATCCACCGTAGCATGAGATTTTGGAGGTTGAATCTGTAAACATCCATATTCTCTTTGGAAAAGTAGGGAGATGGTGCCATAATCAAAATGACTATCAGTATCCACATCGTCCTCTCTGTGTTCCTTTCCCTCAGGAACTACGTACTTTATGAAGCGAACAAAGTCTTCAGTGGAACTATGGCATTTGCTGTAGAAATCCTGTGGAAGTTCGAATGCAAGGGCGATTAATTCAAGAATCCTTAACGAAAGATCATGGCATTGTTTTTGAAACATCTTGAGTTCGGGTAGACGTTCACGGAAGGCCGGGCTAATTGTTTCAAGATCTGGATTAGGAAATCTTGCTATATCATAAAATTCCCTTACAGGTTTAGTATTTGAATCATCGGGATACGAACGTTCGCTAGTATGCCTTGAATACCCTGATGGCGAAGCATTTACCTGATAAACATATTTTTCCTTTTCCTCTGTGGGTAAATTGAAAAAGTCATCGCTTTTTTTAAACAGCACTTGCACGTCGTCCAACTTAATCCCATGGTTTTTCAAAGTGAAGAACCCCCATTCTTTACAAGCATCCACAACCAATGTAGCAAGAAGTTTTGTATTTTCCTCAGACAGATCTATACAAGGCAACTCTATCGATTTCATAAAGAGATATATGCGCTTAATGAAAACCCACCATGAAAGATAATTTCTTCAAAGTAGGGAAGCGAACAAATAGAGTGCTGTTTTTTTTTTATTTATGCAGTACAGCTAATGGAAGGAATACTTCATGTTTACATCGTTATATGTCATTGTTTAGAGATTAACCTAAAACTAGCTGTGAAATAAATAGCTAGCCTATACGAGCATACAAAAATGACCAAGTAAACAGAATGCTGATTGCTACTTTTTTGAACAAGCGTATTTTTTTTTTTTTATTCCAGTTAATCATTTCAGAAATTTAAGAACCCATATAAAAAAAATCACAAAGAAAATTTACTATCCATCCTGCGAATAAATAGAAATACTTACATTGACGTCGCCATTTCGCTTATATTAGAGATGACGTCCGAAGTTGCCTCATTGTTTTGTTTACACGGTTTAGCAGCATAGAGTGAAACAATCAGAGACGAAATGAAATGTTAAATTTTTTGTCTAATAGCAGATAGGTCATCACCATGTAGCTGAAAAATTCATCAGCACGACAATTAAAACAATGAAACAATTGAGACAAGTATGCTTGTGACATGATGTTTGTTTTTTTGATATTAATATGTTTAGATGAACTTCTTTGATGTCTACGGCCATACCTAGGCGAAAACACCAGTTCCCGTCCGATCACTGCAGTTAAGCGTCTGAGGGCCTCGTTAGTACTATGGTTGGAGACAACATGGGAATCCGGGGTGCTGTAGGCTCCTCCTCTTCTTTTTGCTGTTCTTTTAAACGTTTTGTCTGATAATTTTTTTAGCTGATTCCCATTCATCTTAATTGAACTTCTTATCATCATGCTACAGATGCAGAGTATGAATCAAACAAACGAACAGTAAACAAAATAACAATTCGTGGATCAAAAATAAGATCAAGACTGAGTTGGTGTGAGAGCGTATAGGTAGATATATACAATCCATAACGAGACAAAAGTTTTTTCTTTCAAGTTTCTAATTCCAACATCCAATCTTATAATTGTACATAATATTCTCATAACGTGTGAGATTTCTCCCGTGACACAATCCTTCCAAACTCCTCCTCTAATAATCTTTGTAACACGTATAAAAAAAAGAATAGAAAAAAGTAAAAATTTACAGTGGTACTTTGGCATGAAGCAAAGCTAGGGTAAACTGTGTCGACGGGTCATTCCAAACAGCGTCTTCAAAATCGCCCTCAGCAACTGGTATAGGAGTAGGAGTAGGAGTAACTGATGTACCATTACTCCCTTTAAAGACAATACCAGAGCAGCACCCTTCAATATCTTCCCCTAGAGAATATGGATGTAGTTGCAGCTCTCTTACTCACCACCACCAGCACGGAAACATTGCCTTTAGCGATCCTCTCCTATGAGACTAATCAGGAGAAATACCAAGAGCGATAAAGAAAAGACCAATCTAAAAAGTGAGCTATAATTTATTTTTTTTGGTTTTTACAGAAATGTAATGCGAAAGAAATTCAAAAAAAGAAAGACTTGGAAAAGTATGGTAATATGAGATGATTATGATGGAACGAAACGATTTTTGCACCCAAAATGTCTCCCCTTTTATTATATATAAAATTACATCCACTACAATGTCACAATTGAAAATCTAATACTTGTCAATTTCCGGAAATTCGCCTGATCATCAACTGAATACAAACAAAAGAACTGGTTCCCCAAATCAATATCGTAACATTTACCCGTTATAAAAAAGTATGTATGAAGACGTTGTATTGCCACTTGATATCATACTAAGATATCAAATAACAGAGACTCATCATATATGGTCTACGGGCAATACAATGAGAAGTTTACCGTTTCTATTGGAGTAGGAGTAGGATTGAACAACTTTGCCGAAAAAAGTTTTACTCCCTTTCTACAAATCCAACTGAAACTTTTTGCAAACAATTTTGGCTGTCGCCCTGAGTATGACTATGACTATGACTATGACAGTGGGACAAGATGAAAATGAGAAAAGCCTATTTATAAATGTTCCAAAAAAAATGACAGAGACCGAATGATTGAGTGAGGGAGTGAGTGAGTAAGCGTCAACATGAAGACGTAAGAGACAAAAGACACCGTTGACTCTTGCTTATTTCACTTTGCTAACTACTTACTCCATTGAAATGAGCTAGTAGTTATCCTTGTTTTCGTTGTTGTTTCGGTTCTTGTTTTATTAAAGAAAAAAAAGAGAGACATTAACGGTGAAAAGAAAAAGAATTGTTTCAAAACCGGCCAACTACAAACAAAATGACAGACTCAACTTTAGAGGACCCTGCTTTGAGCACAAACGGAAATTCCATTCGTACTAAGCAGCCAATGCCTTTGATTCACGAAGTAATTTTTGTATTTATTGTCAGTACTGCTCAGCTCATGACTCAAGCTGGTTTAGGTCAGACGATTGTTCCTCTCCACATAGTTGGAAATTCACTAGGAACAACAAATGCCGGTCAGTTGAGTTGGTTTCCAGCTTCTTTCAGTTTGACTGTAGGCACATTTATACTGATTGCTGGAAAGCTTGGTGACATATATGGTCACAAGAAAATGTTTGTATTTGGCTATGCATGGTATAGCTTATGGTCCTTGATATCAGGATTTAGTGTTTACGCAAAGTCTGCGATCATGTTTGATGTTTGCCGAGCATTGACTGGAATCGGCCCCGCTTTTTTGTTACCTAGTGCATTAGCTATCTTGGGTAGGGTATATCCTCCAGGGAAACGAAAACAATTCATGTTTTGTGTATTTGGAGCTACAGCACCCAGTGGATATCTTTTAGGTGCTGTATTTTCTGCAATTTTTGCTCAACTTTCATGGTGGCCTTGGGTGTATTGGTCAACATGCATCATCTGTTTTGCTTTTTGCTTAATAGGATGGCTCGTTATTCCGGACACTCAAAAAGAAAACCGCCAAGTCCGAGAGAAAGCACTTGAAAAGCCTCACTTTGATATCCTTGGATCGTTTTTTGGCGTCGCAGGTTTGGTACTTGTTAATTTTGCATGGAACCAAGCACCTGTTGTTGGTTGGCAGGTACCCTACGTGTACATATTGTTAATTGTTGGTGTTTTATCTTTGATTATCTTTGTGTACGTTGAGCATAAAACTGTACAGCCACTCCTACCTCCAGATACATTTAACGGGGAAATTGGGTTCATTCTGATGAGCGTAGCAGCAGGCTGGTCTTGCTTTGGTATATGGATATACTACTTATGGAACTTTTTGGAAGTATTACGGGGTCAAACACCATTACTAACAGCTGGGCAATGGACACCCGTCTGTATCACTGGAGGCCTTGCTGCTGCCATTACAGGTATATTGTTGTCCAAGATTCGGCCGATTTTCGTCATGATTATTGCTATGGTTTCTTTTACTGTTGGTAGTATTTTGTTGGCAACGGTACCTATACATCAATCATACTGGGCACAGACTTTTGTTTCCATTGCTGTAACTCCCTTTGGTATGGATATGAGTTTTCCAGCTGCAACCCTAGCAATTAGTGATTATGTTTCGAAAGAGAATCAAGGGATCGCGGCCTCTCTTGTGAGTACTGTGGTGAATTATTCCACTTCGATCGGACTAGGAATTGCGGGTACGGTAGAAAGCCATCTCAACCATGAAGGGAAAGATGTTTTAAGGGGCTATAGAAGTGCTTGGTATTTGGGAATTGGATTTGGGGGTCTTGGTATTGCAGTTTCTTCAATTGCAGCTATTCGTATATCTGTAAAATCTAAAAATGAGAGGAAAAGAGTGATGCTGGAAAGAATGGGTGATTGATCATTCAATCATTGAGGTTTTTTGTTCTCTTTTAAAAAATATAAAGCTAAAATCTTAAAGCAAACAAGTAAAAACTAAAAATAAATGCTAAAAAAGAAAAAGAAAACATAGAATGTACATTATTTATTTGTTTTGTTGATAGTGGAATATGACATGCTGAATGAATCGTGTGGGTAACGCCCAATTACCTAGTTCAATGGTGTCTAATAATGTTCAATTTGGTAAATTAGGGGTTCATTGTCGAGGTTATTGAGCCTCCATCTTAACAGTACCTTAATCTTGATCTAGGCCATGTTATTTCTTAACTCATTGACTTTTAATAAAAATTACAACAATTTAACAGCTTTTTAAATAATGTATACGTATAGAGTCACCGGAAAGGTGTCATTCGTTCTCATTGCTAATATCTGGGAAGCGAAGGCGAGCCAGTGTTTTCAATTGAGCGTTCGAATCCCAATCCAAGGCAAAAAACAAAAACATTATAACAGGCAAACATACAGGACCAACAACAAAGACGCCAATACCTATAATTAAGGCTCCAATAAAAGCACCTCCAACGATAAATATGTATATTCTAAACTGTGCAACTGTTCTTGCAACGTTGACATGTAGAAGAGACTACTTTTGTTAGCAGACGTATTTGCGATTCTTATTTTGTATATAAAAAATTCTCTACTTATACAGATTACGAAAAAAGGCAAAATGGAAAGGAATGTATCTCATAAGGGTTCAACTATTATCAGAAATCAAGATAGCTCCAACTGTAAACAAAAAAAACCCCGAATTGAAAAAAAATTTTAAAATGGCTTGATCCAAAAAGAAATTTCGCATCCCTTATGCAACTTTTCGGGCAAGACTTGATTAACAAAGTTAAGTAACGGAGCTCTTTTTCGCATTTGTTTACCTTTCTATTTCTGTAAACAAAACAATTTTCTGTTGACTTAAAGTCATTTTTATATCAAAATAAAATATATAGGGAAGCACCAAGTCAAAAGCCATTTTCATTTCATTCCTACTATTGAAGTAGCTGCTCGCTACGCCCCTCCCCACACCTTCCACAGTTGTAACTCAGAATCAGAATCAGACGATTAAAAAAAAAAAAAAAGGCTAGTTTGAAAGTACATATCTACGTTAGTTAGGAAGGAGCACTAGAAAATTAAACAAGTTGACAAAAACAAATAGATGCAGATGTCATGATTCCATGCAAGTTTGAGAAGGGTTATTATTGATAATCTTTAAAAGGAGTGAGAATGGTGTCTACGGCCACACCTAGGCGAAAACACCAGTTCCCGTCCGATCACTGCAGTTAAGCGTCTGAGGGCCTCGTTAGTACTATGGTTGGAGACAACATGGGAATCCGGGGTGCTGTAGGCTTCCTTTTTGTTCCGTTTTCAGAAAGGTTCTTTTCATGGTTGAGCTTTTTTTAATTGCTACAATTCAGATGTTATCATAAAGGCAAGCAACTCTTCGAGATATTCTGCTTGGCAGGTCAAACACTTATATTACTCAACTTACACTCACAATGGATATCTAAGAACAATAACCGTTGTTTACTCAACAGCTGCTTTGGTGGTTTAGTGGTATAATGCTTCGTTGCCATCGAAGCGACCCGGGTTCGATTCCCGGCCGAAGCAATGTTTTTGGATTTTTATCCAGAATGAAATGCGTAAATAAATTCTGCTGTGGTTTTAGGAAGATAATAGTGACAATTCAGCATCGACTCGTCCGAAGACACCTACCAAGGTTTAAAAGTAGGTGTAGTACAATGAATGCACCATGAAATGTCCTTAGTATATCTTTCACCTGGGTTAGAGAAATTATCTACTTAACAATTACAACCTTATATGTTGTTACACGATGCTACCTAAATCAAGTTAGTACAAAAGGGTGATACAAATCCAAAGGACGACAGGAATTCAATGATTTATTGAGTTTGAAATGGTTATATATTTACTAGAATAGGTCGCTTATTCAATAGCTTATGCGGTTAAGAAAATATCCATTTAAGAAGATTTTGCTGTTGAGCTAAAAAGGTTGTTTATTAGTAAGTCTTTCACGCATACTAGAAATTCCTATCAACTTGTAAATAGCAACTAAAATTCTAATGAGTTTTGACTTTGTAAAAGGTACTCACCACTTTACCATTTTCCATTATATTACTAGTTGTTGGTATTATTCTTATGAATGCGTAATAATCTTCTAACACATACGAAAATGAAATAAGTGATAGATATTACTTATGGCATTTTAAACCAACAAATTAATATAAAGAGAAAATAAAATACTCACAATCATGCTTAACTGAAAACACCAGTTCTCCTTCGCTTCTCAGATATCAGTAAAGGGATGATGCACTGGCTCCTCTGCCGATAAATACGAATGAAGAAACAGAGTTACAGAGCAATCCTTCTACTCAAAGTTAATGCTATTTGTTAAGCTTCTTTTCACATGAGTATTAACCCTTGAATGTGAGTTATAAGTGAAAAAGAGAGCATTGCAAGCGGTTTATACGGACGATTACTTATTGCTATGCCTTTGTTAAGTGCTTTTACATTTTATTTATTAGCCGATGACTACGACATGATCCTTGTTTCAATACGGAATGACGTTGACGTGAAAAAAGGAGATATGAAACCGGAAAATAGAATCTTAAAAGATAGACTGTTCAACGTAACTACAGCAAAACCAGTTTTTGCGAAAAGGCTATCTTTTCAAGAATAAATATACGGAGTTCTAATTTATTATAATGGTTACAACTGGATACTATCGTCCATTTTTTTTTCAAGAACTTGTAATTTCATTTGATTTATTGAATAGTCTTTGTTTACCGTTACCTTTAAAGTAACAGAACTGCAGCAAGATAAAACAGCTTGTAAATTTTTTTCCATATCAAACGAGAAAGTGTACATAATAAAAGAATAAACGGATAAAAATATGAAAAAGGAGCAGCCTACAGCACTTCAACCATAGTACAAACGAGGGTAGGTCTTCAGACGCTTAACCCAAGCTTGTACAAACTGCTTCTTGAGTAACCCACCCAACAGAGATAACATGCTACTTGGTTGTACGAGGTAGCAGACTATCAATATAACGACGATTAGAAACAAGCGGTAAGTGATGTAGCGAAATTCATCAAAAGAGCCTGAATGGTCGATGACAGTTTCACCTTAGCAAACCTAAAGTCATTGCCATTGCGTTTTCAATTCGCGTTCGTTGGAGCTTTTATGGGGTTTCTATTTTTTCGTGGTATGAGTTGAGTTAGTCACTCTCTTTCTTAGAAAGTCCCACGCAGTTCTTGTTCGTTGCTACCAACTTGGATCATTTTCGCGGTTCATTTCAGACTTTTTAGTAATCGTTGGAACATGTTTGTTTTTTTTTCTCTTAAAAATGAACGAAAAAGAGCAAGAAAAACACTTCGAAGCTGTCAAACCAGCCAAGTCTTCTTGCTGGGAGTCTGATTGCAACGACAGTGATTTACCGCAATACAGCGATATCGACTATTCGTCTCATCTGGACAATTTGGAAAAAGGTCGTTTATGTTTACGTCCAATTCGCGCTCTATCGCATGTTGAAAAGAAAAGTCAAGAAGCGTCCATGAATGCTTCTGAAAATTCCATCAAGTCTGTATTATGGTTGATTATCTGTCCAGCAAAGGTTGCTAGGATTCCACAGGCTACTGTCAAAGTGGTAAATGAAACTGCTCGACTTGTCTGGTGCTGCATTTTTGCATTTGTGCTTCTTTTTCCTTTTATAAAGAAGTCAATGGCAGAATTTCTTACGTGAAATACTCAGTTGGTTCTAGGGGGTCTTTTTGCCGTTTTGGCTTTCTGGATTTGCATGTTTGTTGTTTCATGTGAGTTGGTTGATAGATATTTGTTTGAAATTTTTACTAATGGATAATTTATAGACTTGTTGGATCTTTTCATTCTGTTACTAGATCAACTTAATCTCTGGATTGCTTCAATTCTCGGTTTCGACACGACGTTGGAAAGAAACGACTTGGCGGGTGATAATCCCATCCCACTGAATACAATCCCAACCGAGTCTCAAAACCTATCAAATGACCCTAATATTCTTGCAGACGAACAACCATCTTCTGAATGCGTTGAACAATTTCCAGAAAGACAGCAGAAACCAAGTCAATCTAGGGGCGTTGAAAGCACTTTGAATTTGGAAAGCAGCTGATTCCTTGGTTTCGTACTTTATATTTTTCAACCTCTTAATTCTTCTTTCGATATTTTAATCGGCGAGGTGAGAAATTGAAAGGTTTATTCTCTCTTTCATATTCAGTGTTTTTATGTTAAAGTTTCTTCATTTCAACAACCTTTTTTTTCCGTTTGTTTTTTGCATAATTTATTTATTTTGTACTTTGCATTGCTGATGTCGTTAAATACGTGATAATCCTTGATGCTACGATGAGATCGTATTGACTTTGAGGCAAGTGAACGTTTACATAACATGTTAGCGAATAGATTGTCGTTATTTCACTGTCAATCCTTTCGCTATGTGATCTGTACTTTAGATCGGGACGACAACTATGAGATGACTTTTCCATGTCCCTCAACGAGTATCACTTTTCTTTTTGATTACATCTTGCATCTGTGTGATGCTCCATTTCCTCTGTGCTTTTAAGAAATAACATTGTTACACTTTTCTTCTTATTTGTTTGTACTGGAATTTTAGATATATGCCCCTTTCCGTTGTATTAACATAGCATTAATGAGGTCTCTGATTGATGTCTTCAGATTCTTGCTATTTATCGGTTTTGCTGCGTAGTGTTTCCTTCCATTGGTAGCATTTCTTCCATTGGTACGGCAGTAAAAAGCTCAACCATGCAAGGAATCTTTTAAGGAGAACAAAAAGAGTAGCCTACAGCACCCCGGATTCCCATGTTGTCTCCAACCATAGTACTAACGAGGCCCTCAGACGCTTAACTGCAGTGATCGGACGGGAACTGGTGTTTTCGCCTAGGTGTGGCCGTAGACGAGTGGTTTTGTAAACATTTCTTACTTGATGTTTATTGCCTCTTGCATGATCTTAATCGCCTAAAATATTACTAATGAAACGACGCTCTTTTGCTTAGAAAAGAGAGTAGAATGAATCCATTGATTTATACGGGTACTTAATGAGAAGTATACTAATAAAGGTAATTTTAAATCACAGAGGCTTGCATCTCCACTATATTTATTTTAATTTTCTATTCATTCATTCACATTAAAACGAAGCTAAAGACCGTCCAGGATCTTCTGCTAAGTCCTGGTTATTATTCAACTTGCATAATTATATTAATAATTTAGTATAATTTCGTTTATTTTTGCGAGAATCACGTTCGGGATCTGTAATTCCATTAAGAAGTCCTTGCAAAGATACCGTAAACATATTGACAAATCTAAGCGTTTTGAAACCTGCCCTTTTCCACAATGCAGACTGGTTTACAAAAGAGGAAGTCGCGTTCCAAACAATTGGCGAAGGATACCAATGAAAAGCAAAGTTCAAAAAATTTTGCGGAAGATGTCTCAACGAAAACAAATGGCGGAGAAAATAAAAAATCCTCACAACCAACAGTGAGTGCTGAGAATCAGGATAGCGAAGAAGAAGAGGAAATTCCTACTCTTAATGCAGAAATTGATGATGAGAATGGAAACGAACAAGAGTCATTAAGTGATTTTAGCACTCCAGAATTGTCCGAGGACGATTATGAAAATCCAGAAGAAGATGAGGAAGAATTGGACCGTGAGATTGATGCTGGCTATTCTTCTGACTCTTCCACGGAAGATGCTCCTGTAGGATTATATCCATCTCCGTATGATGATAATCTCTATATTGACTACGATATAGATGGAAAGAAAATCACGCGCCCTGCGACACCAGCTGCGCTTGATTCTTTGATTGCCAGCATTGATAAAGACAAGGGATGGACGGGTATCGTTGATCCTACGACAGGTCAGCCCGTGAACTTAACTACTGAAGAACTTGGGTTGTTGAAACGTCTTGCCCAGTCTCAAGTACCCGATGAAGACTTTGACCCGTACCCGGATTATGATGATTTCTTCACAAAAGACGTTCAACTCACTCCCGTTTCTAGTGCTCCTGAACCAAAAAGACGGTTTGCCCCTTCTAAAAATGAGGAAAAACGTATTTTGCAGCTTGCTTATGCTATTCGTAAAGGTCATATTATGACTCCTGCGCAACGAGCTGAGCAGGAGAAAGAGCGTAAATCAGAGTTTGCTGATCGTGATTTGTGGGCCGATGATGAGGAAGCTACCGTAAGTAAGCATCTTGATTATGCACCAGCACCTAAGCTTCCCCCTCCATCCCATGAAGAGAGTTATAATCCTCCTGAAGAGTACCTCAAGAAGGATTCCAAGAAATATCCTTCATTGCGTCTAGTACCTGCTTATACCAATCTTATCAAGGAACGTTTCGAAAGATGCTTGGATCTTTATTTAGCCCCTCGTGTTCGTCGATCTAAACTGAATATTGACCCAGAATCTCTTCTTCCTAAATTGCCTAGTCCTTCTGAATTGCGCCCGTTCCCTACTCGCTGCACTAATGTATATATTGGTCACAAGGGTCGTGTTCGTTGTATTTCTGCACATAAGGACGGTATTTGGTTGGCTAGTGGCGGTGACGATGGCGTTTTACGAGTTTGGGAAATTCTTACGGGTCGTTGCGTTTGGAAGTGTGCCTTGGATGGTTTCGGAAATGTCCAAAATGCCGAGTCTGATACAGAAGATACTGAAAAGACTAACAAGTCTTCTATCATTCAATGCCTTGCTTGGGGTCCGCTTTCCGAGGTACCTGTCTTGGCCGTTGGTGTTGACGAGACTCTCTATTTCATTACTCCTCCTCTTTTCTCTGCTGAGCAAATGGAAAATAGTAAGGAACACTTCACTTCGAACCCTTATCAAGAATCCAGTGCTGTTTGGCGTAGAGGTCCTAAGAAATCATTGAATCTGAATGGTGCCATCGTTCATGCAACCGTCAGTACTTCTTACTCTATCAAGTCTTTGTCCTGGCATCGCCGTGGTGATTATATTGCTACATGTTCTCCGACTGCATCTGGTCGTGCTGTACTTATTCATCAGCTCTCACGTGGGGCTAGCCAGTCCCCATTCTCGAAATCCCGTGGTTCTGTTCAATCTGTCGCTTTCCATCCGACTCAACCCTATCTTTTAGTGGCTACTCAACGTTATGTTCGCATATACAACCTTGTCAAACAAGAACTTGTGAAGACACTTTTGGCAGGCGTGAAATGGATTTCAAGTATCAGTGTGCATCCTAGTGGTGATCATGTCATCATCGGGTCTTATGATAAAAGACTTTGTTGGTTTGACTTGGATCTATCTTCTAAGCCTTACAAGACACTTCGTTATCATACTCGTGCTCTTCGTGATGTTTCTTATCATCCCACGTTACCTTTGTTCTGTTCCGCCTCAGACGATGGTGATGTCCAAGTCTTTCACGGACGTGTTTACAACGACTTGCTTGCTAGTCCTTTAATTGTTCCTCTCAAAATTTTACGCAATCATAAAGTTGTTGATAATGTTGGTGTTCTTTCAAGTAGCTGGCATCCTCGCGAGGCCTGGTTATTCACTTCTGGCGCTAGTGGTGAAATTAGAATGTGGACTTAATTTGAACTTGGTAAAGCGTGAGATGAATGCTTACAATTTTTACTTTTGGCTATAGGGTTCTTAAGTTTTGTTTGACGAATTTTTTAAAATACTTAGATTAAAACTGGCATTATTGGTTTAGATGAGTTAACTGGGATATTTAATAAGGATTTTTTGGTCTATTTCAAGTAACAGCTTACATATACACGACTTTTTACAGTTTTCATGATCATAAACAAAAAAATTTTCTTATTTTTTAACGTAAATAAGTAAATAAAAGTCATAAACCAAAGGAAATAGAATGACATAGCTTATAATATTTGTTAAAGGAGATGACCAACCAAATGACAAAGAAAAAGAATGTTGAGGTAGAGAACGGTGGAATTCCAAATTCTGCAAGGGCCTTATTAGTGAGTCGACTGTAAATCCATGAACTAGAATCAAACTTCATTGTAAATTGAACTTGACAGATATTGCTTTACACGAACGGCAAATCGGAGTGTCTTCAATGATAAAATAACCTTCATCACCAAGTAAACGATTACAAACACCGCAATTCCAACAATCGTGGTGATATTCACCATCAATCCCGTTAACACTTACTCCTAAGATAGGCTTTCTGCATTTCTTGCACTTGACGGCATACTTGTTATCATAACAATCTTGACACCAATATAGATCATCGCGAAATATGCAAGGGCTGTTTCCCCGAAAGTTTTCTGAACAACCAGCACAAAAATGGTGATTCTCATGAAACCAGTCATTACCAATATGAATGGCTCGATCTTCTATAGGTGTCGTACAGTACTTACAGCGGGGACTGAATTGCTCATGATAATCCAAATGGCAATAAAAGTTGTCATCGCGGAAAAAAAAACCTACATGCTCTAAGTTTTGAGAGCAAGTAGCACATCTAAAGCAAGTTGGATGCATTTTCTTATTTGCGGCAGTAATGATACGACCAGCACGAAGGGATAAACCACAGGCATAACAAGACTTTTCTGAATTTGAGCGATGAAGGTGGGATCTATTTGCAGGACCAGAGCAAGAAAACTGTGCGGGAGGCATGGGTAAAATACGATTGAATTGTTTGGAAGCTGAGAAAGGTCCAGATGCATGGTCCTCCTCGCTTGTTGTGTCTTGCTGGGGTTCAAAACTGGGAGTTTTCATTTCCGTATGATGAGCAGATACTATAGGAAGCTGTTTGGTAGAAGGCAACCTTCTAGTAAATGGCTGTGAATGATCTTTATTCGAAAAGTAAGAGTTGAATCCATAATGCTGAGGATGTTGATCAACGTACAGTTCCGGCTCAAATCTGGAAGAGCTCCCGTTTGTGTCTGATTCTATAGCATCTCCTTGCTCAACGTCGGGGACAGAAGATGATGTATAAGGAGGCAGATGACGATCATTATAAGCGATAGGAGGGGGAGGGCGTTGATTAAAGTCCAAGTTCTCTGGAAGAGCAAAGCGAACCCGGTGTTGTTTACTAGGAGATGACCGATCCAATTGAGGCGTAGTAGATATAGAGCTCGTCGGTTTATTTGTAAATAGAATACTCTGAGTATCTACAGGAATTTCCGACTGCTTCTTAGCGCATTCGCTTCCAACAGAGGGACGACCAGAAATAGACATCCTAGATAATGACGGAGAGTTATCAGAAGACGTAGTACCTGGGGCAGCCCGAGGACCTGTCAATCGACGTTCAAACCTACATTTATTAGTATGATGGAAATCAAACAAAAAAAAGTTACCTCGGTAAGCCAACAACAGAATTTTGCATGTGAAAAGTTGTTTATAGAGAAGAAGAAAAGATAGGTATAGTTTACAGTCTAAAACTATTCAAACTATAACGTAGCAAAAAGGGTGATTTATAAAGTACCAGTTCCTTCGTTGTCTCAAACCACACACTCGATATAAAACAAAGCGTTTAGATTCTATGCATCCAATTTCAAAATTAAGTAGATTTCTATGTTCTTATAGATGCAAAACGCGACGTCGAAAATCCAAAACAAACGGTAGAGGGCAAGTTGTTTAATAACGATAACGAAGTCTTTGCGGAAGAATTTGTAAACAATACAGGAGTTGCTATGGAAACACTGTTTCAAGGGCCAATGGTCATTGCATTTTGCGTTATACCAGTTTAAAATATTTTCAAAACTCCCGTATAGACGGTTAAGCAAACCTAGTGATCTCAACAGTAAAGTTGTGCTTGCTACTATGCTTTTTAACGTAAAATAACATAATTACGGTAAATGTATCAATAATAAAAAATTTGATTTACTCAGGTTCAGGCCTTCTTTGGGTAATTCATGTGCGGGATTCTCTTTGCACTGTCACGGAGTGAAATTGAGGGACTCTCAGCTTCATATGTACCATGTCTTCGTGAGCGCATTTGTGCCCGAGGTCCTGACGCGTTTGGAAAGTTTAAACATAAAGTCGAAGGATGGAACTTGGAATATGAATCTAGTGTTTTACACTTGCGAGGACCATGTGATAATCCAACTAACCAACCGCATGTGGATGACCACGGTAACGTATTATGCTGGAATGGTGAAATATGGCAGATGGACGGTGAAGAAGGATTTGATTCATTGGAGTGTTGTAGTGAAAACGATGGCTCAAAGCTTTTTCGAATATTAAAAGAGAATGATCATAATATTGAAGGTGTTCTGCGCTCCATTCAAGGCCCTTTTGCTTTTGTTTACTATCAGGTACGAACCAATGCAGCAGCATTTGATTACCCTAAAGAGGTGTTGCTAACATATTTAACATTAGAGTTCTACAAGCACATTGTGGTTTGGAAGGGATCGTCTTGGAAGGCGTTCATTGCTTTATCATCAAGATCAAGAACGTTTTGTGCTTGCCAGCGTTAGTCATGGTAAAAACTTTCAAGAGCTGCCACCTGGGTTTTACGCATTCAAGCTAAAAGACAATCATCCTTCGTGTCTTGCTCAATCCCTTTCTTCTACATTCATACCCTTCCAATTGTCACCCTTGAGCATAGATGTTTCCACTTTCTCAGATATGAAAAATCCAGTCGATACTTTCTATGCTCAGTTATCCGAGTCTCTTAAAGATAGGGTCCTTACTATACCAAATAATAATAGTCCACAAACGGAAAGTCCAATTCCTCGCTTGGCAGTGCTTTACTCGGGTGGTGTCGACTGCGGAGTAATAGCACGCATGATTCATGATATTATTCCTTCAGCTGAACCGATCGACTTAATAAATGTTGCTTTCGAAAATCCAAGATTCATGGATACTTTCGCAGTCGCTGACGAAGATGGTTGTTCCGCCCCTTTACCAGATCCTTACAACGCATGTCCTGATAGACAAACCGGTTTACAAGGATGGAAAGAATTAATGACAACGTGCCCGAACCGAGTGTGGAATTTTATTGCTGTAAACGTTCCCTACACTGAGGCTTGTAAACAAAAGGATCTAGTTACAAGTCTGATATACCCCAATGATTCAATCATGGATTTCTCTATAGGCTTGGCTTTTTACTTTGCCTCCAAAGGAGAAGGAATATTATTACGGTCGCCTGATGATTTACAAAACTGTTCCACATGCCCATCATATAAAACTTCTGCCAAGGTATTATTTAGCGGTTTAGGAGCTGACGAACAACTAGGCGGATACATGCGACATCTTAGAGCCTTCGAAAGAAAGGGTATGGAAGGACTTGATCAGGAACTGAAGCTAGACATCGAACGAATTCCTCATAGAAATCTTGGCCGTGATGATAGAATTATGTCAAACCAAGGAAAAGAAGTACGATACCCCTTTTTGGATGAGAGACTTATGGCACTATTAAGTAAAATGCCTACTTCCTCAAAAATGCGTTTAGATTTATTAGGAGGTGATAAGCTTATATTACGGGAATTGGCTAGAAAATTACAAAGTCCTTTAGTTGGTCAAGAGAAAAAACGTGCCATTCAATTTGGCTCAAAAGCTGCTAAAATGGAATCAGGAACTGGCCGTACCTCGGGAAAAAAGAAATTGCAATCTATTAATTCAGAAGTTTTGTAAATCATATCCTTAACCTATGTAAAACAATAACGTTTTAGCGCAACTCGTAAATTCGTAACAACAACATCAATATTTAGCTCATTTCCAACAAAGAATCAATAGAAGAAGTTAATCTTCCTTCTTGCGCATTAAGTACAACTTCTATAACTTCACTGTCAAAAGCCGGGAACATTGCCTGAAGTGCGGTAATCGCCTCTGTTCTTTCCTTTGACCGTATCCTTTCTACTTCTACTGTTTCCAGTGAAGCATTTGTTGCCTCACGAAGAGCATCGGTTGGGAGAACGCCACTTTCAGGTTCTGTATCAGGAAGTCTTGACCTTGGCACCATAGCTGAAGATGAGGAATAAGTACGAGAAACTTTGTAGGGTGGCCTTTCTCCCGAGCTATAATAGGGATCATCTTCACTTTCTTGTTGATCCTTGTTGCTTATACCACCAGACAAGGTTTTGAGCCAGGATTCCGGTACGAATGGTAGAGATCTTGACGTTGATCGGGGACGATTCAATGTCCCATCCTGCTTCATATTTTCATCTTCAATCTGTAAAGTCTTCATACCTTGTTGAATACCGGGTTGAGTCTCCTTTGACATTTGCGAACTGTCTTGGGTATTCGATGAAACAGAAGGTGTATTCTCTCTCTCTTTTATTGTTTTTGACTCCATTTTTTTTAATGATTTCTCAATTTCCACATTGAACTCTTCTTCGGAAATAGTTAATGAGTTTGTATCCATAGTCTGAATAAAGGACATGGCTCCCATAAGGGTAGATAAGTAGTATAATACTTCGCCAGAGAGTTTTTCAGGAGAGCGAAATCTCTGGATATACTGGATATTTGATACAAGGTGTTCTGGATGAGCTTTCAGCAGAACAAAAATTAAAACCGGAACAAACGCATCGGCTGATTCTTCCTTGACAGCATTTCGTAAATAACTATAAATCACTTTACAACAATTCATTAAGCATATAATTTTGTCCCGAGGAGCATGATAGTCATTAATACGTCGTAGTTCATCTGCGGCAAGCCGGAAAAATTTAGAACTAGATTTTGCCCTTTTGATATCCAAATGTTCCTCTCGAACCCACTGAAATAATTCCATTTTCTGAGATAAAATATGATCTTCTTCAACATCATCAGAGTGTTCGCTGCTCAAAGGCATACCGGTCTTGGCAATTTCCGGCGAAAATAATCTAGCGTAGAGTCGATTGGAGACCAGCTTTTCCATACCTTCCTTTGCATTATCAATTTCCGCCTGTGATCCGGAAGCCCATGGTTCGTATTGTTCAATCTTCTCTCCAATGAAGGCCAAAAAGTCTTGGATCAGCTTCACTTGATAACTAACAGACCATCTTCGCTTCATAAACTCTGAAAGAAAGCTTTTCAAATACTTTGCGACTGGTTCAGCAGGACTTGAACGAAGCTGCTCTAGAAATCGATGAAAATCAAAAACTGGTTCTTCTACTTCATTATCATTGTAAATATGGGACGTGGTTGGCACATCCTCTATAGCATCACTATGTGCTTCTTGCCGATTATGAGTATCTTCTTTCTCTCCTGATGTATTGGTAACCTTTTCTTTCTCGTGATCGTCTGCGTTGCTTTTAGAATATGCTTCTGAGTCGTGATTTTTGCTATGTTGCTCATAAGCACATCTTTGGACATCTAAATTATCATCCAAATTGATTAGTAACTTTTCCTCGCCATCCTGAAACCCCTTATTCTGCTCGTTCACTTTGCTACTTGTTGATTCTGCATTCGACGAGCCGTTATCCATGATACTTTTCAAAAAAGTTTCTTGAAGATAAATTTAAATCATTCTATTAATGTCGACTTAATTCTGACAGATTTATAATATAACAGAATTCAGTGATGATGGTAAGGTAAAATCTGGCGATGACCAAAGCAACGTATTATACTGGGGAGGCAGTAAGTAATTTACATATATAATGGGATGTTTACCAACAAATTTGATAGAAACTCAATAAATGTCTATTTATATAAAAAGTAACTTTTATATTCTGGTTAATAACTATTAGAAGGACGCTTCAAAGCGTTGTATCCTATGTTTACATTCTATTCTTGATTCTTTAGATCTCATTTTATTAAGATTTAGTAGAAAAACTAATGTCAAAGACACAAAGAGCGGCAATAAATAAATAAAAAAAAAATAAAAAAACATCAAGAGATTATAACATTTTGAAACAATTCGAATTTAATTATAAAGAGCAGTTCTTGCTTTTTCAAAAGCAGTAATACTCTTCTGGCTCAATCTAGGGTTGGCAACAAACCATATAGGAATTAATAAGGCGCCAGCAAATCCAGTAGCGACACTGGTCAATATTTTTTGAACATAGCAGTAAGCTTTGATAATTGCCTCCCTGGTATCAGTGCCTCTGGGGTAACTGACTGTTTGTTGTTTTAGATCTTCGAAAATAGAAGATGCCTTGTCTTTTGTACTTTCAGGAAGCAGCTGTTCAAGTTGTTTGGGCATAACATTATTCCAGATGGCACTAGAAATTGCACTTCCAATGGCACCACCAATGGGAGTGATTGTAAGGACTAAGGCTGTAACAATAGCAAAATGCTCTCTTTTAACCACTGTTTGAACAGAAACGGTTATAAGATTGGCAAAAATACCACCACCGATACCGACGAAGAGTTGAGTCATCACAAGGTAACCACGATTATACTCTTCTCCTCTATAACGGATCATCAAGCCTTGACCAAGTATATAGATGGGAACAGCAATGAGGAAGTAAAGTTTAAAGCGCTTATGAAAACGAATAATAATTCCCAAGATAAAGCTTGTAACACACGAAGTCAAAGAATACGTGTAGGCGATGTAAGTAGCAGCACGAACAGAAGTATAGTGAACAACTTGTAAGAAACTTGAGTAGTAATTGTCCCAGCAATAAAAAGTGACATAGAAAAGTAATGAAATAACGCAAGCAGCACCAATGGTGGGTTCACGCATCAAGTTGAAAGGTATTGCAGGGAAGCTAGCAACATAAAGTTCATACAAGATGGAAGCAATGATACAAACGCCGCCGATAACAATCATGACTATATACTTTGCGTCGCTCCACTTGCTATTGTCGGAGCCGGCCAAAGAGATTGACAACAAGAAGAGAGAAAATCCGGCTGTCATAAGGATGAGACCAATAATATCGAGTTTCTTGAAAAGACTAATGATATTTATGGTTAAAGTATCCTTAAAAGCACCTTTTCTCCAACCTTTATATTGATGGTAGGCATATACGACAATGAAGGGCAGAGCGCAAACTGGGAGGAGAATACACCACATTGCAATTCCCCATCTCCATCTATTTGGCATGGTTTGACTGATTGGGGGACCGACCCAAACGGTTACGACAAAGGGCAGAGAGGATATACCGATTACAAGAGAACGATTGGCTGTACTTGAAGAATCTGCCAAAAAAATGGTCAAGATGAGTTCAAGACCTGTATAGCCAGCATTGTAAAGAATACTACCGCCAGCGTACGTTTGAACATTCTTGGATGTAGCGATAACGATGATACCAACGACGTAGAGAAGAAGCGCAAAGCAGAAAGCCTCCAAGCGGCCAAAAACATCCGAAATTCGAGCCAAAGGTGGTTTGATGACCGCACTGATGATATTGTTAGCGGTACCGATGGTGGCTAGTAAAGAATGACCTTGGAAGGATGAAGTTGCGTAAGTAGACAAACTAGTGTAACTCATGGACTGAAAACTAAGTACGAAGAACATGAGGAAAACGGAAAAGTAGGAAAAATAAAAGGATGCAGTGGACCAGCTATCGACGAGGTATTCTGCTTTAACAATACCAGCCAGCTCAGATTCAGGATTAAAAGTAGGCACAAGGTCAACTTGGTGATATTTTTCATCTTTATTGTCGAAATGGGTATCAAATCCATCAACTGGCTGAACAGTCTCTTCATGAATGTTTTTCTCCAGTTGATCCTCTGGAGATGTATTTTCGGATGACCGTTTGCCAAACAAAGGAGGAAAGTTAATCTGTCGCAAGCGCATCATAAAACAAACGATTAGGAAACGAGATTTATTAATTAAGGGAGATTACTGATACAAAAGATGGTAAAACGAACAATTTAAGATGCACACGGCAAAGAGGAAATAACTTGCTATGACAATAGCAGTTTTTGTGGTCGAAAAAAAAAATTCAAGAATAGAAAAAATGACAGACAATTACGTTCATTAACAACTCTTTCCAAAAACAAGATAATAAATAACACACTCTGTACAACAGACGCTTGATCTGATAAGAGTTTCAGGCCTTTATATAATTTGGAGGAAGGAGTTGATGATATATTTGTAAATAAGGCTCGTAGGCTTATGCTTCATAGTTATCAGATGTTGTGTGACGGCTTTAAGCAAAGTCAGATAATAAATTTTGTCCGGAATGACATCAGTGACTTTTTTATGGTGCAGAAAACGACGGTCTGAGAAATATATGTAAACAAACAAAAAAGAAAGCGTAAATATGGAAAACGGTTAACAGAAGACTCAGTGATTGCATGAAGTAATGGAATTTAGAGACAGAAAGTTTTGAGATTCACTGCTCGTCTTCATGGGGCTAAAAAAGTGTTACCCCTTTTTCGTACACGTTCCCTTAAAGTAAGAACTAAGTCTATTTTGTTTGGTAATTAGGGACCATAGATATTCTCTTTTTAGTTATGGTATCCAAGATCATTGTTAACAAACAATATACTTGGGTAGGATGATTCGAGACTTGAAATCATCTGTCTGTCTGTGCCAGTCTTCACACTCTTATGGTCTTATTGTCTTGGGGATATATAAGATTATTAGATTCCTTTGACTAGAGGAAAGAAACTTTAAATGAGAAAATGGATTATCCAAGAAGGCAGGCATGTCTCAAAACATAATCCAAATGTTTGGCTGGGCGGTTGGATTAACAAAACAATGGTAATAGCGAATTCTTTGGAAAAAGAAATACAAGAGAGAAGAAAATTAGGAAAGAAAAGAAGAAGAATAAGGAAAAAAAGAGAGAAGTCCACAGCGTTCCGGATTTTCTATTATCTGCAACCATAGTATCAACGAGGCGAAAGACACTCAGACACTTATCACTCATCACTTGGCCGCAATGATCAGACGGAAATCAAGTATTCCTGTCTACGGATGGTGGTAGCGACTTTGTTTTTTGTGATATTCTTCTCGACGTTTCAATTTCGGGTATTTTTCATGAGTCTGTAAAAGACAGAGACATGAATTGATAATGTTGTTTTCATTCGGTTGGAGGAATATGCATGCCAAGCTTAACAATCATGAATTACCATGGCTATGAAAACAGTCGTAAGTGTAGGTGCCAAACAGCTTTATGTGAGGAATAATTCAGACGAATAGAGACGGATGAAGGAAAAGAAAAATCAATTTCTTTCTTTACATTTTTGCGCACTCGATTTATCTTAATAGAGAACGGAAAAACAGTGGAACCATGGTATTATAATTGGAGAATGGACCTAGGATCAAGAACAATGCTGTTGCGCATCGATCAAAAACCATGATGAAAAGGCTGGCAAACAAAGGTTCATACATAAACTTCCATTTTATCAACCTGGAGGATGTAAGGATGAGCCGTAGACAAAGTCCCCGCTGGAAAGCATCCCTATGATTGTTATTTTCTTTTTTTCTTCATGAAATATGTGTTTATATATTTAATAGAGAAACCTTCTAATGAGAAGCTAAAAAATTCGCAGTGTTTCATCGTGCTTTAGATTCTGGTCTTTCTAAAGACAAAACCTGTTTAAAATTTTCTTACATTTCCGTCCAAATAAAATCTTTGAATTGTATAACTTTCTGCTTGTCCTGCTTGTGTTTTCTACTTGGCTCCTTGTCTAACTTTTACCTCACGTACTAGTCCTCTACCAAATATCCCAAATCGAATTCTTTCCATAAATCCTCTTTTATTGTTTATTCAACCATTCTTAAAGCATTGTAAAGTTAAAAGAAAATGGCCAAGAAACAAAAGGCTCGGTACGTTTGTGCAATCGTGTAAATTGGCATTCGTTTGCTAATGCTCTTCCATTTAGTATGCTGATCAAGCTTCTTTCCTCGGCTGGAACTGGATCCTTTTATGTAAAATCAAGACCACGCACGGCTCCAAAGCTTGCTTTTCTCAAATACGATCCAAAGTAAGTACATTGAACTTGTCTGCTCCTACCGATTCAAGCGCTGACCAATGTTTGTAGGATTCAGAGACGTGTCTTATTTGAAGAGACTAAAATGAAATAATTCTTTGCCGCCGTTACTGGATGGACTCTGTTACTTTTTCTCTATACATTCCTTTCTCCTTTTTGGCAGTTATCCATGTCTTCCATGAACCGTTTGCTACTCTAGCTGTTCATTTAAATTATAACGTTTATTGAATCCATATATACTTGTATATTCCTTTCATTATGCCTTTTTGAATATATCTTGCTTTTTTTTTCGAAACCTTGGAAGGCTTATTCAACACACTTACTTTTCTACATGACTGCATCTTTTGAGGTCAGGTTTACCTTTTCATTGAAGTGGCGCTTAGAAAACATACCTTTTTGTTTGTTTTGGCTTTCCAGTCACTTAATTTTTGAAACTCTTAAGCCCCAAAAGTTATTTGACCTCAATCTACTCAACCTACTCAATATATACTTTTCTTGATTTGAAGTCTGCATAGTACGGTGTTTGTCCTAAAACTCTCTGCGCTTAAGACGCAGAGTTATTCAGGGAAACTTGTAGTTGTGATCAAACAATTGTCCATATTTTTAAGGAACGATTCTTAAATGCTTAGCTCTGTTCGTACGGTATTTACGAAATAATGAAATGTAAGTAGATTTCTAACTGTGATTTTCAAACAACTCTCGTTTTTCGAATTACTACGAAAATTATGAGTGATTCTTTCCTTAACCACTTGTATCCCCACATCTGAATTTAAAAAAATAAATTTAAAAACGAATAAAATATCAATTGCTTCTATATAGTATCGTTTGATATTTGTAAAACGTGCAAAACCCTCGACTAGCATTCTCATGTCTACCTTCCCCATACCACACCTTTCTTCAGATTGGTGAAAAATGCCGCAGAAAACATCGCTGGACGAATTACAATGGAAAGAGGTGACTCTTCCTGATCGCTTAGATGACTATGAGGGTCTTCTGGACTTGGAAGAAATCGAGGGCGTTGATGTACAATACAAGAACAAAGGAGGAAATTTAAAGGAAGTTACTTATGAAGTATGTAGTCCTTATTTTGCTGTATTTTGAGTTTAATGACTAACAATTAGCTTGCTGATCCATCAAAGAAGCCAAAGAAAGAGAAGCGTAAAAAGGCTGACGATAAAGCTAGTACGAAAGGTGTTAAAAAGCCCAAATCGGACTCCTCTGAAAAGGAAACTCCTTCTTCCGAAGAGCGAATTGACGAGGGAAACGAATTTGCCGCCCTTGCTTCAAATGATGAAAGTTTAGAGAAAAATGTTGATGTCTCAGCTTGGTCGAAATGGCATCTCTCTCCTGAAATGCTGGGGTCATTGTCTCGCATTGGTTTTTCTACTCCCACTCCCATTCAGTCACTTGTTGTCCCAGAAGCAACTGCTGGAAAAGATATCGTGGGTAAGGCCGCAACCGGTTCTGGTAAAAGTTTGGCTTTTGCGATTCCCATTATGGAGCATTGTTTGAACGTTTTAAATACCAAGCAAGTTCAAGCTCTTGTAATAGCTCCTACTAGAGAGTTGGCTCATCAACTATTGGAACATTTTGAAAAGGTCAAACCAGATTCAAATCTACGTATCATGGCTATTACTGGTGGTCTTGCCGTTCAAAAACAACAGCGCTTACTCAGTAAGCATCCTCACATAGTGATTGCCACTCCAGGGAGATTGTGGTCTGTAATCAATGATAACAATTTAACAGAAAGTTTTAAAAAAATTAAGGTTCTTGTGCTCGACGAGGCCGATCGCCTTTTACAGAAAAGCCACTTCGAAGATTTGCAGAAACTTATAGACGTATTGGGAAACCCAAAACATACAAATCGACAAACATTAATCTTTTCTGCTACCTTGGATGAGAATCTTCAGCAGAGATTGAGCAAAAAAGTTCAAAGTGACACCTCATCTGAGGAAGCAAGCCCTTTTGGTAAGTGCTACAAATTTGCTTAATCAATGAATGATACTAATATTCGTATAGAAAATTTACTGAAACAGGTAAAATTCTTGGGTGAGCCTACGATTCTCGATGCAGATCCAGAAACAACAGTGGCTTCTCGTATTCTTGAAGGTTTACTAGAATGTGCTCCTAAGGATAAAGATTTACATTTATACTATTTACTTTTACGATATCCTGGGAAAACTATGGTCTTTGCTAATGGCATCGACGACATCAAACGAATCTCTCCTTTCTTGAATGAGTTGGAAATTAATGCTTATCCGCTACATGCTCAATTAGACCAGAAGAAACGCATGCAGTCTTTGGAAAGGTATTCTATTGAATAAGAAAATCAGCAATTGGCTAACTGAAACATAGATTCAAAAAGGACCCTAAAGGTGTATTGGTTTGTACAGACGTTGCAGCCAGAGGTATTGATGTACCAAGTGTTTCTCATGTTGTTCACTATCACGTACCTCATACTGCAGATATGTATATTCATCGTAGTGGTCGTACTGCCCGTGCAAATGAAGACGGTGTTTCTATATTGATGTGCAGTCCGAAAGAGCTGTCGCAATTTAAGCGTCTTCTTTTCAAACTAAAACGCAGATTAGATGAATTTCCTAGCTTTCCTATTGATATGACTCTTCTTGGAGTTTTGAAACCTCGAGTCGAATTATCACACAAAATTGCTGATCTTACTCGTAAGGCCGGAAAGTTAGGAAGAGAAGAAGCTTGGCTAAAAGCTGCTGCCGAAGAGTTGGGTGTTGAAAATTCAGAGGAAGAAGATCTCGACAATCCAAAGTAAGTTTTTTTTTTTTTTTTTAATCATTCTTGCTGACTATTAGACAATCTTCTCAAAGTAGAAGAAACCAGCAAGTCGCTCAATTTCGTTCAGAACTTAACTACTTATTGCGTCAACGGATTCAGACTGGTTTCTCCGGAAAATATTTAACCAGTGGTCTTACAAACATGGCAGATAAGTTATTAAACGGACAGCATCATGAAAATATTCTTGGAACAGATCCTGTCACTGCTTTGGATGTTTTAAGAAAGAAGGGAAAGAAACAATCCCAAAAAAAATAATACATTCCTGATTTTGGTTTTTGGTACGGGTTTTTTTTTAATATGATTTGGTTTATAGGCGATTAGATGTGCATTATCCTAATAGACTTCTTGCATAGCCGGAAAATGTTATAGAATTTTTGTAAAAGACATGATAAAAGTTATTTTGGATGAACGGGATACGTTGCTTTGGAGCCTCTAGAAGCTATAGATATAATAGGTAAATTTCTAAACATTAATATTTAACATTGCTGGAGTAAAAAATTAGGCATGGAAACTATCATCGAAGTATGCTAAAACTGAAGCCACATTTGATTGGGCATATGAAATAAATAAATAAAAATAAACTGAATGTAATTAAACTCCCAAAAATTATTGTCATAATCACAGTTTTAACTCATTGAGTATTCGACTGGCCAAGGTCTTGTATTGCCAAGAGTTTCCACTGATACGGTGAAATGAAACACCTCTCAACGATAAAATTGGTACTTTCACAATATATATCTCAAACATAAGGACTGAAGATACCGGTTCTTCGGAAGTCCCTACTTGTACAGTATCCGGTACATATCCGTATGATTCTGTTGAAAAGCTTGAACCACCGGAGGGAAGACGACGAGATTGATTATTATTTGCTTTCGCAGGTGTAGTAAGAAGTGTATTAGGAACATTACCCTGAGGTCTGTATATACAGGAATAACCACCTTTAATTTCCTTATACTCAATATCTAACAGTTCCATTACGCGAATTAAGTCGCGCTGTATAGTTTCCGTATTTTTTGTAGAGGTAGTTGAAACACTAAACAAGCCCTTCAAGAATACAGGTTTAATTGGATCCACTTTTTCTTGCGATTTTGCTTCAGCATGCTTACCAATTGGTTCACCCATTGTATCACTCAAAACTTGTTTCTGCTTAAAAGTGGCATCGGCAATTTTGCCACGACCTAAGGATGCACCTCTCGGATTCAATAACCTGTTGTGTTGTACAGCTGGAGGTACACCACTGGTCAAAGTGCTATCATTGACGGGTGAATCTAAAGCTTTGTCAACCCCAGCATATCTTCCTTCACGAACAGAAGTAGAGCGTCCTATATTTCCAGAATTTAATACTTTATTTTTGTAAGAAATGGGAGGTTTAGAGCTCACTTTAGTTCGAGGAACAACCGGTGATTGAGTAGCTTCAAGGGGTGCACTAATCTGAAGAGTAGAGCTAGAAGATCGATTAGAACTGGAAGATCGGCTTTGTTTACGACGACTAGAAAATCTCCGAAATATACTTGATGACTTCTTCTCCAATGTAGAGGGAGAAGGTAAGTGTGATTGTGTCTCAGGAGAAGGCTTACCTCGCACAAGAGATAACTTTCTCGTTATACGAGACAGATCATCATCATTAGGTTCATTTGCTTTCGTAATTACAGGATTGTCGGAGATTTCCGGCATAGGAGGAAGCGATCGACTAAAGCTTTGTGTCTGTATTGGTGAAGATGGAACACTGGAGACCGGGGTTTTCACGAATCTATTCCAAGTTCCACCCCTATCGTATTGTTTTCTTTCTAAAACGAGATAGTATATCGATAACAAAGGATGAAAAGCATCGTAAACATTTGAACTTATAGAAAGAGAAGGTAAAATAGGATTCTCGATGTCTTGCGCAGCATGCCGGATCCGAAATTCAAAAAAAGTCTTCTTTTTATCAGCAGATATAGGGCCAGAGTAAAAACCGGTTTTAGCTAACGATTGATAAGCCTCGCTACTGATAACCTTAGTTAGCTCACGATTTATTTTCTCCGGTGGCCCAAAATCAAAACCGTTCATTTCCTTGATTATGGATTGGTCCAACGGTAAAGTAATAGGTGACCGTTCTGGAGCGAAGGACGGCATAGGACCATCATAATTACGATTCATCCAAGGATGATTAAGTATCTCATCTAAACTGGCGCGTTTCAAAGGATCAGTAACTAGCATTCGGGAAAGTAAACTTTTACAGTCACCGCTAAGATACGACGGATATTCGACTGTACCCTTTTTTATTTTAGCATGCAATGCTGACATATTCTGATCGTCAAAAGGTACTTTCCCGCAAACGAGAACGTATAGCACGATACCAAAACTCCAAATGTCGACTTCAGGTCCAATATAAGGTTGAGCGTTCAAGAGCTCTGGAGCAGCAAAATATAAAGAACCACAGAAAGTTCGTAATCTGGACTGGCGCATGTACAAATTGGAAAGACCAAAATCAATTATTTTTATATCACCGTTTTTCGAAATAAGTATGTTTTCTATTTTTAAATCGCGATGAACGATAGAATTATGGTGTAAGTATTTCAATGCACTTCCAATTTGGCGGACGAATTTACGTGCTTGCTTTTCCTTTAGTTTGCCATGCGATATAATATAGTCAAGCATTTGACCACCATCGACGAATTCAAAGGCAATGTAATAATGGCTGCTTGTGATGTAAACGTCCCTTGCTTCACATATATATGGATGTCGCAGCAGAGTTGACAAAGCGGCTTCGCGAACGGTGCGAATTTCTCTGTTTTTTTCAGACTGAGCAGCCTTTAAAGTCTCTTGACTGGGGATCTTTAATTTCTGACTATCAGGATTCTGTCGTGTAACGATCTTTATGGCCACTTGCTCCCCAGTTTTTATATGATGTGCGACTTTCACTTTTCCCATACTTCCAGCACCGATGGTTTTACCAAGCACATAGTTCCCAATAACCTTCCTCCGTTCCCGAGGTTTATCATCTGAGTTGAGAGGACTGCTAGTAGCAGGAACACGGAGACCATGTTCTCTTGAGCGATTAGGAGACGTAGGTAAGGGTTTGCGAGCTGATGCAGAGCGCTTAGGACCTAGCGCCGATGAGGAAATATGAGGAGAAAATGTTGAACCAACAGGGTCTACGGATGATTTGGGATGTGTCTGATGAGATGGAGATTGCATGAAGGCATCAATTAGATTAGGATGACGATTGGGAGGATCGGAGATTTTAATTTTCGGTAAAGCATTCATCGCTGCGGCTCTTTTGGAGCTAACGGCGGGAACCCCATGAATATGATTATCCATCGTAAACAACCGTTTATATGTAAGACAAAAAGATTGAAACGAGGCGTAGTATGTGAACAATGAAATAGGAAACGGAAAACCAGGAAACAATGAAAAAAAAAAGCCAATTTTTCCTTTTATGAAAATTAGGATTTGAGAACAATAATTAGTAAGTAAAGCCACTTAAACGGAATTATAGTTCTACACAAGGAACGAAAAACAATGCTGATGCTGAGTGAATAAAGAATCACAAAAAAATAAATAAAACAATGTAACAACGCAGACCAGAATCTATATAATATTCAGACAAAATTGGACCAGCAAGGAAAGTCACTGTTGAAAAGAGAAAAATATTAAACGTAGAAGAACCAACTGATGATCAACGGACTGCAATGCAGTTTTCAGAAAATCGACAGATTTGCAGGGTGGAAAAGGAAAGTAGTGAAAAGACCACTCAGAAAAAAAAAAAAATATCAAGGATCACTTTTACAGGCCACAAACGGAATGATTGCGCATGTCAATGATCACTGTAGAACGACGGTTTGTTAGCTGTCAACAAATCCACAATCAAATTATTGATTTTCAAGCATATGAAACAGGTTCAACGCTTGTAATGATTATATATTACAAATAGTATAAAATAATACCCTTTAGGATATGCAAATAGTTTATTTTAACTAAAGAATTGCTGTTTTCCGGGTTGAAGGAGGTGTGTGGTGAAGGGCCGAAACGAATCTCAAGATTTAGAAATCGAGAAGATAATTTTATGATTACGTTATCTGGGGAAATAGTAAACAAAGCGAAAAATCAAAGATTTAATAGAGAAGAAATAGAATACTGCTAATAAAATCTAATGAAAGTAAATTCCTCTGTAATGAACGAGAAATGCTTTTTTTTGATAGGAATAAGAGCTACCTTTATAGACTTATTAAGAATGGTGTGTGGAATGTTTCGAAGCTATTTCACTGCGTACTAGAAAAGTCGTTTAAATCACTATTTAATTAAGAACTCTACAAGAGAAAATTGGACTGCTTCACCCATGGCTTGCGTGAACTTAAAACCAATAGAATGTCTCTTGTATGCCCGTCTTTTCGTACACAATTAATCGCAGTTCTCCTTGTTTAATTCCATAAATAAACAATTGCTTTCAAGAGTCTTTTGTCTTTTGTCTTTTGTTCTTTTTTTTTTCTTTTTTTGCTTCATTCCATTTCCTTTTATTTACTTTACATAATACTGATTAAATGTGTTCGTAACGCGTCATAATTTCTTTTAACGAAATTATAGGGTGATTCAGCGTGGAAGGAATACCTTAGCTATATCGTCAAGAAACGTTCTTACCACAAACAAAAGCGTAAAAACGCACTTGTTCAGCTTTCTATGCATGTGCAATATTCATTTCTAACAGGATAATAACATAGGGAATATATAGGGGTATATTTGCGCTTGCATCAGTTGAAACTGTTCTTTTCTTACCTATTTATTCTATTTTCTTCGCTTTCTTCCAATAGTTTATTTTTTTATTTTGTTTTATTTCTATTTTTCTTTTTGAGATTTTTGACATCGCCCGGTGAATTCAATATAGTACACATAGTCCCTCCTTCTATTTCTTGCTTCTTTATTGAATACTCATATATAGATATACATATATATCATGAAGATGATGCTTCTTTCTATCGTACTCCTTTCTTTCGCTTCACTCGTTCTTGCTTCTCAGCCTCAGCAAAACTTTTTGCAATTGCATTCTATCAATTATGCCATCCCTCTCCAATGGAAATGGCTTGGTAGTGTAAACACCGATCGAAATTCCGTTTATTTGACGGATAAGAGTTCCAATAGTGGCGCTGACCGGTATGGTGCCCTTTGGGCTAATACTCCTCTTTCGGATGTTAGCTGGCGAATGCAAACATCCTATGTCGCGCAAGCCAGTGAGCAAGAAGCAGTAAAATTTGGAACTTGGTACACTAGTACACCTAGTTCAGAGGGCCCTATATATGGATCTTCTGATGGATGGGACGGCCTTTTAATTTCACAAGAACTAGATCCGACCGGGAAACTCATTATTCGTGCTGTTTTGAATGATAAATCGATTTCTATGGCTCAATTCTCTGATCCAGATCTGCTAGCTTTTGCTAAATGCACCTTTGAGGGAATGTCTAATAAGCTGATTCTAGCCGATTTGGCTTATAGTGAGCAAGATGGTCTTTCCTTGACTGTAAACCAACAGACATGTTTCTCCACGAAGGAAGTTTTGTTGCCTAAAGGCTATTACCTTGGCGTCTCCTCGGCAACTTCCTCTATGAAAGAAAGCATTGCCTTGTCCAACATTAATGTATTGGATTCTGGTCACTTTATCACTAATCAACCCCTTCCCCAACCTGAACAACAAGAGGAACGCCAAGAAGCACCTGTCGTCCAAATGCATTCCGGATCCAATGGCGATGGAGAATCACAAACTGTTCTTGCCTTACAAGCTGAAGTTCAAAAGTTGTCTTCTGATGTGAGCTCTTTAACCCAACGCTTGAGTAGTCTCCATGTCACGACATCCAACATGTTGGATCGTGTAAACAGTCTTTCAAGCAATCAAGTGTCTAGCGAAAGGTTTCAGGAACTTGAAGATTATATTAAACATACGTTATCTTCCCACTCTTCTAAATCAGAAATCGTCTCTAACCGTCTGACTAAATTTGAACAGGACCTTGAAAAATATATCACGAAGTCTACTTCACATGTTAATTTCACCAACGTCCTCATCGTTCTCATTCTTGGTGTTATTGTCTCGTATGGAGTTGTAATTGCTCGCCGCGAACGACGTCGTCACAAGTACCTTTAGATTCGTGGAACAAAGCAAACATGTATATATGAATAAATCTTACGGTACCTTTCCTTTCTTTAAATCATAACTTTTCACTATGTCGGTTGGTAAAACCTTATTAAACGATCATACATTCATTACCTGTTATTTACAAGCACCCTTCTCCACTACACACGTTTGTTACTGCCTATAAAATAATCATCTATTAAGCATCAAAGCATCATAGAACAAAAAGCATTTTTATTACGACCATTAATACGCCCTATTTCCAAATTCATTGCATTTAAAGGAATCCAATGCGGTTAGCGACGTCGAGAGCATCGGCTTCAGCAGAGAGCTTAACGAATGCCTTTTTGGTACCATTGGGACGAACCATAGTATTGATCTTGACAGTGTCAACATCATACAACTTCTTGACAGCACTCTTGATTGTGTGCTTGTTAGCTCTCATATGAACGCAAAAGACAAGGGTATTATCGTCCTCAATCTTCTTCATGGCAGACTCGGAGTTGATAGGGTTAACCATGATCTTGAACTCGTCAAGACGAGGAGCGTGAGCAACACTCTTACGGGCATACTTGGGTTTGCGAGAAAGCTGAAGAGTCTTAGGTCTGACAGACAGTTAGTACTCTTATTGAAATGAAAAATTTAAAGGAAGTATAGTATTCCAACACAGTCTCGAATAGTCAAATTCATCCTGACCCAACTTGGAATGGAATCTCTTTCAGTAATTTTTCAGCTACCAACTGTACTTACCTACGGAAGGTCGTAGAAGTACGAACCTTACGAGCAACCTTGTTGTGAATGCCCTTTTGAACGGCCTTTTGTGCTCCTTGTGCTTTGCCAACGCTCATTTTAGACTCTGGTAAACACACTATTCAGTCTTGGAAATTTCATTACCGTCGTTACTCTTTTTTAAAAACAGTCACTACCCCTACCCTAGGGAGAAACTAACGAGCTTTTCGTTCCATTGCACAAAACCAAATGTTTTAGCCTTCGCTTATATCGCCACCCATCGCTGTCTTCACTGATTTTGATTTATAACAAGGGTAGCACGCAAACATCAAACGTATCCTTCTCCATTCACATTTTGTCGAACCGATCCTTTCATAAGAGGATTATCGGGTGAATTTTTGAAATAAGCTTAGGTTTTTTCCCTTTTGGAATTTCCTGAGAGCTGTTTGGATAAAATACAGCAAATCAGCAAAAATCTTGAATTTTTGAAATTTTCGTTGCTTATATACTTGAGCATCCATTTTACATTCTTTTATATTGGCTGTGAATAGATTTAAAAGTACATTCTTTTTCTTATATTAAAAAAACCGAAGGTTTGTATTCGTTTGGTCAAAGGATGAGCGCCAATTTTGAGAAAATTGCTCATGTCACCCGAGGCATGCTGAAGGACCCTTCAAAAAAATACAAGGCTTTTAAGGGTGTGCATTTGCCTAACCGTCAATGGCCCGGTCGTGTAATTTCCAAGGCTCCCCGCTGGCTTTCCACCGATTTGCGTGACGGTAATCAGGCTTTGCCTGATCCCATGAATGGCGAGGAAAAGCTGAAGTACTTTAAGCTTCTTTGCAACCTTGGTTTTAAGGAAATTGAAGTTGGATTTCCCAGTGCTTCCCAGACAGATTTCGCTTTCGTCCGCCATTTAGTTGAAACTCCTGGTTTAATTCCTGAGGACGTCACTATCTCTGCTTTGTCTCCATCTCGCGAACATTTGATCCTTCGCACGATTGAGGCTCTTCGAGGCACGAAGAACGCTACTTTGCATTTATACAATGCAGTCTCTCCATTGTTCCGTGATGTCGTTTTCCGCAATTCCAAGCAAGAAACTTTGGAGCTTGCGAAGAAGGGTGCTAGAGTTGTCACTGCCGCTACAAAACACGCTGCGGAGTCCACCCCAACCAATTGGGGATTCCAGTATTCACCTGAAACGTTTTCGGATGCAGAACCCGACTTCTCTCTAGAAGTTTGTGAGGCTGTTAAGTCCATCTGGAGACCTACTTCCGCTCAACCTATTATCTTCAATTTACCTGCTACTGTCGAAATGTCTACCCCTAATACATATGCTGACTTAATTGAGTATTTCTCTACTCAAATCAGCGAGCGTGAAAAGGTTTGTGTGTCTCTTCACCCTCATAACGACCGCGGTACTGCTGTAGCTGCTGCTGAACTCGGTCAATTAGCTGGTGCCGACCGTGTTGAAGGTTGCTTGTTTGGCAACGGTGAACGTACTGGTAATGTTGACTTGGTCACTTTGGCTTTCAATTTGTATACCCAGGGTATTTCGCCAAACTTGGACTTTTCCAAGCTAGACGAAGTTATTCGCATCACGGAAGCCTGCAACAAGATCAATGTTCACCCCCGTCATCCTTACGCTGGTAACCTTGTTTTCACCGCGTTCTCCGGCTCTCACCAAGACGCCATTTCCAAGGGTTTGAAGGCTTATGATGATCGTAAGAACGTCGACCCTACTTGGAAGGTACCATACTTACCTTTGGATCCCCATGACGTGAACTCTGAGTATGCAGCTATCATCCGTGTCAATTCTCAATCCGGCAAGGGTGGTGTCGCTTATTTGCTGAAGACCAACCGTGGTCTTGACTTGCCTCGTGCCTTGCAGGTTGAGTTCGGTGCAGTAGTCAAGGATTATAGTGATAACAAGGGTAAGGAGCTTACGATTGGTGAAATCAGCGACTTGTTCAACACTACTTACTTCCTTGAATTCCCCGGTCGCTTCTGGTTGGATGACTACACTTTGAGTAGTAATGGCCCTCGAAGCAAGTCTATCAGTTGCATTGTTGATGTTAAGGGCAGAAATGCTGGTCGCTGTGTAATTGAAGGCAGTGGCAATGGCCCTATGTCTGCCCTTGTTGATGCTTTGCGTCGTCAATTTAATATTGTCTTTGACATTGGACAATACTCGGAACACGCTATTGGCTCAGGAAATGCCGTCAAGGCTGCTTCTTATGTTGAAGTCAAAGCAAACAACCGCTCCTTCTGGGGTGTCGGTATTGATGACGACGTTACTTCCTCGGGTTTGAAGGCTGTGATGTCGGCCGTTAGTCGTGCGGCTACGGAAGCTGCAAAGTAAACCGAGCCTTCTGTACATTTCTGGAACAATAACTAACAATAACTAATTAATATACATTTCTTAAACTGGAATATCGATTTCTATAATTTAATTCAAAACTCTATGGAAGTTTTCGTGTGCATATGATTTTGCCGCAGCAACAAGAAGAGTATGGCAACATGGGAGCTTCAAAATATAATGAAGGAGGATAAGGTCGATTCTTATCTAATTTATAGTTTTTACTTCTTTATTTAATTTTTTTTTATTACTTATTTTTTATATTGCTTTGCTCAAAAAAAAGTTAATAGGAAGGTGGAGTGATCAGTGTGCTAATGTGAATAGACAATGACAATCAAACAAAAAGTTGACAAAGTATTAGGTGATGGGTAAATTTGACAACATCGATTTTCTCACGTTGAATAGTAGGTTGTAGAACGCTAGAGACGATTTGTTGTAAACTCGATCTTTCATAGCGAACGAGAGTAAAAACGGTAGGAAGTGATTGCGTCGATTGAAAATTGTCTTCAATTGTATGTATATGTCTTCATTTATCCGGAAATTAACTGAAAATTGATGTGACCTGAGTTTCGGAGTAGCAGGATCCTTTGCCGATCCTTACTGACGTTTTAGTTACCGCCTCGCTTAATCCCTTTATTTTTTTCCCACCATGGACGAAGGTAAACAGAGTAGAGGGTTAGGTAGGTCCAAACTATCCTAGAACACACCACTATTCTAGCATGACAGGGAGCGCAATGGCTGGTCCAACCCCCGAAACTCAGTCTCAGAGAACATTAAGAAATGTAAGTTGAAATAGAGATAAATAAGTTTGTTCGGAAATGCTACGATGGGCTTGCGAATGTACATTTGGTTTTGTGAGAAAGAAAGAGTAGAGTGGGATTAGAAGAAGATGCAATTTCTGAATTATAAAGATACTAACAAAGTACAATGATTAGATTCCAAGTATTTCTGCTGGATCGTTTCTGACTATGCCTACGCAATCCAGAGGACGACGTCGTTTTCGATCCAAATCATTTGTTGGACGTGCTGCTCAGAAGGCAGTTCAAAAAAGTAAACAAAGGACATGGATTATCCCGCTAATCCTTCTTACTATCTGCATCGGATGGTATTTACTTGATCCGACTGGAAGTCCGGTGCGGTATGGTATTTTCTTAAGTTACCCTGTGCCGGGCACAGATCCCGTAGAATATGCAAAAGGCCCTTTAGACTTTGTGTTTTGTATATTTTACGCTCTGGTGTTTAGTTTTACTCGAGAATTTGTTATGCAAGAAATTTTGGAACCATTGGGTAAACATTACAATATTCGCAATCAAGCCAAGCTTCGCCGCTTTGAGGAGCAGGCTTACACATTTTTGTACTTCAGTGTAATGGGAATTTGGGGTTTGTGCGTAATGAGGAAAACTCCGATGTGGTATTTCAATACATATGCTTTTTGGGAGGAATATCCTCACTATACTCATGTTGCTTCTTTCAAAGCGTTTTACCTTGTTGAGGCTGCTTATTGGATTCAGCAAGCTCTAGTTTTGGCTTTGCAGCTAGAAAAGCCAAGAAAGGACTTTAAAGAACTTGTCATGCATCACATTATTACGTTGCTTTTGATAGGTTGCAGTTACGTCTTTCACTTTACCTGGATTGGTTTGGCCGTTTTCATCACAATGGATACATCGGATATTCTGCTTGCCTTCACCAAATGCTTAAATTACCTCAACGTTTCCGTAGTGTATATTTCATTTTTGATTTTTGTCTTCGTTTGGATTTATATGCGTCATTATTTGAGCTTGAAAATCATTTGGGCCGTTTTGACTACGATGGCAACTGTCAATTCGTTTGAACTGAACTGGAAAGCAGGCTATTACAAATGCTGGCTTTCCCAGTATGGTACTGCCTTTTTACTAATTTCTCTTCAAGTCATTAACCTTTACTGGTTGTTCTTAATTCTTCGTATTGGTTACAGAGCCTTTACGACGCAAGACACCCATGATGAAAGAAGCGACGACGAGGATGAAGGAAGTTCTGTAGAGCGAGAGCCTTCCAATGCCAAGAAGGAGGAATAGAGTTCTTTAACTGTGTCGTTATATTTATCTTTCTTCCTTAAATTTTTTTTTTCTTTGATTAATTTTGCTTTATTATTGGATAAGACGTGGTATAATATCGTTTAGGGAAATATTGGTAAAAGCGTTTTGAAATTGTCAAAAAAATTTCTATCTCATTTTCCTTGCTCATTATCGCTACAAGGGGTTTCGCGTCTTTGCGAATCAGTTTTTTTGTTCTACTTTTGAGGTCTTGAAAATGGGTAATTTAGATTATGGCCAGCAACCCACTTTTGCTACTGTCTTAGAGAATGGTTTTATTATTTTTTTAAAAAAGCGAATAGAAAACAATGCCTTAATTCTTTAGTGAAAAGAAGAAACGTAAATATCTTTTCTGTTTAAAAAGAAAGTATTTTTTCATTATCATTATTATCACAGAGTCCTCAGACAAAAAGTACGTATTATAAAGACCACAGGAAAGATCGCATAAGGGAATTAGATTATAACATGCAGATTTTACCAAACCATAGATATATGCTTGAACTAACTAAGGCACTAGCACCCTATTCGTTTTTTTCGGGTTCCTCGGGCACTTTTTCACTGATCCAAAGAACATTGTTACAACTAGAATATTTCGTTAGCTATTCACTGCGCCTAAAAAAGAAGAGACCATGTTTTTAAGTTTGATTCGTTTAAATTCCTATAACTATTATTTTGTTCTTCATCCACTAGCAAGGAAAAGTAATCCGAAATATGTATAATAAACGACTTACCGGATGAAAATTTCGCCTAGATCACCAGTTTTTTCACCGTTCACCCATTCTACGGCATTCAAAAGCTGAATATTCATGTAACTGTCCACAGATTGAAGTGTTCCTTGGTACTCCTGACCCCATTTTAGACGAACAAGCGCGGGTTTCCCAATCAGCTCCTGTAAGAATGGCTTGGGATTGACTGGAACAAAAGACATCTTTATACAGCTATCAAGAAACGCGTGCCCCCTTCTTGTGCTTGTGCTTGGAAAAGGTCGTCTTTCTTTTTTCAGGCGTTGAAGGAAGGGTAAGTCAAGTTTCTAGTGTACGGGAGATAATGAAAGAGAACGCGAGTGCGTTAATAGACTATTTAGGCCGTTGTTTCATACTAAATAATTCAATAATACGATGAATGTTAGTTTATGGCAAGATATATTTTTTATGTATTTCCTGTTTTCTCTCAAAAGATAGCTCCTTTCCATTTAATCAGTAACATAAAAATCTTTTATTTTTATACTAAAAGAAGGATATAGCTGCAAACTTGTGAATGGGTTGGGATTGTTTACAAACATATGTCTTGGAACTTTTGTATCCATTGTACGAGTCAAAGCAAGTACAAGTTCCTTTAGCTCATTGTTTATTTTCCTATGAAAGAAAAAGGAATCAAACATGTTGCATGCATCTACATCCAGAAACCCACTTGGCAAAAGCAACAACTAAAATGAAAGTTCAAAAGATAGTTCCTTTCTAGAATAACGAAAATAGCAAAAAACACATTTGTTTTGACAATTCTTTCATTTGTCAAGCAAATGTAGTCCCTGTGCATAAACCAATGTTGCAGCTTGATTCTTTTACTCAAGAATTCACGATGGACGGAAGCCTATAGAGACTCAAGAAACGAAAAGCCATGCCCAAGCTGCTTCTGTTTGTTATTTACTGCAGTACGGCAACCTTTAATGTACTGTTGCAAAGTATCCTTATTTGCAATACACGTAAATATTCGTAGCCAAAACACCCATTCAGACACAACCATCTTACCCCATATTTTCCTATTCATCTCGTCTGAAACAATTTCAAATTCATTGAAATTCTAGATTTTCATAAGAAGTATCATGGAGAAAAATCAAACACGAGAAGAGCGGCTTAAGAAGCTTCGTGAGCGTACGGTACGTTTAGATGCGGATTCCAAATTTACCAAAGAAAAGGCTAACTTTTTGTAACAGAGACAATCTACACAAGAGAATCGCAAAGAATTGGTAAAAGAAAATGCAAGAGAAAAGGTAGATCCTTCGCTTGAGCAACGATTAGAAAGAAAACGTTTGGAGGCCGAAGAGGAATTGGCCAGAATAGAAGCGGAAGAGAATGGAGAGGATTATGATCGGAAGCGTGCTTGGGATTGGACTATTGAAGAAAGTGAAAAATGGGATCAGCGAATGCGACGAAAACAACAAACAAAGAAAAACGCAGATTTTTCGGACTATCACGATCAAGCTCATAAAGACTATATGAAAAGTATACGTGAGTTGAAACCCGATTTGCAAAAATACAAAAACGAGAAAGAACAACAAAATGGAGAGAACTCAATTTCGCTGTATGATGAAGCTGATCGTCTCGACTGGGTAAACAACAAACCCAGCAAAGAGAAGGTAGACAACCTTGTTGAAGATCTTAAGAAGCAAGACATGCGACGGCTGAAAAATAGCAAGCGAAAGGGACAAGGCGATGAAGATCACATCACTTTTATTAATGAGCGGAATCGCAAATTCAACCTCAAACTCCAGCGATTCTATACTAAATATACAAAGAACATCCAGGAAGATCTGGAACGTGGTACTGCTTTGTGATTCATCCTTTCTACTTGCAATCTTTAACAAAAAAAATAACAATAACAAAAAGTGCACTTTAACGAAGCGCAGCGCATAGAAATATCGTTGAAGAGGCTGGTATGCTTAATTGCATGGTTTCTCTGAATTCGTTTCTGTGGCTGGTATCAACTACTGGGCTGGTCTTAAATTACATGGTTAATTTTTGTATTTATATATGTTCTCGTTGATATTGTCGCTTTAGTTTTTGAGTTGTTGTTTTGAACTCGGTCGGACATGCCGATATCTAAACTTACCTCGAAGGTTCAGCTTTCCTCTCCTTTTGTCTTCAAGACAAAATCTAATCAAAAAAAGGTAAATCATGGAGATGTTGCAATCAATCCGGTTAGCCCCGTCGGTGAATTGAATCCATTGCAAGATATCTCAGCAGATCCCCCTTCCTTTGAAGCAGCTAGCTCTTGGTCTCTCTCTTCGGCTTCCACCGAAAGCTTTGAAAGCCTACTTTCCGATAAAGTTTCTGTGCTTTCTTTTTTAGATTGTCCTGTAGATGACTCGTTGAGTTTGGCGAATCCACCCAGTTTACAAAATCCCAGTGAATCCTCAAGTGCACATTCACGAACATCAAGTAGTTGGAGCGAAAGGCTTTCTAAGCTTTCAAAGAATTCTCCGAAATCTTCATTGTCAAGACATTCTCCGAAATCATCCGTATCTTCGTCGAATGCCCTGTTTTCCTCATCCAGTTCCAGTAAGTCTTGGTTCCGTAATTCCGAATCCGAACCATTTGTCAAATCTCATGGTATTCGAAACCAATTTTCACGGGCTAAACGCCTCGTGAAAGGGATTTATGAAAATGTCAAGCATAAAGGATCTGATGATGAATCTGATTTTCTTGCAACGGTATGCTTTGACAACAATAACCCACTAAAAGCTCTTTCCACTATCAACCATGAAGCCAATGGTCATTCAGAAGATTCCGATACTCATAACTTTGGGTCTGTTGACATAAACAATTTGGATTCCCTGGTAGATTTGGCTATTGCTTTGAAAAAAGAAAAAAAAATTGAAGATGTCATCAAAATTTTAGAGTTTATTATGCCTCGTATTACCGCCTCTCACAATTTCGTTCCATATGAATTAGCTGAACTATATAAAGTTCGCGGCACCACGAAAGATTTGAAGAACATTCTTCCTTTACATGTGTTAGCTGCATCGTTAGGCCATGAAAAAAGTGCTTTTTTCGTAGGTGACGCTTATTTTTATGGTACGTATGGTGCTTATGAAAACACCCTGCGAGCTTTACAATATTATCATTTGGCAACTGACAAAGGCAATCCAGACGCAATGCTGGCATTGTGCAAATTGTATTTAAAAGGCTTACCTGGCCACATCCAAGCAAACAGCCAACGAGCATTTGAGTATGCTCACCGTGCAGCTATGTTAGGGTATGCCCCGGCGTGCTATGTGCTTGGAAAGTTTTATGAAACCGGCATTGGGTGTGAGAAAGATTTGGCTAAATCTGAAGCTGGTTTTCGTGCTGGTCTCGTGAACTCATCATGTATAACTGATGCGGATGCTTTACAAATAGCCATGACGCTTGTTTTGCTTCAGTAAAAAAACTCATCCTTGTTCCTTTTTTGGTTGCCGTTATGCGTTTATCTTGGATTGTATAATTACTTGGGTTTGTATTTCAAGTTCCGAAGGCAGCTGCGCTGCTACATTTTTTGTTTTTTTTTTGTCTCCGTTATTCCTTAGTAGTTTAAGTTAGATTTTGTACATTATTCATCTCATATAGTTATAGTTAATGAAAGCCTTTAATAGACATCAACTAATATTGTGCCTTTGCTCAATTTCGTAAATTGTACATGTAAATATATTAGTCTTTCGATCTTATTTGTATTACATGCGTATTTAATTTCAAATTTCTATTTAGCTATTCTCCATCTTACAGTCTTTTTGTACTACTACCTAGTCGATCATTTTTTCGTTCCTTAGTCTTACATCTGAATAAATTCGACATTTCATATGGACAATAAAATAGCGGATAAGGAGTATTACGAGATATTAAATGTTCCAGTGAACGCAGATTTCACGACTATAAAGAAATCATACCGGTAAGCACTTTTCATTCGGGAATAGCTAACGCCTGAAAGTCGTCTGGCAATTAGACTTCATCCGGATAAAAACCCAAATAACTCGGAGGAAGCACGAGAGAATTTCCAAAAGGTATGCTAGAAAACTTCTAAATAGAGTAGATACGATCATTCACCAGAGTTTATTGATGACATACCTACTAATTGAGCAAAATAGCTTGGCGAAGCTTACCAAGTCCTAAGTGATCCTGAACTACGAAAAAGATATGATTTATATGGTAAAGAAGGTGCTGTACCTGAGGCAGGCTTTGCAGATGCATTCGAGTTTTTTAGGCAACTTTTCGGAGGTGAATCCTTTAAAGATTACATTGGAGAGCTCAATTTGTTAAAGGAATTGTGCAAATCAATGAAAGATTCTTCTTCTGAATATAAAGCCATTGAAGATACTGATGAATCGAAGAAAAAGTTGCAACATGAAGAATCGCTACAGGAAAATTTATTGTTACAAGAACGAATTGATACCCTTTGTCATAATCTAGTTGATAAACTGTCTATTTGGACAGAAACTGACATGTCTGAGCCAGTTACCAATGCATTTAAAGAAAAGATGCGCTTGGAGGCTGAAGTATTAAAAGAAGAATCATTTGGTGAAGAATTACTTAATGCTATTGGATCTACTTACTTCCAAAGAGCGAAAATTTTTCTTGAAAGTCAGTCATTTTTGGGAATTAAAGGCCTTTGGAGTAGCTTGCGAGCAAAAGGCTCACTGTTGAAGGATACTTGGAGTACAGTCGTAAGTGCAGTGGAAGTTCAAACGAAAGCCGAAGCTCTTGCCAAAGCAGAAGAAGAGAGCAATTGGACAAAAGAAAAAAGAGAAGAAGCTGCTCGCGAACTAACCGGTAAAGTATTATCAGCGACATGGAAAGGAACTCGTTTTGAAGTTCAGAACGTTATTCGGAACGTTAGTGATAAAATTCTTTTTGATGAAAATGTTCCGCAAGAAAAACTCTTACAACGCGCTCGTGCCTTGCACATGGTGGGCGAAGTATTTCTTTCTGTTGCTCCAAAACGAGAACGTAATGATAATTTTTTTGAAGAACTTTTAAATCAACAAACACCCTCACAAGGGTAAATAATGTACATATGCTTAATCTATTAGTCATTATTTCTCGATATTTAAATTTTACGTTTGCTTCTTATATTAATATAGATTGATTTACATATTTCTCCTTATATAAACTTTCCTATGTTTTTGTATAAGATATTTATTTTTTGTTATTAAAGTAATCCACAATTGTACATTTTACACAGTTCTCTGTTAATTACTCTATTTTAAGGGTCCGCCGGGTGAGTTGGGCAAACGAGCGGTCAAAACTTCACAACCAGTCTCAGTAACAAGAAGAGTGTGCTCAAATTGGGCTGAGCACTTACCAGAGGCAGTTGATGAAGTCCAGTCATCTGGCCAGGTGATGTCTCTGGCAGGGCCTAAAGTCAACATTGGCTCAATGGTGAATGTCATACCAGGGCGAGCGATACCTGGAGCCTTGTTACGAGCATAATGAGGAATAGTAGGGGCGCAATGGAAAAGTTGGTTAACTCCATGTCCACAATATGTTCTGACGACTGAGAGGTTGGTTTCAGTAACGGACTTTGCATGTTTCTCAATAATGTTGCCAAACTCTTGGAACATGACACCTGGTTTGACTGCCTCAATTGCTTTATCCAAAGCAATTCGAGTGTTTTCAACAAGGCAAACAAGCTCAGGATTACTCTTTGCCTTGTCACCGACGTAATAAGTTTCATTCAAATCTGCATGAAACCCGTTGTGGTATACAGAGATATCCAAGTTTATGATATCTCCGTCTTCTAAAGGCCTCAAATCAGGAATACCATGACATATGATTTCGTTTATGGAAGTACAAACACTCTTTGGAAAGGAATAGTAATTTAAAGGACTGGGATAGCATTCACGTTCAATACAAGCTTCGTGAACTATACGATCAATTTCATCCGTGGTGACACCAGGTCGAACAGCAGCGGCAGCAATGTCGAGTACTTCACGACCAAGGTGACATGCTTTTCGCATTCCTTCTTGTTCTTCAGGAGAGAGACGCTTGATTTTGAAACTGCGTCCTTCAATTTGTTCACTACGAGAGGAACCTGATTTGGCATAATCAGGCTTCTTAATATTCGATGGAACTTTACGAATTTGAGAAAGAGGATAGCTAGCTCTCATGGAACCACTATACTTAAATTTAGGGAAAGGGTCGTAAGTTCCATCTTCTTTATCAAAGTCAGCTATAAGTATGTTTGCAAATACGGATAATAGATCTTAAAAACCCACTTACCTCTTTTAACAGTGCCCGGGGGAAGATGTAGTTGCTTATGGATGGACTGGAAACAGTTAGATCGATTGAGCGACAAATGATTGACGTGCTATTGTTTAGCTTACCCAGCTGTTTTTAAAACAATCCTATATTTGAGTTAGTACATGTAAGTTTACTCATAGTCGCATTTAAAACAACTTACCTGTCCGCAAAAGAATGAGCTAGTATTGTTGGCTAAACATTTTGGACATTGCAATTTATTCGCAAAATTATGGCAATCAACACCGGCGCATAAGGTTTTTGTTGTTTCAATAGTCATTTTTGGTACAATTTGGAAGTATAAACGAATGAATTATCGCTTTTTAGTGATTCAGGGTATGACCCAATGTTTGGCTTCCGACAAGTATGAAAAATTACTCAGACGATATTTGGGTACCAAGAATCTAAAAAAGAAGCGAAAACTGAAAATAAAAGATTTGAAACCGAAAATAAAGTTCAATTTTAATTAAACGAAACGATAGTTCTGAGTCTCAAATTTGAATGTAATTAATGATATTATTGCTATTAACTCATATATTCTAAAATTATAATGATTTCTTAAGAAACAATTAATTAATAAACGGAGTAGCTTCGAGAATGAAGAAACTTCTTCATGGCCGGGGGCTTCATTCGTGGAACAGGGACAATATTAGATCGAGACGGTTGTTCATCGTCTGTATTTTCAGTAAATTTATATACAACAGAGGAATCATTCGATGATTTTGAGTTAAACGAAGGATGGCTTACAGTGAGTTCAGACCTATCCATAGGATATGCATGACGGTAGTCATCATTTGAATCAAATGTTGGAGTAACAGATGAGGATTGCAGCAGCACATTACCATTGACAGAAGGATTTGCTGGAAAGTATGATACAGCTATATATACCACTAGGACGATTAAAAGGGTTAACTGGAGCACCAATAATCTTTTTTGGAAAGATGACTGAGAACAAGTTAGTTAACTTAAGTAGAGAGGTGTAAAGCTTACATCGTCACTCAGTGACTGAATTCTTCTTTGGATAAACTCGTTTTCTGCAGAAGCCAACTCTAATCGAGCTTGAAGTATATAAAAAGAGGATTGAAGCCTCTGAGATTGGTATCGCTAAAGACGTTAGATTTCAGTCGAACAAAATATGATTGCTTTTACTCACCAAATGCTCAAATTCTTCCCTATAGGACATGCTAATTTCATTTAGTAAACCCGAAAAGTTCAGTTGTTTCGCATCGTGTTTTCCAAATGATATCAACACCTTCTGAATAGCTTCATCAAACACCTTTTTTCTTTCTTCCAAAGTATAAAGACGCTTATTTATGTTTTTATAAACACTTTCTTGGTTCAAATGATGGGTTGTCGTGGGAAAAGGAGAAGACACTGCTGCAGAAGATGTTACATTACCTGTGACAATTGAAGAGGATAAAGAACTCGTAACGTAGTCTTTATAACTATTACAAAGACCCTGATCTTCCTCAATCACACTGTTTTTCGATTCTGGAGGGCTCGAAGTTGCTGCATTCATGGCAGTCATGGCGGAATTTTGAGAATAGATTTCGGTTTGCACAGTATTCGATGCCGAAGCGGTCTGCTCGGATTGAAAAGCTTGGCTATCGTTTTTTGCTTTAGCGTTCAAACTGTCAGCTTGGATATTTTGAGAAGGATTAGAACCATTAGAATATTCATCTTCATTTTCCTCTTCAAATTCTTCAATCATAGTTTTACCGAAAACGTGAACTAAGCTTAATGGGCAGTAAAATTCAGAACCGTAGTGACTCAATACCTCAATCTTCATATACTTAGCCCATATTAGAGGGTTTTCTATGTGGAAAGACTGCAGAGTTCTCAAATTCATCGCAGTGAAGGTGCCAAGCTCCATCCATGAGGATTCGTGCTTCGGGTATTTTCCGCTAACGCTGATACGGATTGTTCGGAAAATGCTTGAAAAAAACTCAAAATTTGCAATTTGGACTGTATCAACGTAGATATCCTCACATAGTTCTATAATCACAAACTTCTTTGCGGCGGAGCATTTGTTCAACATGTATTTATCCTTGTTCTCAGTTAAGATAGAGGAAGCGCCCTCAGCTTCAGGGTTAGTTTTCAAAACTGCTGCGGCACAGTCAGTCGAAGCAAAATTAAAACGCTTTTCTTCAGATGCTACATGAGTCGCAATTGGGGCCTCAGATGAAATGCCTTCTTTCGAAGCAGGACTTGTTTCGATGCAGCCTTGAGATTGAAAATTATCCTTTGTTTCAAATGCACTCTCATTGTAAGCTTCATCCGTAACAGTGGTATAGATAGAGGCTTGCGGACTTGGCTGTTCCAAACTTGCAGACTCAAAACCTGTCTTGACGGAAGTTGATGCCATCATTCTGCTTGGATTTTCTAATGAAGTAGTTTCGTTCATTGATAAATCCTCCATGGATGGCGATGGCTTTTCAGCAAGATCAAACTGAACCGGGAGACTAGTTGCCTCAAAATCTCGTGAATTTTTCGAGACTATATCAGAATTTATGTCTTCCTGAACAAATTCATAACTGGAACATTGCTCATGCTCATCACGAAAGATGTCTAGTATGATTGAATGGGTATTCTCGCAAAAAGCGGAATCTTGATAAGTCAATGCGTTACAATTCGAGAAAATAAATATAAAGAAAATAAAATATTTAAACAAAGATACATTTAAGTACCTAATAAAAAGCTCGAAGACCACTCGCATATAGGCCTTCAGTGGTGGAGAAGCAGTTTAAGCCTAGCACAACGTACTACATTTTACTTGCAATTAACCATATCTATATTGTACAAACAACCGTAAAAGCAGTCAGAAATGACTTGATGCTTTTATTTTTTACGAATTCGTGAAGAACTCGTGTGAGCAGTGCTTGTTTTTTTTAATTTTTAATTCACTCGCGGTGGCATCGACAAACGCTGAATTTTTAGACTGTGAATCGAATTTAGAAGGGTTAATTCTCTTTAAAAATGGGAGTTTCTGGTCTTTGGAACGTCCTTGAACCTGTTAAAAGGCCTGTAAAGCTTGAAACTCTTAATGACAAGAGATTAGCAGTGGATGCATCAATCTGGATATACCAATTTTTAAAAGCTGTACGCGATAAAGAGGGAAACCAGCTAAAAAGTAGCCATATTGTTGGTTTCTTTCGGAGAATTTGTAAATTATTGTTCTTTGGTATCAAGCCTGTCTTTGTTTTTGATGGAGGTGCCCCTGCTTTAAAGCGTCAGACTTTAAGAAAGCGTCAAGCTAGACGAGTTGACAGGCAAGAAAATGCAGCTTTAACTGCAAATAAACTTTACGCATTGCAAATGAGACACCAGGCTATTCGTCTTGAAGAGGAAAGTCGAAAGGCAGAGGCTGAAGTAGATGCTTCTTCACAGGCGAAACATCAAAAACTATCTTCAATGTCCCTAGACAATCATGATGTAAAACCTGCTCTTAATCAACCAAAAAGATATCTTAAACCGGATCCTTATCAATTACCTGATATGGATGTTTCTTTCGATAATTTGAACAGCACTCATGACCCTCGTGTAATGTCACAAGAAGATTTAGCCAATTATGCATCAAATTTTGGGAATCTAGAGGATATAAATTTATTTGATTTCTCAAGTATTGATTTTGATTCAAGCATGTTTCGGTCTCTCCCTGATACTGATAAATATAGTATTCTTAGCGCAGCTCGGCTTAGATCACGTTTGAGAATGGGTCTCAGTACTGAACAATTGGCTGAAATGTTTCCGAATAGAATGGATTTTTCCCGTTTTCAAATCGAACGATTGAAAGAAAGAAATGACTTAACTCAACGACTCATGGATTTTACTGGTATGAACCAATTTGGTCCAGGCCGAGTCGCAAGCGAGAAAAATAGAGAGTATATTTTGGTAAAGAACGAAGGCGCTGAGGGTGGTTGGGCCCTTGGTGTTATTTCTGGAACAGCAAAGAATGACCCTATCGTCGTTGATGAAGATGCAATTAAATTAAGCAGTACAATGGGAGAAGATGATGAAGACGCGGAATTTAATGATGTGCCGCTTCCAGAAACTCAGAAACTCATGAATCCAAAAGAATTGGTAGCAGCAAAATTGAAGGAAGTAAAGGAGCATTCCTTCGACGAGGAGTCTGAAAATAAAGAAATCGATGAAATTATGACACAGCTAGCTACACAAGAATCAATTGAGGCTTACAATCGCGATGGGACTACAAACTTGTTCAATCTCTCTACCGCGGATATAGACAACATTCAGCAGGAGGCAGAATCTAATGAAGATAAAACTCACCCTCCAAAGTCTAATGATGTCTCTTCAGTAGAAAAAAATCGATCAGAAAATGCAGTGTTAAAGCTTTCCCATGTTGACAACGTAGAAAGCTCAGTGCAGAAGGATGAACCAAATAATACAATTTTTATGGATGATTTACCCACGCTTGATCAACACGAAAGTAATTCTGCTTTAGCTTTAGAACCGTTGCCTTTTAAAGAAATGGACTGGGGAAAATCCATATTTTTTTCGGGTCTTAAGGACAAAGCTCCGGAGCAAAATGAGTTCAAAAGCTTAAACGCAAGCAATTCCATGTTAGCTTCTTATAAACACGAGTCTGAAAATGATACAGGACAACAACAGGAAACCGAAGAGCAGCTTGATGAGTCACAAATGATTCCTCAAGTCGATAGACCTGAGGGATCGTTTGATATTTTCAATGGCAAAGCTGCTCATATCAAGGAAGAGTCACAACCCTTAGACTCGGACAGGTTTTCTTTACTTGGGAATGAGGATATTAATAGACCTTCTTCTTCACACGTTCAGGTGGGTGAGGAAGATTTTCCTTATAAAAATGTGAAAGATTTTCCCAAAGAATCATCCAATGTGAATTCCAAACAAGTAACAACTCCTGAAGTCTCAATGATCGAAACTGTTAATAAAGCCGATGAAGAGGATAACATTTTTAAGTTGGGTAAGGAAAATTATTCTTATGAAAATGCGGATTTTAGAAATGAATCGTCCAATGTTGGTTCCCAAAAAGAAACAATTCCTGAAGTTCCAGCGATTGTAAAAGCTAGTAGTGCCGATGAAGAGGATAACGTTGAAGTTGCACAGAATTTAATGGACGAAGAAGAAGAAGATATGATGATTCGCATGGCTGAGGAAGAAAAGGAATACGATCGGTTTGTGTCTGAATTAAATAAAAAGACTACGAATAACAGCTGGGACCAGGAAGCTTTTGAAAAGAGAATCCAAGAACTTAAAGTTCAAAGAAGGACCGAAAAGCGTGATGCAGATGAAGTGACGCAAATAATGATTCGAGAATGTCAAGAGCTACTTCAACTTTTTGGTTTGCCTTATATTGTTGCACCTCAAGAGGCTGAAGCTCAATGTGCAAAACTGCTAGAATTGAAACTGGTTGATGGTATAGTAACCGACGATTCAGACGTTTTTCTTTTTGGAGGCACGAGAATTTATCGTAACATGTTTAACCAAAATAAATATGTAGAATTATATTTGATGGATGATATGAAGCGAGAGTTTAATGTTGATCAAGTTAAACTTATACGACTTGCTCATTTATTAGGAAGTGATTACACAATGGGATTAGCAAAAGTCGGTCCTGTGTTAGCTTTGGAAATTCTGCATGAGTTTCCAGGCGATGCTGGCTTGTTTGAATTCAAGCAATGGTTTCAGCGATTGTCAACCGGACAAGCAATCAAGGAAGATCTGAACACACCTGTTAAGAGACGTGTCAGCAAATTATTAGGAAAAGTAATTATTCCTCCGGATTTTCCAAACCCGATGGTTGATGAAGCATATTTGCATCCAAATGTTGACGATAGCAAGCAGACATTTCAATGGGGCATCCCTGATTTAGATGAATTAAGACAATTTTTGATGGCGACTGTAGGATGGTCCAAACAAAGGGCGAATGAGGTGCTGCTTCCAATTATTCAAGACCTTAATAGGAAAGATTTTGAAGGAACACAATCGAACTTGACACAATTTTTCTCAGGTGGAAACGTGTTTGCTCCTAGAGTTGCTTATCAATTTCGAAGCAAACGAATGGAAAATGCTCTTGCATCTTTTCGATCTGAACAAAATGAACAAGATTCAGCAGCTTCTTTAAGAGTCACAGATGCTAGTGCCAACGAGGAAAGTGAACGAAACCAAATGTCTGACGGTTTGAAACGAAGGATTGCCAAGAGAAAAAAGATGATGCAAAATCGTAAAGATTCCGATTCTGATTCCAGTTCTGATGGTGAGACTTCCTCCTTATCCTTTAGCAAACATTCCCAGCAAACAGCTCCTACTACACTTAAAACTGAACTATCTACCAAGCTAACTAAGAAACCTTCTAAAATACGCAAGCGTTAATGTTTTGTAAGGATTATGGCTGAGATAAAAAATTTTAGTTAGGGAGATTATAATTAAAAAAAAATAAATAAATAAAAATAAATAGAATTCTATTTTCCATTTATATTGTAAAACGGCAATGTTGAATGTTGTTTTTTCATGCGTATTATTACTTTTTGTAAGAATAGAAGCAAAGACAAGCATCGTTATGCTGTTTTTACAAGTAATCGAGCAGGATTTTTTCCTACATGAAAAGCCAATCAAAGCAGTTTCTAAAGGAATTTTAATATCTTTGATGCTATTTTGTTTCATTGCTCACAAAGGAACAAGAAGCAATTATCATACTTTCGACGACTAAATAAAATTCCCAAGAATTGGCTTCAATTCGTATGTGAGGATCACCAAAAATAAAAAGTTTATAAAGAATTAATACAAACCGTTATTTTTGCTTGCCTGCTCACGATATGGAAACAATAAACAAAGAATAAAAGTTTGCTTAATTGTAAATAAATATCCTTTTATTTAAAAACCATAGTATGATATATCATACATTTTTAGTATGCAATAAAAAATAACGATGACACTTACTACTCGATATTTCGTTTTATAACCACTAGGCCCATTTAAAGGAGCCATGTTACCCGACAATAGTTACCTGAGCCGTGTAGAGAAAAAAAGCATGAAAAGCACAAACCTTTGCATACTTCTGCCAAATTCTTGAAAATGTCCACAAATATTGAAGCAGAAAAGGCTGAAAATGCCGCTGAGGTTCGTACTTATTTGCTGTGAGTTAACTAACTTTTGTAGATTGAAATGCAGGTAATGAACTTGTAAAAAGGAATTTTTTCTAGTTGGAAATACTAATCGCGAATCCTTTTAGTTTGCAGTTAAAGCTGTTGAGCAAGCGCGTATGTAGCTTCGATTGTGGTGATAGTTTCTAACAATTTACAGAGATCTACTGGAGTCTTTTAGGCATGCGTAAAGGAACCGAATTGCGTCTCACGAAGTATGAAATTGGTTGGAATCTATTTCCTTTTTTAATATTTGTTTTGTTATTTTTTGAATCTAACCATGTACAAGGTACGATGACGAAATTTTTGAAGACTTGAAGAAAACGTTTCCTGAGTTTGAGGACCCCAAGACCGCTGAATTCGTCAATGAGGAGGAAATGAAGTCTGCCAAGGGTAAGGCAGCCTGGCGCCCTTTCATGATGCGTTACCAAAAGAAAATCGATGATTACAATTTTGGTACCTTACTCCGTGTCCGCAATACCGACGAATATGAACAGGATACTACCATTTTTGGTATGTTAATATGACCATAAACGTGCTATTGCATTTGTGTACTGACCTTATTTCTAGTTCCTCGTATGCAATTTTTTGCTTTTGAGATTGCTCGCAATAAGTACGGTTTAAATGACTGGATCTGCAAAAAGTAAAAATTTGGAGGGTTTAAAAAGATATAATAAAAGTTTAGCTCTTTATTCTGGGTCACTTTATGTCGTAAATTATACGGTATCGTAGACATTGTTTTATTGTTTGTTTACAGAGGTAACCTATGTGTTTTTCAGAGCTTTCAGGGTGTTCGATCGCATTTCCAAAAAATAAATAAATAAATAAATAAACATAATTAAAAAATTAAAGAACTTTAAATGAATATTATCATAAAGTCATCACTTCATGAAGGAAACAACAGCAAACTTATTATAAGGAGGCTTTATTCCTTCGTAAGTTAAATTTGCCCAAACGATAAGGAGCTTTGTAAACCTTTCAACTTCCATAGTGTTCACCTGCCCTTTTTCACATTATTAATAGAGCAATTGAGCCTTGAACTGTCTTTACCGGTTTCTCTAAACATAAAAAACTGTTGGTCGTAGAGACGTCCTTTGTTACCAATTTTTTGGAACATGTTTACCGAAAATCCCAGCCGAGGAAGTAGTCAGGAGCGTGAAAGCATCTTGCATTCGAGGAATGATGCGTCGTTTGTTTCTTATGCATCGTTTTCAGACAATCAAAAAAAGTCTGACAATGTCAATGTTACATCTCACAGTCAATCTTATGGAGATGTTAGTAGCGTAGACAAAGGAAAAACATCTGGTACTGCAGTTTGGAAAGTACTTCCTGCACTTTTATTAGGTGTCATTTTGTCTGCTCTGGATAATAGTAAGTCGCTTTCAATACACTTGACTTTTCTGTATGCTAACTTATTCTAGCCATTGTGGCTTCCACATATACTAAGGTACAATTGAAACTCAATATCTGAAAGCATCAAAATGTATCATTATACTAACCATGATATCCTACAGATCGGTGCTGAATTTGGAAAGTTCAATGAAATCTCTTGGGCTGCTACTTCATACATGATAGCATGTACAGCCTTCCAACCTTTATTCGGACGATTTTGTGAAATATATGGAAGAAAATCAACTCTTCTATTTGCTTATTGTGTCTTTGGACTTGGTTGCTTATTCTGGTACGTTCAAAGTTATTCTTGAAAGAGATAGCACATTCCTTCGTATCTTCAACAAAAAAAACTAACTTTATTAGCGGCTTATCTCAATCGTTATATCAACTCGTAGCTGCTCGTGCTATTGCAGGTATCGGCGGAGGTGGCATGAACTCTACAGTTACGATTTTAATGAGTGACCTTGTACCTTTAAAGCAGCGTGGAACATATCAAGGTATTATAAATGTGTTTTTTGCGGTTGGTTCTAGTTTGGGTGGTCCTATAGGTGGATTTTTCGCTGATCAATTCACTTGGAGATTGGGATTCTTCATTCAAGTACCCCTGCTGGTAGCAGCATTCCTTACTGTCACTTTCTTTCTTCATCTTCCATATCAAAATCGAGAAAGCTTCACTGAAAAGTTTTCGAGAATCGATTGGTTGGGTCTTCTTCTGTTAATCTCAGGTGTCTTTAATATGACTTTTGCTTTAACTCTCGGAGGAAACACTCGAGCATGGTCAGATTTTTTAGTTGGGACTCTCATTGCAGGATCGCTTGTCTCCTATGTCGCTTTTATTTATGTTGAAACTTACGTTGCCGAAGAACCATTAGCCCCTATAACTGTGCTGAAAGATAGAACATGTTTGTCTGCCTATCTTTGTAATTTCTTTCAAAGTTTGTCTCAACTTAGCTGGATTTACTCTTTACCAATCTATTATCAAGCGGTCATGAATCAAAGTACCGAAAAATCTGGCGCCTGGTTGATCCCAATGATTGTAGGTTCAAGTGTTGGTTCTTTGCTTGGCGGAATTGTGATAAATATGACTGGAAATTACAAGAGAATTACAGTTATCAGCTACTTTGTTGCATTCGTCGGGGCTTTGTGTATGTTACGATATGGTTTAAACACACATGTTTGGGAATATATTTTATATCCTGCTCTAGGAGGTTTAGGAACTGGTATTTCTATAACGACTACATTAGTTGCTATTATCCATGCATCCCCTCCCTCCTTGCAAGCTTCTGCCATTGCTACATCTTACTTGTTCCGATCCAACGGATGCGTTCTCGGTGTCTCTGTTTCATCGTCCATTATTCAGACTTCTTTGAAAAATCAGTTAAGGAAGTACTTTGATTATGGACTGGACGAACTCGTTCACCAACTGCAAAAAGATATCTCATTTGTTCATACTCTTCCTGAGCAAATCCGAAATATTGTCATCCGTGCGCTTTTAACAAGTGTTCACTACACCTTTTTGTTTACGTCTATTTCATTTTTTGTTGCATTATTAATCTCTTTGTTCATACGCAGTCAACAAATCTAGTCCCGAAATATTACTAGTTATACCGTTGTTGTTTGCCTTATTTCACCTTCAATTTTGCCCCTGTATTGCCTTATAATTTGCTTAGCTTAATTTTCTGGGTGTTGCTTCTTTGCTAATCGTCTATTTCCTATTGTTATTTTTCCACCCTAAAGTATGAAATTATTAATAATATCTTCTGAAAACAATTATACGCTCGCATAGCCGAAACACAGGGTTCTGAAACTTCTTACCGAAGCAAAAAAACCAAAACCAATGATTCAATGTTTATTAATGTTCTTGCGTAAAACTTCCTTAAATAATATACCAAACTCGGTATGCTCCATTAATTGAGAACCGCTTACTCCAGATGCGTCAAGTGAACTCTCTTAGTTATTAACCCTTCTCAATGCATCAGCAGCTTAAAACTGTTCGAAAACACCTTCCTTTAGTAGAACAGAACATCAAACGTGTATGTAGTATGGTGATGTTTTATATTTCTAACTTTAGTAGTCGTTTTGGGTTCATTCCGTCCAAAATACATTAGAATCATCCAATGTAAAACCTGAGCCCAAAACCCCAGCTTCTCCAATTCCTCCAAAAATTGGACAAGAACAAACTCGTTCGGACGGTAACGTCACGAGTAGCAAAAAGCTTCGGAATAGTTTTCTCTTTTTAGCTTTCTTAGGCCTTACAGGATACGCCGGAGGAGTGTGGTATAGCTTTGAAAACCCCAAATTCTATGATGTATTTGCAAAATATGCCCCGTTCGGTGACAAGGTTCTACCTGCAATTGAGCATTCCTGGATTGGCTACAAATTTTTTGGTGGTAATAAAATCCTTATACATGACAGACCTAAAATGATGCAGCCAAACGCTTCTCCGGGAGTCTCACGGGAAGTTGTTGAGAATGCAAAGCGTAAAGAAAAGGCAATTCCTAGTGAACTGAAACAGGACAAACCAACTAATGAGGAAAGCAACGTGAAGCATGAAACCAACGCTAATTCTGCGGATGAGGTAAAAGAAAATGCCAAATATGCAGCTGTATCGGACTTAGGTCTTGATCAAGAAACCGGGCTTTCTGTCACGGCAGCTCCTGCAATTGCCCATACTTTACAGCGTGCTCATGAGGAAGAACTAAAGGATCAAACGCGTAGATTTGAGTCATCTTTAAACGAAGCCCATCAACTTCGTGTTCAGCTTTCACAATTACAGGAGGAGCAAAAAGAGCTCTATGAAAAGCGCCTGAAGTCAAAGATGGAGGAATGGAACCTCAAAATGGATGATGTTTTGGCGGTACGCGATCAAGAATGGCGCGAACTATTTGAACAAGAGAAGCAGCGACTTCAAATCATTCACGATTCAAGATTACATGAAGAGCTTGTTCGAGCAACTGCTGTCTATGAAACAAAATTGAAGAACGAGTTAACAGAACAAGCCATTGAAATGGAACGCATGCATCTCCAAGCTGTCAAGGCCCAAGTGGAACAAGAACGTGGATCAAGACTTGGAAAGTTAAGTGAGCTCCGAAACGCTTTCGACGAGCTTCAAAACCTTGCTCGAAGCGTCATGTTTGACAACGGACGTATGACTAAATTCATTAGTGTACAAAAGGCCCTTGAAAAGGTGGAGAAAGATATTAACTTTCGTAATAATCAATCTCTGGAAAAAGATCTTCAAGATCTAAAGGATGCTAGTCAGGAAGACCAACTGTCCGGTTTAGCTTTTAATATCATCGACTCTACCTTACAATCTGGTCCAGTGCTTTCCAAGAAAGAATTACAAATGAAGTTTGATGTTTTATCGAGAGAAATTTACAAAACCTGTTTCCTTACCGTAGACAGCGGATTTTTAGGTCACTTGAAGAGTATTGTTTTGAGTCAATTGCCTATCAGCCTATTTAAGTCTCCAGAAATTCAGTCAGTTCGTGGTGTATTAAATGAAGCTAGATCCAGTTTAATAGCCGAAGACTATGATTCCGTTGTCAAGAGCCTTTTGACTCTTTCTCAATGGTCAAGAGCCTTATCCAAGGACTGGATCGAGTCTTGTAGGCGTAAAATGGAGTTACAACAAGCTATAAATGTAAGTATATTTTTAGGCGACGGGTTTGCTAATGCTTATTTAGATTATTAAAAGTTCAGCTTTATACGCTTCTTACAGACAAGAAGAAGGAAACGAATAATTTCCCTATAATGTTGCAAGCTAGTAGTATACAGAATTGCCAAACCAGAGTGTATAATTTTTGACTTTAAGCATTAAAAGCAGAATGAATGCGAGGCTTATTCATGACAGCGGATCTCTTAAGATAACTGACCGATAACTTTGACTTATCTTCAAAATTATTTAAATTTCTCTCAGCATAAACGCTCCTTCATGATTTAAGTTTATGAATAAGATTGATTTCCATGCGACTTTTATTTACGAAGACCGAAAGTTTACATGCTTGTTTAATCCCTAATATATGAATAACAAAAATCTAACCTCAAAAATTGCTTAGATTTATTAAATTATTATGTGTAAAAGAAACATAAAAATTCCAATGTCTTTTTTATTTTAACGACTATAAAACTGAACGTGCAACACCATTAAGATTCAAAGCTATTACTGTGAATAATCATGTATAGAGTACTTATTTTCAAACACAGTCATTTGGTCTTTTAGCTTTGTAATAACTTTCTGTCCATAATGATTTTGCAGCCAACCACTTACTCATTAAAGGATTCCTCGTCTTCATCTTTTGTATATAATCGGTTAATTGGTAATTTTTGAACGCAATTGGATATAAAATGGAATTACAGAACCTTTTGGAAGTGGTCAAAGAGAAAACCACACTTGTTTGCTTACGGAATTCACAACCAACAGACGCACAAACGTTAGAGAAGCAATTGCAGGACGAAGATTCAATTTATCAAGATATACCCTTAAATTTCATTGTTCAGCTGAAAGAAACAAGTCGACAATTGGAAAATGCAAGGTGGATAGCTGATACTTTGGTTAGTAACTTCATGCATATATGGGGCAATTGTGGAATTGGAAAGACAAGTTATAAATCACTAGTGGCATAATCCACATGAATTATGCTAGTCATTTCTTTCTCTTAATAGTGTATTAGTCTGTTTACCTTGAAAGAATTTTCGGTTCCACTCTTCATGCTCTAAAATTCGTTTTAAAACTAACTATTATAGGACTGGAAATCCTATTTTTTCTATACTAGCAAATCTCAGAATAAGGATCTTAGTCTTGAGATGATTAAATTACTAGCCAATTGTATAATGCAGGTGCCCATAATAACAAAGCAGTTCGCGCACTTTGATTCTTTGGAAAGGTTTACCCGAGAAGTATTAGAGGTACGCCTTTTTTATCAGCTTAGCGTTATTATTTCTTCAGAAGTTTATTCTAACTAACTTGCTTATAGGGTAATGATATAGAGTCTCAAATTGTCTATCTGCGATTTTTGTTCATTTTTTTGGCAAACCGAGGAGAAGATACATGCATAAACTTGGAAGAATTAACGTCATGTTTGGTAAAAGTAAGTTGTTATTTTTCCCTCGATGAAATTCATCTAACCATGAGTAGAAACTGGAAGCAATATGGAAAATACTTCCAAAATCCAGTAACGCGAGCGAGATCATGTTACTTTATACAGAAATATTAAGGATCTTGTTTCCAATTTTTCGAATAGGATCCATTGAGGAACCGATAATGTCAACGTAAGTTCTTGATGAATTAGAAAACGCTTTCTAACTTTCTTTTCAGAGCATTGCCTATCCTTATTAGTACTTGGTCGAAGTATTCACAAGATGAAGGTTCCATGATACGTTGGCATGCTATCAATGCAATTTTGGAATGTGATCCTAAAGACATGGTTTCCGCCCAAGCTTCTGAAGTTGTAGATTTAGCCATCAGGACTTTAGATTCCATTGTTAATCTGGATTTAGTCGAGACATTGGAAGGATGCTATCATCACTTCGAGGGCGATCTTCCTCTAAACAAATCACTCTCATTGGAAAGAGATCTCGTGCCCATACTAGTTATTTTGTATTCCATCATGTCTATTGAAGGAGTACGAAAAAAGTTGGAAACAGTTTTCCTACCTGAAGAATCCGACAGAAAGACAAGTTTAAGGAAGGGAAAAAGTTTGGCGTGTTTATTTTTACGTCTAAGCGTGATACCATTAATGGAGAATGTTCCGATATGGCATGGCACAATATTATTTGCCCTTTGCAATTATAATTCCGACTTGCTGACCAACCAAGTTGGATTTGGCTATGCATCTGGCATTTTAAATCGAGTCAAGCATTTCGAACCATCAGAATTTAATGTGCAAGAACCTTCATCTACTGGAGCTACTTCAGAAACAGACTTGAAATCAGAAAGTTCAAAACCAATTGATCCAATTACGGGTGAATATCAGCAGCCTAAAAAATCGGGCGTCTTTTCTACAATGACGATGGAAGAAAAAGAGCGCGAAGCAGAACGACTATTCGTATTATTTCAGAGGTAAGAAATATTTTCTTAAGAGTGATAATAACTGGATTTATTAAATTAACTATTTGACAGATTAGAGAAAAACGGTGCTATCCAAGTGACAAATCCCATTCGTCAAGTTGTTGACAGTGGGTCTTATGATGAAATTGATGATTCAAATTCTGAATAATGCATTTCCTCAGCATTCATTCAACTAGGATGTTTCCAAAACATTCAGCAATTTATTACTTTTTCATAGCTCATCTCAAAACTTCAAGCCATAGTTTGCTTGGTTGGACTGGGTTGGCCCCCACCTAGCCCCTCTATGTTCCATTTACGAGAACTTGATGAATTGACCCCACTTAGTACTCAATGTTGACATGGACGTATGTATCCCACTGAAGCTGATGCTAGAAGGCAAGGAAGGACTGTTTAGAGCACTAAGCATAAGAAACTGTTTTTTATTTGTTTCTCTTTTTTCTAATACAAGATAGGTTCTTCATTCCTTCTTTAAAGTAGCCTTGATTAAGTTGAGACGTTTCCTTTTGGAGAAGAAAAAGGCATTGACTATATGTAATCTACCAAGCACGAAAACGATAGCTTTTATAATTCCCTGATTTATTTCGATCAATAAATTCAACAATTGAATGATAAGAAGAGCTTCCAGTTTAAAGTGTTTGTTTACATTGCCTAGCAGGACCACTTATACGGATTACCTCACTAATTCCACTAGCTGTGAAAATAAATCTACAATGTAATTGTATATGATGTTAAAGTGAAAAGACAGTCCATTAAAGGGAGCACGGCTTAAAACAGCATAAGTGACGAGTCAAGTTACTTTGAGACAGTTAAAAGCGAAAGAACAGAGAAACAATAAGGTCAAGAGGCAATTGAAAACAATTTTGAGAATAAGTTAATGAATTAAGATGAAGACATCCTTTGAGCTAACTGACCTAAAATTTTCAAAAAGCCTAAGTTAGTTACATGGGGTCTCATTATTCGTAATGCTCAAAGAATGTTTTCCGAAAGAAAAATACACATCCAGCTGATCAAAGTGTAAGCGAAGTTAAAATTTATTTGTAAACGATAGGTTTTCGGCTAAATAACAATCATGAAGCGCACACTGAATCGCAAAAGATTACAAAAGTGACAACTATTATCATACGAAATATAACATTTTTTGAAAAGTGATTATTTCTATTCATACATTTTTGTTTTGTTCATTTTCATTAACTAACAGCCGAAGAACTAAACATACCTGCTTATAAAGAAACAGCAAAACTAACCTACTACTACCTGCTCCGTTGATGGAATCACATATACATAGTAAAACATCCAGCGTTTTTTATTTTAAAAAAATAGATAATGGATACTGAGAACATTGGATTGTGTTTCAATTCTCAATAAGGATTTCTCTGATGATACCCCCACATAACCTTTACGGGTAAAACCAAATATTACACTGCATCCTTTTCCACTTTCTTATTATCCTTCTGGTTAATTAACAGCAGCATTCTTGACACTGGGGACAAGAATGGTTTTGTTGGGTGCTTAAAAGGTTTGTTCCGCGGCATGATTGAGGAAAGTGTAAAAATAAGTATCGACGTTTATGCCGTTCGAGCACTCGTCTATAACCTCCCAATTCAAATTACAACCTTCCGCTTTATCTAATTATAAGAGTTTTCTCCAACATTTGTCTAAGATTAATAAAACTTCATCTTCTCCTCATCGCCACTCTTCAATAGCGGATGAACCGAAGTTGATCATCCATCCTAGTAGCCAAATGCAGCTTTCAGATCCTTTGTTGAATTTGCAAAATGGAAACTTGTCCCGTGAGTTTTGGATGAGAGATGAAAGGACTACTAAGTGCTCTCTTTGCGAGGCGGAATTTAGCTTCTTTCGCCGAAAGCACCATTGTCGTATCTGTGGAAAGATTTTTTGCTCAAAATGCCTGACCAAAGTTTCAGGAGAAATATATAATCTTCCCCGAGAGATTAAAGTCTGCTTACCATGTGCTTCTGTCTCAAAATCGAGTCTTTTATCCCGTTATAGTCATGAGGAAAGAGCGAACCCTTATATAGGGATGAATATTCCCATGCCTTTCCCTTCATTTCTAGAGGAAAGTTCAAACGACCATGTTTTATCGTCTTTTGCGGAATACAGCAATCCTTATGAAATGCCCGTTGATGTACGACCTCCTGACATAACCCCTATGATTGCTATTCCATCAAGCCGCTCAAGCTATAAATCACCAGGATGGGGTCACCGTTCTATTTTTGTTGAATGGAAAAAGCAAAACTTGAGTCCACAGCAATTCAATAAACCCATCTCTCAATATTCCCCTCTCAATGCTTCCATTCCACGCGATATCGGTTCTTCCGTTGTATCCATGGAGCGATCATCTTCGAACCCTTTACTTCAAAATGGGACTTATGGTCATATGAGTCCTTTGCTTAACAAAGTGAAAAGGATGAAACATTCTCCTGCAGTAAGGTTTTCTACTCCTTCTATGAATGGTGAACGATGTCCTTCTAAGCTTCCATTGAATAATAATCGTTCTCCTGGAATATCGTTTCCAAACTCTCCCCCAAGTGTAAAAAATGAGCGCTTTCATCCAACCCATGAAGAAGAATTTTATGTTCATACCCCGCAAACCGATACCGATCTTAATTCTCCAAAGTTTGAGCTTTATTCTAATTTTGAAGACTCTGATGATGAATCTTTATTTAATAATTCAATGATTATTCCGTTTCATACAAATTATAATTCTTCTGCGAGGCTGCAATATCCCATCGCTAATTCTACTAATGTAAACCCTCATTCTTCCGCGGATAGTTGTGGCTATCACTTAAATCCTTTCATTTCTTTATTAAAATTTATCCTTCCATCATCATTGTTGCAATCCGGTCCTCCTTCACCTCCTCAATGTGTTGCTCAGTTGCTTAGCTCTCAGACGGACAATGCTATTTCATCAGGAGAAGCATCTCCTCGTTTCCGTGCGCGTTCGAGAAGCTCCTCGCATTCACCTTCTGTTCCTGCCCCTTGGATAATTTTTTTTGACGCTTTCAATGATTTAGTGGTAGAGTTTCTAAAAAGGTTACTTCTACAAATGCTATTAGACGCTAACGTTGAAGCCCCTTTAAAATGGGTTTTTTGTTTACCACAAATTTTACTAAAAACTTCACTGAATATGAGCCCTGACATTCCTGCTGGTGATGATATTGACGTGCGAAGTTATGTGAAAATAAAAAAAATTCCAGGTGGTCAGCCAAATGAGACTTTTTATATCCCTGGAATTTTGTTTACAAAGAAAGCGTCATCTAAATCAATGGATCGACCTGTTCAGAAACCTCGCATAGCTCTTTTGTCTTTTAGTTTGGATTATGACTGCAATGAACAAAGAATCCTTTCATTAGATTCTTTGATGAATCAGCAAGAGGAATATGTGTATAACCTTGTAAGTAGGATATGTACATTGAAGCCAACGCTTGTCTTTATTAAGGATGATATTCCAGCGATTGCTTTAAAATATTTTGAAGAACACGGTGTTGTCGCGATTTGTGGAATAAAAGAAACCGTTATGTACGATATAGCTAGATGTTGTCATGCAGACATAATATCTTCTATTGACAAACTCTCTCTTCGTCCTCGTTTAGGGACTTGTGGGCAATTTCAACTTCGTAGCTATGTCATTGATGAGAAAACAGGTATAAGGAAGACTTTTGCTATTCTGGATCATTGCTCAGAACGTTTGGGATGCACTGTAGTCTTAAGGGGAGGGTCTTATGAAGAATTGACAAAAGTAAAACGAATCGTCGAAATTTCATTGCTTGCTACTTACCACCTTAAGTTAGAGTCATGTATGCTAAGAGACAAGTTTGTGAATATGACTGAGCTTCTTAGTTCAGCTCACAATATGATGACCCCTATAGAGGATTTCATGGAAAAGCTAGGTGTATGCAATTCCGAACCTTCTCATAGCAAACAGTTAGAAGATCAAGGGGCAGAAAACTACTCCCATCATAACTGCTTGGACTCTGACACTACTAACGCTACTATTGATTTCTCTTTTAACCGCGATTTTGATTCTCATTCGGACATTGAGGTGAACTTTCCTGCGGTTGATGATTATGCTTCCATTAAAAGCGCTTTACTGGAACGAATAACAACGTTTTCCCCTTTTATAAAAAGACCTTTACCACGGTTACTAGGCCGAGTTTACCATCTTCAGACACTTGAAAACATTTATTTAACTAAACTGAATTCTGATTATCCTAATTCTTATCTTTTGAATTTTATGAACGAATTTTTGGGTACACTTCATCATGGTGATGACTGTCAACTAGCATACAACCTATTGTGTACACATGAAAGATTGACTTTTCTTCAAAAACAATGGGAACTATATTATTCTCGCTCTCAACAACTCTTTTCTCCGCTTTCTAATCAGAGGATGGTGGTATTATATTCCATTATTAATAAAGAAACATCCGTGCCCTGTATTGGCCCCGAGAGGTGTTTGCTTGAGTTTTATCGTGAATCGGATTGCACTTTGGGGCAGTTTATTGAAAGTACTTGTCTAAACACGAATGTTAGTTGCGGTGGGGAATATTGTCCTACGAAAGACATGCTGTCACATTATAAGAGTTACGTGCATGGAAACGGGAGAATAAGTGTGGTACTTGAAGAATTTACTTGTCCGATTTCTGGATTAGAAGAAAAAATTGTCTTATGGAATTATTGCAGATCTTGTCAGAGAAATACGCCAGTAACGGTGATGTCTGACGAAACATGGAGATACTCATTTGGAAAGTACCTCGAATTTATGTTCTATAACGATGATATTAAAGATAGGTTCGATTTTTGCAATCACAGCATTATGCATGACCATGTGCATTATTTTGGCTATGTAAACTTGGCTGTGAGATTTCAAAGAGACCCAATTGAAATTTTTGAGCTCTTCGTTCCTCAAGTTATGCTATACTATAATCCTATTTTTGTTAAAAATCAGAAAGATTGCGAATACTTTCGGTTGAAAAAACTAATTGAGAAATGCCTATCTTCAGTGACGACCCGAATAAACCAACTGCGTACTGATTGGGTTACTGATCCTGCTAAATTACAATCATGTGAAGAAGAAATAGCAAGTTACCGTTTAACGTTAACAAACGATCATAATGATTTATATTCGGAATTGGATTCGATTTATCAAAACACGTCAATTATTGATTTTTTATCTATGAATTCCGTTTTAAGGATTTTACAAGGAAGAATGATAAAATGGGAACAACGGTTTACTGATTACCAACGGCTTTACTTACCTTCTTATAAGGAGATAAGTCGGTTAGCGGCTACTCAAATAAAAAAAGTTTTCTTAGCCCGTTCAGTATTACAGCAACCGTCTGATCCTATGGAAAGCCTGGATTCTGCAAAAGATTTGGTTGTTCCACATGCGGAAAATCCATCATTAGATGATGACTCGAAAGAAGAAAAGAAAGAATTATCCCATACCAGAAGTGAATCGGCTATTTCAATTGATGTATTCAAAGATAATGAATCTTTAGGGTCCTCATTGCGTTCAGTTTTTCCAGTTATGGAATCGGGTACTGAAAGGAAGTATAGCGGTAATTCACCGAAATCTCCAACCAAACCAGAAAATACGGAAAGCCATAGTTTCCCGGTATCGCCAAGCACCTCAAGAAACAAAACAAGTTGTAGAAGTTCCAGTGAACAATCACTTTCGGAGTCATTCGATAAAAAAAGACACAATAGTATTCTTTCCTCTCCGACGTCTAAGGATTATCTTTCAGATGGTCTTAGAAACCCGGTTTCATCTGCCATATCGGCTAGGATATCAAGCATGCAAAGATCTACTAAACCTATTACTAGGAAAATAGCTCCGACAAAGGATGCTCGTGTAAGCTGTTTAGTAAGACAATTTGAGGAATTAAGTCAGCAACTTCAAGAAAAAAGGCGTCGAGATGATGAATTGGTTAGGGCCCGTCGTAAAAGGACGATGCCAGTTGCACCTTCTAAGCCCGTCGTCGAAGTTTTTAGCGATTTATCAAATGCATTCGAAGATGAAGAAGCATCAGATGACGAAGCCAATGAGTTGGAAAAGAAAGAAATGAATGATATTAGAAATGTTCCAAATAGAGAAACAAAGAATGTGAAGGAAGATGAGGACACGTCCTATGATACCTTTGAAGACATTTTCGGTGTTTTATTTAAAAATGAGCCTGACTTAGGAGAGCGCCAAACACCGGAAAGCTTCGACAATCGGCAAAATGTTTCTAAAGAGGATTTGAGATCAGAATTTACAGGCCCTTACAACGACAAAACTTCTTTATACAAAATTCTTTCGACTTTTTGGTCGGAATGGAACTCTCTGAATCCTTTACCTTTTGAATTTCCTTTGCAAGCATCCGAACATATCTTCTCTGACTCAAATGTGGTAATAAGGGAGGATGAACCTAGCTCTTTAATCAGCTTCACTCTCAACTCTCCTGATTATATTAATAAAATGGTTGAAATTGAAAACAATATGGATAATTTCTTGTTCGAAAGCGCAAGTCAACCGACTTTACAAGACAAAATCGAAAATTTGATGTTAAAGCCTACAGGGACTCATCTTAAGTATCAATTTGAGGAGGGGTCCGCAAATTTGTCTTGTAAAGTTTTCTTTGCTGAACAATTTAGTGCTTTAAGGCGTGCATGTGATGTCGCAGATAGTTTCGTTTCTTCTCTTTCAAGATGTTCCGTTTGGGAATCTAGTGGAGGGAAGTCCGGATCTGCCTTTCTTAAGACATTCGATGAAAGATACGTTATGAAGGTAGTTTCAAGATTGGAAAGTGATTCACTTTTGAGCTTTGCTCCTGCTTACTTTGATTATATGTCGAAAGTAGTTTTTCATGAATTGCCAACAACACTCACCAAGATATTCGGGTTTTATCATGTCGATATTCGAAACCCTTCCACGGGAAAAGTATGCAAACTTGATATAATGGTAATGGAAAATTTATTTTATGACAAAAAACCATCTAGGATATTTGACCTGAAAGGGTCGATGCGAAATCGACATGTACAATCCACTGGAAAGGTCAACGAAGTTTTACTAGACGAGAATTTGGTAGAGCTTATCTATGAATCTCCCATTTTTGTAAGTGAACAGCTGAAAAGTCTGCTACAGTCCTCATTATGGAATGACACTTTATTCTTATCTAAATTAAATATAATGGACTATTCCTTAGTTGTGGGTATTGACTATGAAAAACGTGAGCTATATGTCGGTATAATTGACTTCATCCGAACCTACACTTGGGATAAAAAGCTAGAAAGCTGGGTGAAAGAGAAAGGATTAGTGGGAAGAGGCCCTGAGCCTACCATCGTGACGCCAAAACAGTATAAAATTAGATTTAGAAAGGCTATGGATTGTTATATTCTGGCATCTCAAGATTTTGAAGTCGACGGCGGAAATGAAAAATATGACTAGGTCTACGATTCCATATCGTTATTTATTCTTGCATGTTTTTATTTTATAGAAAGATAATATGATTAAGTTTTTTTATTAAATTCATTATAAATTTAATCCCAATATTTGATTATTCCGTCCAAAATAGATGATGTAGCTACCTTGCTAGTTTCCTGAGGATGGAAAGCCATACTTTGCACAGGGCCGTTTTGAGCGGGAAGCTTAGATAGCAATTTGCATGTCTTCCAATCTATAATATTGTTAGAATTCGTTAAGTATTAAATTAGCATACCCCAAAAACAAGCGTTTCCAGAGGAATCACCACTGTATACAAAACGGCCTAAATGAAAGTTAATAGAAAGAGAACAAGAAGCAAAACTTACCATCTGGGGAAAACCCAACTTCTAAACTATAACCTGAACAATTAAATCCCCGGAAAGATTTCTTTTTGTTTTGTCTATATTTTTCGATAGCAGAATAGACATAAATGCAATTATCCAAAGATTGACATGCGAGAGCTTTTCCATTGGGACGCAGAGCAACTCTGGGCATAGAATGCATTCCGATATCTGCTACGTATTTGATTGGTATTGGGGTTCCATATTCCCAGAATCGCATGGAGGAATCATCAGAGGTAGTAACGAATCGTTTACCATTTTCTAAGTAAGTTATTGAGTTTACGGCGCCCAGGTGATGTGAATATGATTGTACACTATCTGGAGCTCGAGTATCGAATTGTAGTATTTTTTTATCAGACATGCCAGCTAGAAATTCATTTGGTCTATTTGGATCCACTTGGAAGCGAACGCAATGAGCTTGTTTCCCAGTAGCAAATTGCTGCTGGCACTTACCAGTCTCGGTATCCCATAACTTTATAGTTTTGTCAAAGCCAACGCTCAAGAAAGAATTACCACTCTGATTAAATGAAAGATCACGGATAGGCTTTGAGTGACCATGAAATGTTCTTATTAGTGACCGATCGTGGTAGACATCCCATATCTAATAAATTAAGTTAATATAGAGTTTGGAAACATTACTTCTTACTTTAACTGCAGAGTCTAAAGACCCAGATAGTAGTAAATGACCACTTGTAGGAAAAAAACGTAAGCAAGAAACTCCTTTTGTGTGACCCTTCCAGGTATGAATGTGTTTTTTAGGGAGATAACAAACCTGCTCGCCAGGAGTACCAGTGAGATTTAAGCCAACGTCTGTTGGGACATGAAGATAAGTTCTGTTTTGGTAGTCAAAAAGAGAATCTTTATGGAAGATGGAGTATTCCTTCACTTCAGGTTTTTCTTCAAAGTTCTCCGTAATCGGAACGTTTGCATTTTCTTTATCTTCCTGTTTTTGAGCTTCATCTTTATATTCAATCACTTCCTCTACTTCTTCGAACTCTTCTGAAGACGGCGATAAGTCGTTTTTGTCATCATAATCGGCCCAAGGACCACTGTATGTATTATCACCATAGAGAATGGATGAATCACCAGAAGCTTTTCTTAACTTTTTTATCTCTTTTGTTCGCTCTCTATGGGTCCTCGACTCATCTGGTTCACTTTCTGAGTGCTCAAGTTCTGTTTTACGCTTTCCATAAATATTGAACCTTTGATTGAATACAGCATTTGGGACGTACTCGCGCTCAGCGTAGCCTGTTATAGTATTTTTTTGAGATTCTTGGTTTTTTGTCAGAAAAGGGTTAGCTGGGCCGTACACTGGCTTGTGCATCTTGTCAATTGGAACATTATGAGACAGTTCTTTGAAATTGCTTTTAGAGCGGCTTATGAGATCTCTATTATTTGACTATAGTTGTTAGAATGTATCTCTTCATGTAGACTGAATTCCATACTGTTTCGATGACCGCTGGAGTTGGATTTATTGTTATGGAAGAAACGGACTCTGAAGTGTTTAAGCTCGCATCTTGATCATCAGTATCGCTTGAATATTCCGGAATTAACATTGTAGTTTGGTTAGCACCCAACGAAAAGCTTTGACTTCGTGCTTTTACTACAGAGTTATAAAATGTAATTAAAGCCTTAGAACAACGATTTTGAGAATAGCGAATTATACTGTTATATGCTATGTTTTAATAATGTGGCTTAACGAGGTAGTTGGGTATTACCCAAATTCTTGATACAAGAGAGCGAGGTGAGGTACTAAATAATGCTGGATGTCACCGGTGAAAAAAACTGTTAAAGTTATGGGAGAATGCATGTACGCGAATTTAAACAAATGACTTTTTATTGTTTTGAAAACCGTTCAAACGGGGAAGGTTTATAAAAAAGGCGATATCTAGTATCCAAAGGTAATCGTTTCTATTGAGTATTTCTCGCAAAAATACAACGCGTGGTAAGAATAGATTTGGGTAATTCAATAACGATTAGCTTGAATTCATACTTGACACAACACTTGCCATATTTAATTTCGACAATTTAAGGATATAGTCAATCTTAACTTATTTTGATTCTTACTTTTTATAATGCTATTTGCATTTTTACAAGTAAGCATGGATTGATTATGTAGTTAAACGAAATTTTTTGACTCGAAGAGGAATAAAAATCAGTCCAGCTTTAATTACTCCGTAACTATGTGTACACATTTGGCAACGTAAACAAGACAAGAAGGTGGCTTTGTTTTTGGTAATACTTTCGTAAATTATACTATCCAGTAAATAAACAGCGACTTTCATAATTTGTATGTAAATAAAGCGTCTAAACCGAGGATCCCTTACGTCGATCCAAATCTATGTAAACTTTTGGACAAGTTTCCTGAAGCCAATTATGTAATTTCTATCCAATTACCTTTCACTTACAAGGAAACTTTATGCGTAGTAAAGTCGGTAAAGAAAAAATCAAATTTAGGCTTTGCGGAGACAGAGCCAATGATATTGCTTATCGTAATTTTCTACGCCTTGGTCATTTTATTTACTTCCCCTCAAATGTCGCATGTAAACAAAAGGTTGGTTCTAAGCAATCAACGAGAGACAGTTCAAGCTTAGGTAATTTTTTCGTCGTATTTTGGAAAAGGATATATACTTGTACAATTTCCCGTATTTTCTCCATCTTCCCATCATATTTAATACTTTTCTGCTCACTTTACATTCTAAATCATCATCATGTCTTTCGGTATTCAATTAGAAAACGATTTTAAATCCATGAATTCATTGTTTGAAAGTGTTTTTTCTCCATTTCTAGCCGTCCCCTCCTTTAAACCTGTCAATCCAAGAACTAGTCGGTTGAAGGATTCTTTTATTGTCCCCATATCACCATTTCCTTCTTCACTTAATTCCACTTGCTTTTCCTCCAAGGTTAATGAAGGGTCTCTTCCCCTTTCGAAGCTTAAACTAAAGCTTACTGAACCCCTAAATACTTTATGGCTTGCACTTTGGAAGGCTCAAGTATCCGCTAAGGATTCTTGTCTGTTTCGAAGTCTCCTTTTAAAAGATTTAAGTTTCTCTCAAATCTTAAATGAAATAATTGTGAGCAACCAAGATAGAAATATTTTTATGGATTCTCATCAACCAACGTACATTGTGAGGAAGCTCAAGAACAACACTCTTGAGAATACCCAACTTAAAGAATTGCAGGGTTTATCAAATCCTATTAATACCAAAAAAGATCTTTCTAATAATAGTGCTACCAAAACCATCGCTAGGGTAAAACAAAATTTACCAATCCCGAAACCTGCCAAGTTATCGCTCGAAACCCAACTCGAAACCAGTGCAATAACAAATCCTCTCAACTATGCTTCGTTGTCGTACCAAATTCCTTGGATTGCTGATTGTTTTTCATTGACCCAACAACCCTTACATGTTTCGAATCTTAATGCAAGTGACATAATATCAACAAAAGAAAAGAACTACTCGATAATTTATCCAAAGAGATGGAGCTGTGGAAATTCGTCTCAAACCTCCTTTATCTCAAATGGCTCTTATTATATCGGTCTCGCCCTTACAATTTTGCTTTACTTACAATTTACCACATACTCACTAAAGGACTGTATGGGTTTTTTCTTGGAAATTCAATTCAATTTCTTATTCTCCAAATACGAACAACCTTTTATCCAGATGGCATTATATTTCCGGTACTATTTAAATTGTCTCACCCCGAACAATCAATTAAAGAATTGTTGTTTTAAACATATATCACCGCTCACTACAATCAAAATTTCTTGACAAAGAAAAAGGATAAACAGCTCTCTATTGAACAAAACAAATTAAAGCTAAAATAACCTCTTTACAAAATGTTTCTCATGTTTGTCGTAACTGTCAAATGTTTAATCGTTAATTAATTGAAGTAAACTAATAAAAATAAAAAACAATAAATATTTCCTTTTTTCTTCGTTAGTTTTTAATGCAATGATTTTTATGGTGAATAAATAAATCTTGACAAACGAAATCGTCCACACAAACGAATTTCGGCTACAGTTGAAGCTTAAGAGCTTATTAACGTAAGCGAGTAAGTTATAACAGAAATCAGATTAAGAAAAAAAAAAAAATTTAAATTCCTCATCTTGGAGGTTAAGTAAGGCTGTTTGTTAATCAGTGAATCATTCATCAACAGCTCTCTAATTATATAAAAGTTTCTATGAATAGCCATTCTTGAGTCAGAATTATTGAAAGCAAAGTACAAAGGAACTTTGCCAAGAAAAGCAAACATTATACATTCTCATATGTTACTTTAAAAAATCTACGGCCGCACCTAGGCGAAAACACCAGTTCCCGTCCGATCACTGCAGTTAAGTGAAAACGTTTGAGGGTCCCGTAGGTGGTTGGAGACAACATGGGAATCCGGTGCTGTAGGCTACTTCTTTTGGTTGCTCTTTTTATTCTTTTATACGTCGACTATTGCCTGTAATCGTTTTCTCAACAGAATTTTATTGCAAGTTGTTCCTTTACAAGTGACAAAAGACTAATTACGAGTTCAATGAAAAGAAATGAAACGATCGCATTTAATTGGAATGAAGAATAAGAATAATAGTAATATTAATATATGCTTGCGTATAAGGATCTAGAATGATCAACGATTCTCAGATTACGGTTCGTTTCAGTTATTTTATAACAAATCAACCTATTCATTCGGTTGGCAGAAAAATGCATGCATGCCTTTCTATTTTCCACTTTTCTTCGCCATTTCCAATTCATGTTGACACAAAGAATAAGTTTGTAGTCAAAATTAAACACAAGAATGCTTAACAAAGGCATAGAAATAAATACTTCTCCGAACGAATTGCTTGTAATGTTCTCTTTTTCCACTTAGTGGCTTTCAATTGGAAGAGTTAAGACTCATGAGAAAAGAAAGGTAAACAAATTAGCATTAACTTTGAGTGGTAGGATTGCTTTGCAGCTCTATTTCTTCGTTCGTAGTCGTTGGCGGAGGAGCTAGTGCATCATCTCTTTGTTGATATCTTGGAAGTGTAGGCGAACCGGTGTTTTCAGCTGAGCGCTCAAATTCCATTCCAAGGCCAAAAACAGTAATGTTATAAAAGCCACAGCACACAAGATCAACGACAAAAACTCCCGCAGATCCAATTAAGACTGAAACACCTCCAATTACGACTACAACACCTAATATAACCTGTGCAATAGTTCTTGCTACTTTGACAGCGAATGAAGAAGAATCTACTTTTTGTTAGCAAACATAACGGCATCTTTCTTTTGTTTTCTGTTTATCAAAAATGCTTCACTTACAATAAAATAGACCAAACAAGCTTGTCCATATCACAAGCAAAGGGCCTAAAGGTGCAAGAAGGGCCCAACTTAATTTATCGTCCGAATATACTTGTTCCAGCCAAGAAAGAAGTTTAAAACTGTATGAAATTGCTAATGTACACATCAACGAAAAAAATAATGTTGAAGGTAGACGCTGGCTTTCATCAATAATGACAAGATTATCAGAAAAGCGAAGGGAAAGTTGTTTCAACACTTCCTCATAGCTTTTCTTTATCAAGGCGATGGAATTTTGTGATCCATTCCTGGGCGTTTTTTTGCTATGTTTGGCTTTGACAGAAGTTGAATTGGAAGGGTTCTTTATGTCTTTTGGTGTATCCAAACAAAGACCCTTCTCTAAATCAGCACTGTAAACATTAGCATGGTTGTACGCAGGAGGGTCGCTTGAATCGAATTTCAGCTCCTTTTCCGACATCTAAAACAAATAAAGAGAAATTTCAATGAATAATTAGCAAAAGAGCGTCAAATACCAAGCTGTCGATCCGTATTCGATGCAAAAATTTCGCAAACGCAAAACTCATCAGAAGTAGCAGCCAAAACTAAAGAAGCTCTACCTGGTCATTCCAAAAGCACAAAATGGAAGTCAAAATCAGCCCAATTGGCAGGAATTGAAGAAATAAAAAGTTGGCTCCAGCAAGAAATTTCGCATCTCTTACGCAACATTTTCGCTCAGGATAGCGATGGGTTCGGTTGCGCTATCTCTTATAGCGATTATTGTTAATAAATCGTTGAAGATACGTTTGAGTCACAAGGAACAAATAACAAGTTTCGCGTTTGTTTACATCTCTGTAAACAAAGCAGATCTCATTTTTCCGTGAACTGTTGAACAACTTTTTACCTTGAAAGTGAGTAACGGCCTACAACCAAAAAGTAGCCCTCATGGGTTCGTCAGGATCAAAAGAAACCTATGAATTTCCTTTTTGAACTGAAGGAACTGTCTACGGCCACACCTAGGCGAAAACACCAGTTCCCGTCCGATCACTGCAGTTAGTACTATGGTTGGAGACAACATGGGAATCCGGGGTGCTGTAGGCTACTCCTTCTTTTTGCTGCTCTTTTTAGTTTTTTCGTATTATAATTTTAGCTTACACAAAAGTTAATTTACCAAAGGAAAAGCTGAAAATAACAGTAACTTATATTCTTAAAACTTGAATGTTTATTTAATATTAACGAACGTAAAAAATAGAAGACGAGACGTAATAAAAACGAAAGTAAACATGAAAAGTTGGAAACCAGAAACTAAAGTAAACAAAAACGAAGCACAAAAGGACATTATAAGCGCAACATTATAAATAATGATAACATACCATAAATAGAAACCGAATTAAAAGAGAAAGAAACAAGAAAAAAAGGGGTCTTTCTTTTTTAAGTGCACAGGTAGCTTTGGGAGTTGCTAATATTATCAGAGCAACCGATAGGTTTGGTCAAATGAAAGAAAGGCTGCATATAAATGCTCTTTTTTATTTGTCTAAATCGTTGATCTTTGCAAATCTCCAGATCAGACCTTAATTCTTTCAGCCATTCAGTCATTCTTAAACGATGAGAACTCTTCTGAAATAGAAGGGAATCCTTTGGGCGGTATGTGAAGATGCAATCTTCATCGTCATTCCGTAGTACTCCAGGAGCAATGGATTTAATATAGTAGTGAACAGGGAAAGCCTTAGCATTTACTCCTATAGAGAGGATAAAAAAGAGCCAGCCGAGATCGCCTTTAGAAATTTCTACATCAGCAAAATACTCCTTGCAAACTTTTTCTCTTTTCATTACAATCTGTTCGGACTCATCCGCAAGGTGCATATAACATAAAAATCGCTTGTTACTAATAGCTGCCCAATCGGACTGATTTTGAAAACGGTATATATCATCTGGCTTTACAAGATACATACGAATATTTCCAACCTTTCTCTGAGCGCAATGATAGTGAAACAATGTGTAAGTCCCATTCTTCACCTGCTGGGATATATAAACAAGCATAGCTCTCCAAATGGAATCCTGTATTTCTTTTGGATAATAGTCGTATAAGAATACATGTCGGATTAAAATTGGCATGGTAAAGTTTCCTGTTGCAAAATGCATGCAGAGACTTAATGCATCCGATCTATACTTTCTAAAAAATACGTCCATGCGTTTCTGTACAGTAACTTCGTCATCCTGAAATTCGTAAACCTTTTCTTCCAATGGGGTATGTTGAAAAACGGAATCTTTAGAACATTTTAAGTATAATTTATTTTGACGATTCATAATCGTGCATGCTACTCCATTGGAAAATGGATTTCTAATCGTAGCGTTGTCATTTTCAGACACAAAAGCTTCCCTGGATAATGAAAGACAGTCTTCTGAAATCACTTCTTTACCAAATTTCGATAGAAATAATTGATCTGATACTTGTACGTCGACACCTTGAACAAGTTTTCCAGGATTTGACGAGACCACTTTAGAGTTATTTTCACTCGGACTAGAAATCAACTGTTGAATGGCTTTGGTTGTTTTCTTAAAGAAGGAATTGTCTTGCTTCTCATCAAGGTACTCTAACATAGGATCTGAAAATAACTGGGTTTTCCTGCTCGACATGTTCAATTGCTATAAGATAAAATCTAAAGCGTCTAATACGTGAATGAAGTTTCTTATATAAATATCTCGCTCATATTCAAGACGATACGATACCTCGCCACATCAATGATCCGATGACTTTCAATAAGCCTTCGAGCAAGCCACAATTTCCTAAAGTTAATCGTTCACGAGACAACCTCATGAAAACTGACTTTATGATGTATTCCTTTGTACCCTCTTCTTGATTGCCTGACATGATATAAGCCACTTTTACATTTCGCTCATATTTGCTTAGTGGTTTTGGGTTATTAACAGCGCTGCGCAACCTTCGATAAGCCACATGTTGTCTGACATAGAAGGAATTTCATTAGAATAACTTTATTTAACAAGTAAAATCTGCCAAAGTTGATTTTCTTGCGTTTATTTTTCCATTCATTAGATGCTTTTTTTCATTGTTTCCAGTATAGTACGATATCACATGTTCGGTTAAATAAAACTTTAATTTAAACGAATTTTCAATGAACAAGACAAAGCTGAGGGTGATTCGTTTCAGTAGCTTTTTGCCTTTAGCAGTTAATAGGATTTAAAAGCGTAGAGTATTTTGTTGACAGGACCGCTCTGAGGTCAGAGAAAATTTAAGAAGATTCCTGCTTACTGTGGTCCATTGAGTTAATCATGTGGGTTTTGTCTAGCAGTGATGGTAAATTGAAAGGTACTGATTCAATCAGATTGTTTTGAGTGTTTAATAACATTTGAAAGAAACCTCTAGAGCTCTTTTGCCAGGGGCGTACATTCTTGGGCGAAGCGTGAAAGGTAATTCATCATTGTGTTAACCAAGTTTTCATTAACATATAAACTTAGATGATTCCTCAAACATTCAGGTTGTCTCGAAATCTATCAGCAAAAGACACGTTCAAATTACTGTGTCTCCGCCGAAAGCGAATTTTAATGTAGGGACTTTAAAGTGACTTTACACCTTACGGAGCCGTTTACTAATTTATAGAAAACCGAAATTCCATGCGCCATCGAAATCCAAGATTTAGATACTAAATTTGGGACAGCAGTCAATGACGAGCGTGTCTGTCCGAGACAAACTTATGAGAAAAACGCTTCACTAGAATTTTCATTAGGGAAATGCCCGACCAAATTTTAGTAAGTTGCTTTTATGTTACCATTTACTAATTTAAACGTAGCCTCCAATGGAACAATATTTCCATTTGCTTTGATGATCAAGAGACCATGGCACGTTGGTCGACGCCACTTTTACTTATCGGTAAGTTCAAGGAAACCAAATAAACAAAGCTAACAAATAGGAGTACCTAACTCAATACATATCAACCATTCCATTACACATTTTGTTCCGCGTAAAGATTCTTTATCTTCTGTGAAGGTAGCTTTGGCTTATATAAAGGATATAAAGATTGTGAATGAGTCTTTTGTTGAAGCTTTAGTCAACGAGAAAGAAAAATATTTACAAAATACTAATCTAATTCCTAAAGATATCTCATACCTTTCTACAGGAAGGAATCATAATGCCTTTTTCCCAAAATCCGCAGGCGATTTAAGGAATTCTTTGGGAGGTTTAAAGTGCTGTTCCATTGATTTAGATCAAGAACTTCCAAAATTACTATCCCTCCTTGGCTTAGATGTGCATAGACATCATACAGACGATGTACAATTTTTGACATCGTATTATGGTGAACGAAATATTGATTTTGTAATCATTTTAAAACAAAAGGTGATATCTACAATTCTTTCTCAAAATAAAGTATTTTGTCTTACTTTTAGCGATCTATGGAATATCCTAAAAGAAGATAACCCGAAAGAAGTGTTGCATACGAAAAAAACGAGCCATCAACAGTCAAAATCCAGTGCGCCTTCTACTTCACTAGCAACGTCTGAGAATGTTTTGGATGAATTATTCAGTAATTTTAAACCCGTTCCCCGTTCTCCAAGGAGTAAAAGAACTCTCAAGTCCGAAGGAATGTTGAATGTTTCTAAACCCAGGCCTCCCAATAGCCCTCTTAAAAAGGATTATCGAGAAAATTTAGAAGAAGAAAGGAATGCTAAATTATTTCCTGATAATTCAAAGCCTTTATCTGTTTCTTCAACAGGTAGAGAGTCGTTAGATAGAACGCCGTTACATGAAAGCAATCCGGAACTTGGAAAGTCAAAAAAGAAAACGAATAAAAAGGATATTGGCGATAAATCGAAAGTGATTTCTTCTCATTTTGCACCTCTCACATTATCTACTGCAGGAGAATCAGAATCACCTAATGTGAAAGTCAAAAAAGAGAGGGAAACAAGTCCATTACTTTTGAAAGCAGAACACAACGAGCCTCCAGATACACCACTTTCAGAAGAAAATTTACCAAAAAATCTTGGTTCAGTGGAGTTTATATCTATCCACCTACCCAAAAAGAATGAAAAGAAGGAAGCGGAATTCTCAAAATATAAAGATAGACCAAACTTTAAGAAATTCAGAAGGGTGAGTTTACAACATTTGACTCAACTACTAACTAGAAATAGCAAGGTAGTAAAGTGCATGTAGCACCACCAGTGTTTATACCACTTTCAGAATCCCGGAAGGGACAAAACGAAGTCATAGACATTGATATGGACCCTGTCCCCCAATTGATGAAAAAAACAAATACAGATACGCGTTCTCCAGAGCGGATTTCTCAACAGGGCTCTATGGAAATGCGCATGGATGAACAAAATCTCGGGGATAAAAGAGATGCTAATGAGGACGAAGAAGACGAAGAAGATGATGAGTTTGGTGACTTGAAATTTAGATTTTAGTGTATGTTGATCTCTTAAAGAGCGAATTATAAATACAAAGTGCTCTCTACTTAATTAATGTTAATATCACTAATACCTTTGTTTCTAATAAAAAGCGCATGATTACAAAGTTGACGATACAATTCTTCATAGCTAGAACTAGAAATGTAAGATGAACAATCACTCCATTGCTCCATTCTATATTCAATATTTTTTAATAAATTGGAAAAAAAATCTTCTAAATATTTGAAGAAGGCTTTCTTTGAAATGGGTATTTAGCTAACGTGTATATATAGCCTTAACCACTATCATGACGACTGAAAGAATCAGTGAACAGCTCCACGAAAATGGAGATTATGACAGGTAAGTATTTTTCTCTTTTCAAAAAATACCTGATAACTAATTCATGCAGACTGGCTAGTGATTTAGAATACAAGTTGGAGACTTGCGGATGGGCGTCGCAGTTGCGAGACTATACAAGAGGCATTGCACGAGAAAATACGGGAATTGATTTTAAAAAACTGTATGAAATTACTTTGCAAACAGCCACCGAAAGTATACCAGATTCTATTAAAATGGAAATTATGAAGGACATCAAGTCTAGTGTTTTAAAATTGGCATCTCCTAGTGAGGGTTCAGAAAACCAAAAAACATAATTTATTATAATTTTATTGAAATCTTTCAAAAATGTTTTTCCCTGGACACCACATGGTTGTCGCTCTTGGACAGAAGAAGAAAGTCTTGGTTCTACAAAAATCAAGCTAGAACGAATGATATGAAAAGTCTTCTATATCTATGTTTATGAACGTCATTCAGTGGTTTGCAATACCAAAGTTACAGAGACTGTTTGAGAGATACATGATTCCCAACTTAAAATTTTGAATGTTTCTATCAGAAGTATAAGAGAATATAAATGCTTCTCTGTGACGGAAATTCAGCGACTACCATGAGAGCTTCAAGACCATCTTTCATGGTTCTTTTTTACTTTCCCTGAGATGCAAAACGCGTTTTTGGTTGCCAGCCTGTTCTTCGAGAAGCCTATATCATTTTCACTATAAAGTTTTGTATCCTACAGACGGGATCTACTTGTCTCTGAGAATTGGATAGCATGATGATAACTGCTTACTGAGCATGAAACCGATACCTTTAAAATTCAGTTGTCTACAATGCGACAAACTGTGTTTTTCTTTTTTCATTGATATTTGTGTCTACGCAGTATGCTATTTTTTCCTATCTATGGCTATGTAACAAACTTACAATGAGCTTACAGGAGCGAATGGATTCCTTCTTACCTCAAAATGGACCAGATAATTTTAAAAAAAAATATATATATATAGTCGATGTATATGGAAGTGTGAAGCTCAATTTAGATGGATAAGTATTGGATTCCGTATTATAATCTACCTTTGAACTATCCACAGAAAAAAAAAAATTTCATTAGAATCAATCTATCGTTGCATCCGAGGCTATCAAAAATCCGAATATTGATAAATTGATTTTATTGATTACCATAGAAAGAAAATAAATATCTAAAAAGAAGATGGATATACTATTTCGTTCACAATCCTTGAAAATCTACTAATAATAAAGAAAGAAGACATTCACCAAACACCAAGGATTGTCTTACGATTCTTTAAATTCATAGAAAAGATCATAAGCTATCATAATACTCTTCATTTGTGAAAGAATTTTGTAAGGTGGGATGCTTTTTTCGTATGCAGTCAACACATGATATATCAACGAAATTTTAACCCATACACTAGCGAACCAAAACAAACCAGGGCCAACAAACAAAGAAGCCAAGAAAAAGGGATGGTAGACAGTCAAAACCCATCAATGTTGGACAGATTTTCTCCTCATGTTTTGGATATAGAAGAGGCAGATCGACTTGCAGGTGAATACAAAAATAGTGGACCATACAATCATGCAGTGATTCAGCCAGTGATCAATGATACATTATTAAGAAATGTTCGTAAAGAACTTATGAACAATATTCATTTTACAGAAAAGGTTACGGATATCTATCGTGTATGGCAAACAGGAGATCTTGCAAATTTGGACGGCCTAGACGAAAATGAGAAAAACATGCTCAAATATTTACATCAGCTTCGTGATGCTCTTTATTCAGAGGAATTCCGCACGCACGTGCAGAGAATTACTGGATGCCCTCCATTGTCTGCCAGCAAAAAAGACTTGTCTGTAAACGTTTATGCCAAGGGCGGTCACCTCATGAACCATGATGATGTGATTGGAACTCGCTGCGTTTCCTACATTCTTTATTTGGTTGAGCCAGACGAGGGCTGGAAGCCAGAGTATGGTGGTTCTCTTCGCTTATATCCCACTCTGCAACCCTCATTCCCAGCCGCTGATTTTTGCAAAGTCATCCCTCCTCAATGGAATCAACTCTCTTTCTTTCGTGTGAAACCAGGACACTCGTTCCACGACGTGGAGGAAGTCTATGTTGATAAACCACGTATGGCTATTTCTGGTTGGTTCCATTATCCCCAACCCGGTGAATTCGGCTATAACCCTCAAAATGTCGATTCCGCCATTTCTACTTTACAATCTCTGACCATGAAAATGGATTTGGAATTGCCAAAACTTTCTAATTTTCCAGTAGCGAAACCCGAACTACTGTCACAGGAAGATACTAAGGTTCTTTCAAAGTACATTAATCCGTTGTATATTACAGCTGAAGGTATTGACATGCTTTCAAAGCGCTTTTTCAAAGACTCGGCCATTGTTCTTGTTGAATTTTTGAATCCCGACTTTTCTAAACAATTGTTACAGCAGGTCGTCGGTGCCGAAAAGCAGCCTACTCCTAAACATGCTTCTGAAGTATCGTTTCCTTGGAAGACTTCTATCCCTCCTCATAAACATCGTTATCTTTATTTAGACCACGAAGAGCAAGGTCCTGATGTTTTACTCCCTATGGAATTGCAACGCCTTCCTGCCTTCCAACGCTGGATTCAGTTAGTAAGTGGCCTTCCCTTGGAATCTTTTTATCAAATTGGTCGTCGTTTCCGTCCCGGTTCCGATTTTACCTTAGCTTCAACCAACGAAACCGCAACTCTTGAAGCTACTTTATGCTTATCTCCTGGTACCGAGATTGCTAATACAGAAAATGGTGCGTACAGCGTTTATATGATTGGCGACGAGGACCCTGATGCCGATGCCGCTGTTTATAAAGGTGATCAACAGGACGATGGTATCTTACTCTCATTACCTGCTGCTTGGAATGTTTTTTCCCTGGTTTACAGAGACGAAGGTGTACTTGAATTTGTTAAATATGTGTCCGAAGCTGCCGGATCAAGCCGTTGGGACATATTCTCTCAATGGAACCCTATCCCTGAGTAAAGCGGTAATAACATAAAATATGATCTATAGAAAATTTTTTTTTTGGTTTCTTTGCTGTGTTTTTCATAGTAATAAGCTTCGTGAAGCTATTATTGTCTGCAGGCTTCTAAGAATAGTAGTTAATTATCTGTTCGCATTAATTTGAATTTAGTATTTGATATATTTAAAAAAATCAAATTTTGTTGATTCTCGCTTTTAGAAGATTGGTTTTATCTAGGGTTTAGAGACTTTTAAATAAAAAACTTTACTTTCCATTCATTATCCTCTAAATTCTTAAAATATCATAACCTAACGAAATTAATATACATAGTAACATGTTAAAGTCTATTAGCAGCTTCCTTTAACAATTCAGGTATACTTTTTCTAGCATTTTTCACATCCTTCGTTATGGTTGGCCAGTAATACCCATGACGGGGATCAGCAGTTTCACAGTTTCGAATAACCTCTTGTTGTTGCTCTTGGGTACCTATCTCAAGACTAAACTTGTAAAACCAAACCCAGACATCACCATTATCCTGATCTGCCTTGATAGCTTTCATGAACCATTCGTGTGCTTTTTCTGGTTTTGACTCGGAATACAGCATTCGGGCAATGGTGCATAAAAGGTAAGAATTGCTTTCACACTTACGCAAAGCATCAGTGGCTCTAGTTTTTCTTTGGGCTCTAGGTTCCAACCAGATTGCTTCTGACCATAGCAATCCAGATGATGGACATTCTTGTAAAGCTTTAGCTAACGCTGCTTTTACCTGCGATACATTTCCAGCGCTGTTTTCCATTTTTAACACTTCAAGCCATAAAAGCTCATTCTTAGGATTACGAACTTTGGCTCGGTCCAGAACGACTCTTGCACGTACAATAGTTTCTTTTGCTTCTAACTTAGCAAGCAAAATCCACAAAGGAATGGAATGAGGACATAATTTTGTACCTGTTATATATGCATCCCGCGCTTTCCCTGCGTCATTACCATCTTCTAAAATCTGTCCTTTCATCATCCAAAACTTATCGTAAGTAGGAAAAAGCTTTAAAGCATCTTCTAACAATGCTAAGGCTCCTTCCAAATTACCCAAAACTCTTTCCAGCGAGATAGACTTTGTCCAAATTCTTTCTGAACCGGATTCTATGCGAGCACGAGCCAGCAATTTCTTGGCCCTTTCGTCTTCATTGTTGACGAATTCTAGTTTAACGGCAGCAAGCCATATTTCTTCACTATTGGAGTTATAATCAAAGGCTCTGCCTAAAATATTCCTTGCTCCATTGACATCACCAGTATTTTTCCTTTCTTTAGCATATACAAGCCAAAGTATTTCGGTTCTAGGACATGCTTCAACAGCTTTTTCTAAGATCGAACAAACTGTATCAGTAGATCCATAAATCTTTTCCGTTTCAACTGCACGAAGCCATATGTTCTCATTTGAAGAATATACACGGAGAGCATAAGCAAAGACTGCTCGAGCACAATCAAGACATTTTGAGATTAAGAAAGATTGTGCATCATCCATCCAAGTATCTAATTGATCTTCTTCATCTAATCCTATAGATAAACAAGTATTGATAATTGCTTGAGCTGTAAGGACAGCACCTTCTTTTTCGCATTTTTCAGCTTCGTGAAGCCACTGCTCGCGTTGCAACATACCTCCACTTTCCTGTAGTTCGGCAACACCACGAGCCATAATTTTCTCAACCCTAGAAACGTTTCCCTGTTGTTCTTCTAAACGTGCAGCTGCTATCCATACTTCGTAAGATGTACGAATCGTCTGTCTAGCTTTGTTCAAAACCTTTTGAGCATTTTTGTAAGTTTCAAGTCTTGCAAGCGCAAGCCAAAGATCAATAGACATCGGAATTAGTTCAACGGCACGAGCAAGTAAAATTCTCGCATTAGTAACTTCTTCTTCCAAATTTACTGCTTCTTTCCACAAGCCAACAGAAGTAGGATTGAGTTCAAGGGCTTTTTTAATGATTCTCTTCTTCGCAGAAACTTGGGTTTCCAACCGTTCTGCCTCTAACCATAAAGTTACAGAATGAGGAAGATTCCGAACCGCGTCAGCAATGATTACTTTCGCTTCATCAACTGGATGTAAACGTATAGCTTCCATCCAAACATCTTCCGAACGAGGACAGTTATCGCACCCTTTCAGTATAAGGATACGTGCTTGACTGTTCTTATTAGCAACTTCTTCCAAACGAGCAGCAGCTACCCAGCCAGAGGCATGTTTGGGATTGGTTTCAATCACGCTTTGAAGTAACTTGCGGGCCTTTTTAACATCCCCCAAGTCTGTGTTGTTCCTGGGTATCATGCTATTCAAGCTCGTCAGATACCCCTTTGGATCAACCGTAGAAGGAGAAGTTAAGTTTGTAGAGGCTTGAGCAAGCTTAATGCCTAGCACTTTGTCACGAGCAGCACCAATTTCAACAAAGTTTGTTTTCGTGCCGTTTTCTGTTGTACTATCTAAACCGGTTTCGCCATCGGTAGTAACAGTCGACTCTAGCTGCCCTTCGTTGCGTGCGCTCGCTAGGACGAAATCACTAGTAGCATAGAATCTTTCGCGCCTGGGCTGTTTCGGCCTTTTTTTTCGGGTTAAGTCACCTGGTTCAGGTATATTCAACCAATCTTCATCAGTCAAAGTGGATAGACCACGCTTTAAATCGGCGAATTGAGAAGATACTTTTGGATTTTCTTTTTCATATCGTTCATGCTGTAATTGTTCCTGCCGCTCACGTTGAGCTTTTCTTCGTTTGCTTAAATTATCTTCCACAGTCTGATAAATACGATCAGCCTCTTCGTCTTCAGCACCGTACGGAGCTGTTGCAAAAAGTGCCACTTCATTTTCCGGGTCTTGATACCGAGGATCAATATCGTCTTCTTCAGGCTCTTCGCCGGATTTCCGTTTGTCAATAGCTGCTTTAACAGCATCCTGTGAGGGTAACTCTTGGGCGGGACCCAAATCGGAGCGTGTTGTAAATCCTGTTGCACCGCGTCCCACGCCTGCAATATAATTAGGAGGCGGTGCCATGTTTAAAAAATCTGGGTGGAACGTCGCCATTTTGCTGATAATGCAAAGAAATTGACAATTCCACTTATCACCTAGTAATTCATAAAAGTGCTAATGTAGAAGCGCGTAGGAAACGAAGTCTTCGTTTGTAGGTATGTGTATACTTTAAGGCTGAAGCTTCGTTAGACTTTCAATTAAAATTACTAATTTAATGCTTTGTTTTCCATTATTAGAATAATACAAAAATTTATGTATATACATTTAGTTTTATCCATTTGCATATATAAGGCATTTTGCAGACCTTGTAGTTGTTCTTTAACCACGCACCTTTAGGAATGTATTAATTTATGAAATAAAAGCTTACATTATGGATATACAAAATTATTTTTTTAACCTAAAAAGGCAACCTTTATATTAAGTTAAATTAAAATGGAAATGAGCTTTCAAATACTGGCGACTATGAAGTTAAACATACAACCGAGTGATAACTGGGCGAACATAGCTGTACACAGTACAAATAGAAAACTGTGTTTGCCTTTTAATGTCTCGGAAGAGGATAGACTGGTGGAAGAAAATCGGTACTCTGTATTACATTATGAGTACCTAATCTTTTCGCTAGTAACATCTACCTTTGCTTTCATACAAGATAGACTTTAGGGTAAGACAAAAAGATTGGGGTTTGACGGATTTGCTTCTACGAAAAGCTAAAGATACCGCATTGTCGCGATGAAAAAAATACGATACATGAAAGGTTTGTCAATGCAACTGAAGAGTAGAGAAGATAGGAGTTTTTTTTGAATTGAAGTTCATACATTGCACTACTGTGAATAGAAAAAATCTGTAAATTTAGTTGTCTACGAGTTAGTAAACAAGCTTGGATATTGTGGAAATAGAGTATGTTACTTGGCGTAGGTTATGGGTGACATTTGTATATTCATAGGAAGGGCACGTAAATAGAGGAATTGCACTTGCGCTTTACTTATTTCATCCAATATAGGACTCGTTGATGACTTGCGATCATATAACAGAAGGGAACGTTGGTATTCCTAACGGATATCAAACTGTGTACCGAGAAGAATGCGTTCGGTGTTTTGTTTCTCAGGTAGGAACTAATAAGCCAAAAAGGACATTTTCCACAATAACAATAAGGAAAGGGATGTAAATTTTTGCTAACCTCTGTAGGATTCTGAAGCTGGGATTGATCTTTGTTTAGCTTGCTTTGAGTCTGGATGTGGACCAAACGATCATAATCATTCAAAAACTCACTTCGATCAAAAGCAGCATCCTGTTATGCTGAATATAAAAAGAAAACCAAAACCAAAAACAGTAAGGAATTACCTTGTAGTGCTAAGCTTAACTGACCTAATATTTCAGTGTGAAGAGCCCTTGCGAAAACTTACTAAACTAGAAATACGAGAAGAATCTGAAGAAGATATTTACGATTGGTTTTATCAGCCTCATTGTCTAATCTGTAAAACAGATCTGGATATCCAGCAGCCTTTGATTTCAGCATCTTTCCAAGCAGTTATTAAAGCACCAAAAGCCTCTAATAAAAGTCAAGTAAAGGCATGGGAGAATGAAATTGTTCCATGTGAGCATACACTTTGTCTTCAACCTCAAGCTGATGAAATTCCTAACTTAAAAGAAACTAAATGCTCTAACTGCGATCTGAAAGATAACTTATGGATGTGCCTTCATTGCGGAACATTAAGCTGTGGACGTAAGCAATATGGAGGAGGCGGTGGTAATGGGCATGCCATAGAACATTTTGAAAACAAAAAACATGCTGTTTCTGTAAAACTAAAAAGTATTACACCAGATGGCCATGCTGATATTTACTGTTACAACTGCGATGACGAGAGAATTGACCCGTATATTGAAGACCACCTGGCTGTTTTCCAAATTGACATAAAGAAGCTTAATAAAACAGAAAAGTCATTGGCAGAGCTACAATTAGAGCAGAATCTAAATTGGGATTTTGGAACTTCTGAAGAGGAGTCAGGTTCTACTCGTTTGTTTGGACCAGGGCTTACGGGGTTAAAAAATCTAGGAAACAGCTGTTATTTGGCTTCCACTATGCAGTCTTTGTTTTCCATTAAAGAGTTTGCTAGATTTGAGCTGGATTTATTTACTACATGTAATTCTACCTGTAAAAATCCTGCCTCTAATTTTCAGTGCCAGCTTTCAAAGTTGGCTGAAGGTTTATGCTCTGGTAAATTCTCCAAGCCAAGCGAGCTTGGACGTCAAACAACCGGCTCTTCTCCTATGCTTCCTTTCCAAGATGGTTTACGACCTTATATGTTTAAAGACATCATTGGTCAAGATCATGCAGAATTTGGTACAGCTCAACAGCAAGATGCCTATGAATTCTTAGTTTATCTTTTAAATTTGATTCGTAAAAACAGCGTTGGAAAACCAGATATTTCTACTCTTTTTGATTTTGAAATTGAACAAAAATTGCTTTGCCTTTCGTGTAAACGTGCACGTTACTCGACATTTTCATCTCAAGGGCTCACAATCCCTGTTCCACGAAGAAAAATAGGAGAAGAAAATGGCGAAGCAATTTATGAAGAAGTAACTCTGAATGAATGTTTAGATAAGGCGGTCGAGCCTGATAGTATGGAATATACTTGCGAGGCTTGTAAGAGTAAACAAGGGGCTACAACTCAACTTTCCTTAAAAACATTCCCTAAGGCTCTAGCTTTACAAGTGAATCGCTTTGATATCCAGGCTTCCCAAGTTAGAAAATTGGGGATTCCCGTTAAAGTATTGGAAGAAGGACTGTACAAGCTAGATCACCTCCGTGCGAAACCTCGACCCGAGGATGAGGAATTACTGCCTGAAGGGTCTCCTACAATCGATTGGAATGAACAAGCCATAGAACAACTTCAAGCTATGGGCTTTCCTTTAGTTCGTTGCCAAAGGGCCATGTTGGCTACGAACAATGCTGACGCTGAGACAGCTATGAATTGGCTTTTCGAGCATATGGAGGACCCTACAATTGATGATCCTATTGACCTGTCTGAACTCAAGCAAGCAACTAAAAATAATACCGTCTCCAATGATAAGATCCAATCTTTACGTGAATTTGGATTCTCAGAAGTACAAGCTAAAAGAGCACTCTTGGAAACGAACAATGACGTTGAAAGAGCTGTTGATTGGATTTTTAGTCATCCCGATGAGACGTATGAAGAAACAATAGATGAAACAGGGGAATCAATGGAAGCTGAAAAAGTTAAATGGGATTCAGAATCTTTGCCCGCAAGTTACCAGTTAAAAGCAATAATCAGTCATAAAGGTGGTAGTGCACATGCAGGGCACTATGTGGCATTTATTCGAAAAGAAATTGAAGGTCAAGATGTTTGGGTTCTCTATAATGATGAGAAGGTTTTAAAAGTGTCCTCCTTGGAAGAAGCAAAAGCTACCGGATATGTCTATATATTGGAACGGGTGGACAATGTAACAGCGTAAGCATGAAGCATGCCAAATCAAAAGAGTAAAGTTCTGAACTTAATTGGTTCTGTTTGTCTAAATAATCAGTAAAAGTTTAATGATATTATTTCCAGCTTGTTGAACATTTACAGACGAATATGAATAAACAATACAGCAGTCGTCAATAAACTACTGATTATTGTTTCAAATTCCATAATTTTAAAGTTACTGCAGTAAACGAATGTTTGTTTACACTTTGTATTTGAAGTGAGAAGTATAACGAGTCTTAATGAACACTATGCATGGAGGTATTGAACTGATGATACAAACAATTACTTGCAAGTGCACATATCCAAGGTATAGAAAAACACAATGGAAATGCTCATTGGAAGAGCATTGCAATTCCAATCCTTCCATTCTTCAGTAGATGCCATCTTTTGGCACCAGTTGAGCAGTTACAAAGTTGAACAACAGAAATTGGACGCGTCGCCGGTTGTTATTCATGGACGATTCAACACATACTCACGAAGCGCAATTTCCATTGTATTTGGTAAAGCACCGGAAAACAGGTATACTGAGAAAGAATGAAAAGAAAGACAAATATTGACTGAGCAGCTCGATCAAAGAATGTATTGCTGAAGGTACTTTAATCAATGCTAATACTCAACAAGAGTTTGTGGAGGCAAATGTTAAAGAAATACGTGAAAGTATGGGAAAAAAGGTAAGGTATTATGCATGCGAATAATGTAAATCACACTTGACTAATTGTTTGCTAGTTACTGGAGTCAATTGAAAAGGATACGGTAGCCGAAAAGCCAAACGAGTTGATTCAGTTTTTACTTTTTTCATATGCAGACATAAAATCCTATCGTTATCATTATTGGTGCCTTTTTCCATCTTTAAAAAATACATCTCTCTGGATCGTCAAGGGTTCGCAGCCTGCAGAATCCGTCATTCCTTCAAATATCATCTCGCCTAAAATTCTAGAGTTTTGGAAAACCTCGGATTTTACACAAAGATCTTTTTTTATTGTTGCAAAGAACGAGAATGGCCGATGGCTTGTACTTCCTTTGAAAGAGTTGCCAAGGTGCCTTAACAATAGATTGGATGTACGTACTAAAATTGTTACTGTGCAACAATTTGAGTTTTCTTTCTTCTTGAAATTAACCTTTTTAGTATTTTATTTTCGTTGTAGACTCGTTTCAATTACAAGAATATCCTTCCTGGCCTACGCGAAATCTCCTTGCTTATCTTTCAATTAAATTCAATCTGGAGAAAACGAGAATAATTATGTATCGAGATGGTGTGAATTCGGATAGTTTGTCCAGAAGTATATACTTAGATTTAGTCAGTCAAAAGAACCAGGATTCCTCTCAACCTTTATCTACTGTAGGTTGGGAACGAAATGGCAAAGGTCAGTTAGGTCCTAGGGTAGTAAACTTGTCCTCTTTAATTGACCCGGTCTTACTTTCCGAGTCCGCTTCGATGCTCAACTTGAGCTTAATGCGATGGAGGCTCGTACCACAGCTTAACCTTGGTATAATTCAAAATACCAAATGTCTTCTCCTTGGTGCTGGAACTTTGGGTTGTGGTGTAGCTAGGAACCTTGTGGTATGACTTTGGACTTTGAAGAAAACGCTAACAAATATAGTCTTGGGGTGTGCGTCACATTACTTTTGTTGACTACTCGAACGTAGCTTATTCCAACCCTGTAAGACAATCATTGTTCACTTTTGAAGATTGTAAAAGAAAACACCCTAAAGCTCAATGTGCAGCCTCTAGGTTAAAGGAAATTTACCCAAAAATGGTAAGACGACAAGCCATCTTAAGTCTAAAACTAACTTTTTAGTTTTCTGAAGGCCATTCAATAAGTATTCCGATGTTAGGACATCCAATATACAAGTCTGAAGTTGAGAGAACCAAGAGAGATTATCAGACCTTAGAAAATCTTTTTTTAAGCCACGATGCCATCTTCTTATTGACAGATACCAGAGAATCGCGCTGGCTTCCGACAGTTATGGCTACATCATTGAACAAAATCTTAATTAACTCGGCACTTGGTTTTGATAGCTGGCTTGTTATGAGACATGGAAGTTTGTCTCAAGGAGAGAATCGTCTTGGCTGCTACTTTTGCAATGATGTTTTTGCTCCTTCCAATTCTGTGATTGACAGAACTTTAGATCAAACATGTACAGTAACACGTGCAGGATGCACCAATATTGCAACTGCAATAGCAGTGGAATTATTTGTTAGCCTTCTGCAACATCCAGATGGGTACGTCAAAGTTATATTCAGCTCTAGATATTAACCTTTATTAGGATTGGTGCCCCAGTATGCAACAAAGACGCTACGGTTCTGGGTGAATTACCTCATCAAATTCGTGGTTTTTTACATGATTATAGTTTATTTAAAATATCTGGAAAGGCTTACCAACAATGTTCCGCTTGCAGCGAGTGCATTATCAACGAATGGAAGAAGCGAAAGTGGGATTTTGTTTTGCAAGCAATTAATGATTCCGATTATGTGGAAGAGTTATGTGGCCTGCGGCTGGTACAGCAGCTTGGCGAAAGAGCAGGAGCCATGGAGGAATGGGATAGTGACAACGAAAGTATTCTGGCATAAGAGTATGATATTATGATAACCTTTTTAACGATTCTTTTTAATGTAATCTGAAGCAAAATGTGAACAAGTTCTTAATATACAGATCATTATAACACTAATTAAATTAATATTAGCAACAATATTTGTCAATTAAACAGTCCAAAACGTAAATTAGACACCTTTTTTCATCTTAAACTTGTCCTTTAAAGCAACAAGGCTTTCAGATCTGGCTTTTGGAGGACTTATCGTTCGAGGCAGGGTAACTTTCGTCTGAAGTGGAACCTCCATTGTCATACTTGTATCAGATTCATCCAATTCCTCAAACTTTGTTGTATTGTCCGTTTCGAACTTTCTTTTTTTTCTCGTGGGCAAAGGTATCTTAGAAGGAGTAAGAGAAGAAAGCCGTCGTGAAGACGCTGGATTTTCTTCTGCGTTTCCACTATCTATATTATTATGATCTGTCTCTTTTCTTGCACTTCCAATTAAGGAAGAATCTTTATTAGGTGTTTGGGTAGTCGTAGTAATACCAGATCTGATCGTAGGAGAAGCTTGAGAAGGGCTAGATGGTAACCCTACAATGGCTGATGTTCTTTGAAGGTAAGGAGTAACACGAAGAGGTGATTTTTTGGGGGGACTTCTCAAGGCAGGACTCAATGGAGATTTTGTATTTGAAGAAGTAAGACCAGGGGTAATAAGCGTACTTTTACTTCGTTTTACTTCGTTTTTTCTTAGTTTCTTACCTTGAGTTGCTACTTTCGATTCTAAGACTTGTAGCCGAACTTTCCAGTTGGACTCTTCTGTTTCCAGTTTGATCTTCCATCTATTTAACTCTGACTCTTTAGCCGAGAGCGCGCTATGTAGCTTATTCAAATCAGAATCTTTTTCTTTATACGATTTCTTTAGTTCTGTAATTGTACGATGAAGACGAGCGACTTGTTCGGCATTCGACGATGATAAATTAGTTTTGTCCGGTGACATGTATGAGGCTTTCGACTCGGCGTGTTCAGAGTCAGCATTCATCAATGGCAATTCTTCTTGTCCAGAATTTTCCAAATTTAGTTTATGCAACTTACTCATATCTTCTAAATTTTGTGATATGTTTGCTTCTAGTGAAGAAATTTTACTTTTGAGCTGAACAATATCAGAAGTCAAAGAACCATTAACTTCTTCGAGTTTACTGGCTCTTCTATCATTCTCCTCGCTTTTCTGTCCTCCTTCATTTAGCTGTAACAGTAATTTGTTTGCATGATTTGTAGCTTCCAGGCAGGTCGTCCGTAATATATGTGATTGCAAGCCATGTATGACATTAGAAGCTTTTGTCAAATAGAAATTTAATTCCAGTTGACATTGCAATAGCCGATTCTCTGCTTGGTGCAAAGAGTTTGTATGCTTCTTAGACAGATCTTCAACGTTCATATATTAAGCAAACCACAGTGAAATGAGTGGAATATAGTCACCTGAAAAAGAAAAAAAGTCTATGGTGAAAAGAATTTTGTCCTACTGTTTCCTTAAAGAATAAAATTGATAATAATTAGGAAGACGTAGTATTGGGGTTGAAGGGCAGTATGAAACTTGCATGTGTGTTAGTATGTAGACTTTCCCTTATTGATTTAAATTAGAAATGAATTAATCTTTAGCTAAGGCCGCATAATAGTTTTAATATATTGTACAGCTAGAAATAAATCTCATTTGTTTTGACTACGAGCTTCGAAGCTGAAAGGCGCTCAATCTTTTTTTCGCGGCTTTACAGACGATTCACTTGATTTACAAAATAAATTTTGAGTAGGGGGTCTATAATCAATACCATTCGTACGTGTCTTGAATTCATGGTTTGCTTTATAATATCATTAAGCTGTTGGTATCTCTGAAGATGAAGGCTTTTTAAGTAAAGCCAAATTCATTGTTGGTAGTTTCCTTTTATTTATTTATTTATTTATTCATTACCCTAAATTGGTCTATAATCGAGAGTGCATCATTTATATTTTCATTCAGAGATATTGAAGGTCTCTCTACTTAGCAAAATGAAAGACTTAGATATAGGAAATGATTCTTGTCTGTATTTGAAGCAATTTGCACTATCCAGTTCAATTTCATAAGCCAGGCCAGTCCTTATTTAAAATCAAATATTCAAAAGAGAGGAAAGCTACTCAAGTATCAACGATGCCCACTGTAAAGTTAATGATTCAAAAATAACTATTTTCTTTTCTTTCCTTATTGAATGTATACGCGTTTGTATTTCTAACGCTACATTGATATGAGTAGCTGAGACGAAATTCCACTTTTGTAAAGTTTACATCGTCACCATCGTGCCATGCTAAAACTGCAGTTGAACGAGTTTCATTTCTGTTATATTTCTTAAGTAAGATATAAAATAAATGTGACATTTCTGTGACGCAATTTACATTGCTGAAAGTGTCATCCAAAAGTAAACAATTAGTTTATACATATAGGATGGACTTCTCTCCGATGTGAGCAAGGTACCTTTCAACATTTTCTACCTCAACGAATAAAATGAAGGATAGCAACCCCTTTTCCGAGTCTTCATATAGAAACTTTGCTGGAGACTCAATGAAGGAACCATATGTAGAACATGACAACGAGTTTGCTAAACTCGGTTACCTGGTGGTAAGTTCAAAAAATAAACGTAAGCTAATATATTCAGTTTCGCTCATTTGTGCAAGACGATGACAATATTTCAAACAGGCCCGAACGAAGGCTTTCACTGAATACAACAAGTTTGAACAGATATCTAAATCATCAGGATTATCCTTACGATCCGGTTTCTATGCAATATCATGTCGGTCCTCGGTTAAACACACGATCATTGCGTGCTAAAAATAACCATTTAAGGAAGCAACCTGCTGTAAAACCTAGACTTATCATCGAAGATACAGCGTTCAGTAAAAGATCTAAGCAGAAAATTTCTCCTGGAGGAAACGTTGCTATGCTCGGTTATGACAGGATTGATCAATTAGATACATCAAATTCCTATCTGGGAAATTTCGGTATGCAGCAGGATATAGCTAAAATATTGTATCTAACAATCAGGTGTTCACCATGATGGCCCATTCGAACCGTGTTGTAAGCACCGAAACTTGGATATTAGTACCAGCCCGGTCGCTGCTTTTTCGGAAAACAGTGAAGCAAACAGTTTAAGCACTTTAATTCCAAAAGATCAATCTGTAGAAGATTTGGCTTCAGAAAACGGGATATGGGGAGGCGTCAATACTAATACTTATGGTTCACCGTCATATGTTGAGCAAGGTAGATCCAATTCTCTTAACCAAGAAAGCGAATCCTTATTGAGTTATAATGATGACACACAACAATCAGAAAGCCGTTTACAAAGAAAAGCTTCACTCTTGGGCCGTTTGCGACACAACTGTAAGAAAAAATTCTCTAGTGGCACTACAAAGTAAAGTCACCTTTGTTTCTTTCCAAATCATTCAAGCCTTTTATTTTTCATAATTTCATCGTTTTTTGTTATCTTTACTTACTTTAATCAATGTCCTCAACCAACATTTGCTTAATGCATAGCGTTCATTATCATAACTATGCCAATTCTTTTCAATTCTTCAAAACTTTAAACTGTTGTACAAGAGAAACGCAATAACAATAGCAAAAGGATACTACGACCAAAAAGCCCTGAAAAAGAACGCGTAATAAAACGATTAGAGTTGTACTTTATGAGTAGTACATTTAGGAATAAGAATTCATATTATACCATAGCATACTCGTAAACGATGATAAAAAACTAAAAGGCATTTAACATAAATTATCATTCAAACATGAATCAATATCGTAGCAAAATCATTACTGCATATATAGTTTTTTCCATTAAGCATCCAGAGGATGTCCACGTAGGTTTGTTGGTTTCGGTAAAGGTCGTTCAAGACTAGGTCTTTGTGAATTAGGTAATCTATAATCGCCATTATCACTGTCCGAAAGATCATCCAAAGAATTTTTTGTGCCTTGATCTAACAATTGTCGAACTCTCTCTTGGATTAAAAGAGACTTCACTGGCCTAACCAGTTTCGGTTCTTGCACATTTCTCACAACCCGACTAAAATCGGGCTTATTTACACTAATCGCTCTCTTGTTCGTTTGACTAGGATCAGTAAGATTCCGATATTGACGAATATTTTCATGGACTTGGGGTAAGTCCTCGCTTTCTACTTTCCAATCATCTGAAGGTTCTGAAGATTCAGACGGACTTGGACTATGAAGCGTAAAGTCTGATTTTTTCAATGGTGAATCACCGGTTTTTTTGGGTGTTTTATCATTTCCAAATTCAAACTTTTTAAAGGCATCACCAAATTTACCAGACAATAATCTGGAAGCATGCCCTTGCTTTTTGGGCTTGCTTATATTAATTGCGGATCGCAATTCCTTCTTATTCTGTTCATTAGTTTTTACCTTTTCAAGCTTAGCAGTAATTGACTTTTGTAATCTCTGGGTACGTGAAATATCTGAGGAGTTTTGACGACCATGAGCTCCCAAACTTTTTAAAAATTCAACATTCGACTGAACTTTGTAAGATTCACTCTCAGGTGAACTTGTTCGCTCATGTTCATCATTAACAACAACTAGATCTTCAACACCTTTAGTAATACTCCTATCATAAGAGGAATCACTTAATAGGGTTCCTTGATCCTGGAAATCTCTTTCTTCAGAGTGTGATAAATTATTCGTTGAATCTGAAAATTCGTTATTAAAATCCCTATCCATATTGTCTTCCATTCTCACGGGTGTATGAGATTGACTTAACTTATGAGGCTTCCAATCAACAGACTTTGACTGAAAAGGGCGATGATCTTGAATAAAATCTTCTGAGTTAACGTTGTCAACACCCTTTGGAATTTGAGCAATTCCTTTTTGACTAATCGTAAATGAAGATAAAGGAGCATGATTTTGAGATGATTCTTGGTACTTATTAGCAGAATAAGTACTTAAAGAGGGAAATTGGGGAACAGGCGATTTTATATTTGACACATGCTTTCGCTTACCCGTGGAAGTGGTGTAATTAAGGTCCACTTCCTTGTAAGGAATGTTACCAGGTGAATGAGGGCTAGCCAATCTATTTTCAGACAATGACGGTATTAACGTTGAGGAAGTAGATCGGTTGATAACATTGCCATCCTTTTTAGTATCAAGTAAAGGAATCGGCTCAGCAATTTTGGTGTCATCAACTTTGTTATTTAACTCGTCGACACTTGGATAGCGAGAAAGAATATCGACTTCATCAATTTGCTTTTCGCCTTGCGAATCATTATGATTAGAGATGACAGTACGTTTAGGTAAAGACTCAGAGCCATCCAAACTCGTTCCCATGACTCTTTGACAAGATGAAGTGATATTTCGGTTATAGTTGCCATTAGAACTTTTGGGTGATATAAATTGTTCATTCGGGCCAAAAATGTGAGAGGACGACGTTCTACTCGGCTGACTAAACGACTGGTTGGAAGATTTTGGTGTTATACTCGGACGAGAAATAGGTATTGGAGGCAGAGATCCATGAGAGGGCACAGAGGTAGAGGGCTGCAGTCGACCAGAAGGTGTTCTTAAAAGAGGTGCTTTTGGTGGGTTAAAAGTTGATGCATTTACTCCTCCATATATGTCGGAAAGTAATAGAGGTGTGCCACGCATTTCCATAATTTCCTTTAAGCTTTGATATATGTTGGGACGATGAGAAGGCTGCTCCTGAAGACAGGTAGCAATGAACCTTTTCATGCGGTCACTGTATCTCGGAAAAGGCGGGAAGGAGAATGAAGCTTTCAAAATAGCAGCATTTCCGACGCTTTCAAATGGTGTTGTGTAATAGCAAAGTTTGTAAGCAAGAACACCGATTGCCCAAATGTCGCTTTTCTCATCGATACCTTGTTGACGACTTAAATCAATCATTTCTGGGCAACGATATTGAGGAGTCGTATAAGCAGCAATGTTTCTCTCGACAGAAGATCTCGATTCCGGTGTGGTAACAGGCGGTATTGGTTCACAAACACTACCAAAGTCGCATAGTTTATATGAATTCGGAGCGACTAATAAAACATTTTCAATTTTTAGATCCCGATGAATTAAAGGTGGATCTAAATAATGCATCGCAGCAACTGCATCGCACACATCCGCTAATATTTTCAAGATTTCACCTTCTGTTAAACGGGCTTGCAGCCTTGTGTTCATGAAATCAATGAGACCGCCCCCTGCACAAAATTCCATCAGTAAATAGACCTCATAGCGATTTGCTGAATTGGAATATAGAGCGTTCGAATCTATATAGTTAACAATATGGCGATGGCCCTTAAGACGTTTCATAGTTTCAATTTCTCCGTGTACCAATTGAAGTGCGGCTTTATCGGGAACGTGAATGCGTTTCAAAACACAACACCGCTTATCTTGGGTTTCTACGAGATAGACATGCGAAAAACCACCTTCACTAAGATATCGCATGACAGTGACCGTATGACTGCCGACAACAAGTTTGGTGTTTGCTGGGATCCTTGTGGAAAAATCAGTTGGGATGAATGCAGAAGTAGCAGGAGGCATATAAGCCAGGTTTGAAGGACCTGCGGCCCTAGATGTGGGCCGAAAGTCTTCCCCTATGATTTGATTTTTCGACCAAACTTCTGTCATGAGTTATATAGGAACAAGTTGGTTTTTCTTTCTTCAAAGGTTAAATCTAACACCGCAGATACTACTAACAAAGCTTTCCTGTTTGTGTTTTCACCAATTTAAGAAATGAAAGAAAGACGTCAAGAGTTGATGAAAGTTCTATAGCGCTGACAATTCTAGCACTACACAATCGATCACTGTTTTCTTATACTAAGATACGAGGGGTGGGGCCCCTGCTTTGTAATTAATTGGTACAATACTAGTAATTCCAAATCAAGCAAAACGAAATGATCCTCGTAGACCGGACCAAATGTACCACTCAATTCGCGTGTACGAATGCTTTAATGGGATACAGAATTCCTTCCAACTAAATGAATTCTTTCGCACGTTTCTAAAGAAGTAGAGAGGTAAAGTTTCCGCTAAATATATATTTGCTCAATGAAGCGACCAATTTACATAAAAATAGTCTCAACTTCTCTGGAAGCAGCGTAAAGGTTTGTAATGGCTAATTACGATCTGGAATAGAGCACAAATAGTCTTAAGGTACTTGAACGTCTTGTTACACAGCTTCGTTGCAGCGTTTTTTCTCTGTATAACAGAGCGCAACGGCACATGAATACTTGGGCCTCATGAAAGACGAAAGCCAAAAAAAAAAGGTCAAAAATACATAATAATCATTTAAAAAACTTACTATTATATATATTTCAATTCTCTTAATTTAATTTGGATAAATAAGTGTATCATTTTTACTAAAAAAAATTATTTGGGTTAGGGTTTTGCGACTTTTTTCAACGTTTGCTGGCTCTGTGAATCGCATAAGTACCACATGAGTCCCCAGTTAGTAGGGGATTCAGTACCGCCATTGCTAGCGCGACACGAAGCACTAGTTAATAGAAATAGGTAAATTATGCAACGTTAATAGTTCAAAACTTCATTATTCAAATACAAAGAGAAGTTTGTAAACTAATTGATTGAATTGACGTTGTAAAAGGATTGGAAGAAGGCCTTTTTCCCTGCAACAAACGCTTGTAAATAAAGGATAGTATTCATAACTCTTGTGTTGGTGGCTATATTTATCCAAGATAGCAATCATCGTTCTTAGCGCAATTGGAATAGGCTGTTATTTTTACTCCGTTCTGTTTTTATAATTACATTAGCTCCTTTTGTCAAGTTTCACACCTCAGACATCTCATCTCTTGTTTGCCTTAGTGTTTGCGAGGAAAAGGAAGAATTTTTTCTTTAATTATTTGGTTTGTGTACATTTTACGAAAACAAAAGGCATTTATATACTTTATCGCGTGAATTATTCATTCATCACTGTCTATTTGACTGTTGTTGGAAAAATATTACATATACTTTATACATTTTGTAAACGAAATCCTATATGACTACACGCTTGGATCGATTGGTAGTGTTGCTGGACAACGGTTCTACATCAGTCGTTCGTGAAGCCGCTGCAAAGCAGATTGCTGATATTCAAAAGGCACATCCAGTTGAGCTCTATAACTTATTGGGTCGAGTCGTCCCGTACTTGAAGTCGAAGAACTGGGACACTCGCGTTGCAGCTGCAAAAGCCATCGGAGGCATCGTTGAAAATGTCCCTGTATGGAATCCTAATGAAGAACCTGTAAAACTCGAGCCTAAAGAGGAAGAAGATCAGGTTGAAAACCCCAGTCTTTCTTCGGCAACGAACCCGAACCAAAAAGAAGAGTCCAATTCTGCTGCTAATATTACATCCGATGATCAAGCTCCTAAAGTAAAAGAGGAACAAGTGGACCAGCCACTGGATCCTGCAGATTCAGCACAGCAACCGAAGGATACCCAGAGTGACGACAAAGAGCAAGTCGCTCCTGTGTTGCAGGATTCTGAAGAGAAGCGGATACCTAGCCGTTTTCATTCTTTCAGTAACTTAGCACCCACAAAAGACTTTGGAACCGATTCTTCTATATCATCGGAACTTAACTCCAAGTTCGAAGGTAGCTTTCAGAATTCTTTGCTTTCCTTTGATAATTTCAATTTGGAAGATGTTATGAAGCACGGTACGAAGTTGCTAGGTAGTGCCACTCGTGACTATGATTTTACCCCATCCGATACTTATTCTTCACATTACATTCATCAATTATCCAATCTCAAAAATCGTTTAGGGCTCGCTGGCGAGTATTTAGACGATGAACTTATGCATGACTTGAGTGATCAACCTTCTCTCCACCATAGACCTTCCCCAGCATCTCTACATCCAGAGCAAGAGGTGAACCAGTCTTTAAACGGCGCCTCCGATAGCCCTAATGAACCAGATGATTTGTCGCATTTATCTGCTCGTCAACGTAACGCTTTAAAACGCAAAGCCAAGCAAATGAAGAGCTCTCAGAAAGTTCGTGTCATCGACGTGGCTCCTAATTCCAATCAGCAACAATCAAAATCAGCCAAATCGGAACCCAATTCTGCTCCTGAGTATAACTTTACCTCTCAATCTCAATCTGATCGACTCGTTGTGGAGCATAAAGCCCCAGTTGTACCATCTGCTGCTGTTGCGGTTACCAGCGACTCCGTATGGCCTTTTAAAACTCTTGCTGAGCTGCTTTTAGTGGATATGTTTGATCCTGCTTGGGAAATTAGACATGGTGCATGTATGGGCTTGCGTGAAATCATACGCTATGCAGGTTTTGGCTATGGACGAGAAATTGGTAAAAGTTTACAAGAAAATGACGAACTAAATACTAAATATTTTAATGATCTTTTATGTCGTATTGCTTGTGTTTTTGCTTTGGACAGGTTTGGAGATTATTTGGCCGATCAAGTCGTTGCACCAATACGTGAATCTGTTAGCCAAGTTCTAGGTGTTGCACTCATTTATGTGCCTGATACGTCAGTTCATTCGATGTACAAGGTACTCCATTCGTTGGTTTTTCAAAATGAATTAGGCCTGAGTCACAGGGTTTGGGAAGCTGCACATGGTGGTATGCTTGGTATTAAATACTTAGTGGCAATGAAGTACCCTATGTTCTTTTCACAACCATCTTATTTAGACAGTCTAATTGATATAGTTATTCAGGGTTTAGCTAATAACGATGATGATGTTCGTGCGGTCAGTGCATTGACATTATTACCTGTTGCTGATAAACTCGTCGCTGATAAACTGGATTCGTGCAGTCAATTACTTAACGTTTTATGGGATTGTTTGGATGATGTTAAAGATGATCTTTCTTCGTCAACGGCTAGTGTCATGGACCTTTTGTCCTGCTTATGTTCTTTTCCCGAAGTGATGGAACTTATGCAAGAAAATGCAAACTCTGATTCAAAACGCTCTTTCAGGACTTTGGTTCCCCGACTATTTTACTTGATGCGTTATACTCTCAGTGGTGTTCGTAGATCTGTGATCTATGCTTTAAGTAAATTTGTTCTCATTAAAAACCCCAAGTTAAATAGCTGGATTACAGGGTTAACTTTACGACTTTGTTTTCAGAACGTTTTGCTTGAACAGCAGGATGACATTTTTCAATCTTCTCTTGATTTAGCGCATCAAATTATAGACTTCTTATATTATCATGGATCAGATAAGTTCACTGAAATGATGAAGCCACATATTGAATCTATGCTTAAAGTCACCATGACTCCCATAGGTTCCACCCGGCATCCCTATCCAATTGATACGTCGTTACTTATAAAACCTTCTGGTCAACCATATGCAGTGCGAAGCACTACACAGGATCGTAACTCTAAGTCTTTATTCGACTTACCCTCTCGTCGAAAACAAAGAAGATATGCCGAATCTGATTCTGGTTCATCATTTTCATACTCTGTTGATGAACCTATGTTGAATGGTGATGTAGAATTCGTCGGTGAAGAGCGTATGTTAAGATGTCGTTTGGGTGCGGCTTCCATTTTGGGTGCAATTTTGGGTCGCTGGAAGAGAGATGAAATACTTCCTATATTTGAGTTGCCTTTAAAATTATGCCTTTCTTCCGCATTTTCTACTCCTATTATGCTCTGTTCAAGATTGATAGAAGAATTTTTAACATCTGAAGATTCCACCCTTACCACTCAAAAAGAAAAATTTCATCAGATGCTTTGTGACCAATTTGCTACTATTCCTCGCGAAACTTATGCTAATTTAGTGCCACAGCTACATATCGTGAGGGCACAATGCAATGCTTTGTTGAATACATTTGTGGATTTAGGGCGGACCTCTCGTTCCAAATTACCTGTCTTAGCAGTTGTTGTGAAGGGTGATGCAGATGCTGGTCCTAATGCTTTCGGCATTGATGATGCGGAGAAAATTATCGGCCCTACATTTGAGTCATTGTTTAGCATGCTCTCACCATCGCAAAAGTCCGTCTCTTCTAAAACCTTTAATGAAATGAAGCTACTTGTCAGCGATGAGATATCAATTTATAAAACTCAAAAAGATACAATCGATATTCAATGTGCGGCAGCTCTCGCTTCTGGTATAGTCTCTTATGAGAAATTACCTAAGAAACTAAATCCAATCATTAAGGGTATTATGGAGTCTATAAAAAAGGAAAGTTATTCTTGTTTACAGACACATTCAGCAATGGCGATGATGAAATTAATATCTTCATGTTATAAAGAGTCTCGCCAAAATATCTCTGAAAAAATAGTAAAGAACTTATGTGCTTACGTTTGCATGGATACTTCTGAAACTCCTATCTTTGAAGAATTGGAAGAGCAAGGTATTTTGTCAATTTCTAATAGCGAATCCGAGATTGAAGATATTGATGGTGAGAAATTAGGTAAAGATGCTGAAGGAGACATAGGTGAGCGTCGCAAGGTTCGGTCTGGCAGTTCCGAAAAGGAGGCAGCAATTCTTCAAAGAGTAGGTGCTCAATTAACACTTCAGTTAATGGCAACAACTTTTCGTAATCGTCTCTTCGAAGATGTTCCTGTTTTGTCACAGTGTTTGTTCGTTCCTATAAAACGATTCACTAAAGAAGGACTCCCAGTGGATGCAAACGGTAAAAAGGACTCTACTTTCGGTCAAGATTTGCTGGATGCCATGTCTATCCTTCGATTCTTGGTTCCCCATTTACACGTTGATTTATACGGTTACGTAACGGACATTTTACCTCATTTACTTTCGGCTGTATGTTCAGAATACAGTTCTATAAGGTTTATGGCTGCAAAATGTCTAGCATCAATATCTGATTCTGCTGCAGCTGGTTCAAAAGCACTACGAATGCTAGTAGAGAGTATAGTTCCTTTACTGGGTGATCCAACTAATACTACTCACAGACAAGGTGCTATTGAATGCATTTACCAAGTGGTACAACGCCTTGGCGTTCGTATTTTACCTTATGTGCTGTATCTTATCATTCCGCTTTTGGGTAGGATGAGTGATTCCGATAAGGATGTGAGAACTCTAGCTACTTCATCATTTGCAACCCTAGTCAAGTTAGTACCTCTCGAAGCTGGTATTCCTGATCCTACTGATCTTCCTCAAGAACTTATCGATAGCAGAGAAAAGGAAAGACGCTTTCTTGAGCAAATGCTGAATCCTTCAAAAGTTGATTCCTTCGTGATGCCCGTCGCTGTAAATGCCGATCTTAGAAAGTATCAACAGGAAGGCGTTAACTGGTTGGCATTTTTAAATAAATACGAATTACATGGCATCCTTTGTGACGATATGGGTCTTGGTAAGACGTTGCAAACGATATGTGTTGTAGCTAGTGATCATCACAATCGTCAAAAAGCTTTCGAAGAAACGAAAAGTCCCAAGTTTGCTCACGCACCTTCTCTAGTTGTTTGTCCATCGACTTTAGCTGGGCATTGGCAACAAGAACTATTAACATATGCACCATTCTTGAGGGTTCTTTTATATGTGGGACCTCCCACTGATCGCACAAAACTTAGAAAGCAGCTTAAGGTAGTTGATGTTGTAGTAACATCTTACGACATATGTCGAAATGACATGGAATCTCTTGTTAAAGTCGATTGGAATTACTGTGTTTTAGATGAAGGCCATGTCATAAAAAATGCCCGTGCCAAGCTTACAAAAGCAGTCAAGTGTTTGAGATCGTACCATCGTCTCATTTTATCTGGTACTCCAATTCAGAACAACGTTTTGGAGCTCTGGTCTCTATTTGACTTTTTGATGCCAGGCTTCTTGGGATCTGAAAAAATATTTCATGAAAGATTTGTGAAGCCAATCGCTGCAAGTCGAGATGCAAAAAGTTCTTCTAAAGAAAGAGAAAGAGGAACGTTGGCTTTGGAGGCCATACATAAGCAAGTTCTTCCTTTCTTATTACGTAGACTAAAAGAAGATGTCCTTGCTGATTTGCCTCCTAAAATCATTCAAGATTATTATTGTGAGATGAGCGATTTGCAACGAAAACTGCATAATGATTTTATCTCTCAATTAAATGTAAACGAGGAAATAGAAGTTGATTTGGATGAACAAGAAAACAAAAAACCCGCTAAAAAGAAATCTTCGAAGGGACACATCTTCCAAGCTTTGCAATACATGCGCAAACTTTGCAATCATCCTGCTCTGATCTTGACTGACAAGCATCCTAAACGTGTTGAAATTACGAAGCAATTAGAAAAAGAGCATAGTACTCTTCATGATCTAAAACATGCCCCTAAGTTACTAGCACTTGGTCAATTGCTCAAAGACTGTGGTATAGGTGATTCTTCGTATAATGGTACTGGGGTTGATTCAACACTGGCTAATCCCGTGAGTGAACATCGAGTACTTATTTTCTGTCAACTTAAGGACATGTTAGACATGGTAGAAAAGGATCTTTTAAGAGCTACTATGCCCGAAGTTTCATATATGAGACTTGATGGTTCTGTTGAGCCTACCAAACGCCAGGAGGCCGTAACAAAGTTTAATAACGATCCTTCCATCGATGTCTTGTTATTAACAACACATGTTGGTGGTTTAGGTTTAAATTTGACTGGTGCGGATACTGTAATTTTCGTTGAGCATGACTGGAATCCTATGCGTGACTTGCAAGCAATGGATCGAGCTCATCGTATCGGGCAGAAGAAAGTAGTAAATGTATACCGACTAATTACTAAAGATTGCCTTGAAGAGAAGATTATGGGTTTACAGCGATTTAAGATGAACGTCGCTTCTACTGTTGTTAATCAGCAAAATAATGGGCTTGCTTCTATAGAAACAGATCAGATACTAGATTTGTTTGACAGCAATGCCGATGAACAGAAAGCGGATGAGAAGAAAGAAAAGTTTTTGGACACCAATAACCAAGGTCTAAGTGCTACTTCAAAGAAAGCATTAGAAGGATTACCGGAAATGTGGGATGAATCACAATACGACGAGTTCAATTTGGATGGGTTTATATCCTCCTTATCCAAAGAACCTCAATAATTAAAACTGATGCCTCTTATTTAAATTAGTTATTTTCATGTTTATAATTATAACATAAGTTGTACAATAGAAGTTAATGCCCTTTTATAATAAATTTAAGTGAAATAATAGTCAAGGACAACAAGTAATAAAGATTGCAAGTAGGGTTCAATTACGAGTAGAATCCATAAAACATTACGATATCAGCATCAAGCACGAGTACGAAAGTCGAGAGAAATCAGACATCTTAAAATATAGTTGAAAATGAGTTCGTAATTAAATAATTTTTTGATTTATATAGTTTCTAAACAAGTCAATCTCCTCCCTTGTAAACGCACAGCTAACTGTTAGAAAAACGATATAAAATCTCACTACTTACAAGATTGGAACCTGAGATGGATTAATTTCTTTGGGAATAGGTCGAGAAAAGGCTCGAAGCTCGGTACATAAAATCGAACTTATACCAGTAACGCTCAAATGTTTAAGGTTTTTACAATTGAGCATTAAATAACTAATCGACTTTCGAAGTGTTAGTATTAGTTCGGATATATTCAGCATACCTTTGGTGTTAAACCAGTACAGTAGGAAAGATGGATGCGTTCTAGAAACTTTGAGCTACAGTTAGAGAGATGGATTATTGAAATGTCAGTTAAGAATATGCACTTGACCAGACCAACTCTTTGTAGGCGAGGAAGTTTAGCTATTTCAGCAACAGAGCTGTCAGTTAACCGAAAACAGCCTCCAAAATCAACGTATGCGAGGTTTTTGCATGATTTCAAAACGCTTATAATCCCTAGATCGGTTACTTCATAACAATGCCCGAGATGTAATGAGGTAAGATATGTTTTCAAATTTGAGATTCCTGCCAAGGCCGTGTCTGTGAGTTGAATGCATTTAGTCAAGTACAGAGTTTGCAGTCTTGGGAAACATTCACAAAGCTTGAGAACATGATTGTCTGAAAGTTCAGAAAGACCAGTTAAATTAAGACTCCTCAAGGAACAGAATTTCGAAGGGGAAGTATAGTAATCCATGAAGTCAGTAAGATAAAAGCACCCTGACATATTCAACTCTTTCAAATTTTTCTGCTTCATAAGGGCTTTAATTAGCACGGATGGATCCTTCATGTTTCTGCAACCACTGATGTCCAACTCTATTAGGTCACCATATTCACTCAGCGTTTGCAAAGATTTTTCCGTTAAGGATGTGCAATCATTTAATTTGAGTTTTTTTAAGTGCTTGCATTGCACCAATGTCTCTTTCAATTGCGAGTCATCCAGAAGAGCACATCGAGAAAGTGACAATGCTTTTAACTTTTTCAGCTTTGGTAGAGCATCTAACATAGTTTTCGTTGATAGTTTTGGTATCCCACTCAAATCCAATACCAAGATGTCTAGATTGTTTAAAAGTATAGAACTAATCATGTCATCAGTTAATCTAGTACAGCCAGACAAATTTATCCTTAAAAGATTTCTTGCTCCTGACAATAACGATAAATGCCCATCTGTAACGAAGTTGCTCACATACGAGAGATTTAGCTTTCGGGAGTGCATACAGTAATTTTCAGCGTTTTTGAATGTTTGAAGAGCTTTTGAAAAGGTTTGAAATTCTGGTAATGTTTTAAAGACTAACTTCTCCCATAGAAATGGCAAAATAAAGCGACACCATACAGAATTCACCGTTAGACAATTGTACAGGTCGGGCACGTCCATGTATGAGATTATTTTATAGCAAATTTCGTTAGGCAAAGAGATATTAGAGCTCATCATCTTATAAGTTATTTTCAGGTTCAACAATTCCAACGAAGGAAAAGCCTTAAAAAGGTGCCAAGTGAAATGTAAACAAACATACAAAGCATAATCTACAACATGCAGAAGGCTTATTACAGGTAAACAGAATAAAATATATATATATTTAAATAATATTAGTTAAAGAATCACATAAGCATGAAAGTCATTTCACATACATTTATCGAAGGCTTTGAACAGCTTGTGTCCTCATAATATTTATCCAATCAAGAAAGTCATTAAGTTAATAGACTAGGAAGTAACATAAAAAATTCGTGTAATGTGTTAGAAAGGCATTAATTTTCAGAAGTTAAAAAGGGTAATCACAGATAAAATTAGCGACCGCTCTTCTCGAGAATTTCCATATAGGACTTTCTTGTTTTATCTTTAAGGCGCTTATTTTTCGAACGCAGCCTCTTTCTATCAGGTCGTACTACAATCACTGGAATCGGGCTTTTTTGTAAACAGAATTTGGAAACACTTCCGCTGGACAAAAGGGATTGGAAACTGTTAAGAGGTTTTCCCCTGGTACCTACAATTAAGCTGTCGGGGGAATAAATATGAATAGTTCGAAGAATCATATCTTGAGGCTTCCCGACGACAAGCTCGACTATTATAGATACAGCTTTTTCTTCATCAACTTTCTTGAGTAAAGTTGCCATCATGTTTTCGGCCATTAGGCGGTATGAATCTTCATCCGATAACTCTTCTGCCATTCTGGAAGAAGGATCAATGACTCGCAATATAACCACCTCATCGTTGTCAGATAAAAGAGATTCAAAAAGATACTCCACAGCAAATTCAGAGTATATATTTTCATCCAGCCCACATAGAAAAGTTCGAGATGCTCGAGTCCATTTATAAGCTTGATGTTGAGTTTTTAAAGTTAGAGAAAATTCTGAGGCAGCTTTATTATTAAACGTATCAAAGGAAATTCTTCTAAGAAAATGTGGACTTGGCGGAGGAGAAGCTAGGCTGCTCGCCCGAGTATATGGGTATTCCGCAAACTGCGGCTGTATGAAACCAGCACCCTGAGCAGCAGCAAATGTGACAGAGTTTTTAGCTACCGGACGAAAAACAGGTTTATCCATGGATGATCTAGAGCTTCTAGTAACAGGGGTTACAGGCTCCGAATGCGCCTGTCGCTGAACATTAGTGGAAATGCTAAGCTTGTTTTTCTCTTTCGATTCAGGACGAGGAAGATTTCCGAACGAAATTCCTTCTTTAACATTTCCATTTATACCTGACTGGTCTGCCATACCAATGTATTAAAAACGAAAAGTATACTCAGAACGACCAATGACAAAAAGTAAGATCTGAATGGGAACACAAGAAGAACAGGAGATACAGTGACCAGATTCGTTGTATGTAGATTTTTAAGGTAAAAAGACGAAAAAAAAGGCTTCAATGGTAGCTTCAATGGTATTGAGCGGTAAGATTGAAAGGAAAAGTCTCTGGTACGAGCAATGAGTCTGTTTACCAGGCTAGCAAGCAGAGATAATACGAATTAGCAAAATAAATTTCAACACTTTTTTTAAAAATCAAACTTCCTGTTTGTCTTTACTTCTGTTTCGCTTGGCTACTGTGTATGGGTAGAAAGCTAAGGTAGATGAAAGTAAAGCCACAAAAATTTCCATGTATACAAGGAGCGTTGTGAAGCGAAAATACGTTAGTCTACTTATGGAATAGTCTTTAATAATCTATATCTGCAATTTTAAGGAGACGTTTTCAGGCCTTTAGCCGTTTTATACACCTATTATTCAAAATTTTGTCTCTAGCTTGGTTGCTATCGATTGCTAAAGGAGAATATGTTAAGGAATGTTAAAATTTGCTTTCTACGCCATTTTAGGATGCTGAAATGACCAGGACCCTGATAGTCGATGGCATTAGAAAAAAGGACTACTTTCGTAAACCATAGGTAGAAGAGGTTACAGAACCCGTGAAAATCAAACTTATATTTCTTTATTTTATATTATTGTCTCTCACTTATTCCATAGTACGTGAAGCGACTTTATACTTTTTAGTGTGCATGGATAGTGTTTTTGGTTAGGAAAAAACTTTTTCTTCCTTTACCACACTTGCTTACTGACGGGAAGCCAGAACCAAAACATTTCCTCATTAGACTTGTCAATTGATAAAATTGGCTTTAAAATTTGAAGGTATTTTTGTTTCATTGGCAAGGTTCAAGCTGAAGCCAAAATTTCGCTTTTCCTCTAAACATTTAATTCAACGAAACATTTGTGGATTTAGACAGTATCACAGATTCCCAAAAAAAATGGCAGCAGTAGACCAACTTACGATAAATTTACAATCCTTAGGATTGCAAGATCATACGCTTCTTAAAGAAGCTGATGTTGAACACAATCCTATTGATCTTTACCGCAGCTACATTGCTAGTGAACTTTCTAAAATCAGCGGAGTAGATACTTCTCTTATTTACCCTGCTTTGGAAACATCTATTAGCAAAGACTCTGCTGACTTAAACCTACCGGTTCCTCGTCTTCGTGCAAAGGGTGGTAAACCTCAAGAATTGGCTGCTAAATGGGCTGAAGAATTCCCTAAGGATTTGGTAGATGTTGTTGCTAATGGAATCTTTTTACGTTTCAATTTTATTGGTCCTTCCCTTACCAAATTGGTTTTGCCTATGATTTGGAACCAACGAGAAGAGTATGGTCGTAACGAGTCCGCTAAGGGAAAGGTCGCCGTTTTTGACTTCAGTAGTCCTAACATTGCTAAACCTTTCCACGCTGGTCATTTGCGTAGTACCATCATTGGTTCTTTCCTTTGTAACTTGCATGAATCCCAAGGTTGGAAGGTCCATCGTGTCAACTACTTGGGTGATTGGGGTAAACAGTTTGGTTTGCTTGCCATTGGTTTTGAACGTTATGGAAACGATAAGGAACTCGAAGAAAACCCCATGCGTCATCTTTATGATGTTTACGTGAAAATTAATGCTGATGCCACCGCTGAAGAAGAAAAGATTCAGCAAGAAGGTGCTGAAGCAGAAAGTAAGGGTGTTCCTTACACTCCCTTTGCTACACTTCATGACAAGGCTCGTGAATTCTTCAAGCAAATGGAGGCTGGCGATGAGCAGAGTCTTAAGACTTGGTCTCGTTTCCGTGACCTTAGCATTGTCAAATTGAAGGAGACTTACGAGCGTCTCAACATCAAATACGACGAATATGATGGTGAATCTCAGGTTTCTCTTCAACTTATGGATGAAATGATTGATCTTTTGAAAAAGAAAAATCTTGTTGAACAAGACAATGGTGCCTTATTAATTGATCTTGCCAAATTTGACAAGAAACTTGGCAAGGCGGTTGTCCGTAAACGTGATGGTGCCACCCTTTACTTAACTCGTGATATTGGTACTGCTGTCAAGCGTTATGAAAAGTATAAATTTGACAAGTCTGTCTATGTTGTTGCTTCTCAACAAGATATGTACTTTGCTCAATTATTCAAAATTCTTGAGCTCATGGGTTTTGAATGGGCTAAGAAGTGTGTTCATATCAACTACGGTCTTATTCAAGGAATGAGTACTCGAAAAGGTAAGGCAATTTTTTTGGACGACATCATGGAAGTTGCCAAAGAAGAAATGCACAAGGTTATGCAGAAGAACCAGGAGAAATATTCTCAAATCGAAAACCCCGAAGAGGTTGCTGACATTGTCGGTAAGACTGCTATCCGTATTCAAGATTCTACTGGTAAACGGATCAACAACTATGCTTTTGATTGGTCTCGTATGACCTCTTTTGAAGGTGATACTGGTCCTTACCTTCAATATGCTCACTCTCGTTTGTCGTCTGTTCAACGTAACGTTGACTTTACTGATGAACAAATGAAGAATGCCGATTTGAGTTTGATTACAGAGCCTGAAGCTTATGAATTGGTTCGTTTGCTCGGCCAGTATCCTGATGTTTTGAAGAGTGCATTCCGTTTCCAAGAAACTTCTACAGTGGTTACCTACCTTTTCAAATTGACACATGCTGTCAGTAAATTGTACGATATTCTTTGGGTTAAGGGTCGTGAAGAAAACTTGCAACTTGCTCGTCTTGCACTCTTTGGAGCTGCCAAACAAGTTCTGAACAACGGTATGAAATTGTTGGGCTTGACTCCTTTGGAGAGAATGTAGATTGCAGAGAAAAAAAATCAGTTTTTGTGATAATTTAATTGAAATTTTTTTAAAAAAATATCTAACTGTAGAGAGATGGGAGAAGCAAAGGTTGTAGATTCCGATCAAAGTTTTGAAAGTGATTGAAAGATCAATATTAAGAGGTTTGACATTAAAGGAATGGCTTTCATTAGATAACGGAACAATTTCTTTTCGAAAGTTTGATATCAGTTTTGGAGTGAAAACAGCAATTAGAGCGAACGGAAGCAAAACGATCAGCTGTAAAAGAGAAAACAATATGATGGGAGCAAAATGGTAGCGATCAGAATTCAACTATTGAAGCATTCTGGTTGTTGCATGGCAGATAGTGCAAGAGCGGATGTAGTACTAACTAATGTGGGAGGAGAGATTTGAACAGACTTTTGATTTGAGCATCTTGTTTTTTTTTGAGATGTAAATAGACGGTTAATGAAAGACTTGAGAAAATTAATGTTTCTTTTAAGGATATTTTTTGGGGACCGGATAGATGGACGCGGTTGAGCAGGTTTTTGCTCTTGCGCTAAGGGAATATTTTCTTTCAGAAAATGGGTTCGAATATCCTTTTCGAAAATGGGATCCACATACACGGTTGAATGGACTTTGTCTGCATATTCAGCGGCTCCAGCAGTAATCAATTTTCGGTTTCGAACGTTCATTACGGAATAATGAGTAAAAGCTATTAAAATAAGATTTAGATTTTAAGACTGAAAATGAAAGTATAGAACCTGAAAATCTCAACAAATCCCAATACAATTCTGTTAGCACAACTGAGGCAATTCAAATAAATAAATATCTCTAAGTAGAATGAACAAGTAAGAAATCGTTTCCGAAATTTAATATAGATGCAGAGAAATGAAAGAATTGAGAAGTAATGATCAATTTAAATTTCTTTTGATTACGGACAACGAAAGGAGATGCTTTACAAAGGAGTATAGTATATTTCAACAACAAAACCGATTACAAAATTGTGGAAGTTTTGCGTAGATGTGAAGAAACTAAACTTCCTAATTGATATATGCAAAGAAAAAAAGAAGCACGGATGAACCAAATGGTCCATATATGAACGTGAAAGGAAAGGAACATATGGAGGGGGAAAAAGTAACAAGAACTCTTTCAGCTGATAGAACGATATGAAATTCCCTTAAATAGATTCAGAATGAAAGAAGCAATGAAACTGTTGATTTGACGTGCTTGTAAAATATGTCCCTTCATTGCAATTGAGTCATCCTGTCTCTCATAAGGAAACCATCACTTTCGAAATAGATGGTTGCAGCCAGATCAAAAAATTATTTAGAGTCGATTTTTCAGGTAGATAGAAATCAAGCAACAAAAAATTCAAGCATAGTTCTGAAAATGCTGCTGGCTGAGCCGAGAGTCACTAGTTTCAGAGATTCAATCCTTAACATTGGTCTTGGTTTAGGTAATAGGAATCCGTGAATTTACTTATCCGTAATGAGATGGTTTATAATAGGATTACCTGATACAGGAAATGCTACTGATTTTCATCATTTCCAATTTATCTCGTAGTTAAGAAAAAAGTTGCTATTCCCTGTCTAAAAATCTAGTTTGCTCTTGTATAGTCCCACTTATTAGTGCAAAACTCTTTTTCTTCTCATTGCTGTATCTCAAGATTAAAAGCTTTATGAAACGTTCTGTTTACAGTAGAAGAACTGCTCTTTTGTTTATTAGTGTACGTAAATTACAGTACGCTATCCTACACATATCGTATCAGATGTCACACGTAGTCGTTTGTTTATTTACGTCGCAGTGAAGGACAAAACGAAAGAATTTGCTGGTCAATGATGAATGGAATTTGCTTTATTTCAGGGGTTTTCTATGGATTTTTAATTTATCAGTATCAATCCTTTTCCTTGTGTTTTGATTTTTATTTTTGGTCCTATATTCATCACCAGAAGAAACCGCACTTTGTACTGTCTAATAAAGCAAGCATTTCCAATATGTTTTTTGTTTTATTCTATTTTGTTTCCAAAGCACATGCTTCTGTTTGACAGCAAGGCAAAATTCGTGAACTGTTTATTTATTATATTAAATCCTACATGAACTCTTTACTACGATGCTATTCTATTGCTGGTACGTTACCTTTCCCTCTGGGGAATTCAAGAACATCGCCGAAGCAACATCAACTCTATAATAAACTTTCCTTCTTAATATCCTAATCCCTTCATACACTCTTTTAACTCTGAAAGTAATAATGCCAATGCCAGGTTCATCAAATCAAGAGCCTTTGGCAGAGGCAGAGACAAACATGCTGCAGCGATTAGAACAATTGCAAATGCAGACGTCTAACATTCTTAAAAGGCTGCATTCTACCACTACGTTCTCGGAAACATCGTCTCCTGATCCTGTAAACGAAAATGACATAGTTGCTGAAAGTTCGAATTCTCCGGCGTCTATCGATAATGTTGATTCATTAGCCGAAGCGATGGGTAATGTGAAAATAAATGAACATGAAGAAAAACAAGCTTCTATTCCAAATGCCATTACCAAGGACAAACCATCTCATGACCATGGAGAAACCCCTCAGATACCTACTTCTATTTCACCTAGTAAAATGAAAGTTAAAGCTCGAGCCATTCGACCTTCCGTAAAGCCAAACCGGGATTCCTCTTTAATAAACCAGCATCAACAACCTTCACCATCCCGTTCCTCCGGAAGACTTTCCACCGGAGTGCAAAACACTAGACTTTCAGCGTCTGGTAATTCTCATGCACCAGTACGTCCTCCTTCTTCTGCAGGAGCTCGTTCTTCGTTTCCTTTCTCTTCTAGTCCTAAAGCTGCATTATCAACTCCCAAGTCACCAGCTTTGGCAAATCCTCAAGTTCATAGATCTAGATCTTCCTTGGGAGCTCGTCCTCCTTCTAGAATCACCGTCAATTCTACCTCTAATTCACATATGCAAGCTACTGCTCCTGGAGTACAACCCAAGCCTTCTGTCGGAGTTAAAGTTTCTACGTCCGCAGCCTCTCCAAAAGTTCCTGTAAGACAAGCTAATGGAGCTTCCGTTATTCGCCCTGATACTCGATCTGGAATAACACGTCCAATGTCACGATCTATGGGTCTCTCTTCTGCAGGTTTGCGTGGAAAACAACCCACCACACATACTCCTACTGTTCCTAAGACCAAAGCCAATGTCCATGCAACTATCCTTCGTCCTTCTACATCTGCTTACACTGTACGTCCTGGCTCCAGGATCCTTCGTGACCCTGATACATCTCACGACTTGGCCAACCATGCATCAAATTCTTCTCTACGTACCAGCTCATCCTTAGCAGTTCGTTCTCCACCCTCCAACACTGTAAACAGATCTCCATCGAGATTAGAACAAACAGGAGCAAGTATCAAGAATTCAAGCGCTAAAATAATGAGGCCTTCAACTGCTGCCGAAGTACGATCTCCTTCCAGAAGTACTGCTGCTAGAACACCTTCAAGGCTTGGGCAAACAGGGGGCTTTAGTAAAAACCCTACCGCTAAGGTAATGAGACCTGGGACTTCCGCTGGAATACACTCTCCTGCTAGAAGTACTGCGCCAAGAGCACCATCTAGGTTAGAACAAACCGGGGTCAACGTAAAAAAATCAAATGTTAAGGTGATAAGACCTGGGACTGCCGCTGGAATACGTTCACCCTCTAGAGGCCCTGTCCCCAAAGCACCATCTAGGCTAGAACAAACTGGGGTCAATGCTAAAAATTCAGGCGCCAAGATCATGAGACCCGGGACTGCCTCTGGGATACGGTCTCCTTCTAGAACCACTGCCCCTAGAGCACCGTCCAGGCTAGAACAAACAGGAGTCAATGTGAAAAATTCAAGCGCCAAGGTGATGAGGCCGGACACTAGTTCCGGGGTAAGGTCTCCTTCCCGACTTGCTCAGGCTTCGGTTTCTTCTAAGACTCCGATCAATGGAGTTAGAGCAAGAGCTTTAAATACTGTACGACCTGCGTCGTCAAATCGTGAACGACCGGCATCCTCATTACGAGTTAGGGCATCTTCTCGTTCTCTACAGCATCCATCGATCATTCGCCCAACCACCTCTTTGCAACGTGAACGAAGTAAAATCTCGGGAATACCCAGTCCATTGCCAGAAGATGTTAACATATCTAATATACGTGAACCCAGCGAATCCTTAGACCTAAACAAAATAAATTAACAACCTGCCTCCCCTTTTAATGTTTACGACCAAATTATTTTAGGTGGTTTCTTTTTATTATGAGTGTTAGTAATAGTAACTTCATTTAGCATTATCATTCTATGATTTCAATTAGATGATTTCTTGTTTGAATCGTTGTAACTACGCTTTTCCTTTTTCTAGCCAATTTTATGTACTCTGTTCCGGTGCATTCATCCAAATGTTCAAATCTCTAATGATTTATCATTTACTAGCAAAAAAGAAACGAACCAAAAATACTGACATCTATTGTTTATTAGCGAAGCCTTTCGTTACGTTAAGCTAACTAAGAAAGCATAAGGATCATCCTTAAAGATAACAAACCCAGAGAGCTATGGTTCTAAACAAAAACCAAACAAACCAAACGCGAGTCAAATTCGACACTGTTGAGAAAGCCTATTTGTGTGGTTATTGTTCTTTTATATTAGTTTTTTTATTAAAAAGAATGAATGGTTTTATGCCCGTGACTTCACCAAATGGTGCTACAAAAGAACAAGAAGTGACTTCCACAAATCTCGCGTTGAATGTAAGTAATTCCCTTCCTGATGATTAGATATGTCTTTGCGTATACTATCTCAGTAAATTCCTGGAATCAAATGAGTGTAACTATATTTTGGCGATTCTAGCTTGGCCTGAATTCCAGGTGGTGATCGAGAGTATCTACTTCAGGCTACCTTTTCTATATCTTTTCATCTGCTGTTTCTCTTTTTTTTTATTTATATACATACTAACGGCATTCTAGATCTCTGACTTTGTTTTTTCGAATGGTTTCCTACAAGGTGCTTTTTCAGATACAAACATACAAATTCAAGATAATGTATACCGCCTGCATGCTTTATTCTTAGCTCGTTCCCCTGTACTATATCAAAAAATAACCGAAGTTTCTTCAACTGGCATGCCTTATAATATCAAATTGGAGATAGAAGATCATTATGTTACAAAAGAATCCATAATTTTTGTTCTTTCCTCTCTTTACCGAGATGCCGTCATTATACCAGCTGATTTGAACCCTTGTTGTATTCTTGCTACCAGTGCATTATTGGGTCTTGACGGATTGGCCTTTGAGGCTGCATCTCGCATTGAGAATTCAATTAATCCATTCACAATGGAGAATATCCTCACCTTTTTGGACCCTAAATTAGAGGGCTTTGAGAGGCTTAAAGTAGGAACGTATCCTAGATACACTACTGGCCTTTTTGACAAAGCTTTAGAAGTTATGTATACTACCCTTGTTAACCATTGGAATAAGGAATACGTTAACGTGCTCTGCAAACTCCCTTTCCCTGTCATTAAAAATCTTTTGGAAAGCAACAAACTCACTGTTGGAACAAGCAGTATGGCACGTTACAAGCTCGCAACAGAAATTGTTAGGATGCGCAATTCATACCGTAAACAGTTCCGCATAGAAGGACGAGGAGATGAAAGTGTCGTATTGGCATTTGGAGAAGGTAATAGATCCATCCAGTTAGTCAAAAGTGCTTCTGGTCCTGAGTCAAGACGGAAGACACTTTGGAAAGCAGCTTCAACTGAGCAAATATAGAAGTCAGTTATATGGTAAAGCATATTTGCTTTCATAAGTACATACGGCTTCTAAACATCTGTATTTCTTTGCATAGTTCTAATTATCTTGATTGTAATTTAATTTTATTTAAGAAAAAACACAAAGAAAGAAAATCAGAGAAAAGCTGCTTAAAATTGAATAGACTTTTTAGTGTAATTATGTTCTACTCTTGAAGAAAGTTTTTTGGGATCTAAGGCAAAAAGTCTAGCAGATTCAGATTTTAGAGGATCAAAAATGCTAAATAATAAAAAATCTTGAAAGAAAAACGATTAGAAGCAGCAACGATCTTTTCAATGTTACCAGTAAGTGCTTAAATATACTTCAAAATTTTATTAAACCGTATTATCCGTTAAACAAAATGAATTTAACCCAATATTTTAACACCTTCATTCAGCTTTACGTTTCTTCTTAACAGGTTCTTCAGGTGGTACGAAAGCCTTTTGTCTTTCTTCTTCTTTGAGCTTTTGCTTCTCTTTTTGTTTTTCTTTCTTTTCTGCACGGAGTTTTCGTTCTTTTTCTTCCTTCTTCATGAAATACTCACCACTCTCAATTTCAAGATCAAGCTTGCTAGGCTGTTGAGGAGGAGGAAATGGAGTGTAGTCTTTCTTCTCCTTAATTTTAGCAGGCTTACGGCGTGCAACATTCCTCTTCTTAAATTGAGGTAAAAACCTGTCCCATGATTCTTGAGCTAACGTAGGATCCTTAGCCAACTCACGCTTAATCATTAATTCTTTGATATGATAAATTGGGTGAATATTATGCATGCAATCCTCAACCACTCTCCGAAGTTCTTTTAATCCCCTATAGCCACCCATAGCAGCTACAGTGGTACCTTGTACCAAAATGTAGCATTGTGTCAACAACTCTAATGCCTTCAAGGTTTGGCCGTTATTACCTACTAGACGTTGACGACGTTTGACGAATCGCTCCTTATTGCGAACAACATTTCCAATCTTCATAATATCACATGCAACACCATCTTGCATTATTTTAATCGCTTGAGGAAATGGGACACTACGAGCCAGCAACTTAATCAAGTCCCTAGCATTCAAAATAGCGTACGGATCGAAAGTTTTTCTGGTAGTCTTGACGGTCATGCTACCCTCTACCAAATCGAGAACGCAAGCAATTCCATACTTATCCAAAGCCCTTGTTACATGAGGCCAGACTTCTCGAAGGTATTTTTCACGATATTTAGGGAATAGAGTAGCGAAGCTGGATTCCTCTAAAAAGGGTTCAGAGTAATCTTCTTTCGAAAAAGGATCGATTTTCCACTATTTATGGTTAATTGGGTCTCCTATGGAACACTCAATGCCGTTTTACACAGCATCTGAAATTTTTTACTTACATGATCGATATCATCGGTATCCCATGGTTTCTCACGTCTTTCAAATGTTAATAAATTGCAATTGATCGAAGGTAAGTATTCACCACTGCGTACCTATAACGCTTATTTTTATTCACAATCACTACAATTCAGTTAGTTTCTGGAAATAAAATAGCATGTATTTACTTACCATTGGATTGTTCTCTATCTTCCAATTCACTCATTTTCAAATTTAAAAAGGAAAATAACTGATATTCTTTCCTTTAGAGGCCAGTTCTAACTTTGGTGGTGAAAGGGAGTTGGTTCGTTCTGCCTCTGTTAAAAGCTTTACAAGGACATACCAAGTTGGGACTGCCAACATTAGTATCTTTGTCTACAAGGAATAATAAAGCAACGTTTTATGTGCAAAATGAAATTTTTGTAAATTCACTTTATTTCGAGTATTATTTAGTTGGATGAATCGCACTATGGCGTTCGTTGCAAGAAAAATCTTTCCTTATGAGACGCCTTCAACATGGTTTCCAGGCCATATGCATAAGACTTTAAAAAAACTACAATCTCTGTCTTCAGAAGTAGATATATTAATTGAAGTTCGGGACGCTCGCATTCCTTTAACTTCTAGAAACTTTGCTGTAGAGTCGATTTTGAAAAAAAGAAACCGAATTATTGTTTATAATAAATGTGATTTGGCAATTCCCTGTGAGACATCTCTTTCGACATTTCGTGATGAAATGGTACATCTGCAACAGTCTTTTCAGAGCATGCAAGACTGGTTTCAACGGTCTCAGGGAGACATTTTCAAAACAGTACCCTCTTTGACTTATGTATCTTCTGTCCCTTTCTACGCCAAGAAACTGTTAAAAAGGATTCGGAATATGGCCATCAATGGTATTACCAAAAACCAACGCGTTCACGTGTACTTTATAGGGATGCCTAATACAGGGAAAAGCAGTATTTTAAATTCTTTGCGACACATAAGTTTGCGTCGTAGTAAAGCGGCAATAACCGGTAACTATCCAGGTGTCACAAAGAATTTTAGTGAAGTAGTCAGACTGCTAGAACATGCTGAGGTATTCATGCTTGATACGCCAGGTAATATCTATATGTCTTAATTTGACCGATACTGACTGTAACATAGGTATCATGACCCCGTCCATCGCTGCACCGGAAGATATGCTGAAGCTGTCTTTGGTTGGTTGCGTCAAGGAAGGACTTATTGACCCTGTAACTTTAGTAGATTACTTACTTTTTCGTATAAATTTAGTCAGCCCTTCTATTTATGCAAAATGGTCTCCGCCTACGAATGATGTTGACGAATTTTTAGGAAACGTTGCCCATAAAATAGGTAAATTATCTAAAGGGGGAGGATATAATGACAATACGGTCTCTACCTATATAATCCAGCAGTATAGGTCTGGAAAACTTGGTAAATTTATGTTGGATTCTATGGACAAGTCCAGTATGTCACTGCGACTGCAGCATGAATTAACCAAGAGTCAAAAAAAAAGTTAATGAAAATATTTTATCCACTTGATGACTATGGAGCCAACATTTTTCGGCTTTACAAGATTAAAGTCGTAACCTATGTCTTACCGTTTATGCTCTATAGTAAACGATTGTACATTGAACCCATGATTGTGATTTTCATACAACAAGAATATTTCCTTTTGTCACACGAAGGGAAGGATTTGTTATTGAAACTAGGATTTCATTAAAAAGCATAATCCTAGTCTAAAGTTTCATATCATAAATGCCTATTACACACAGAACTCAAAAAAATCTAATAAGTATGTCGAACATTTGGCTTGAGAATAAATTAGTAGATTAAAGAAATAAAGAAATAAACAAACAACTAAGAAAGACAATTCAGTAACGGAAACCCCAAAGAACAATTTTTATACAATTCATTCAGTCCAAGTTAACCATATTGGTGACTTCGCTTATAGTCATCGCTGGTAATTGCATGTTCGTAAACTGATGGATAAGGGGTTTTGGTTATATTTGAAGAGTTTACATCGTCATCACAGACGCTGAGCGTAGGTGAGCAGAAATTCGCTCCTTGGCGTACATCTTGCGAGTCCGTCAAATCCAAAGGTTCAGAAAGGAATGGATTAGTAGAAGCTACCGGACTGTGAATAAGTTCTTCAAGATCTTGCTGCTGCTCCAAGTCAAATTGGCCAGAGGTGTCGATATTCGTAGTACGAACCGTAATAGGTGAGTCATGAGGAAGTACTTCTGTTTGATGATTAACTCGAGGAACAGTATTTCCAGTATTTTGCTGAGAATGGGGTCTCTCTTTGATGCTAGAAGGCCCTCTTGTGTTGCCGACAGCTTCATTGGGCTCTCGAACATCAGGGGAAACGACTCTTTCAGTGGAGTGGTTAGAAGTTACAGAAGTGGTGGTGGCTATAGGATTAGCATCTTCCACAGAAGGTGTTTCATCGGTAGAAGCTGTAGTAGTCTGTTGTGCATCCTCCAAACTCTGTCGAATAGCTTCAGCGACCATGAGCTGTTCCACATTGGCAAGGTAGTGATTTCTACGGCTACTTAACGTGCGCCTTTGGGAGTTTGCACGGGAAGCTCTCAAGCCAATCACATTTTCTGAAGAAGAGACACTATCACTGTGACTTTCATTAGGGGACGGCTCCAATAAATGAGAATTTAGGAGAGTGGCATTTGCAGCACGTCTCAGAGCACGTCGACGGGCCTTTTCCAAATTATATTGCCAGTCTGGACGAATATAATCGGTGGTGATGACACGTGGGTCGTCAAACACAAACTTGGCATTCTTGTTGGGAACCCAGGGTCGTTCATTTTCAGAAATATAGAGCTTTTCAAGTTCCTTAGCCAATGGATGAGATTCCGGATCTATTTGATAAGGGGCGTTAAAAGAGAAACGTGACAGAGCAGGATTTGGAACGTAAACGACACCAAAGCGATCCGTCATGCAGTATGGACATTTGACAGGTTCTGAAATTAAATCAAAGTCGTTCGGCGTCGGATCGTTAGCATGAACTGTTGGCAAATGCGGGTCAGGGCGACGAATTTCAACAAAGCATTCAGAGCAAATTGGTTGTGCACAGCACCGAGTATAGTTATAGTTTGGGGGATAATAGAGAAAGCAGATGGGACATTCAAAGGCATTAGCATAAATAGTGGAGATGGCTTGGGCATGGTTGTCTTGGGTAGTAACATGGGTATTTCCAGGGGTGGAATTGGAACGTGAACGGGCAGAACGCTTGAGGGACCTGGCATTTCCTAAAGAATGAAGTTTTGCTTCACGAATGGCGGACCGTAACGTCATCGTTTTTTGGGAACCTAAAGCCTTTTCAACAACATCTGCAACTTTTTCAGGTGACCAACCTGCATTGTATTCCTCGAGTCCTTTATAAAATGGCATTAAACGGCGTTCAAGCTAGAAGCAGTTAGTAATTACTGAATCCAAGGAAAAAGAAAAGAGTAAACAAACGTTGACAATGTAGCTTGTTGAGGCTTCTCTTTGAGAATTATATGGATTTATAGGCTACTCAATACTGTCCTTGAAATTTCTTAGGAAACATACCATTAGTTTTCGTACAATTGATACTTTGTAGGAAGGCTCCGAGGCGTAAACACCGTGAGGAAATAGAAACCCACCATCGATCAAGCGCACCAAGTCATTTACATACTCGTCTTCATTTTCATGCTTTTCTTTACCAATGGTATTGCCCATCTTATTAGTAAGATTCGAGGATATGGCGTATTTGGCAAAGGTTTCGTTGCGCCCTACAAGACTGACGGAGGTGAGCGACTTCTTATAAAGAGTTGCCACGTCAGAGACGGAGATCAGATCGACCTTTGTCTGGGTTCATCATGATGGAATAACCTAATGGCGTATTCGCTATAAGAATTTATAGAAAGAGATGACCTCGATATACGAATTAGTGGGGGTCTCTATATAGTAGTAATCCGAAGAGGTCGCGAAATAGAAAACAAAGAGAAGAAAGAAAGAAAGAAAGAAAGAAGAAAGAGAGAGAGAGAGAAGATGAGCATCCGATTCAGTAGCTCCGAATGTAGACAGAGTTAGAAAAATACATATCTATTTAAGCTACCGTTTCCTGATCAGCTTGTAAACAAGGACGAAATTGGATTTGTAAAAAGTAAAAGATGAATAGAAATTGTTTCGTTCCGACCAAGGTATGTACGAAAGCATGGTAGACAGAATAGAAAAAAAAAAAAAAAAAAAAATCGAAACCCTCAAGTACCTTGTAGACTGCAAAATTAATTTTTTATTCTTTGTCCTCACGAAAAAAGATTTGTTTACATTCCACCTCAATTAAGAGCCGAACAACCCCTGGTCGCTATGACTATACCTAGGGATACAGAGACGTAACTCGAATTTTGAATGAAAAATTTGAAGTTCTTCAGTCATTCTTTAGTACTTTAATTTATTTTTTTATTTTTTATTTTTATTCTTTTTCTCGCAATACTCTTTTTTTACTTGTAAACTTTCAAGTCAAGATCCCATGCAAGCAACTGTTTCGTAGCTACCTACAACCTTACACCTCTTCTCCTTTTCTCTCCTCTTCCTTTTCTTGTTACCTTTTACAAATCTCTTTGCATTGACTTTTATTGTTTATAATAGAGCAATACCCAGCTGTCAACTATACTCACCTTTCACCGTACACAATGGACCTTTTGTTTGAATGCCTCCATTGTCTTGAATGATTCAAATAGGACGGGCTCCGGCTCTACCTGTCGTAGTGCAGCGCTTGCTGACGAATGTTGAGCTTCTATTTAGATCTTTTCTTATTTTTATTCTATTCTATTTGAAGTTTGTTATTTTGGACCGTATTTTTTTTTGTCATTGTCTTTTGTTTACTGTTGATTGTTAGATCTGCCGTCACTGTTCCTATCATCTTTTGGCCATGGAGACTGGAAACCTTTCACCAAATGGTTTTATTTCAAAAAAAGATTCTTTTAAAAACGAGAAATTCCTTGTTTCGATCACTGAAAAATCCATAGCAAGTCCCACCACTGCTCAACTATCTGCCTCTACAGCAACCAGTTCAGATTCGCTAAATTCACCTTCGCATGCTTATCGGACCTTTCTAGATTTACCTTCACTTGATGGTGATGATGTCCAATCTTCTGCTTATTATGCTCATGCTTCCTCTTGGTCCGACTATGCTTTTGCATTCCGCTTCTCAGATGCTCTCCTTCTCTTTTTGACACTCACATTCACATGCCTGTCTGCGTCTTTGGAGCCGCTAATGACTTGGACCATTGGCAAGATCTTTGATGCTTTTTCCAACTATGCACGCTCTGCTATCTCTATCGATGAAATGTGCTCCATCGTCAATTTTAATTCACTTCTTATTTGTCTATTTGGGATTGCCTCTTGGGTGTTCAGTTTCGCCGTTCGTTTTTACTGGCAGTACCTCAGTGCGATCATTGGAAAACGGTCTCGTTCTCTCTGCTTTCATGCCCTAACCAGTAAACCATCTGCTTTCTACTCACTAATCAACAGCTCTAGCTCCTTAATTAATTCTGTAGACAGATGCGTTCAATTTTATGAATCCTCCATCAACCTTCCCCTTTTTCATATCATGGAAAACTTGGCTGTTGTCATCTCTTCCCTCGTTATGTCTTTTCGTTACAGCTGGTCCTTGACGCTTATCATCATGGCCTCTTATCCAATTATTATGTTTGTCGTTGCTTTCATCAATTCTTTTCTTTATAACAGCTATGAAGGCGACCGCCTTGCTTCCGAGAAAGCCGCTACTATTATTGAAAGAGTCTTGATGGCTTTCAAAACCGTTACCTTTCATGCCATGCAAAAGTACGAGTTTCAAAATGTCCAAGGCGCCATCGACCACAGCTCCAAATTCTTTCTCCGATTTTCCTTTCTTCATTCCCTACAGGGTGGCATCTCACAATTTTTCTTATATTCGGTTTTTTTCCAAGGCCTTTGGTATGGCAACCATTTAGCCAACTCTGGAAAAGTTACTGCTGGTCAAGTTGTTACCGTTTTCGGTTCTTGTCTTTCTATTGCCTCTGCTATTCAGCAAATCCTTCCCTCCATTCCTGATCTTATAAAAGGAAAGTTTGCTTCCCATTTTCTCAAATCCTTATGTCATGAACCTTTCTCTTCCAAACAAAAACCTCCTAAAGTTGGCATCCAAGATGTTAGCTTATCTTGGAGTTTCAATATGCGTAACGTTTCGTTTATGTATCCAAGTACAGAAGATCATAAGCCTTTCAGTCTCGTCAATATCTCTATGTCCATTCCTTCTGGTAAGGTTTCCCATATCATTGGGCCGAGTGGTTCAGGTAAAAGTACAATTGCTACTTTGCTTATGAGTTTTTTCCAACCAACCTATGGCTATATATATATTGATGATGTCCCTTTAGCAATGATCGATCCAAACTACGTCTATTCTAATGTTACGTTAGTCAGACAAGATGCTGTCGTATTTGACATGACGATTCGTGAGAATATCATGATTGGAAATCATAGTGCTTCTAATGATGATTTCGAATGTGCTGTTCGCCTGGCCCTTGTGGACGAATTTGCTTGGTCTTTCGACAAAGGATATGATACTCCTTGTCATGAAGGAACCCTCAGCGGTGGGCAACGGCAAAGAATTGCTTTGGCTAGAGCCCTTCTTCGAAATACTGAAGTTTTAATCCTCGATGAACCTACTAGTGGCTTAGACATCATATCTAAAAATCTAGTCAACGATGCCATACGTGCACACCGCTTGGGTAAAACCACTATTTACATTACCCATGATATGTCTCATATTTACGATGATGACTGGGTATTTTTTATTGAAAACGGTCGTTTACTCCAGCAGGGTTCGAAAAGGAAGTTACGCGATCTTGGAATTTTCAGTAATCCATCCGATGAATCAAATGAAACCTCTTCAGAAACTACCATACTCGAAGATCCATTTCTAGAAAATTTCGAAAAGTCAGAGGAAACCTATTCAGCTTATGGTGACATCTCTCCCTCTTTCGTTGATGCGTCGCCAATCATGTCCGTCGTGCGCAATCGAGATCCAAAAAGTCACTATGCAGCACAAGAAAAACCATCAGATACTATAGATGGCAATAACCGCTTATTTCTGAAAGAAAAGGAATCTATATATTCCGTATTTACTATCTTTAAAAGCTTATGGAAAGTTCAAAACGCCAGGCATTTGTTTTTCCTTGGGTGTTTGACTTCTTTAGCTCAAGGTGCTAGTATACCTGTATTAGCTTTTATCGTATCTAAGTCCCTTAACTTATTTATGCACCAAAATATGTCTGTTGGAATTGCATTATGGTCTTGCTTGATTTTGGTAGTAGCCGCGTTCACTGGGTTGTTTTATTTTTTGAGTCATTACGTATTTACCATGGCCGCTACAAATTGGTGTGACCATTATCGTCTTCTTGGTATCAAAATGTTGCTATCTCAAGACCAGGAATGGTATGACGAGACATCAAATTCACCTCTTTTATTTTCTAAAATCTTGGTGGGTAACATTAATGATATGAGAAACATGATTGATTCTTTAACAGAAGAACTTTTTGTTGCTTTTGTAATGATGTTAGTCGGGATGATATGGGCTTTAATAACTGGATGGAGACTGGCTATTATTCTGACAGCAGTAAGTCCTATCTTAATAATTACCTCTAAGGTTTTTTCTTACTTATACGTTAAAACAGAAAAAGATTGCCAAGACTGTTCAATTGCTACTACCTCTGTTTTACATCAAACAACATTGAATCTTGACGCAATAAGAGGACTCTCTGTTATGCCATATTTTCGCGAGAAGTATAAAGCACTCCTTAAGGACTATTGGAATTCCACTAAAAGGAAAGCTATATATACTAGTTTAGGATACTCCGTTACCTGTTCTCTTTTGTACTTTGTTCGTTCTCTTCTTTTTTATGCTGCGGCACAGTTCATATCAAAGAACTATTATAGTGTTGAACAGACCATACAAATTTTATCTCTAGCGACATTTACAATGGTATCTGCCTCTAGTTGCATCATGTCTTTGCCAAATGTCTCTGCTAGCAGAATTGAAGCTAGTAGAATTCTGCGACTAGCTGACATGAAGCCTGGAAAACTTAATGATCAAGGAAATATGAAATTTCCTTTCGTTGGGAAGATTAATTTTGACAAAGTAACCTTTGCCTATAACCAAGAGCGAGGAGATTCTGCTTTAAGCGACGCATCCTTTTCCATAAAACCAAAAGAGAAAGTTGCTATTGTCGGTGGATCTGGTTCGGGAAAATCGACTACGGCCGAGTTGCTTCAGAAGGTTTATATGTCGGAAAACATTTATATTGATGGCTATCCACTTTCTGAAATTGATACCAGATGGTTAAGAAGAAAAATGGCTGTTGTAGACCAAAAGCCACACTTGATGGGTGAAACAATTTTAGAGAGTTTACTCTATGGCTGCGACGCGAACATGGTAATGATTGAAGAAGCGTTAAAACAAGCTGATATTCTTGAAACGTTACAAAATCTGCCTAACTACTTGGAATCGCCAATATCCGAGTTTAGTAAAAATCTATCTGGTGGCCAAGCTCAACGCTTGGCTATTGCAAGGGCATTGCTTCGAAAACCAAGACTGTTAATTTTGGATGAATGTACTTCTGCGTTGGACTCTGACTCATCAAAAAAAATTGAGCAAACGATTCAAAGCTTAACATGTACAGTACTTATAATCACACATCAAACTTCGTTAATGAGACTAGCTGATCGTATTGTTGTCATGGATTCCGGTAAAGTTATGGAAACTGGTTCATATGATGAATTAATGACTCCTCATACTCATTTTTGGAAACTTGTCCATAATGGTAAATGGACAGATTAATACCCGCATACCCCACATAATGTTTCTTTTTTGATTTAATTTATTATCGCATTTATGTTATGAAATTTTCTTATTCATTATAGTTTAATCATCTGAATAGTAGTTCTTTATTTATTTATTAAAGAATAGTTTTGACTATTCCAGCAGCAATTGTATTTCCATCTCGTCGAAGAATGATTCTACTCAGCGAAGAGCTTTCTTCGGATGGACATACTGGATATGAACCATCCAAAAAGTTAACTTGTATAGATGCGCGCTTTCGACTAGTAATGTGTCTAGCCTTTTTACCATTAACACTTATTATTTTCACAGAGACCGAAGCAACAGTTCTACCGCGATGGAGTACTAATGTCGACCCTGACAAAATTGGACCAAGTATGTCAAAAGTTTGGATTTCAGCGATAAAAGATTTAGTACGTTTTACAGGGTCATTGTAAGTAGACAATATATCTCCGAGGCTAATTTGGTTTGGTTCTATGTCCGTCAACTGCAAGGTAACGCTATCTCCAGCAACAGCCCAGGAAACAGATGGGTCAGAATTGCGCATAACACTTTTGACATAAGCATCCTCTTGTGAAGAAACATTGTATAAAACCTGGCCATTCTGTATACTACCAGACTCAACTCTTCCTGAGACAGTGGCACCTCGCACAGACCGATAAGTATCATAAACAGAAACCCGGAGAGGTCCTCTGTAGGATTTTAATGGAGGGATGAAATTATCTAAAACTTCTATTAACGTTGGACCATCATACCAATTATAGAGCGGCGAGGATTGCTTTTCTATGAGGTTTACACCAGAGACAGCAGAAACTGGGATGAAATGAACGTTTTCCTCTTTGAACCCAACCATTCGGACCAAGAAGTCAGAAATGGAACTTTTTATTTCAAAATAGCGATCCGATGACCAAGATATGAGATCTAGTTTATTCACAGCAACAGCGACTTCAGACACACCCAGGGCACGTAGTAAATAAGCATGCTCTCGAGTTTGGCCATTCGCCAAAAAGCCCCGCTCATAATTATTTTGAGAAGAGTCAACTACTAAAATTGCAAATTCCGCGGAAGCAGCTCCAGCTATCATACCTGAAATAAAATCCTTATGTCCAGGAGCATCTCCAACCTCATAAATTTGCTTTTTGCTTTCAAAAGAGGTAGCCGCAACGTCCATGGTGACACCTCTAAGACGCTCTTCATCCGTAGAGTCAAGTAACCAAGCATAGGAGAAACTGCCCTTCCCTTGATTGGCAGCTTCATTGTGAAGTTTTTGCATAGACCGACTATTTACATCACCCAGTTGATACATAATCCTTCCAAGCATGGTACTTTTACCCGAATCAACATGTCCAGTAACCACCAAATGGACAACGGGTTTAGGGTGAGACTCTTCGTAGATCTTTGGAACATCTATTAACGCTGAAGACTCTTGCTTTCTTACTTTCTGAGTTTCCTCTAAACCCTTTGCCGTCTCGTGTGTCTGTTCTTTACCGTCCAAATTCAGCTTCTCTAGAGAAGCATCAAGTGGGACAGGGGTCTTTTTGCTGGAGGGGCGGTTTCCGGCAGTGGAATTTTGCTCTTGTTTATTTTGTTTCTTTTTTTCTGATTCTTCTTTTTCTTTTTGCGCTGCAGCTTTCGTAGTACAGCTTTTCAATAGATAGTTGATGGATTTTTCCACATCAAAAAAATAGTACCATACGGTATCGGCTATTTCTTTTGTTGTCACTGGAAGCCCATCGAGAGTTTCTTGGACAGCAGCAATTGCTTCTCGAAATTGTTCTACACAAGACTGTTAGAACGAATGGAAAAGCTGTACCATAATAGCATACCTTCTTGTTCATCTGTCAACTCTTCTTGTGCCGGCTCATCTTCATAATCATATTCTAAAAACAATCACTTGTTAGCAGTGTATATCTACTGTTTACAAAGAACCATACATACCTGCTAAATCCAAGTTTTTTATATTACGATGTCTCGACATTTTCAAAATTTATATACAAACAAAAGAAATAAAACAAAAGAAATAAACAAAACCTTGCAATTAGCAAAAGATTTGGCGCTTAGTACGTTAATAAAATTTTATTGCAGCAACATAGCAAGCGTAATGGGAGTGACATAAGATGTTGACATGGAGTGTTTGCATGCTTACGTCGAAGAAAACAAGCTAATGGCAATTTTCCAATGAGTTTTCTTCATTTTTATTAGAATTGTTGGTTTCATTTTCTTTAATATTGAGAGTACGAAAGCTTAAAAGTGGCTAGCTAAAAAAGAAGTATCCTCCAAAGTAATAATGGGTTTTATTTATACCCATCTAACTGCAGGCTATTCTTATATGAATAAATATAGATCAGATAAAACGCTGCAAATGAGGACGAGCCTGCTTGATGTTTTCATAGTCTTCATACAAAGTGCTTACTATGATAATTGTTCTTTCAAACATCGATAAGCGAAAGAAGAGGAAGTAGTGTGAAAGCCATACCAGAATGTCATTCATTAGTTCTAATCAAAGAAATTTAACAGGAGTTTCATTTGGAGAAGAGGTAAAGTCTGTGCATTTGTTTACGGATTTGTTTACATAGCTATAGCGAGGTTAGTTTAGCAGGGGCGCGTGATTCGTAGTAAAATTGATTTATCGCAGTTCCCCTTCCACGTTATTCACCCTAATAGTACCCAAGTAATATTTACTCTTCCCTCCTGCTATTATCCAACATCTATCTCGTTGTTCAAATTGCTATCGTTTTTTATTGTATAATTAAGGATTTGATATTGACATAAGAAAGGGTTCCAATTTAACCTACTCTGGATTGTGGCTGAATTGTCCTATTAATTTCCCTTTAATAGTGTTATTAGTAATTTTCGGAATTCGAACGAATTGGTTCTTGTATTAATTAAAGCTTAATTCCTTTTAATCTGTTTGATGACTTTGCGAAAAAGCATCATGAACCTTTTCTAGTATGATTGACAAAAAGCGGTTGTTTCGATCGCCTATTTCTGCACCACCCGAAAATTTTAAATCTGGAATTCCTTGGTTAGATAGTTTAGATGAAGAAGGGAGTGATACCGATAACTCTGTGTACGAGATTCCTGAATCTATTGAAGAGTCACTTTCCAATGTATGCGGTGAAGCATTGTCTCCCTGCACTAGACCGGTGAATAGCGCATCTCACTTATCAGATACATTGCATTATGTGCCGAGTGATCCTTCCTTTATTGATAAACGCATGATCGATTTACCTGAACCGGATGCGTTTAGTCTGTCATCCATCAACCGTAGCAAGTCTGATTCTGTCCTCTTGAACAAGCGTAAAAGCGAGGATTATAGAGGTAAAGCTATTACTGAGTTTCGTCAAAACTATCAGAATAAGATAAGAAGGCCACAAAAAAATGCTCCATTTCAGGAAACTAAACTTCGTCATCAAGTCTCACAGAATGATTCAAACCAAAATGATGACACTGAAGATGATGAAATTGACGCCCCTTTTCTTTCCTTGAAATCTCTGAGGTTTCCTGAATCTGTATCAGATGATGATGAATCTTCAAGCCTTGGTAATTTTGAAGCCCTTGATCCTAACGACTGGTGGAGTATGCTCGACAAGTCAGGCGAGGAAAAGGCCAGGTCTCATACTTTAAGCACATTATTTGGCCTGGACTATCACCGAGAAAGTTATGATAGTTCACATCCAAAAAGCGGTTCACACCCGTCTGTTCTCTCTGACGATTCTTGGAAAGCCCCAGAAAGTTGGGCTATTAATCTTCCTTCTGAAGTAACTAAGAAAAGGGAATCTTTCAGTGCTAGAGTCTTTGCTCATCCTTCTCATGAAGAGAATAGTAAACCCTTTTTTTTACGAGTTTATCGGGACGACAGAACATCTGTTTCGTTTTCCTGCCCTATGAATATAAAGACCAGTGATATTATTCAGCGCTTGGCAAGGCTCTTCTTTCTTCCATTTTCAGCCAATTTTTACCTGCTTTTGGTTCAATTTAAAACCGAGCGTGTCTTGCTTCCTCATGAGCAGCCGTGTATAATTTTTCAGAAACTACTTACCTACTTCGGATGCGATCAAAATTCGGAAGATGAAATGACAGAGGAAGACAACTATAGTGTTGCAAGACTGGTTTTTACTACCATGGATATTGGTGCTGATGTACTTAGAAAAATGTCTGAGAAAAAATTCTCTCAGCATTTGGATATACGACGTTCCAATCTCGAGGTGATTCCCATCAAGTTTTATCCTCATGCACATGAGTTGTTATCTTTGAATATATCCTCCAACCTTTCGCTAGGTTTGCCTATTGATTTTATGGAACGATGCGTCAATTTAAAGAATTTGGACATGTCACATAACTTAAGGCCTCCAAGGGGAAAATCTCTTTCAACATTACGCCAACTTGAGGTTCTAAATGTTTCCAGAAACGATATTTACGAATTGGATCCCGTCATCTTTTCTGGGAGAAGCCGGTCTACCCTTAAAGAATTTTACTGTTCTTTAAACAAGCTTTTGTTTCTTCCTTACTCTATTCGTTATTTGACCCATTTGACTGTCCTTGATCTTTCTTATAACAATTTCGTTACCTTCCCATTAATTGTTACAGAACTTACTTCTCTTGAAGTTTTAAACTTCTCACATAATAATTTGTATAGAATTTGTTCCGAGGTCAATCGGCTAGGGAACTTAAAGGAGCTTTACCTTCAGTCAAACGACTTATCAGGCCAGCTTACTCAACAAATGGGTTCTTTACGAAAATTAGAAATCATTGATCTTCGTTTTAATTCTTTAAGTAATATCGGTGCTTTATCTGAATGTCCTAATTTGAAAGAAATCCGTGCCTCTTACAACATAATTTCCCATCATGAATTCCCTTGCAGCTCTGCTACATACATTGATTTTTCACATTGCCCCTTAACTATCCTGGAGCTACCTAATAAAGGATTTAGTTCACTTGTATATCTTGATGCCTCCCATGCCAAGCTTGTAACTATCAAAGAATCAATGATGCAGAGTCTTGTCAACTTGGAAACATTAAATATGAGTTATAATCACTTCGTCCAGATTCCGGATACGATCTCTAATTTAAAAAATCTTAAGTTTCTTTATTGCACAAATTGTGAAATTTCTTATGTTTCGCCAGAACTTGGAAAGCTATCGAAATTGACTCTATTAGACTTGCACGCTAATAATATTAAGGTATTTCCAGAAGAAGTTTGGCAAATTTCGGCTTTGAAAATGGTTAACCTTTCGTCTAACATTCTCGAAAAAATAAAATTACCAATGGCGGGTACTAAACAATCAACAAGGAGTGTAAGTCAATTAAAAATTATGCGAACGTTGTCAGGTAGTCCTATTTCTAATACTTCCTCATCTGAATACATATATCCGTCAGTTGAAGAACTAATTCTTGTGGATAATCGCCTCGGAGATGACTGTTTTAAACCGATAAGTTTTTTTAAAGAAATTCGAATCTTGAACTTGTCATATAATTACTTAACGGAAATTCCGAATACCTTTTTCGAAAATTTCTCACATCTTAACCATGTATTTTTGTCTGGAAATAAGCTCTCAAATATTTCTATTACTCGTGACTCTCGTGTTTCTTTGGAATCATTGTACGTTAATGGAAATAGAATATCATCTTTTCCCAAAAATGAAACACTATCGCAAAGCTTGCGTTTCTTAGACTTGGGAAATAACAACTTACAAAGTCTTGCAGTCAGTCGATCTAACGAAAACACTCAGAACATTTCACCTAAACTGGAAAGCCTTGATCTTTCTGGAAATAGTTGGTTTCAATTCCCTAAGCATGATGATAGTAAAGTCACAAGATCAAATTTCAATCGATTGAAAGTTTTGAGTGTATTTGATGTGAATGCAGAAATTCCTGTGGACAATACTGATATATTGAATCGTGTAGTACATCGATCATCCCCGATTGACGATGGTTTAAAATGTGGAATTTCTGGTTATTTATCTCGTATAAACCCAGTCATCTCAACTGTAGAACTTATTTTGAAGAATTTTATATACCCTCATTGGTCACTTTATTGCATATTTGATAGCGATATAGGAGCTGGACATTATAATCGGGTTCTCAAATTTGCTTATGAGAATATAGCTTCTTGTTTAGCTGAAGAATTGAGCACATGTGGATCTTCTAGTGAACAAGTTCGGAACGCATTAAGAAAGGGGTTTTTGAAATTGAACAAAAAGTTGGGCAACACCATCTATCATGATTTGGAGACAGTTGCTGAGTATAAGGAAAAGAATGAAAGCCTTCCCAAATCCGATAAAGGCTACTATATGGATGAAACATGTATGGACATCGGAGTTAGCATTGCCTTAATTTATATTCGAGATACACGCGCTTTCGTTGCGAACGTTGGTACCTCAATGTCTTTAATGTCTACAAGAAACGATTCCGAGCCAACTTTATTAAGTAATGTTCATGATACATTAAATAAGAGAGAAATACGTCGAGTTATAGATTCGGCAGGACTGATTTCTGGTCGCATAAAATCCACTACTACCAGAGCAATTGGTAGATTGTCCCAGTTCCCCGGTGTACAAGCTGTGCCGCATGTGAATGTTCAGCCTCTTTCAGAGTTGAACGAATTTATAGTTTTAGCCAATAAGGAATTTTGGAACGTAATGTCAAAACGGATTGTTATCGATATTGTTCGCACTAACAGGCATTCAATGCTCCTGGCTTCAACGAAGTTACGTGATTATGCTATAGCTTATGGCGCTAAGAACAATACAATAGTAATGGTCTTAGATTTAAGTGTTTTATTTGAAACAAATTCCGCTTACGCAATGAAGGTCCATAAAGATGAGGAGGATTCTACCCAAGCTGAAGGAAATGAAGGAGTGCCATTTTCTTCTCAGAATTTGCCAGATGATTCATCGCTAGCTAGGATGAACCGAGAAGTTTCACCTCCTCACGGAAGTATTGCAATGGTATTTACGGATATAAAGAATTCCACGCTTTTGTGGGAACGACATCCGGTAGCTATGAGATCGGCAATTAAGACGCATAATACAATTATGCGAAGACAGCTTCGTGCTACGGGTGGTTACGAAGTTAAGACAGAAGGAGATGCCTTTATGGTTTGTTTCCAGACGGTGCCGGCTGCTCTGCTATGGTCTTTTTCTGTGCAATTGCAAATGCTTTCTGCAGACTGGCCGAACGAAATTGTAGAGTCGGTCCAAGGAAGAACTGTTTTGGGGCCTAAAAATGAGGTTTTATATAGAGGACTTAGTGTACGCATTGGGGTTAATTATGGTGTGACAGTGAGCGAGTTAGATCCTATTACGCGACGCATGGATTACTATGGTCCTATGGTGAATAGAACATCTAGAGTTGCATCAGTAGCGGATGGTGGGCAGATTGCTGTTTCAGCAGATGTTGTTACCGTCTTGAATCGATTGGAATCGGATGCGATGTCTTCAGAAAGATCTGCGAGATACTCAATGGAAATCCGTGCATTGAAGCAAGTAGGATATATTATACATAGCATTGGAGAATTCAAGCTCAAAGGTTTGGAAACACCCGAAAACATTTCCTTGGTCTTTCCTCTTCAGCTAGAGGGGCGGTTGGAACGACTGATCAAAAATCGGAATGCAGAAGGTGCGAACGAAAAACGAAAAAGTCAGGAGGAATCTTCAACTAGAAGCAGAAGTAACAGCCTAAGACCGATATTAGCGAGAATTGGGGAATCGAAATTTAATGATGAAAATCAGTATGCTCGAAGTTCTTTATCATCTGTTCGAAGTAGATCACCTACGGGAAGTTCATCGGGATATGAAGGAAACATCTTTGAAGAGTATCAATACCAAAGATTATTTGAAATCTGTGAACGTTTAGAAGATAGGGTTGCAACTTTGCATGGTTATCCAGAACCTCCGGAAAGTGATCCAGGTCTTGCTGCTCCAGTGAATATAGCAGAGGAGTATGCATTGTTCTATCGGTTAACACTTCGGATTGAAAACACGATCTATTGTGTAGGCCAAATGCTTGGACATACGTGATAAAGCTTTTCGTTTTTGGGTACAATTGATCATTTCATTTGATAACCTTTTTTTCTTGTGAATTTGAATGTACAAATATATAATTCTTACTTTTTCTACTTAGGTTACTAATATTATTTATTGATAAGGATATATTAGTAGTTGAATATGGTTGAATTTCATGTAAATCCGATATAATAAATAGAAATAGGGAGAAATTTACAGGTTTGTAAATCCATTTATGGAAAGAATTCATGAGATACAATGCAATTTCATTTCGATATCGTAAGGAAGAAAAAAATCATAATTCTTTAAGGTCAAGAAGATTAAAAATACAAACAAAAAAAAAAAACAAAAGACAAAAACCGTTGAAAAAGTGAAGAGGGAGGAAAAGAAAACGAAAAACAAAAGGAATTGATGATTAAAAAAAAGGTTTATGCAAAGTGAAAGGAAAAAAAAGAAAAGAAAAAAGCAGAAAAGGATAGTACCAACTGCTTCAAGCCTTAAAGCCTAGAGTGACGAGACGAAGCTTTTGAAAGCCTTCGAGAAAGACTTTTCGACAAACGTTGTGAAAATCTCTGTTCCATGCTTGCAAAGGATAGAGGACGGAATGATTCTGCGGTAGGGTGGTATTGTTTATGTTCGGGGTCCAAGTGTGGTTTTGGGGATTCTTCATCATTATCGGTTAAGAATTGCCATGCACGGACAGTGTCGAGTGGACGCTCATACTTCCAACGGGTAGGATTACTTACATCAGGTTCGTCAATGGGTTGACCATAGTAATCTTTTGAAAGAAGAGCGCTGACATGTTTTCCCTTCTGCATAGTAGCAAATTCATAGGGTTCAGGCTCCATAATAGCCGTAGAGGGATCGGCACGAGTCGTTTCAGCAGTAGCCATTTTTGAAAAAGAAAACCAAAAGAAAAGAGAAATGGATCAAAAAAGACAAGTCAAGAGAATTCAATGCAATGTAATTCCAATGAGATTCGAAGCAACTGAATATGATATTATATCCAGCAATATGATATTATGCAAATACTTTTCAAAAAAAAAAAAAAGAAAAAGGAAGAGTGTGTGTGTGTATGTTTGTTTGTCTAATGATGGATAAAAAAAAAGCAAGAGAAAATGGATAATCAAATGACAGGTTTTGTTGTCTCAAGAGAAAACCCAATTGATGCTTGAAGCTAGAAATAACCGGATGTAAGTAACATACAAAGTAAGTGAAGTTGAGTCTTCGAAATACAGCGGCAGGACGCTCTTTATACGCATATTTTGATAAGGAGGCACAGTTCCATCCCAAGCGGCCAGACCGACAAGCAGCGAAAAAGCATCAGATAGAAAAACACAAGAAACCGACGCCATGACCCTCCCCCCACTCAAGTCATTAAGCATGACGTAACTCATGTTGGCCAATTTGAGAGAAAAAATAAGAGCCGAGTAGGCGTAAAGATCGTATCAACAAGAGGGTGGTTTGTTCGCTAAGATCACGCAAAAAAACAGAAGAAAATCAGCGATGGAAAAATAAAAATAACAAAAATAAAAAAAGACATCCCCATGATTATGGCATAAGATACGAGATAACGAGACTAAATTACTCTGTCTCTGTCTCTGTCTCTTGTTGCTTTGCCTCGTATTTGACGACAGCAAGAAAAGGAACATGTCAGAACAAAACTTGGTGCATGGAAATATTCGTCTAAAAAGGAAACCTAAAAACCAAATAAAAAGAGACTTTCTTTTCAGACCAATCATTTGCCTGTAAACAAAAGTCATTCAATTTCCGACGGGTTCCCAAGTGGGGGGAGGAAGTCCATGCATGATGGTATGGTGGCTTGGTACCAAGATGGAGGGAGGGAGGAAATCTGCACACAAGCTTCGGGAAGGCTCGGCTCGGCTTGGGTAGGAGGGAGAGGTAAAAAGTGCGTCAGGCAATTATGGAAAATTTTTGTTTATCGTATGGGGGTTTCTTTTGTTTTTTTGTTGACGAAAACAAAAACAAAAACAAAAACAAAAACTAACAGAAACTAACAGAAACGAAACGAAACGATTAGTAAACAACCGAGAAAAACAAAAAGAAGATTTTGTAGAGGAGAAAAAAATGAAGGAAAAAAAATGAATGAATGAGTGGGTTGAGTGAGTGAGTAAGTGAGTGAATATCCATAGGGGTTCCCATTTCAAAGTTTTCTTTTTCTTTCTCGCTGTTTCTTAATTGCATTTCCGTTTCGGTTTCGTTTTTTTTTTTCTTTCTTTCTTTTTCTTTTTTCTCTGTTTTTTTCGTTTCAACAGTCCCTGCAAGCATCCTCAGACTCAGCCTTGAAAAACCTCCTTTAGGGCAGTGCCTGTACATTCACTCCTTACACTACATAAAAGCAAAACAACTTTTCTTTTACCTTTCTTAGCTTGCAGCATTCCATTTGCATACGTTTATTTGTTTGTTTTTGCTTTCTCTTTTTAAGAAAAACGGTTAGTTTTTTCCTTTGGATCCTTGTCTTCGTCGTGTTCTCGTTTGTGGTGTCGTTTCAGTCAGGGTTTGCCATTCTTTTCTCTACGATCCTCGTGCCCTACTCGTTTTCTTTTTCTGGTTGCATTTTTCTTTCTTTCTTTGCTTTGCTTTTCTTTTCCTTTTCTCCTCCCTACTGTTCTTGTTGAAATTCTGTTTCACAAACATCTCTCCATGGAACAACAAAACAGCAACACCTACAACTGGGCTTCTTATGGCCGTTGGGTTATTGTCATCATATGTGTCGTCTTCCTGATATTCTTTCTAATCTCCATTGGCTATGTAAACCGTCGAAGAAATAGAAATGGTTTAGCCACTCTTCCTTTTACCAATTTTTATCCCCTTTCAATTCCTCCTCCCTATTCTCCAAGGTTAAACCGTCAATACAACACTCGGCCGTCAAATGTAAGTACGACTCCTTTCATGACGCAAACGTATCAACCACCTACGACTCCTTTCATGACTCAGACGTATCAACCACCCCCTCTGTCTCCGGATACTTCGTATACCTCCCCTCCTCCCGATGATATTCCTCCACCTGCTTATCCAGAGGCCATGGCCTCTGTCCATCGACCAAAACACGATAACGCTGTCCTTTGAAGAAGATGAAAGGGAGCGAATGGAATCGCATCTACAACATAGCTTACAATCAGTAACCATAACTTGCAGTGATTGATTTCGGTAAACTAATGGGAATAATTGTTGTTTTTATTTATTTGCTTCGTTCAGGCATTTGTATTTCTAGCAAACTTCGTTGGCTTACTATGGGCATTCCAGTTTTCTCGATTTCTCAACTTTATATGATTTCCTTCTCTTTTCACACCCTCTTTGACATTTCTCTTTTACTACATCTTTTTTCTTCTTCTTCATTCCTTTCATGTTGTTCCTTCTGTCGGTATAAAATGGTAGATGAATTCATAAAATGATTTCGCTATAGAAACCATGCTATGATTTTGTCAATGGTAATTTAATCCTTCATATAATACTTTGGCCTACCCCTCTTGCTTTAGGTTTTTCTGTTTTTGATTCTACAAGTGCTAATATACTTTCAATAATATTGTTTATACACTACAAGTATGGAACAATTATCTGCAGTTGCTCATTTTTATAGCTAAACCCCTTTTTCTTTTTGAGCTTGATTTTATATTGAATTTTGTATTTATATCAACTTAATAACATTATCTAAACAACTTTGTCTATCCTTTTATGCTTTAAAACTTTCTTTTCTAGTACCTTTGTGTATCGCCCCCACTTGGTCCTAAAGAATTTGGAAGTGGAATAGTCATGGTGACTCACCAACCTCGACAGAACCACCAAATTTTTCCCATCTTTAAAATGTCCGTGGACAGTTTAATTACGAAATTGAAAGGGCTTGCTACTGAAGAGGTAACTTTGTTACAGCATGCTAAGGTCTCGAATGGTTCTGCTTGGTCTGAAGCATTGTCTTCTTTGAGCAATGTTCCTGCTCACGCCTTGACCAAGACTGTTGTTTTGAAGCCAAAAACTGCCAAGTCTCAGACTGTAGTTCCTATTCTTGTAGTCGCTTTAGAATCTACTGCCACTCCTTCTGGCGCTGCTGCCAAGGCCGTCGGTGCCAAGGAAGCTCGTTTAGCCGCTGCTGATTTGGTGGAAGAGGTTTTTGGCATTCCTCCCGCGGACATTGGTGTTTTCTCTGTAAATGAACAAAATGCCGCAAAGGTTCACGTTGTTTTAGATAAAAACCTCATTAACCACGGAGGTCTTTTGGCTGTCCACCCTTCTTCTAGCGAGAAGACTATTTTCGTCTCTGCTGCCGCTATTGAAACTTATTTGAAGTCCATCGGCGCTACTCCCGTCGTTGTTGATTTCTCTGCTCCCGCGGCTAAGCCCTCCCAAGCATCAAAGCCTGATGCTACCCAAAAGAAGACGGAGGTTTCGAAGAATGATGCCGCCATTGAAAACGCCGCTTTGATTGGTATCACTGTTCGCAAAGACGTAGATTTCGCTAACTGGTACCAACAAGTTCTCACTAAGAGTGACATGATTGAGTACTATGACATTTCTGGTTGCTACATTTTGAAACCCTGGTCTTTTAGCATCTGGGAGGCTATTCAACTATGGTTCGACAAGCAAATTAAGAAACTTGGTGTTCGTAATGGTTACTTCCCTCTTTTTGTGTCTTCAAAGGTTTTGGAGAAGGAAAAGGATCATGTTGAAGGTTTCGCTCCTGAGGTCGCTTGGGTTACTCGCGCTGGTAGCACCGAGTTAGATGAGCCCATTGCTATTCGTCCTACCTCCGAAACTGTTATGTATCCCTATTATGCTAAATGGATTCGAAGCCATCGTGATCTTCCTCTCCGTTTGAACCAATGGAACTCTGTCGTTCGTTGGGAATTCAAGAACCCTCAACCTTTCTTGAGAACCCGTGAGTTCCTTTGGCAAGAAGGTCATACCGCTCACTTGACCTTGGATTCTGCTAACGAAGAAGTTTATCAAATTTTGGATTTGTATGCTCGTGTTTACAGTGATTTGTTGGCCGTTCCTGTTATCAGAGGTGTCAAGAGTGAAAATGAAAAGTTTGCTGGTGGTATGTTCACTACTACTGTAGAAGGTTACATTCCTACTACTGGTCGCGGTATCCAAGGTGGTACTAGTCATGGTCTTGGTCAAAACTTTTCTAAGATGTTTAACATTGTCGTTGAGGATCCTAATGCTGAAGTTGGTCCCACTGGAGAGCGTCCTAAGCTCCATGTCTGGCAAAACTCTTGGGGTCTTTCCACTCGTACCATTGGCGTTGCTGTCATGGTTCATGGTGATGATAAGGGTTTGAAGTTGCCACCTCCTGTTGCTTTGGTTCAAACCGTCATTGTTCCTTGTGGTATCACCAACAAAACCACTGATGAAGAACGAAAGAATATTGAAGGTTTCTGTGGACAACTCGCTTCCCGTCTCATTGACTTTGACATTCGTGCCGAAGCTGACTTACGTTCTTATACTCCTGGTTACAAGTTTGCTCACTGGGAAATGAAGGGTGTTCCTCTTCGCCTTGAATTTGGACCCAATGATGCTAAGAAAAACCAAGTCACTGCTGTCCGTCGTGATACTTCTGAAAAGGTTGCTGTTCCCTTGTACAATCTAGAAGAAAGAGTTTCTGACTTGTTGAAGACTATTCACAATAGCATGTATGAGACTGCCAAGAGAGATTTCGATTCTCATGTTGTCCGTGTTAAGAAATGGGAAGAGTTTGTTCCTGCTTTGAACAAGAAGAATCTCGTTCTCATTCCTTGGTGCAACACTACTAAATGTGAAAAAGATATTAAGAAAAATAGTGCTCGTCAAGTTAACGGTGACGAACCTGAAGATGAAAAGGCTCCTAGTATGGGTGCTAAGAGTCTTTGCATTCCTTTGGAACAACCCACCGGTGAAGATGCCATCGTTGAAAATGTTACGAAGTGTGCTGCCTGTGGTTCTCATGCAAAGGCTTGGGGTCTCTTTGGTAGAAGCTATTAAGGCATTGGAATTGTTTTGGATAGAAGTGTATAATATAGAATTTATAACCATTCTTTTTTTGAGTTCAATTAATTTCCTAATGTACTTGGTTTTTTGCTACGTTATAGTGAATAAATAAGCGCCTGATAGCTCATGTAAATGCTCAACCAAAACCTGACCATTCGACTGAAAACTGACGATATGTTGTAGCTGAATTGTTTTCGTCAGATGCTGTTGAATCATGCATCTCTTGTTCTTCTTCTTCTCCTCCGATGAGCCATGCTTTTTTAACACCCGTCCCAAGACGACCACCTCCTATAAGTAGCAAAAGGGGAATTTCATCGTTCCAGTTATACCCGTTCACAAGATAATGTGAATGAAACCGCAGAGGATCACCCGGATAGGCAACAAAATCACAACCAAACCGGAGACCGGGATTTAGGAAAAACCCGTTATTCACTAATGACTCAAATATTAAATATCTTCTTCTTTTAATCTCAGGAAAGCCTAATGAAAAAGTCTCTAAATGGTCTCTATTTAATTCCTTTGTATTTGTATCAACTGGTACCATAGTTAAATTCACAGGTTGAGTAGGATCGTATTCCAAGGTATCTAAAGGAATTTCCTTATTTATTTTTTTCATAATTTTTATCTTCTTTTCGTTTTCTTTAGCTCGCGTAGTCAGCAATTGCTCTATGGCCATCTTTTGTCGCTTATCTGCAAGGAACTTTCTGTCATCATCAACTAAACCATTAAAATAGTCTATATGCACTCTCTGATCATCAATAATATAAGCTGCGCCATTATTAACTAAGTAATAAACTTCTTCGTTCGTCAACTGAAGAGGAAGACCCAAAAAAATATTCTGTTGAGGGAGTTGAGGTAGCGTTCCTGAGAGAATGCCAAGAATATGATATTTTTGACGAAAATATTGGATTGCTTCTACATCGAAAAGAAGATACTTCCCTTGGATATACGAAATTGGATACTTCGCGTCGTTCATGTTGAAAGGTAACTTGCCCATGATGGGCTTAGTACTTTTTGGGTTAATAGTCATTAATTTTTAATATGCATAATTGTGATACAAAAATTACTAAAATCAATTGACGTTTAACTACAATTATAGCTTTCTACCACAATCTCTTGGTTTAAAAAAAAAAGCAGAAATTGTGTGTTTGATTTATTTTATTACATTGAGCACATAACTTACTATCTTTTTAACCTACTATAATAAATAAATAAATACAATTGAATGTAACTAAAAACTTCAATTTTATTTTTCAGAAACCTTTAAGCAGTGAACGTTTTCATTGATAAAAGATCCAAAAGAAAAACATATACAACCACCCCCAAAAACAAAGAGTAAATCACGAAGGCAACAGCATTGACAAGAAACTAAAACCGGTCTTGATTCAGGTTCTTCCAAAGGAACATTCTCAATCTGTTGACCGACCATATTTATGATAATGACTTCTTCTTCCCACTTTATGGTTTTATACAAGCCAGCACCACCAATAATCAATGGCATAGCATTATCGTTGTCCAAAATTGCAAGATTGCTATTGACCCGTGCGAGTAAAACCTTTGAGCCTTCACTCAAATTCCATGGTGAAAAATGCAATTCAAATCGATTGTTCCGTTTCTCGAGTTTCCATTCCCAAACATCATCAATAGGTAAATTATGTTGATTCATGCCACCTGTTATGAATCCATATTGTAATTGTGAAGAATAATGAATGCTAGAACCCCAGCTTTTGGTTAAAGACGGTTCTGTACAGCAAACCTGAGACCATTCATTTGTTTGCTCCGACCAAATTAGCCAACCACCATGTGGTTTACCGGCCTGAAGCAGGATAAAGTTTTCATTTCCATAATGCACCTTCGTAGTTGAAACACGAAATGCTGGATAGGGTAAAGAAGCGGTTTGTTTCCAAGCCCCCTTGGAGTACAAATAACAAGTATCAAATGCTCTAACCGGGGATTCCCTTCCACCTATAAGCATATAATCTCCATTATTCACCGGTACAATTGATAGGTTCATACGAGGACTTATTTCAGAACTCGAAATATCTATCACATTTTGCTTTTCTGTTATAAGAAACGCTGAATTAGTACGCCCAGAGGTCGATAATCCTCCTTGGATAATTATTCCATTCTCAGAAGCACCAACACCAGCGGAGCGGCAACTAGGAAGAGCTTGCTTTATTTCAGCAGCAACCATAGTGAGTTCTATGCGCTTATTAGATAATATTGATTCACATTGGACAGGAGAACATTCATGTCCATTGATTTGATAGCGATAGTATTGCATAAAAGGATTTGGATGTTCAACCAAATTGTACATTTGATCCAACGTACTACTGGCATGCTGGATACTGTAATGTTGAAGGAAAAAATAAAACTCTTCCCATTCATCAAATGGTTCGGTTTGTTCACATTCCACTCGATATCTTTCGCTTAATAAGAAATTCCAGAAAGTACATACATCAAACACCTCTACGTGCTCCCAACCCAAGTTCACCCACCTGTATTTCAATGCCTCTAAATTCTGATATGCGGCAAGTCCATGCAGTGGGGTACCCCATTCTTTGAAATGTCTAATCATCACTTTAGCAAATGGGTGATTAAATCCAGCAGGAGCTATCTGTTCTAAGAAACAAGAATGAGCATCCGAAAATTGCGACATCCACTGGAGAAGTGAATCTGATGCATTGACTGGCATATAGACCGCTGCAACTTCAGATATGAAAAGGATTGAACTTGTTTTGAAATCAAGGCCACACTCCTCGAGCTTTTTTTGAAGGAGATCCAAATCTTTCAAATTGCAACCAACAGTATGATAGTTATTAGTATGGATTTCTTCGAGTTCATCAATTTCAAAACTATTTCTATAGACTATTCCTCGAAGGAAATCGTCGGACAATATCATGCTCACTCTATTTTCAATTGACTCGGGATAATCCACATCGTAAAACGCGATGTCTTCTGTGCTTCGATCACTAAGAGAATTTAAGAGTTGCAAAGCCAACGGATCGTATCCGGCTCCTAAGTTTACAATTGCTTTCGGTTTTCCGCGCTTTTTTTCTAAAAATTGCTCTATAGCAAACCGAATCGCAATACAACGAGTCCAGTATCCTCTGTTGACACTTGGCGATCTTCGAGGAGTTTTACTAATAAACGGCCTGTAGTAACTGTGATTTTTATCAAATCCTGGATAGCCACATTTTTCAACTGAAGCTTTTGAAAGAATAGAGCTATCATTTGTTTTGCGTACTTCTTTGTCTTTTGATCGAAATGTGTTTTCTTGTTTTGGAACCATTTTAAAAAAATGTCGCCTTTCGCCTCTGATGTTATATATGTAAGGAAATCAACCTGACAAAACCAAAAAATTAGGCAGAGAAAAATAGGATTAGATTAGAAGTACAATATGAAAAGAGTAGGCGGTATCTTGCTTTCGAGAAGTGAGTTTAGGAAAAGGGTATTATAGGGATCAATTTACACACGGCTTTATGACACTTTATTTGGTTAATTTAACTCTTATTCATTAGTGAATTTTGACAATGATATAGGTTCATGAAAGAACGATAATGCCTCTTATAGCTTTATTTACCCATTTCTGAAATTTCATGAGAATACATAAGCGACCTGACAAAATACCGAACTATAACGAATTCTATTAAGTTTTATATCTGCACTCTTATAATAATGCACTGGTAAACAAATATACTAGTTCATATAAAGATTTAAAAATTTTGTGGATTTTGTAGCTCTCACAGTTGGAACGTTTATCCGAGGTTGATAATTGAATCCTTCAGTATTCTTTGCAGCCGATTACTACTGCTATGAGCGTATTGTTGGGTTTAGCTATAGTATATATACATTCAACTCCTTTCCTCGTTTAGAAATGAAAAATTAGACAAAGACATGTGGTATAACAATATCATTTATGAAACCTTAATAAATACGATAAATAATCACTTCTTCTAACCATCATCAAGTCACCAATTCATCTTTAGTATTCGTTTCCTCATCATCTTTAACTTCTTCCTTGTTATTTTTGGATTTCTTCTTCCTTTGTTTACGGGCTATTAACCGCCGGTGTGCACCAGGAGGATAATACCCTTCGTTAAATACATCAAAATCCGGCCCTTCAATTTCCTTTGGGCATGAAGGATTGGTTAAATTGAAGATCCTAGACAGCTCAAATATTGCCTGTTCTTTTTCCTTAGCTTCAATCATTAAATCCATGTCTGGTTCACATGGAGGCAAGCTATATACACGATCAGAGTGTCCTCTACGTTTCATAGCAGAAATAGCAAAAGGATAAGCTGATTCTGAATAGTGCTGTTTTTGTGTTATCCCTTTCCTAGTCCAAGTTTCCCGAATCGCTGGTAAGAGAGGCATCAAATCCAAAGAGCCTTCTCGTAAAGTACCTGGAACAACATTATGGTGGTGCCAATCTAAAACCAAAGGAATACTCAACTCCTGACAAAGAGGAAGTAGATCTTGTACAGACCAGGTGACGTCGTCGTTTTCCAAAACTAAACGCATTTTTACAGCTTCAGGAAGGCGTACATAATTATCACGAAACCTATTAAGCGTCTCTTCCTTTCCTTCGAATGATCCGCCTAGGTGCAATATTATGACTGCGTCACGATTCAGCTGTTCGTTTAACTTCATTCTGGAAAGAAGTTCTTCGTGATAACGAAGGTCTCGTATAGCATTTGTAACAACGGACTCCTTGGGTGAAGCTATTTGAGTATATTGTCCAGGATGTGTCGATAAACGGTGATTATATCGATTGGCAAGTTCTCCTACAGCTTGCAAATAAGAATCAGCAAATTCCAAAGAATACCCATAGGTACCATGACTCGCGAATGGAAAAAGGTCAGAACTTACTCGCATAAAATGAATACCAAATCTGTGATTCCATTCTACAAGGGTAGCTAAGTCTTGCGTATTCTTTATACCCAAATCCTTCGCGAATTGCAGAGATTCTTTCTGAATTGTAGCGATTCGACAGGTTCGCGAGCAAAATGCAATTTCTCTGGAAAATCTCAAAACCGTGTTTTGACATGCATAACCAAGGCGCCCTTTCCAAGGAAGTGGTTTGTCGGGACAATCAAAAATGGGTCTGGAAGCCTGAGGTTCTTCAGATAATTCCGAATCTTCAAGCAAATTCTTTTTAGAAACTTTTCTCGTTGATGAAGTACTCCTTTTCCGTTTGATTACATCTTTAGAAAGTAGCGTTTCAGGGCCATCTAGCTCATATGCTGACGAGTCTGATTCAGTTGTCACTGAAGCTTCGGAGCCTTCGTTGGGATAAGCTTTTGTCTCTATTCTTGAGAGTAGAGGATCATCGTCTTCCGTTTCGTTATCCGATTCTGTCCGATAGTCAACGGGCTTTCTATCTCTTCTTGATCGCCTTAATCTGGGGGCAGCTGGCTCGATTGTCGGAGCAATTTCCTCAGCCGGAGAAGAAGTGTGATTATTCGAGGGACCATTGTGAACTGCTTGGTAGCGGTGTCTGCTAGTTTTTGCTTTTATGACTTCATCCTGTATATGAGCGTTAGATGAAGGAATACTGATTGATTCATAGCTCTGAACTCTTGTTCTTTTTGTAGTTTGTCTTCGAGGCATAATTCTTTTACAAGAAAGGAAATTAAAAGAAAGAACCCGGTATGGATGGAAACCTCGCAACAGTAAAAGCATGCAAAGAATACGTGCCTGCTTAAGAGCCACAGAAGAAAACGTTCAAGCAGACATCAGAGAATCTTCTTTAAAAAATCAACCTGCCAAGTTTTGTCTACCTCATGCTTACGTACAACACCTGGTTTGCTTAAAGGCTTATGGCTGCATGTATGAACCCCTATAGCCATCAACATTTCGCTTTTATTTTGAGAAACGATGTTTACTTTTACGTATGCATACAATCATTAATACTATTTAAGTTATAAAAGCGAAGGGATGAAAGTAATTCGCTACGCTAAAAACTCCCTTTATATAACTGTAGTAGAATATAATCAAAATATTATACGATGAAAGTTTTTTGTTTATTTGCTTATTTATTTGTGTATAATTACATTACGCTTTTGAAACAATCAAGAAATCTATAGGAAAATACGTCGTTTACTTATGGAAAGTCTTTCATAAAAAAAAATATAGCGAACTTACCATCGTTATGGAAACTATCCATATTTTCGAAAAAAGTGAATCCAACAATGGGTACTTTCTATGAATAATTCTTAATATTTCGCCCAATGAATAACTATCAAGTCAAAAATTTGTCTTGAAACAGTTCTTTAATCTTTTTTTTTTATACATTCCATTCAGCGGATGCTTCACTTATGATTCTTTCATTGTCTTCCATAAACAGTAAACAGTAAACAAAAATATTTTTGCATTTATATTTCCTATGCACTTTAAAGATTATTGCATCTCCCTATTTGGCTTTGTGTGTTTTAGCATACACTAACGCAGCTTTTACGTCGCCTCAACTCATATTACGACTACGTACAAGAAAGTGTTTTAGAGTGAGCAATTTACAACTTGATATTATTTGAGTTTATAATCAAAATGGAAAATTTAAAGGAAGGCAGATCACTTCCTACTGAAAGGTACTTATAGATACATTAAAATTGACAATAGTTCTAACAGTTAGAAATCCTCTTTATGACGACGACACGATTGATTGTATGTATTCATGTAGCGCTATTGACTAACTCGTAGATTCCACTTTAATCAGCAAATGTCGCTCTCAAGTGATTGAATTTCCAGACGGACCAGCTACGTTTGTTCGTCTCAAATGCAACAACCCAGATTCGAAACAGTAAGGAAACGTTGGTTAATGGAAACGGCATTTGCTAATTCTCTAGTCCTCATTTTTTAATGCGAATGGCAAGAAACTCCAATATTAGTGCAACATCTATGTATGTTTATAATTTTGGATCAAGTTTGAAATATAATTGCTAACGTTTAACTTCTTGTAGGTTCCGCTCTGCTTTCCCTAAGGCTAAACAAGAGGAAGAAGATTCTGAGATGGAGTGGATTCGTGCTAACTTAAATCCTGTTGAGGAGAAGCAAGTCTCCGGTTTATGGGTTTCTCCAAGGGACGCATTAGCTTTAGCCAAAGATTATGGTATGACTCCATTCATTAAAGCTCTTTTAGAAGCTTCTACATCCCCTTCTACTTATGCAACTCCTGCTCGTTCTCATCCAGTGGAATCCAACCAGCCGGCCGGAGCTAGTCCTTCAACTTTAGGCAAGTTAGTTGGATCAAAAGCCCCACACAAGTCATTAGAGCCTTCAGAATCTCCCAAAAAATCTCTTTTTTCTAATGAAAAGCATGAGAAAGAGAGTAAGGAAGTCCAGACTAAAATAGATGACACCAACAAATCCATTCCTTCGGCAGTTACCTTGCCCGCTTCTTCTTCTTCTTCTTTAGTTGCTTCTAATGAAAGGGAGTCTGAAAAGGAAGTGAAGGGAGAAGAAACTAAAGTTGTGAAGCAAGAGGAAATAGATATCGTGAAGAGACAACCTTTGAAGAAAGAGCCAAAAATGAAAGGGAAATCACAGGATGAGCAGCTACACTTAAAGGAAGAAGAAAAAGTAGTAGAAGACGAGGAAAATAATCATTCTTCCGACATTCCAAGAAAAGTTCGAACTCCAGTGAGGCCTTCTGAGCTTTTAGAAAGAATTCGCTCAAATGTGCATCGTCGTGTTTCAGATGTTACACAACAAGTCAAGAAGCCTTTAGAGGCTTTCGAGAAAAAAGCGACAGCTTCTATCCATCTCCCTCACCCTTCTTTTAGTGTTTCGAAAAAGAGAAGCCGCGATGAATACGAAGAAACCCAGCCTAAGGAAATCGATGAAGCTGCATTGATACCTGTTAAGAAATCCAGAATCTCCAAGCTAGAAACAGAAATTCATTATGAAAAGAGAAAAGTTCGTGCTCTAACAGGTATTGTTGTCGGTTTGGGTGCTGGGTATGTTACATAATCATCTATCATTTCAATTTCCACATCTAACATATTTGTATAGGGCCATTTTGCCATTTCTTTTTTAAGTCTCACATAATTGACAAAAAAGAAGATTGGAGGAAGAAACTTGTAAATTTCTGTCTTAGCTGATGTGGTCAATATCTATTAGTTTTATCTATTCATGGAAGCAATGCGTTTGTGTGCCCTTTAAACAAAGACAACTGAGATTTTATTTTTATCATGTTTAATGCAAAACGGGGCATTCCCTTCTAATGGTTACTCGTTCTTAATTGTAAGTTTAGTTATTCAGGAATAAGAAAGCTGTGCTTTTTTTCAAAAAGTCGATTTATTTATTCAAATGAAGTTTAGCACTCGTATTTTTTTATTCTATCTAAAGTTACACTCTGTAAAGAAGTCCATCCGTAGCTCTGAAGTCTGCTTGACCTTGACATCTGAAGCCCACATCCTCCAACATTGTTTATGATTATGCAGAAACAACATTACAATTCTTTTGTAATCTCCATATAGACATTCATTTTCTAATTGTAGAAAATTTTTGTTTTACTACCTTTTATGCCTAGGGTTGTGATATTTAATTTATTTTGCAGTCGAAAAGGTAATGATGCATTCTCTGGGACGACGAATATCCACAGAATCGTTGCTTTCGGGTGAATCGGACTTTATTATAGAACACGAACCTGACAGATTTTACTTGTTATCCCAATGGGGTCAAAATTTTAACAATTACAAAACCGATGGTAACCAAAGAGCAGTTACTTTGATCTAAACTAACTAAATATCCATTAGATCGAGTCCAGGAGACTATTCAGACATTTAACAAAGAAGAAAGTATCGATAAAAGCAACTGGTCTGCTTTATGGAGACTGTGGAATGCAGGTCATTCTTGGTTTATTGTCTGTATTATCGGTGTTAGCATTGGGGCATCAGCTTATATGCTAAGTGTGGTTACTTCATTTTTTTCTGATATCCGAAGGGGGCACTGTTTGTCCAGATGGTTTTTTAATGAAAAGTTTTGTTGCATGTACAGTGAAGAATCAGGTAAGCGCATTGACTCTTAATTCCCTACTAATGTAAATCAGGTACCACTTGCACTACATGGGTTCAATGGAGCGACTCTTTTGTTTTTAATTATTTAGTTTATGCTTTCCTTGCTTTAATTTTCATTATAATATCGGCAATTGTTGTCAAAGATCTCTCTCCGCTTGCTGCTGGCAGTGGAATTTCGGAGATTAAAGCAATAATCAACGGGTTTTCTAGAGATGATTTTGTGTCTTTTCGCGTTTTACTAGTCAAGTGTGTCTGTTTACCGCTTACCATAGCAAGCGGTCTTTCTGTTGGCAAAGAAGGTCCTAGCGTTCATTTGGCAACAGCCATGGGCCACGTTATAGCTTCTATCTTTAAGCGATTGAAGCTACATTCAGTTAATTTTCGGGACATATACGTTTCCTCTGCCGCTGCCGGCGTAGCTGTTGCTTTTGGATCCCCTATTGGAGGTGTACTATTTGGCATTGAGGAAATGGCTTCTGGTTATACTTCCAGAATGATTTGGTACACTTTTTCTTGCTGTCTTTTCGCCGTCGCTACTTTACATTTACTAGATCCATTCCGGACCGGCCAACTTGTTCTCTTTGAGGTTCGTTATTCTGGTTCTTGGCATTTTTTTGAATTGTTCTACTTTTCTATTTTGGGGATTTTTGGAGGATTTTATGGTGAAGTTGTCATGAGGCTTTTCTTCACAGTTCAGAAACTGAGGAAAGTTTATGTTGATAAATGGCCAGTGATAGATGCATCTGTCGTTGTAATAGTTACCGCATTAATTAGTTACTTTAATACTTGGTTGAAATTGGATATGACCTTGGGTATGGAACTATTATTTCAAGATTGCAAGTCTGTAACTACTCCTGAGTTGAATGATCTATGCAATCCGAATAATGAAGGGAAAAACTCGCTGTTGTTGTTAACATCAACATTATTAAGGATGATTTTTGTTTCGTTTTCATATGGCGTTAAAGTTCCTGCCGGCATTTTCGTGCCCTCCATGGCTGTCGGAGCTACGTTTGGACGGATGGTTGGATTATTTGCTGATATATTGTACAGAAAGTTTCCAGATTTGTTTCTTTTTTCTGCTTGTCATGGATCAGGTTCATGTATAACCCCAGGAACGTATGCTCTTTTAGGAGCTGCCGCTAGTTTAAGTGGTATGATGCATTTGACTATGACAGTCGTAGTAATTATGTTTGAATTAACTGGGGCTTTGAACTTTATCCTTCCCACTGTACTTGTGGTTGCTATAGCCAATGCTGTAGGTGCTTTACTAGGTCGCAACGGCATAGCTGATAGAAGCATCAAGCTAAACGGAATTCCTTTCCAGGAATCAGAAAATATCTATTCTGAAACTGAGGACATTTTGTTCCCAGTCACGACGATAATGTCTAAAACAGTAATAGCCATACCCTCAGAGGGGATTACGTGGAGATGGTTGTTTAGAACTATGAAGAAACACCCGTTCAGCGGATATCCTGTAGTAAACAACCTGAAACGTTTCGAACTTATTGGCTATATAAAGAGTACTTCAATCAAGCTAGCATTTGAAGAAGCAAAAGGCAATACGACATTTACATTTGACCAAGAGATTTGTTTTCGACTTTCTGCCGTAATGAACTATTCGAACGGGCAAACTTTACTATCACACTCTTTGGGGTTGGATTTGTCATCCTACATGGATTTGCAACCAATAAGTGTTTTACACAATCAATTGTTATCCAATGTTAGTACCATCTTTCAGGCTCTATGTCCAAAAGTTATCCACGTCGAGAAGGATGGAATTCTCGTAGGGCTTATCACACGGAAAGATCTGCTACTAACCAAACATTATTTGAAAACCTTCAATAGGTCGCCTTCAGCAGCTTCAAGGATGGAGAACGTTCCCCTGCATACAATGGAAAATAGTGAACATGACCAAGGTATAGAGCTACAACTTTTGCGATCATGAAGAATTAAATGTGCTATTTTATTTTAAAAAAAGGACTATAAAAAGCTTATTATTCTTTCGAGTAGTCGTATAATGAGGAAAAAAATTATAGAAAAACAAGGAAAGGGGAAGAATGTACAAAAAGCAAAGGCAAATAAACTCATAGATAATTAGATTGCATGATATAGACAGCGAAAAAAGTTTAAAGCAAGGGAAAATTAATAACCAAAAAATTATTAGCCAGGAATAAATATGGCTAAATTAAAAATGTACTCCAATTCTCAGGAAAGGGTCTTTCGAAAGCGGTGTAATATTTGCTTAAACAGCTCCAGCCGCTAAAATCGATCGAATCATGGGGGTTACACTCACATTTTGTTAGAGTTTGTTCGTCAAGAGGACAGTGGCCGCTGCTGGGATGCCAATATCCGATTTCATTAAAAAAGTGAATTGACTCGCGATCGGTGAATAGGGCAGCGGCAATGCTGTGCACAGGAGCATCACCCCAGCGTTCATAGAAAAAGCCGTTGGTATTATCCAAGTAGTCAAAGTATTGTGAGTATACATCACTTTCCCAGAAATCAACTTTAGCAATTTCAAAGTTGGTCCAAAAATGACATCCATTATAGGTTTTGCCATCATTATCAGATATAAAATTAAGAGCGCTATTAGGATGGACGGCATTTGGATGGAGCTTTAAGAAATTACGGGTATTTTCCCATAAAGTTGGGATAGTGTCGGCGTATTCAGTGACGGTGATGGTAAAGCCATAAACCTTATTATTTTCCTTCATATAAGCAAAAGGATCGAAGTCTACATCACACCAGAAGTCGACGCTAGGCTCAACACGCCAATAGTAATCATATTTTTTAACGAGGGGGTGACGGTAAAAGAAGCCCGATTCAAAGCGACACATATGGCGATATGATTCAGAGTCTGCATAAAGAATGCCCTTTTCTTTGAGATGCTCCCAATTTTCATGCATCATGTCCTGGTTGACCGATTCAGGTATGCACCAATGTTCTTTGGGAATGACGCCGAACTCGACATGACCAGAAGCAGTTTCATTAATGCGACTCTTGAATTCATCACTAAACTCCTCGTCATTTAAAAATACCCAAGGGTAATGATACTTATGATTAAACCGGCGCTCTAAACGCTGGACAGACTGAACCATATCCGCCAGGTCTTGATTACGAGCAAGACTGACAAAAGCAGCATTGACACGGCCATTAGGAAGCCATTCGGAGCGCTTTGATTCTGGAAGACTGGCAATATCAAAAGATTTCGTTTGATAATCTGCGAAAGGGTTTCTGAAGACGGAAGTTTCCAAAACGTTCAGTACACCACGAAAATCATTTCGGTATCGCAAAAAAACGAGACAAGCAATTAGACAGACGACGAGAAAAACTCGTTTGAATCTTTTGTGATACAGGATCATTATGAATGGAATGGGAGTGTCTAATCACTCACGAGATGAAAGCACTGACACTAGCACAGTCTTCGATTGATAATCCTTTGTATGTAAAAAAAAATTTGGCTGTCTTTTAATCAATTTGTTCTGTTGCAATACAAGTTGGAAGAAATCAAGCAGCGAGCGCAAATAAACAAGGAGGAAAGCTACAAGATTCAAAACTGAGCAAAACAAACAATGCAATCCACCGAGGCCAGAAATTATACGAGCAATGAAAATCAAAATAAAAAGGCCCAGAACGGATTCGGAAGAAGTAGTCAATCTTCTTCAATGAACGACTTTATTCTTGCTTACCACAAACCAAAAGAACTCTATAGCAAAACTTGCAATGTGCAAAAATCCAATGAAAAGTAGAATGAACAGAGAAAGAAAGGATGCTTCGTAAGTTCTAGTTCCCTTTTCTTTCAATTACGGCACTGTGGCTTAGAAGATGAAGATGTGATCCCTTTGTCTGTGTAGTGAGGTTGAGGAGAGACACACAGAGAGAAGACCTGGGCAAGGCTGGCTCTTACGAATTGATCGAAACTCTTTTATTTTATTTATCTTTTACTTTTCTTGAATTATAGTTTACTTTAATCAAAACAAACAAAAGCATACTTCATCTTGCAGAGACCAAATGTCTCTTTCCTTATCCTTTCTCTTCTGAAAGAAATTTCATTCAATTTATTATATTTTCTGTTTCTCTTTTGTTTACAATCTCAGCTTGTCGTAGCGAAAAGTAGTAAAATCATGAAATCTGAAACTAACTGTTAAAAAAGAAACCAACTACGAACGATAAAAAACACCTTATTTTTTATCACAAGACTATCTTAGCGATAGTGACTTTGTCGTGCATTAAAAAAAAAATCCATCCAATTCAACACTCCTACTTGGTTTCCCTCTTCCCACCACACATTTCTTGATTTCCGCTAATTTATAGAAAATGCTTGCTCCCCGTGTCTGTCGCTCCGGTCTTGGATCTCTTCGCTCTGCCTTGTCTTCCAAGGCAGCTTCTCCTTTTTTCCTACGCTCTTCTGCGAGTGCTGTTGCTCGTCCTTTCACGGCCTTTCAATGGAGAGCCGCTAACTTTTACTCCACTAAACGTTTTACGAAACAACATGAATACGTTAATGTAGACGGCGAAGTCGGTACTGTTGGTATTTCAGAGTATGCCGCTCATGCCCTTGGCGAAGTCGTCTTCGTTGAACTTCCCGAACAAGGATCCTCCGTTGATGCTGGCAATGGACTCGGTTCGGTTGAGTCGGTCAAGTCTGCAAGCGATGTCTACTCTCCCGTTTCTGGTGAAATTACAGAGGTCAATGCGACACTCAGTGATTCTCCTGAGAAAGTTGGCCTTTCTCCCGAGAGCGAGGGCTGGCTTTGCAAAATTAAGCTCAGTTCTCCTGAAGAAGTGAAAGGCTTATTAACCAAGGAAGCATATGATGAGTTCTGCAATGAAGAAGACGCTTCTCATTAATTCAACACGCTTTTATATGATTTACTTGTCTACCTAAAGCCCTTTATCCATCAATCCATATCGACATGGATTGATGGATGTTTTTTGTCGATTTTGCTTATCCAATCGCCATAATGCAGAGCCGTAATCTACCAGATACTGAATTAATTACAAATCTTTTTAAAAAGTTTATTTTCCTTCTCTAATTCCTTGCGTACCTCACCGACCTTGACCTCCTTGTATGCAAAGGCCAATTTTTAACAATTTCCTTTCTCATTCACCTATACTAATAATTTTATAATTATTATAAAGAACTAATATATGCTATGATAGGTTATTGTACATCTATAATATTAATAGTCTCAATCCTACATCCCACGCAAACGCATTGACTTTCTTGAGAGCTCTACAAAATTATTTCAGAAAGACATGTTATGTAATATAAGTTTCAATTAATTAACTATGTAGTTTACGAAAAGCGAAGCAGCGATTAAAAGTCAAAAAGTTCAAAAAGATCAAGAAAAAAATGAAAAAAAAGCATGTACAGTAAAAGCTGTTCTTGAAATAAAAGTATGAAAGAAAAAATAAACAAAAAAAAAACAAACTCTAGATTTGAGCCTTCTATTTGCCCATAAATGATTTGCAATACTCATTGGAATTAAAAGTTGGCTGCTATATTAGATGCTTTTACATTAAGAAAGCAATGGACGCAACGAGTAAAGCAAAGAAGGCGGCAAAGCCCTTCAACGGCAATGTTTGACCGGCCGCAGATGGCATAGTAGTTGTGTTACCATTGAGAATAGGCGCAGGACGGCTGCTGGTATTCCAGGTTGCCGAGCTACTGATTGGGAAGGCACTACTGCTGTTCGTACCAATAGGAGTGCTAGAGACACCAGATGGGATAGGTGCACCAGTCGTGTTTGTGCTGCCCGTAGGAACAGTTGGAACAGTGCCGTTTCCGACAGAAGAGGAAGGTGCGACTGTTGAATTTGCACTACCCGTAGGAACAGTTGGAGCAGAGCTGTTAGAAGTAGGGAAGTAAGGAGTACTAGTTACATTTGCACTTCCCGGAGGAACGATTGGAGCAGTGCCGTTTCCGACAGAAGAGGAAGGTGCGACTGTTGCATTTGCACTACCCGTAGGAACAGTTGGAGTAGAGCTGTTAGAAGTAGGGAAGTAAGGAGTACTAGTTACATTTGCACTTCCGGGAGGAACAGTTGGAACAGAGCTGTTAGAAGTAGGGAAGGTAGGTCCTCTTGTCCTGCTTGAATTGGTAGTTGGATAAATTGGAGTGCTGCTTGTATTAAGGTGACTTATAGGATAGCCGGGAAAAGAGCTCTTTGAAGGAGTGCTGGTCGTGTTTAAATGAGTAGTAGGGGGAACAAGACTCGTCGTGAGATTCGATTGTGAAGAACCTATAGTAGTGGGTGGATAGCTAGTGCTGTTTGTACCGGGTGCAACAGTAGTAGGAACAGCCGTACTAGTAGCGTTCTGGTACGGAGCCTGTCCTTGAGCATGCACGACAGCTGCTAGCAGTATGAGCTTGGAAAAGATGGAGAAGATCATCTTTAGAAGACTAAATCAAGAGATGGTAACTTCAGCGGATACTAAAGAAGGCGCAAGGAAACGACTATCGGTTAAAAGGTAGCTAGCTCCTTATTTCACAGTTCCTACGTCTTGTTAGGACTTTTACTGCTTGTCAAGCTCAATCCAAAACTGGCTATTTAAGTAAAATTATTCTTACCCTTATCACAGTTTGATTTCATTTCATGACGACCCCATGATTCTATTTCACTGATTGCTATTCGTACAAGTTATCGGTTTTCATGACTTTCAAAGCAGGACGGTCATCTACTTCTAAAAATCCTTAACAATATGCGCGTACAAGTTTGGTCATACCTACGTCGTAACGACTTAAATGTGAGCAAGCTGCATGGTCATTTTTATAATCCTTCCTTGGGAAGCGTATCGCCTGTTTAATTTTTGCTCGTTATCTCCTTTTTGGATAAGTTGGTAACAGAAACATCATTTACGCAGACATTACTTGCTTCTTATAAAGACTTAGCTATTTTGGTATATTAATTTTGTAAATTTTAACACCCCAGTCTTCTACTTTTCTTAGTCTTTAATGGGTTTCTATTTTTGTTTTTGTTTTTATTTTTATGAGGTAATCCAACGTCAGCATTGCTCTAATACAAGCATGTATTTCTGTCTTGCTGTAATTGTGTTGTCATTTTGCGAAGCGTATAATGGCTAAGACTTCACTCTCATTTCGCTACAAAGTGAGCTTAAATGATAAACAAGAATCACACAGCTCTAAACTGATACGAATCTTATATAAAAAACACAGGTTAGTTAGAGAAGATATTTGATTTTCATAAAAAAATATTGAATTTAATAAACTATCAACTAACCAACAGAAATGCGAACAACTTTTTGATGGACAGTTGCTAGTCCAACATTAATACATATATTGTCTTTCATCCATTGATCTGGTATCATCTAAGCGGTCATTTCAATGTCTTCGGTATTATTTTTTTTCAAAATCACAATTCCTTCTAGGGTGGCCATTGGAGTGTAAGCTTCAGTCGCAAGCTCTGCTCTTTCATTGTGATGTAATAACACTGGTGTTGTATGAGTAACCCAACCAGTGATTACCTTGGGACGTCCAGCTTGTCCGACAACATCAACAGCTTGACCAACACGTACACTGACCGGGAGATACTGTCCGTCCTCACCAAGAGTGATAAGCATCCGTGGTCTCATAGCCAAAGTCAAGCCGTACAGAAGCCAGTGTGAAGAATCAAGGATTAATGAGCTCGCATCTAGCATCGCGAGTGCGACTGTCATGAGACCAGCAAAGGCTGTTTGACCGAGAATTTGACGATCGGTGTGATAAGGATTCAATGACATGGTTCCTTTACCAAGGTAAAGCAGTCCTTGGGCAATGCGTACGATAAACAATGCATTTGATTCCTTGTGATAGTAACTAGCCAACTGTCGAAGTAATTGGGCCAAGCGAGCATTATTAGTACCGGCACCAACGAGACCCATAGCAAAGATGGCGTTGTAGGCGACATCTAGATCGTTGTCATGACTGTATCTAGAAAGAGTATCAAAAATTCTCATTTGTGGATTTGAAGCAGAAAGCAAGCCAAGTGCCAAAGGGACAGCTTTTCTAATAAACGGTTCACCATAATGCATCATGTGATCAAATTGTCTAGTAACCATTTCAGAACCAATGTCCTCGCCCATTGCAATAACTGCAACACCCAGAGCTGCTAAGGATTGTGCACTCCTTTCACTCTCCTTTGCATCAGCACTTAAGGGCTCACTGCAAATATGTAGTAACTTTTGAATCCGCAAAACGTTACCTGTCCCTGCATACGAGCAGATATCAACCAAAATCTCTGCTTGTCTAGCAATGTCCCCTTCAATGGCCTTTAATGTCTCAATGGTAGCATCAGCCAAATCTTGTTTACCGATGAACAATAACGCGAGACCAAGGGCCATAAAACGACCCCAGTTATCGTTTTGTCCAGCTTCCTCACGCTCCATTAAAGTTTGTAAGATAGTACTAGCTACATCACCGTTGCAAGTACCGACGAAGATTAATCCTAATGTCAATGCTGCTAAGCAAGAAAGTTGCATTGGTGCTTTCACATCAGTAACAATGGGTGCAAACATGTCGAGCATGTCTTCACGGTTAGATCCAGCGTAAGCCAAACCCAAGCCTAAAATAGCTGTAGCACGAAGTTTCGTAGATCCTGTTTCAAGATACTCGGATAAAATAGCTAATGCAGGATCAGCCTCATTACGAACGGCAACGTTGGTTACACCTATTCCCAACAAAGCACCTGCTTTAACATTTTCTTCAGAAGAGTAAAGATATTTATCAAGTAAAGAAAGTCCCATATCGACATTCCATAATTGCAGTAAGCCGATAGAAGCAGTGGCACTAATCATGCCAGAGTCTTTGTTTTTATAAATCCAAGAGGATTTCTCATCATCAACTAAAACAAGTCGGTCATTACTGTATCCTGCATTAACAAAAGAATTAACTAAGGTATTAGCCAGGTTCTGTTTAGCTGAGTAAACACCAGATGAGCCAAGGCCGGTCCGAGCTACTTCTAAGTGACTTTTGAAAATATCTTCAGGAACTTTAGGATCCATAAGGTTTAGTTCTTTTCCGAGATGATGAAAATGATCAGACAAATGAATGTTGTTCAAAGCATCGTTCAACTCTTCGTCCTCCATGTCAAAAGGAATTCGCTGCCTGGCTAAAATATAAGCCATTTGTTTTTTTAACAATGGATCTTTCGCTGCCTCACAATCCTCACGGATCAATGACATATCGTCGAGACGAATAGCAATATTTAAAGCTTGTGTAAGTTGATTAAATTTTCGGTAAATAGCATGAGCCGTTCTAAGCATGGCTACATCTTCAGGAAAAGGGAGAAGATTTACACAACTGGTAATGTATAAACATACACGAGACGCATTATCGGCCTCAACATAAGGTGTGACTTTTTCGATAGCACCCAATTCTTGCAATAAATCGATAGCATCAGCTTCAGCATTATGGGTCAAGAAGAAAGGAACAATGAGGAGTGCAAGATCCATAAGATCATCAGTGGCTGAATCCTTTTCCTGTCGCTCAGCAAATTCAGCTCCAATTTCAGCTGCTAGATGTCGTACATATTCATGACCCCAAACAGAAGGATCAGTAGTAACACCATGCAAGCGATATTTTAATGACTCCCGTTTGCTAGGGTCACTGTATGACATTCCTAAAACGGAAAGGATATCAGCAAGTTGAACTTTCAAAGGACCCTCACTCCAAGATTCGAAAGTCTGTGTTAACGTAGAATAATGGGGTCGTAAAAACTTAAGGGGCTTAGGAACCGCTGTCATAGAAGACGTAGAGGTTCTAATGATTTCTTTCAATTGTGTAAGAATGGAACTCATTAAGTCTAAGTTGTTTTCTTGAATTCGCTCTACCAGCATATCTAAATCGGTTTTTAGTTGTAAGTCTTCTTCTGACTATTGAAAAGGTTAGATTTATTCTCTTTTAAGGTGCTTAAAGTTACTTACCAAATCCACCACATCATTTCTTTCTTTCACCGAAGTAGCTTCATTTTTTTCATTAGAGGAAGGCGTTTTTACGCTTTGATCTTTCTTCATCTCATCATTACTATTTGAAGACTTGTTAATGTCTTCGGGATTCATCTTTTCTACTTGGTTTCTTCACTGACGATGAATAGTAATGTGCAGTCGGCAGGACTCTGGCACACCCACAATATTAGGTATATCGAACGCTTGCGAAGGTTTCATGCTTACTCACTATTATTACCATACTATTCACTGAGTTAAGTTAGTGATATTATGATACCCTCGATTAGAAAATATCCAACACTATTCTATCAATCGTCAATCATAATTGAGTTTATGCTATGTAAAAAGGAAACGAATTGAAACAATGAAAGCCTTTATTATATGACTTTAAAGACATATAACACTGGCATATAAAGTTTTTTTGACATGCCGCCAGCCATAAGACATAAAACTAAATAATGCCCATAAACAAGTAAACTAAATTTAAATAAATAAAGCGGGCAAAGTACGCACGATACTTAAATTCCGAAAATAATAATTATAGTATCTGCGAACTTCGCAAAAATCCATAGCAAAAAAAAAAGTAATAAGAAATACATAAATAACCTTCTGACTTTTCTTTCTAACGTCTCACATTTCTTAAACGAAAGAATGATTAAAAGAGTTGTTGCTTTCACTCGCGTGGAACATAGTCCGCAAATGATAATAATTTTCGTGTAACGGTAGCTCATTTGAAGGATATCTTGAATATGCAGCTTCCGAGTCTTCCAGATTCCAGCCAGCAAAACCCTCATGATTGGCAGACTGTCGCAGCTCTTTTAATGACGAACAAATTTCTGAAGAGTTATTCAAATGGTTTAAAATTGAAGAGTTTGGTTCACCATCAGAAAAATATAGAGGCCTTAATTTTGACATAAGAGATGCCTTATGTGAACGAAGAGGAGCATCAGAAGACGAGTCTATCGAACCGTCATTCTCTTCAGGGGCTATGTAATTCCCAAATGCACTAGATTCGTAAGGAACGAAGCCTTCTTTCTCTCGTTTTAAATTTCCTGAAAGTATAGAGACTATGTGATCGTCACAGTCGTCAGAAGTATCGTTGTAGACTACTGTGCTATGATCTGACAAATCACTCGACTCAGGCAAATGCTCGTCTTTATCTTCTGCAAAGAAAGCATCAAGGCTGTGTAAGGTAGTTACAAGCTCACCTAAAGAATTTTCTCCTGAAGACCCATGGCTATTCGTAGGAATATGTCGAGGATAGTTTGATACCTCTTCAGCATGAAATTGGATTTCAGGAGTCTTTAAAGAAGTACCTGTTTCAGGGCACATATAGAAAATGGCATGTACGTTCTTCTTGGTCAATGTTGTTGCATACTCAGAGTTAGGTTCAGACCAGCCAGTTTCGTCAGGAATTTCAAAAAAATGCGCAAATCTAGCATCGGAATTTTTGGTTTTGGGGTCAATCATTAGTAGCTTGAATGTCTGTACATCAGAAGGCCCTGAAATTGATAATGGCATGGTTAAGAGCTTTAATGCATCCATCACATAATCAGTAGATAATAATCTGAGCAAAGGAGAGATTAAGTTTAATCCAAGACCACTATATGCTTTGTTGTCAAAATGCAGCTTTGGTAGTACGTTATCCAAAATCCTCAATGTAGATTTTCGAATCCATGGCAAATTATTTGACAAAAACATCGAAAGAACTGTTATGATTTCCAAAGCAAACTCTTCAAAAAAGTTTGAGGTTATATATGAGACAGCACATTTCAAAAAGTCATCCGAACTCCTAAATTGTCTTTTCATATACGTTTTAATCAATTCAATTAGTTCGAGATTCTCGTACATGGATGCCAAATTGGTTAATTTACCACAGAATTCATCCAAATCAAAGGGTAGCTTTTCGGACGTTTCGTATGTTGAAAGCATTGCAGGTAATGAAACTAACAAACAAGCTAAATGTCGGAAATAACCGTTTCCGACTATGTGATTATCGCTGTAATCCATTAGTAGCATAAACAGTTGCATTGACATGTTAAACGATTTTGTTGACCGAAAGCCTCGTAATACTAGCAATTGAAGGCCATCAAACTTCCCATACCATGATTTTGGAAAAGAATCTATCAATTGTTGAAGGCATTCGGGGAGATCTTCTGTTCTTTTTAGAAAATTAAATGCAATTTTGACCGCATATAGATATTCTTCTTCGTGAACAGTAGTGAGACATGCTACAGAAGTCCAAAATAATTGAGGATAAAACATCAAATCAGCAGGATCCATAGTAGTCACATATGCATTAACAGTGGCAAGAATTTCAATAGAATAATCGTACAAATACTTTTCTTCGTCTGAGATCGTCCCAACTAATCTGGCTACTAAGTTCAGCTGAATGTTGGTATCGAACTTAGGTAGTATACAACGGAAAATCTGAAAAGAATTACAAGCCAGTCGTCTTGATGGGCAAGTTGTAGCCCAGTTTAAGGCTATCTTTCCCCATATCTGTATTAAGTCAGGATACGTATTAGATAATACCTCATTAGTTTTGGCAATTAAATGATCATAACGAGTAGTCTTGAAGTTTTCCAAACTATCATTTTTTGCCTTAACAGAAAATATATCTTCAGAATCCAACAGACTAAAGTAATTATCATCAGAATATAACCTTCCTTCCATTGCTTGTACTTTTTCAACAATATAATGAATAATTTGACGGCATTGCTTCCGAACTATTTTAGAATAATGATCCAGTTGTATGAACGCTGCTTGAAGAATTGTAGCTATCTCATTAGCCCCGATTCTAATAGACGGATTAGGGACTATATCCATCAGCAATAATAAAGACAACTGGCATGGTGAATAAAATATTGAATCCTTCTCCGGTGGAAAAAGACTATCTAGATCCGCAATGTACATATGATTTGAATTTTCAACATCGTAAGAAAATACCTCCTGATTTTCGTTGGATGCATTCGTGGAAGATATAAAGGATAATAAAGTAGCATATAAGCCCGGAAGTATTTCGGTTTTTGCAAGGTAAATTGTGATTTGCCGTGTGCACTCTACAAATGCGAATGTTTTTCGATTAAAACATTGTTGCATCAAGAAAAATAATATCACAGTCCAATTTTTCTTATGTCCTGACAAAGCTAAAGACGTCCAAAGCGCTTCAATCTCGTTAGGTAAGTCTTTAGTGTACCTCGTAGTAACTTCAATTAAGCCCATCAACATGGCGACGGTATAAAATTCAAATGTTTTATTGCCAACATCCATTTTGAGCTCCAGGTTCTGTAACCAAGGAAGTAAAACGGTAACCAATCCTCGTCGATGAAAATCGCCATAATTAAAATACCTCAAGCATTCAGATGTCAAAGCAAAAGAAGCCTCAGAAAAATCATTAGCAAGTTGAACCGAAAATAAATATTGAGGCTTTAAATACAGAGCGGGATTACTGGATTCCAAAAAGCTCTTCATTTCCATCATGGTTGTCAATGTAAAACTGTTAAGCCGAAATTTTCCTAGCAACTCAAAAGCTTTCAATCTAACAGATATATTGTTTGCTGAAAGTTTGACTAAACAGAGTGGTAACAGTTTTGGAATACTCAGATGTCCAACTTCAGTGTGAACAAGCATTTCCGAAAGAGCCAGAAAGAAATAATCGCATGTTTGTTGCGGGATACCTTGCAAAAAGCATTTTTCTATCACTTTTTGGAGTAGTAACTCATTGTCCCAATTTTTTATTAGTAAGGTACACAGACCTTTTCTAGCAAGGTTTATTATGACTTTTGAAAGAGAGTTAAAAACGGCTGTATACCAATTGAGTAAAACCTCAACATCAAAAGAAAATATGGCTTCACCTAGTTCTTGATGAAGCCTAGAAGTGCTCAAAGTTATCATAGCTTTAATTGCTAAATATTCAAGATTTTGTTTAGCTACTTCAAACGATGCAAGAAGACGATCGCGTTCTCTCATGTCTTTTTGGCTTTCCATGATATTACGACGAATCTCATCTTGATTGTTTTTCATTATTTGTTTAGCTGGACCAAAACCGGTCCATTCATCTAAAAGTTTCCAACAAGAAACTCGACCAGATAGTGGCAATATCTCGAAAGAGTCATTCATATTTTGATATAATGTAATTTTCTCAAGAAGCTGTGCAAAATAGCATTTAGTCTTTAATGAACTAACATCACCTTGAGTGTGAGAAGTTAAGTAAATTTTTAGATCCTTCAAAAACTCAGAGATAATTAATAAAGTATCAGTCTCATCTTTCATTGAATCATGAATCAGAAGATGAGATGTTAAGGCAAAAATATGTGCTATTTCAGACCTTAATAAGTTATCAGATTTATTTCGTCGTCCGAAGTTAAAATTTAGATTTCGAAGCAAAAACTCTGGCTTTTCCTCCTTTAAAAATGAAATATAAGGCTTCAGAGATCTGACGAGTTGGGGAAATGCATTTACATTGATACAGCCTGTAGCAAACACTACGGCCTCACGAATAGGGGAAAAGTCTACGAAAATTAACGGAAGTATCATGCTAAAAAGGCTTTCAGCAGAAGTGATCTTTGTAGTTTCTTGTAAGCTCCGTAAATGAGTCCCGGACTGAACAGCTGTTAAAGCTCGTCGCAAGTTTGTTTGCGATAAGTCTAAATTGGAAGTATAAGTAATAGTACAACAAGCAACAATTAAATACAACTTCCACTGAACAAGAAGATATTCGGGAAATTCATTATTGTTCACGGCACTTTTCAAGTTGAAATTAACGTCTGAGATATCGATTTTCGAAAGCAGTTTTGATGTTATACTAGGAAGCTTTGCACATACTGTGTTCCTCAATAATGCCATTGTAGTTGGGAACCGTTCGAAACAAACTTTAATAAACTTAGGAAAAACGTTATACCAAATTGATATATCAACTCCACTGTTTGAAGTTGCAAGTTTGAGCAACATATCTTTCGTTCCATCGTTAATAAATTTCCTCAAACGAGAGCGTTCAGCAGCAGTAGGCAGATGACTCTCTATGCTCAATATAGAAGAGTCGCAATCTTTCAGTACATCCACTATAGTAGGCTCAGAATAGACTTCTCCAGTCGTATAGTTATCAGATGATAATACTAAATATTCTGTGTTTAGCTTTTTCACATCATTAAGCAAAGCTACTGCAAATTGACGAATATCGACTGAGGGAGATGAAAGATGTAAAACAGCAAGCGACTGAATTTCTTCAATGATCATCCAGCTTTGAGTTTCATCGTAATCCTGTTTACCCAAGCTCGCGTTCTCGTTGTCCGAAGTAAGATTAGACTTGCTGCTAAGGTAAGAACTTCGTTTTTCAATAACAGCTTCTTGTTGTTGAATCCATATTTGTATTACCTCGTGATAAGTACGAAGTAGGTACTCTGAGCCTTGAACGAGTTTTCTAGATAAACATGAAATTACTGGCTTGGTCAAATTAAGCGTTGATGCGAAATAAAGAAGAGCGTTATGACACGAGAGATGAATAACTTTGTTAGGACAGTTTAAACACTTGACGTATGCATCAATTATTTTAGGCTCAATTTTAGCAGTTAAACAAGGAAAAATTTTTAGGGAATTGCTATATAAGCCCAAGTAACCTGCAGGATTCCGTGAATTATAACAACGGTTAGTGTCATTCGAGAGTTGAAGTATCAGAAAAAGCGCTCTCTGCGATAAATTCTTTATAAATGTTTGCCAGCATGAACCCATCGCATCGCTCCAAAGATCAATGAATTGAAAATCGATAAAATTAAACAACTCTTTGGAAGAATTTTTTAGCCTAATATCCTGTAATATGTAATAGGAGGATCGTACTGCGATCATCATTTTCTCACAACCCATATTCTCATTAAATGCATCCATTAGTAAGGGCTCTAATATTTCGTTTATAACATAATCCGGATAATGAGGAGCAAGGACTCTTAATAGTTGTGAAAACCCTTCCACTTCATCAACTGTAGCAAAGGGGGTTACATTGAAAGTTTTTCCCTGGAAAAAAATAGGCTTTAAGATGTAGGAGATATTTTCCAGGTTTTCATCAGTATTTTCTTGAAGACGATTAAGACAAACCCAAAGAACCTTCGCCACAGATTTCAAACCCGTACATCGAAGCCTTCTATCTTTTATACGAACAAAGGAAGCCTCTAACGTTGCTAACCAATTTTCCAGAAAAAATTCTTTCGGGGAAAGGCATAACAATGAACATAGGAAAGGAAACCATATGTGCCAAAATTTAGACTTGGTGCTTGACTTAAATGCAACGGGATAAAGGGAGTGTACAGTGCGTATCCAGGCTGGAATATTTACTTCAAACGTCGCATGTATTACAAGAGGAGAAAGGAGGTTTTCGAAAAGAAAAGCGTGCTCAATCTGAACCGCTTGGTTCGATTTGATAAAAAAAGATGCTAAGGATTCTAGGAAAGCAACACATTCCTCCAAGTGTGCTATTGGGTAAAGTCTTATATGAAGGTGTCTCATAGCGCGAAGAATGTATATAAGATAAGCTTCTCTTACCTTAAAATCCATATTCGATTTTTCCAATTTTTCGATTTCTTCTATGAATCGATCGGATACCATGACAAAGTTGAAGCGAGAAAGACTCCCTAATAAATAAGCAAAGCTCTCCCAGTTAGCGAGTCTCAAAGAAGATGAACAATTTGGGAGATTTTTTGGGTTTAATAACTGGTGAAATATGCATTCCAGTAATGAAGAAACTGTGCTCTCTTCAAAGGTATTATTTGGAAGACTTTCTGTAATTTCGGATAAAGAGCGGCAAAGAATATAAACGGAGATGAAATTCTTCCTTTCGGCTACGAAATGTGGAATATTCTTGGTGTTGGTTACATTGACCCGAACTTTTCTCCAATAAAGAAGTGATTCAATCACAGCCACTGGTTTTTTGGTAGCAAGGCCGATTAGAGCTTGAATACATCTATCGAATTCTTCATCATGGCCTTTCCGTAGAAGACGAATAGCGTCTTGTTCGCTCACTGTAAATGAAACTTGATACGGTTGTGTGTGTCGATTGATTTGGTGACGAGCAAGGTTAAAGATTTTTTGTTCTGATATCCTAACAAACTGGGTAAAAAGTATATGGAGGGCATAATCAACTGCTGAGTGTTGTTGTTCTTCTTGTGAAGGAGTGTCAGTTTCCTCTCCGTAGAAAGGTTCTTCTTGAGCAGTTTCATTCGAGTTCATTCAGTTTATCATTATATATTCTAGGTCTGCCAAAGAAGTAGCAATTCTAGATCTCAATGCTTGAAAAGGACCTTGGGATATCGCGCTGAGACGAGAAAGAATATTTGAGAAATACCGATTCAGAGGGCTTTCTGAAGGAAATCTTTAATTGGTTCCACCGTATTTCATAAGAACCTGGTTTTCTTTAAGTAGAATGCGGCAATATATCCTTACCCAAGTAACCAAATGCTTAGTATGTAAACTGCAACAGCATTGACTGCAGCCAGTAGGTGACTATTAGAAAACAACGTAGAAGTTTATAGTATGTTCGAGTCGTTTAAGGAGATGAGTAAAACTCACTATAGTGGCTCTCTACCAAGCAAGTGTAAAAAAAGGCAATAAAGTTTCGCTTAGCGGCCGATCCCATGTTAGGTGTATTTTGTATAGCTGTGAGAGTTTCTAGTTCTGAAGATGTCGATTTGCTGCATGAAACTATAGAATTTTTATAAACTATTGATCTTATATTGTTGAATTATAATCATTTAATGAAGAAAGTAGTGCGCACAATATAACAAAGATGAGAAATTTGAGTGTTCTGTTCAAAAGCTGTTGCATGGTTGTTTCGTTCTTTAACAGGTACGATATCATACAGCTGACTGATCATACATAACGATAATCTTCGTTCATTTATTTTTTGGTAAAGGATAAACATTCCTATTTACTCGATTTTAGCTACAATTGGGTTGATCTATGAACAACTATGTGAAAGGTGTTCTGGTAGATCAAAATAGCTTACAAGTAGCAATTAAAGCTTAATGAAGTGATAGAAAAGAATGTAGGAATATATGTATGCAAGATTTGATAAAAAAGGTATTAGTAATACATCTGGAAAAAAAAATAAAATAAGAGAAAATAATCCTGAAGTTTGAGAAAGGAGAAAAGAAGGTTATACAGTAACAGACATCAAGTCAAACCTTTTACTGACAAGAAAGGGAAGACCTAAGAAGAAGGAGCAGTAGAAGGAGTTGTTTGTGTAATATATTTGTTTACTCTTCGAATTGTTGGTTCCTCTTCTGGTCTAGGTAAAGTAGTCTGTCGATCAAACACTATACCAACATATTTCCTGGTCCGACGAAGGGATATCTGCTTTTGGAAAAACTTCACATATCCAGAAACATTTGCGAAAATTGTAAAGTCACGGCCAACCTTAGCATTGTCTCCAGGGTGAAACTTTGTACCTCTTTGTCTAACTATGATTTCTCCAGCATTCACGTATTGATTCTCTGAACGTTTAATACCGAGACGGCGACCAGCTGAATCACCTGAATTATTTGCAGAACCTCCTCCATGCTTCGCAGACGTCCGGATAGGGGGAAAAGTTAGGGCAAAAGGCATCAACTTCGTGGCATTGTGTTTGCGGAGCAAAGCAGTAGACAACTCATTCATGAACGTCGACTTTCCAATCATAGTGAATAGCCTATTATTCTGTGTGGAAGAAACTTGATTGTGTATTGTATAGAACCGGTGTTGTTCCCTTTTCCCTTCAGAAGCCAGAAACTTACTTCTTCAAAAAAAAATCAAAAAAAAAAGGTAAAACACTGAGGAAGGAAAAGATGTGTTAGACAGTTTTTTTTCCTGATGAAATATGGTACAATCAATAAAGAATTAGTTCTTATTGAAAGGTACTTTCACGGATAGCCTTGGGGACGGTTGACCCACTATTTATCCCTCGAGCTCATTACGGCGAATTAAGGATGGGGAAGGTCAGTTTACCAGGAATTTTGCTATGCAATGTGTAAATGAGCTTTGCTTACTTTACCATCTGAAAAATAAATGAATACTCTATAAATAAGATAAATTAATAAATTATCGATTTTCTTTTACAAACCTTTTTTTGTCCACGCATACCATATTTGCTTTCCTTCATATTTATTAACGATGGAGAGTGATCTCGAAGTATGAAATATGAAATCGGACTGAGATCGTTATATAACAAATGAACAGAACCACGTACATCCTGTCGGCACACACACTTTCAACTGAAAAGGCGTCTTTTCCTTTGGTATGGAAAGTTATACCCGTTTTTAATAAAATCTTACGTTGACGACGAACAATTCACCTTATCATTTATATAAAATAGATTGGTTTCATTGTCTTTATATCATTGTTGAAAAAAATCAAGTTTGTCATGAAGCGATAAACATGGTAGCACCGTATGCTGATATACTTAATAACTACTTCACAGGTAATTGTTTTACCGACTTGCAATCTATCTTCTTTGTAAGTATGGAATTTTTTTGTTATTTGGATAATCTTTTATGTCTAACGAAACTTTTCTCATTTATTTCCTAATTTGCGTGGCAGTAGCAGAATGCATTATTTATTTTGTGAGAAGTTTGAGGTAGTAAGGTACTGAAAATTGGCTGGATATAGACTGGTATCGAAATGACATTTAAAGTTTGCTTCTGTTGATGCTTCCTCATATAAAGTTATTGCTACCACCTATATATGACTCAACAGAGGCTCTTTGCAAAATATACAACAATGGTCGCGTTTTAGATTATTAAATTGTTTTTTACATTTTCTTCATTGTTTTACAAAGATTTTGGTGTATATACTTTTCGTTATATTCTCTCGTGTTTTATCAAATTTCCCCAGCGGAAATGCTTTTAGTTGTTCTACCTTTTCCTAACATGCCCGATTCTGTGGCACTTATATAATTCTATGAGATCCGGAAGACAGAAACGGTTCAAAAAACTTAACGATTATGTTCCTTTAACGGATTTACAGCTTGATTGTAATCACGATGATTCTAATTACCGCGCGTCAAATAGGCCATTTGACTTACCTACCGTTCCGACTTTACGACCTTCGGGCACAGAGTTTTCTGATTTCTATTCGTTTTTGCAAAAGAACGAAGATGTATTTGCAGAGTGTCCTGCGGCTAAGGTAATTCCTGCCGCTAGTTGGAGTCTACCTGTTGCTTTGGATCTTGAAACTTTTCAGTTTGAAGGCCAAAAACAAAAGCTGCATAAGGAATCTTTTCGCTACGATCAAAATTATGATTATTTTAATAAGCTTAAAGATTTTCACGAAGAACGTGGTTTATACTTCAATAAACCTCCTATGCTCCAGAATCAATCATTAGATCTACTCCAATTAAGAGACACCATTTCTCGTTTCACCAGTTTGGAATCAAATTTAAGCAATTCTTTACTATCGAAAATTACGGAAACACTAAATCTACCAGATTCCAAGGATGTGAGACAAATGCTCGTTCGAGCTTATGAACGCTATATTAAACCGTATGAAAGAACTCACTTACGCGCTGCTTCTTCTAACTCTGGATCTGTTGTTCGGTCCACCAGAGTTTCTCGCAGTTCCGTCGCTCATTCTGTAGCTGATGGGTCCTCACCGCCTGAAAATGATACCTCCCAACCAAATGGATCCCAGTCATTTGGAAAGCGGACTTTTTTCGAGCGCGGTGAACAATGTGAATTTTGTGGCCTGGATACAAATCCAGAAAGTATTTTACTCTGTGATGGTTGTGAAAGAGCCTATCATATATCCTGCCTTGACCCTCCATTAAGTAGCGTACCCAAAGATGATTGGTACTGTAATACATGCAAACATGGCGTTCAATCGTATGATCCAAGGAAAGGAAACCATTGGACTGTGGCATCGTTCAGAGACCATTCCAATAAACATATGGAAACTTTACTGAGTAAAAAATCGATGACTCTGGATCCCTCGGAAGACGATTTGGAAAAATTATATTGGTCAATGATTGATGATAACTCACTGCTATCACAAATATATCAAGTTGAGAGGTTTACTACTTCGTCTTTCAGCTCCTTACCGTCTAAAGAATTGCAACCTTTAAATCAATGTTCTTTTGAAAGTTGGAACCTTCGTAATATTCCTCGTCATAAATCCTGTCCTTTTAATTTTACAATCTCTGATATGCATTCTTTAGCGACTCCACAAATGTCCATAGGTATGATATATTCTACTTATGAATGGCAGCAGTCTCCTATGGCTACTTTTCAAGTTTATCATAATAGGTTTGGCAGCACCATTACTTGGTACGTTCTGCCTCCAAATGAGACTGAAAAGTTTGAAAAATTCATTAATAGTTTGGATAATACCTATGAAGATGATTTTTTTACAACTCCGTCTTCCCAATTACCTTTTCCTGTATCACCCGAAGTTCTTTTGTCTAATGGAATTCAAGTTATGGCTGTTGACTTACGACCCAATGAGTTCCTAATTGTGTCTCCCAAAAGTTATCATTTTGGATTCCATCTTGGATTTGCATGTTTAGAAACAGTACATTTTGCTACGATCCAATGGATCAAAAATGACTTGCTGAGAAACTGTTTATATCGAATGAAGAATTTACATATTTATTCACCCATTTCATATGATGCTATCATTATTTCTATGGCTTTATCGAGATTGCCTGAGTTTACAAACGACTGGTTTATTGAGAAGCTCAAAGACGTTGTAAGCATTGAAGTAAATGAGAGGGAAGCGCTCTCAAAATCACAACCGGAAATTGCAATAAGACAATTGCAGGAGCATCCTGTTCCGCGAGTTGTTTGTTCAAAGTGTCACTCTATGACTTTTATGTCGTATGTCAAAACACATGTTTCAAGTGAAACATATTGCCTAGAACATTTTAGGATGGATTCTGATATCGCTTCTCAACCGTCAACTGCATATTATCGATGGAATGCATCCGATTTGTCTAAACTTTTAGATAGGTTTTCTGCTTTTGTAAGAGCACCAATGGAGTGGTCCGGAAAGTTGAAAACTATTTTATTAGCAACACCCAAACCCCAATTGAAATCTCTGGAAGCCCTTTTAGATGACGCTGAATATGCTATGCTTAATACCAAGGACACGGTAACCTTACGGAGTTTTATCCATAAAGCCAATGCTTGGGTTAATTCAATTAATCATTATTTAAGTATCTCTCCTATAAGAAAAAGAAAAGAAAAAAAGCTACCATTTATGAAGATTCATGATCAACGAATAAACTCTACTGGCATGCGCGAATTAGAAAATTTATTTCAAGTATTACAAAGGTCAAAAGATATGGCTTTTACTTGTGAAGAAATTGAAGCTATGAAGAAAAAGGTATCAGATTTACTTCAATTCAGGGCCCGATTAACCAAGGTTTTCTCCGGTTCATTAGACAGAAGGATGTGTCAAAACTTATTGAACGAGGCAGAATCTTTAGGATTTATGTTCCCTGAATTAACGATCATCCAGAAATATCTGACTCAATATGATTGGCTTGACATGTTTTACGCTATTGAAACTGAAAAGACATCAGACGCTGATTTAGAAAAACTTATATCCTTTGGTTTAGCTGCTGGAGTTCCTGAAGACAATGATTATATGGTATTTGTTAGAGCTATGAAAGGGAGAGCTGAAATTTGGGAAAATCAGGTTCGTGATGCCCTCTCTAAAAGTAACGTATCTTACGACCGTTTGAGTATTCTCAGGGATGAAGCAATGACACTTTGTGTTGACAAGAAATTGTATACAAAGGTTGTCGAAATATTGAAAAATGCTGAAGAAGTAAAATACAAAATCAATACATTATGTGAACGCTCTCAAGGGAAGGTTTTTAAGTCCAGACCTATGATGGATGAGGTGAAAGATGCTTTAGCTCAAGCTGAAAAGCTTCCTATGTTATCTGATAGCGTTGTTGCGTTACAAAAAATGTTTGATTCGGTTTTAGAATGGATTCGTCGGGGTAAAAGGCTTTTCGGAAAAGCTAATGCTCCTTTAGAAATTTTAGGACAGCATTTGGAATATGTTGAGAAAAGAAATGCAGCTTCATTGTCTTTGTTGGATAGACCAGGCCCGCCGATGGAACCTTCTTCTCGCGAAGCTAGTCCTGATCCTGAAGGAAGGCTTGTTTACAAACTGAAGAAACCTCGTATTTTCTGTTTTTGTCGTTTACCTGAGAATGGAGTGATGATCGAGTGCGAAATTTGTCATGAATGGTACCATGCAAAGTGTTTGAAAATGTCAAAAAAAAAGCTACGGCAAGATGAGAAATTTACTTGTCCTGTTTGCGATTATAGAGTTGAAATTCCTCGCTTATCAAACAGACCACGTCTTGAAGATTTACAATCATTACTTAGGGATGTTATACTTCTACCGTTTCAACCAAAAGAAACTTTCATTTTGGAGCGCGTTGTTGATTTAGGAAGTAAGTTTCGACAAGAGCTTCAAGCATTTGCTCATAATCCTTTTAGCTTAACGATGGCTGAGGTACCGTTAGCGAGGTTTTATTTACGAAAAATGGAGGGAGCAGAAATTTTACTAGCTGATGAGACTAATTTATTTAGACAGAAGCTGCACGAATGCGTTCCTATTGCTCCAAATCCACCGCCGGTAATTGGAGAATCCAAATCTACCCGTAAACCAAGACCTACAAAGCGTCAACGTCAAATTATGAAGCAAATCGCTGAGGGTCTTCTTCCGGAATCAGCAATTGCACCTCCCAATGCTCAAAATGATAAAAAAGTGTCTGTGAGCAAAAACGGAACAGCGGTTAATAGACTCGATAGCCCTCAGAGTGACATTAGAATTAGTCACGAAAATGGGCACTCTAATTCAGCCTTATTGAAAGAATTTAAATTAACACCAACAGCTGAAGTAAATGTTACCTCCAATGTATGCGCTCATTGTCAAAAACCGACGAACGAGAGAAGCTTTGCTGTGTGTTCGAGATGTAGTAAAGGATATCATTATGGATGTTTAAGAGAAATGCCGAATAACTCTGGATTTAAATCCTTCATTTGTCAGGATTGTAAATACAATCTAGAAGAAACTCCGATGTTTCACAATAAATTACGGAATGGGATTCGTGCTGAAGACACAGACGTTATGGAAAAGAATGATAATGTTGATAGGTCGAGCTTGCCATTAGCAGCATTCTCTGAAAGTTCTCATGTGATGAAAACCCCAGGAGGCATGCAGGACATGCTAATTTCTCGCAAATTATCCTGTGGTGAACATGTTTTTTTTGGTACAGACGTTTTTACATCGTTAGGAGATATGGTTACGGAAACTCCTGATGTTTCTCTTGATGAATTTGTTGAAAAAAATGATGGCTTAACGGAAAGCTATTTAAATATGTAAATTTAACCCTCTTTAATTAATGTCGTTTAGTTTGTATAATATATAATTTTTATTGAACTTGTTGGTTTGCATACAAAAAAAAGATCGTGTAAAGCCAACTTCAGTCTAAAAGCTTTTTTGAATCGTAGCATACATAATCTTATAGAAATCTATTTTGTAAGTTTTGTAAAAATTGTGACGCTGGGGAAGCTTGGGGTTCCTCGCGAATTGAAAATAGTGTAACGGCTGTACCGGACCAGGGAGACAACGCAACAGAAGCATTACTAGAGCACTGGCCTAAAGTGATTCTCCACAAATTCAAAAATATCCATTCTTGAATGTTAGTATTATAGTCAACATAGCAGGGCTCAACTTCAAGACTTTGAATGTTTAGCGGGTCCATCAATAACGATTTTCCATTCTCAGAAGATAATAACTCCCGTAAAAGAGGAATTTTAGACTCAGAAAACCATGCATGATACTAAATGGTTAGCACACAAAAACAGAAATTGCTTACCCAGACTAAATCTGATTCCGTAAATTCAGGATGGCCGGATTTATAGTTTCTCAAAGATTCATCAAAATCTTCGTTCGTCCAAGTGACCATTGGCTCAAAACGATTCGCGTTTTCTTTTAAATTTTTGATTATGAGGTAATTTTCTACAACAAAAAGGTGAGTATAGATCGAACACAAAAGTATTTCTTACCATCTAAATTCCGTGAAATTATAATAAGTAAACCTGAAAGAAGGCGTCTAGATAAGACTGCATTTGACTTTTTCAAGAATAAAACCTCTGGTTGGAAAAACTGACTAATGAGAGTTATGAGATGCTCTAAAGTCATCAAAGGTAAATTAGAGGAATTCAATAAGATGTTCGAAACTATGAGGCAAGCCAGATGCTGGGAATGATGACCATCATTAATGTGTATAATCAAAGTCTATTTAACGTCAGTATCAGCTCAATGCATGGGGAAGAGAATCGTACCAATAAAATATAATTTGTGATGTTAAGCTCATAAATGGGAAATTTTTGGGAAGTAGGGGGAAGCATGGAAGAAGCATGACATTTAGCAATAGATTCAATTAGCTCCTTTTTGCTCAATATTTGCTGTAAACAATATCCAGCAACTTGAGCTATGAACCCAGTGTTTGCTTCATCGTCTGAATCATAGTTGATAAATATGTATAAAAGCGAAGATATTAGTTCAATAAGAAACGGAAGTTTCCCAAGTTCATTTGCAAACCGAAAGTGGTTAGTGAGAAGTAAAAAGAAGAATATCAAAGCTTCCTCCAAGTCGCTATTGGAACTTTGGAAAACTGATATCAAACTCGAAGAGTTTTTAAGAGGAAGTGATATGGTTTTGTAAAGGGACGTAGCTAACAAACGAAGGTCTTCTGATCGATGAAGTTTTTTCAAAGTATCCAAAACGGCATTTATAGAGACAGTTTTAGGTTTCGGAATACAGATAAGTTGTAGCAAGAATAAAGCTGAATACCGTCTTAGTACAACCGATGACTTATTTAGCAAGTTGGGTAACCAGGAAGCAGAATTGATGAAAGATGTGTTGGTTAAAGAACAAATCAACCTGATATTGGTATTTCTATCGTTTAAGGTTAAAATGTGCTCCAAGATACTTAGATCCATTTGATGTTGAGATTGATAAAGCGGTTCTGATATAAGCACCATAAGAAAACGAATCAAGGTTAGTTGATGACTTTGATGATCGTAAGAAGGTGGATTTCCCAGTTTTTGGAATACAAGACCTGAAGACCATATTTTCTCCCCATCAGCGCTCATTATGGAAAGACATAAACCAGGTAGGAAGCAAATTTGAAAAACGGAGTTCAAGAGTGCAGAAAGAAGAGAGTCTTCACTAGGTAAATCAAAATCCGGATAAAAACTCGATACATCAAGATCAGACTGCATTTTCTCAAAAGCGTCTTTTGGAGAAAAAGACAAATACTCACGAATCCATGAGTGGGATTTCCTAGACTCGTATAAATAAGGGATTAATCTTGTCAAGATTCTGGCACTATTTAGAACCCACGGCTTCTTTGCTTCAATGTAATTCCTTTTCTTTGCGTTCTTTTGATAATATATAATGTTCCATAGGCAGACTTGCACTAACAATGCGAGTTGAGAGAATTCTTCGCCTTCGCAAAACTGGCGGATCTCTTTGGGGAAAAAGAGAGAAAATACATCGTTATCATTGATCACACAATTGAAGACCTTTGAGTCAAATTGTAAGCAATACAACTCACTTGTTTCAGTAACTTACATAATGGTAATCTTCTGGGTTTGCTGGCTTTTTTAGCAATGCTAAAAGAGAACTTCTGAATGATAGTCTAAATTACAAAGATTAGAATTTACAAAAACGGAAACTTATTATTATTTCAAGATAGTTAAGGATCATGTCTTTTCTCTTTTTACATACCTGGACTCTGCTACTCCCATAATAAACGAAGACAAAATCACAAGGTATCGCCCTAGAATTTAAGACGATTCGAATTATACAAAAGATGTGTATAATAAGAGGAATACTGTTGATCGTTTAGAACTTTGCGTTGTTCAGTTGGAACCTTGTGGGGACGAAAATAGAAGCGAATAACAATTTTGTAACTGCTTTCTAAATCGCTAAGCTAAAACTTAAATTTATTCTTATACAATGGATAAAAGTGGGATTATAATAAGACCCTCCACATTTTCCATATTTGAAAATGTCTATGGGTGAGATTGTTTGGTATGAAAGAACCTTCAGTTTGTTTTGCATGTGAATTGCACAACACACATGCACATGTATTATTTACTTATGCGGCCAGTTTGCCCTAGATTATGGTATGCTAATTATGAATGAAACGGAAAAGTTTTTGTTCATGACATATACTTAGTTTCCATTTTCTTTCTCCTTCATCAATCGTTTCGGCATGTAAAGTTCGAATAAATTCCGTTAAGTTAGAAATCGGAAGAACGTTGTAGTATTAGAATTAAAAGGGCAAATAAGAAAAGTGTTTTTTTTTTTTTTCATTTTTTCGAGTGCTCTTTTTGATTGTTTGTTTATTGCCGATAAATAGCGAAACTACCTTAAATCAGGTCACGCTTTTAAGTTATCTGGTCCCGCCAAATTTTCTGCCAACCACAAACCGCATATCCGTGGAAAGAGACTGATTCGTTCGTTAAGAATTACACTCATCTTGCTACACGAAAAATTTTTTTAGAAAAAGAATTTGTGTAAGTGTCTTTGTATAGGAGACCCTCGAATCGTGTTCAAGTTCTCCAAACTTACCGTAGTTGGCTCACATTGAAGACGCCTGCCAACGTTAAAGACATTGAATATGTTGACCATTCACAATAAGATTTGTGCTCGATCGTTTGTGGGATTGATTTCTGTTAAGTCTCCATCAATAGTCCCCGTGAATGTTTTACAAAGACGACATTTTAGATTGTTTCAAAAGGAAAAGCATTCGGATCTTCAACAAACTAACGTGGCTCAACGTAAGCCTCTATCTCAGAACCCTCGTGATGTTTCGCTTTTGACTTCTCTCAGGAATGGAGCAAAAAGTATGGTTGACCGTAGTGCCACTTATTCGAATAGTATGATTATAGCCTCATCTATGTTATGGCCTCACAACCTTTTACAAGGCTTGGTGAATTCCATTCACGTTTGGTCAGGTATGCCTTGGTGGGCTTCCATTGCTACCATGGCTATCGGAATGCGTATCACTGTTCTTCCTTTAATGCTTAATATGATACGAACTTCTTCAAAATTAGCAGTTATCAATCCTCAAGTTTCTCAACATATGGTTACCTTACAAAGGGCCAAAGCAGAGAATAACAGTACTGGCATGTCAGAAGCAACTAGCAAAATTCAAGACTTATATCGTTCAAACAACGTCAATCCTTTGAGCCTCCTTTCTGCTCCTATGGTTCAAGGCGTGATATTTATAAGTTTTTTCTATGCTTTAAAATGTATGGCCGGTGTACCTGTCGACGGTCTTACTGAAGGTGGATTTCTCTGGGTGCAAGATTTAACAAAGGCGGATCCTTATGCCGTTTTCCCAATTTTGAACGGTTTTTTGATGCTTTTCAACATTGAAGCTGGTAGTGAAACAGGAACCAATAAAGCAGCAATGGCACCAGGAATGAAACGCTTCTTCAGGTTGTTGTGTGCTGCTAGTCCTATTTTCACTATGAGTTTCCCGATGGCCATTTTCATGTATTGGGTTCCCAGCAATATTTTTAGTGTTTTCCAGGGTTTGTTGTTAAAGAATCAATCTGTACGAAACAAATTGGATCTTCCAGAGGTTCCAGCAGTGGATCAAAAAACCGCTCCTCAAAATGAATCTTTCCTTCGATCCTTCACAAGTATTATGAATGGTGTTCGTGAGCAGAAGAAGTATCCTGAAGCCTCTGATATCCTGAAACCTTTCCATAAAGTTAACACCGAGGAGTCAGCTTCTACCCAAAAACTCTCTAATGAGAATTCTAGGCAAAATTCCTCTTCTGAACCTTCCACTAAGTCTTAATTGAGAAGAACTTCTTTTCATGACTTTATTGATGTACCATTTTTTTCACCGATCTAATTTGACCGTTATTTTACAGCAACATAAAATCGATTCCACGATCTTAGATTTCTATTTTTGTGAAGCCTATCTTGAACCGATACATTGTTTTATCGCCAACAAGTTATATTTCCCTTTCCCTTTCTCTTTCTCTTTCTCTTTCTCTTTCTCTTTCTCTTTCATATCCTTTGCTTACTTTATTTGAATTACACTTTTGTCTTTTATACCCACTTATCGTCTCTATATTGAACATAGAAGAAAATGCAATTTACCTTTACACAATCCTTATAGAGAAAAAAGGTAGAATAAGTATTGATTGGCTTTATAATATGTCAAGACTCCCCATCTTCAACGAAACACCCAACTCATAGAAGAAATCCTACTTCGTTTCACCGGCTTAGCTTAAAAACCGAGCTTTTAGTATATGAGTTTTTGACCTAGCACCGTTTTACTTACCAAAAAAACCAGTACTTAAATTTATTGATTTATTTTATTTACGAATTGGAGGAGTGGTTAATTAGCTAAATTATTTATCTCCTTCATTAAATAACCCTTCATGCTGCAAAAAAGAAATCACTTAATGAACCATCTCTTGATGCTAATATTCGTTTCTTTACGTTGAAAACCAACAGAAACTTTCTCCTATATTCCCAATTTTTGACTACTTACAATTGTTTCCTAAACTCGGGCTCAAGGGACTTATTTCAAGGACGCTGAGGAAAAGCATTACAATCATTTCTACCAAGTGAAATTTAACAGATTTTTTTTATTTGTTTAGTTCGCTTTATCTTTGTTTATTTTTTCATAAATATGGATGACATGGATTACTACTACAAGTCTCAATTTACCAGCATACTATCGCTTCTCCCATAAAAACGAGAAGGAACATACCTCTCGATATAATAATCATAGTAAGATAATTAGCAGTTCGTAAAATTAGATACTAAACGTGGTACACCTCCTAAAATTTCATAAGAAGTTCGTAACGCTGCGCTATTTATTGGATTGTTGCTATGAGCCATCAATTGAATTTTCCCTTTTCCAATATCAATTATTTAGCAGAATAAACTGTATCCATTATGATGTCTGGGGACTCCCATAATTCGGAAGATCCTATTTTGCGAGCGATTCGTCAAAAGAACAAAGCGCCGGTTCATGATTTTACAATCTTTGTCCAAGAAGACGGTAACAGTGTGAGCACACAGGACCGAATTGTAAAGCGTATGTGCATTCTTACAACATGAATTCATTTTCTTCTAAGATAAAATATCAATTGTTAACAATAGCAGATGTTCAGGCACCTGCTGCATATGTACCTACGGACGCCGAGTTCTTTGACATCAATGAGCCAGGGAAGCCTGATTTACACTTTCTTCGTAACCATTTTATTCGTGAAGGAAGACTGTCCGAAGGACAATGTTTATATATCATAAAACAGGCAATTGAAATTCTCAGGACAGAAGAGAATTTAATTGAGGTTGATGCACCTATAACAGGTATGGAGTTACTCAATTCGAGCAGTCTTGAATTGTTTCTCTAGTTTTTGTTTTTGTTTGGATTGTCAACTAACAATGGCTAGTGTGCGGCGATATCCATGGTCAATACTACGACCTCATGAAGCTCTTTGAGGTCGGTGGAAATCCAGATAATACGCAATATCTTTTTTTAGGTGATTATGTTGATCGGGGTTATTACTCCATTGAGTGTCTACTATATCTATACTCCTTAAAAATTTGGTATCCCAATACCTTTTGGTTACTTCGTGGCAACCATGAATGTGCTCATTTGACTGATTATTTCACCTTCAAGCTCGAATGCACCCATAAATACAACGCAAAAGTATATCAGACATGCTTAGAGTCTTTCAATGCGCTTCCTCTCGCTGCTATTATGAATAAACAATTCCTGTGTGTTCACGGAGGTCTTTCCCCCGAGTTACATACCCTTAATGACATTCGTATGATTAATCGTTTTTGTGAGCCTCCTACCCATGGTTTGATGTGTGATTTGTTATGGTCCGATCCTCTAGAAGAATTTGGCTCAGAGACTTCCAGCAAGCATTATATTCACAACAATGTTCGTGGCTGTTCTTACTTTTACAGTTATCCTGCGGTGTGCTCGTTTCTTGAAAACAATAACTTGCTATCAGTAATTCGTGCACACGAAGCCCAAGATGTAGGATACCGTATGTATCGAAAAACAAAGTCTACTGGCTTTCCTTCTTTAATGACAATATTTTCCGCCCCTAATTACTTGGATGTGTATAATAATAAAGCGGCTGTTCTCAAGTATGAAAATAACATTATGAATATTCGACAATTCAATTGTTCGCCACATCCTTATTGGCTTCCTAACTTTATGAACGTATTTACTTGGAGTTTACCTTTTGTCGGCGAAAAAGTGACCGAAATGCTGATATCTATGCTAAACATCTGTTCAAAAGAAGAACTATATGATAATCCTCTAGACGAAGACGAAGTCACATTACCTTCATGCCTGGATGCAGGAAAATCAGATACAGAGCTCGACCTTGAAGCTCGAAGACAGATTATCAGAAGCAAAATTATGGCAATTGGAAGGATTTCACGAGTCTTTAGTGTTCTTCGTGAAGAACGTGAAAGCGTTTCTGAATTAAAAAATATGTCGGAAAATAGACGATTACCTGCTGGTACTTTGATGCTTGGAGCGGAAGGTATCAAAAACGCTATTAATTCTTTTGATGATGCTCGTAAACTAGATCTTGAAAATGAGCGCTTACCTCCCTCCAACAGTCGTCGTCATTCCATGGAAATGAAATCCTTGGAAGATGTCATAAATTCATCTGAAAATGAAGATTTAACCGCGAATAAGAAGTCTTGAAATTTTGTTAAGATCCCCCTTAGTTTATTTCATATCAATTATGTCTAGAGTACGAATCGTAAAAACGATACTGTTATGGTATTTTATTAATGAAATTAAACGATAGAATTACTATATATAATCTTCCATTGCATAGTTAGTAGTAATCTAATACAACTCACTCATTGTCATGTTTTCAATTATCAATACTACATCGAATAGAAGTTATCAGCCAATTAAAAATGTGAGATTCATTAATCTAAATTTTTAATAGAGTACAGAAATAGAACACTAAACAGAGGAAAAGCTAGCAAACACCAATTCGTACCCAGGGAAATCATATACAATGAATTCTTCACGCTTATAAGATTCGAAATGTTTAAGTTTCTCATATAATTGCTTTTCGTGGGCGGATCCTTTAGCCTGAAACAGGGTAAGGCTGAAATTTCCGGCTCCAAAAGTCTTGACAGCTTTTTCAATGGTTTCCATAGTAGAGCGACCAAATTGTGTTTTAGAAACGTTTGTTTCAAAAGAAGCATAAGAACAGTGATCCTGAGGAGTAACATGAATTGTAGCATAGCGGTCCTTGTAAATCATATTAGAGGAAAAGCCAATGGGTTCAAATTGAAAAGCATCAAGGACAGATTTTCCATCTTTAGTGCTACACAATTCTTTAACTCCAGACAACTCAGCCATATACGTCCCAAGTATATGACCAGTAGAGAGTAGAGGTTGATCAGAGTTTTGTGGCTTCATATAATCTTCACCCTTAGATTGATGAACAACGTCCAAAGAAGGAGCGTAAAACTGCAAAGAGCGTTCAGGCGACATGTTTGTCATGAGCACCTCCAAAGTCTCATCTTCCGGATCCAAAGAGCTCTCAAACAAATCTGATTCATCAGCGACATCAGAAAATAAATACCAATGATTTTTGTTCGTAGGACCAACAACGTAAGAAGAACCCTTAGGAAAGAAAAGCTGTAAATAACGAACCTCGTCATTCCAGCTAGTATGAGGAGCAAGTTGACGCTCAGGATACAAAAAGTTTTTTCGCGAATAAAATGTGCGCAGAGGATGAGTAAATCCAACACTTGAAGCAATTTCCAATAGGCGCGGTAAACTAGCCAGTAGTGTAGTAGTTCCGCAAGTCTTTAAAATGATTTTATGAGGAAAAACAAACATGGAAGACTCAGACAATAGGTAGGCATCAACCTCGTTGCTAGAAACTACGCTAAGCACTTTGCATTGTGCACGACTAAGCATATCATCCCATAAATCACGGCTCACATTCTTCAACCCAAACTTAGTATTTCCATTCAGAGAGCCAGGATTGAACGGAGCTGAAAACCAAAGCTCCAACAACTTTTCAGGTCCTTCAAAAGAGGATGAATTAAATTCTTGAGCATTTTCTTGATCGACAACAAGAATTGGCGACATTTTAAAGACTAATTATCACAAACAGAAAAGTTTTCTGAACCAAGTGTTTCAATGATTTTCACTTTGAATTGACACTTGACACGTACTAGCTAGTTACTTGCTGCAAGGTTATTGGAATCCTTGCTAACTCGAGAGCATGCAAACAGTGCAAATTTTTTAAGATAAATAAGGCTTACAATGAGTAACGCTCACCCCACAAGGACGAAGTTGAAAAGGGTAAGAAATCTATGAGCAACCTAACAAGAGCTATCCAAGGATAACCCTACCCTAAATGTTTAGATATCGTGTTACAGAATCATAAAATGATATACACAGGTTCAACTCATGAGCATTAGCAGCCGTGATCTTATTAAATAATTTTAAAAATACAAAAAGCGAAAATTATGTTACCTTATACAAAGAATTGATCAAACGCCCATTTTAACAAAAAGTAAAACAACAAATACCGAACGGCCTTACCTTGCTTGTACGACTGAATTCCCATCCAAAAATCGTACATGAAATAATCGATTAGCATTGGTAAACATTCCTTCTTTTAAGCTGACGATAATAAACTGTGATCTATTATTTGTTAGCCGCGTGAAAACCACAATTAGTTATAAATGTTTCTTACCCTTTGAACTTTGTCTTTATCAAGCGTCCTATATTTTGAGTATGACTCAAGTCTAGTGCGGCGTCAATTTCGTCAAGAATATACATAGGCGCAGGTTTATATTTTAATAGAGACCTAAATTAGTTAGAATGATCTGCTACAGAAAAGAAAATGGAAAACGATAAAAGAAACTTACATAATGAGAGCCAGCGCGACCAAAGATCGTTGTCCACCACTTAGTTCGGCCAAACTATCTTTCCAGATTGAGCCAATTCGTACTCGAATTTCCAATCCACTAGTAAATTCCTTTCCTTCAGGTGGTTGAAGTTCAGCACTATTACCGGGCAGGAGTTCGTCAAATATTTCGCCAAACGCTGCGTTGACTTCAATCCAGGTTTTTTCCAAAGCTTTCTTTTTGAATGTATCAATACTATAGACAGTCTCTTGAATTTTACGTTTGTCTCGATGTATCGTCCTTATCATCGCTTTGAGTTTTGCTTCTCTTTTCTCGACACCATCAATCATATCCATTACCTTTGGATTAATTGTCTTCCGCATACTAGCAAATTTCGGTTTTAAAGCATTCAGTTGTTCTTTACACTGTCGTAAGTTTTGAGCACGAAAATCAAACATCGTAGCCTCTTGGCCAAAATTTTGTTTCCGATCTTGAATCCAAGGATGTTCCTTGTCCAATTGTCTCAATGCCACATCTGCAACATTCTTTTCACGCTCCAAACGGTCATGTTCGTGCTTGAACTTTTGACTAGCCAGTTGTAAATCATTAACATAAGAATCCACGCCTTTCAGCTTATTTTTAAAGGTATTCAATTCGTCATTAATTCCAGAAAACCGTAGGCTTTCCTGTTCAAGCTTTTCTTTAAGTGATTTTCGGAGTCTTTGCTGATCATTCAAGGTTAGCTCCAATTCACTTAGCTCATCCTTTAATAAGGAAATGCTATTTTCACATAATGATACATTATCACTGAAGCGTAATTGCTCAGAATTAAAGCTTTCTCTGTCTAATTTTGCTCCGTTTAACTCATTTTCTGCTTCCTCAACATTTCTAGTACTGGATAGCAACTTTTCCTTCAACTTCAAAAGCTCGTCATGCAGCTCAGTCATTTTTGATCCTTTATTGTTTTTCCACTCATACATGTCTTTCTCAATTTTCTTTATTGAATTTTCTTTATCCTGTATGCTCTGGTCTAGGTTCGGCATTTTCCGGCGCAGAGTATTCAACTCCTCTTTAGATTCATAGTATTCAGTAAGAAGACGACAAAGAGGATCATTCACTTTTTGTTCCTCCATTAGTGATAGTTCGTGGCGCTTTAACTGAAGTTCTTGCTCAAGCCGATGGAATTGAGCATTTCCAGAAGCAACTTTCCCTAGTTCGTTCTTTAAATTAGAATATTCACTTTCTTTATCTTTTAGCTTTTCAGAAACTTCGCGGAGCTTTTGTAATTGTAAAAGGGGACCGGCAGTTTTGTTCACTGATCCACCAGTTAATATACCAGAAGGATCATAAACATCTCCATCTATAGTCACACTTTTTAAACGAACGTTAGGATGAAAAGTTACTTTCTTTGCAACATCTGGATCATCACAGATAAGACTAGCACCGAAGACGTATTGCATAGCTGGCAAAAGCTCTTCTTCGTAACCAATTAATTCTAAGGCTAAGTAAGCTCGATTATTTGATAACTTTTTCGCTGCTCCGACGCGTTCAGCTGAAGCAACAAAGCTAGATATCTTATTTAACGGGATCATCGTAACACGCTTCTTTAGATTTCCGTTCTGCAAGAGTTGTGCACCTACTCTTTCATTCTCGACAACAACGTTATATAAGCGACCACCAGCGGTAATCTCCAAAGCCGTTTGTTTACCATAATTCTCTTTGTTTAAACTGAAAAGTTGTGCGATTAATCCTTTGACTTTTGAACGGTCAAACTTAGGGATTGGATCTGTGTACCTAAAATCTAAATAAGCCAGGCGACTTTGAAGGGTATCAACCTCGTCTGATAGCTGCTCTCTCTCTCTGCGCAACTGGTCTAAATTTTGCCGTAAGATTTTTTCTTTGGTGGAATCGTGAGCAACTTTTTCTAAACGAGATTCTATTTTAGTGACATCTTGCTGTAATTGAGTAACTTGCTTGTCGATTTGCTGTTGTCGTTTGTTCGCTTCTAGCCTTCTCGGTTCTAATTCAGAAATTCTTTTTGAAAGGTTCTGAAGCTTCATACGTTCAATCTCCTTCTCGGCATTTAATTGGTTCAATTCGTCTCTAGTCTCGTGTAGCTTTTTAGAGTAACCGATTTCATGACCTTCGCTAGAAGAAAGACCGGTACTTAAAGAAGAAATTAACTCTTCTTGGGATTTGACAGCATTTAGGACTTGCTCGTATCCTTGCTTTTTCTGCTCATATAGCAAACGTGATTTTTCAAATTTTTTCTCTTTCATTTCGCGCAAAGAGTCGGCTTTCGTCCGCTTCTCTTTTAGATTTCTAAGATTTTGTAACTCTTCTTGCATAGATGATTGCTTAATTTCAATAGAAGTGCTAAGGCGGGTGATTCTCTCGGTTGATGCCTGTAACTGGCTATCCAATGAAGCATATTCAGAAGAAGAACTCATCTGAGAGGAGCATAGCTTCTCTAAATCCTTTATTTTCTTTTCCAAGGATTTAATTTCCTCTCTAGATTTTAAAATGGATGATTCAGTTTCTGCAATGCTGCTTTGTTTTTGGCCAACCTGTTTCTCCAGATGCTCTAACTTTAGCGACAGATTATGGTAATCAAATGCAATACATAATTGGCTTAGCCTTTCTATGTCATTGTACACATGCTGATATTCCAAGAATGTTTTTTTCTCTGATCGTAATTTAGCAAGTCGGGGTTCGATCTCTTCTCGGAGAAGAGTGTTAATTTCATCTACCTTAGCTTCTTTCCTCTGCATCGTACGAAAAGCTTTTTCTTTTCGCTCTTCAAACATTCTAGTTCCGGAAGCTTCCTCGATCATAGATAAAATTTCAATGGACTTCATGTTTAGGACCTTCGTAATCCGTCCTTGCATAATTAAAAAGTTTGGATTATTGATATTCAATTGAACAGACTGAAACAAGTTTTGTACATTTTGCTGTAAAGCACGATGACCGTTGATCAAATATTTACTGGTACCACCCATAATGACTTGTCTGGTAACACTAACTTGAGGATGATCCTCAAACCCAATAGGAGACGTGGATGGATCCCGATTGTTGAATACAATTGTTACGCTTGCTTTTGTTATACCAGCTTGACCTCGTTTATAAATAAGATCTTGCAAATTTTGAGCGCGAACTGTGCTCATATTTGTTAAACCAAGGACAAAGCAAATGGCATCTAAAATATTGCTTTTTCCTGATCCATTAAGTCCCGTAATGGCATTGAACTGATCATCCCAATTGCTAATTACGGTTCGTACCGCATATGACTTGAATCCATCAATAATAAGCTCTTCAATCTTCATCACTGTAATATTTTGTTTACGTATGATAGAATCCTTTCATTAAATTTGGGACCATCCCCAGAAAGAACGGTTGCAATTAATTGTTTACGTTTCGCGTCTGTCTGAAAGTAGTGTAGCTGCTACTAACCAAGAACAGAAAGACATGAGCACCAAGTGGGGGCACCCCACTTGTAGAGTCCCAAAGAACCAGATGTACGGTCTATATATGAGGAACACGCATTTCAACAACGTAATATTATAAAAAAAGTAAAAATATAGAAAGTACTACGACTATAAAATCTATTAATTAGGAGGACTAAATTTTTGGAGTCATTGCTACGGAAAGAATCTACCACAGACAAAGAAGAAACGCTTGTGCTTGTTAACAATATACACAAATGGGGCAATCAGGATCCTTACCGAGTCGGGAGAATAATAGAGAAGCATTGAGGGGAAGACCTCAAGAAATAGAAGAAAATGTCGAAAATGAGAGAGTATATAATCCACGATCCCGGAATTTATGGGATCGATTGTCTTCAGTGACTAATATGTTGGGCTGGAGCCGAGAAAAGCGTCGTCCAAATTTGAGAGATGAACGAAGAACTACTGCATCTGCTGTTGAGAATATTCCCGAAAGAAATCCACCATGGAACAACTTGGCGAGTGGGCGTCGTCAAAGGCGTCCATCGATTCGGTCTTTAAGTCCTAGATCTGCCCCAGGTTTGGTGCGAATGAGGGAAAGTTTAGAGCCGAATTTACAAGATGAGGATCCTTCCCGATTATCGGCTTTTCAATTAGCTCAAAGGGAGTTTGAGCGTGCAGAGAGACAATTCCGTTCGAGTATAGCGGCTTTACACGGCTTTAGTCTGAATCAGACCAATCAAAATGCAAGAGAAGAAGAGTCTACTTCTATGAATGTTGACCAAAATGTTGCGGCTTTAGGTAACGCAGTAAACAGCCATGATGAGAATTCAACCCATTCCCCTCGTAATGCAGAACCAAGTGAACGATCTCATACGCATATTGATGATATTAATATGGAAAACTATACTAGAAGTGTTATGAATTACCTCAATATGCATGAAAATCAGCCAGAACGAGCACCTGCACAGAATGACGGTCAGTTAGCTATGCTTTCAAGGTTCATATTTTCAGTGGCATCTGGTTGGGTGACAGTCTTAATGAACTCTTCAACTGCTCATAGAGAAAATCCTTTGCAGACGCCAGTGTCTTCAGGGGAAAGATTGAATTCTGGAAATGAAACGTTTGAAGAGTTTCTTACTCTATTGCGTTCTGGTGAATTGATCGAAGCTATGCGCCCTGAGAACAATACACATCATGAAGAAATAGATGAAGATGTATCTTCGATTAATTTGTTTCGAACGTTTCGATTCGATTCACTCCATAGAAACCACGAAGGTCAAGTAGTCATCCCGATCATCATTGTTGGAATACGTAGTTTACGGCCGAACACAAATGAGGAAGACGATGTTCAAAATCAAGAAACGCAAAACCTGATGCATCCATCTGATTTCCTATCTTCTATGGCTAACGATTCTCAGAATATGTCATCATCGTCAGACCAATCCAATGAATTTGAGAATTTAAGGACGGAACAGGAAAATGCAGGTCAGGAACGCGTGCCGGCGAACCAGCCAGATCTTTCGAATCAACAGGGTGCACCTATTTCATCTTTGGATGATTCCGATAACCATAGTCATATCTCTGCGGAGCATACACAGCCGAGAAGCTGGGCGATTTATGTCCGTGAGGCTTTTCTTCCTGAAAATCATCCCGTTCTACGTGCTCCATCGTTGTTTACGGATTCACCTACTTACGAGGATATGCTGCTTTTGAATTCGATTATTGGAACTGTAAAGCCACCCGTTGCTTTGCAGAAAGACGTTGATCGAGCCGGTGGAATTTTTTCGATCGTTGAGCCGGATGACAGATGTTTGGTTTGTTTATCTGATTACGAGCAGGGAGATGAATGTCGTCGTTTATTGAGTTGCAGCCATTTTTTTCATCGGGAGTGCATTGACAAATGGTTACTTTCGAGCCAGAACTCTTGTCCGCTGTGTCGCGCCAAGGGTGTTGCATCCGAAACTATTGCCTTTTAATTGCTATGGATGATTTTCGATGGAGGGATTTGAAATATAAAAATTGCAAGTAGAAGTGATGCTTGATGTTTGTATAATATTATAATGACTTGTTGAAAAATAATACATAATAAAAAAAGAAACGAATATACTTCGGATTGTCTGTCTTTATTTTAATTTTATATTAATGAAAAAATAAATAAATTTGAATGACAATTGCTTACAAACTTGTTACACTAAAGGCCTGCGAACTTACGACTGCCGTGGCTTCAGTAAAAGTGTAAAAAAGCATGTTATAGTGAAGTATGTTTTTATTTGCCCTGGTTTGATAATGAAAGTTTAACGAAGAAAAATTACATTTTCTGTAGGATGATTTTTAAAGTATTAAATTTGTTTCGGAAGGAGAAACGAAGGAATTATATTAGCCGGCTAAGACGATCGAACCTAACGGGGCAGACGGGAAGGGAGATGCACAATAGAAGAAGGAAGTAGAGACGGACACCGCTAAAGGCTTGCTATCCCCCTCTCTCTCTTTCTTTTCAGAATTGGTTTGCAATGGTCCCTTTTGTAAGAAAAAATAACAAAGAAAGAACCGCTAATAATGACTTAGTTCTTCAATAAGCCTTCGTATCGGGTTCAACCCCATGTCTCATTCATAACCCCAGAAAAAACAGCAAAGACGTATGGTTATCAAAGAAACAAGCAAAAGATTGAACGAATTTTAACAAACATAGTGTCCCAGCAATTTCTCGCTGGACTTTTGCTGCTGGTGCTGCAGGTATGAAAGAATAGAAAGCTAAGGAAGTGAAATGTATTAACGGGCGTTTCAGTGTTTTTATTTGCCATGCAAGTTCCTAAGGTGAAAACAACCATTTTGCAGGTAAGAAAATTCTATTTTGCGTAAGTAAGCCGATCGAAAGCTGACTTTTCCAACCTAGCCTATTGCTTTCCTTGGTGATCACTTCAAGGACAAGACTCCTGAAGAAGACAAGTGGTTGTAAGCTCCATATCGAAATATCGCGACTTACTACTTGAAGGTGCAATGAAATCTTTTTCGCGTTTTTTTTTTAAAAAAAAAACGAAAGATGGGGGGTAGTACGAATGGCGAGTGTCTATAGCAGTCCAGTAGCGTTTGTAAAGTAAAAGTAAAAGTAAAAGTAAAAGTAAAGAACTAAACTGCGATGGAGGTTTGTAGTCTGACGGAAATACTTTTATTATAAGATAAGAAAAAGCAAAGCATAAGAGAAAGATGTAGTTTTAACGTGTTGGAGTCTATGGATGGATGGAACCGAGCATGTCTACGTCTTCTTTAGTAGCGAGTAGGAGATCATAAAAGTTTATTTCGGATGGTAAGCGAATGAAGGATTGATTACTAGTAATATTTTATATTATAAACATGAAAGCTTTATTGAGACTCGACAAAGATGGGTTGTGTTTATTTGTTGACAAGTAAATTCATTCTTGAATGTCCCACATTCCCGTAAAACGCAAAGGGAAAAGTTGACTTATTATAAACCAATTAAAGTATATGGCTTTCCCGAAGAGGCGCTGTACGAATACCCTATAAGGTGAAGGCATCAAAGGTAGAAAATGTAAAAACAATCCGCATTACTTGAATGCGCTCCAGTAATACAAGGTTTCTGTTTTTATGCTTTCCACAACTTTTCTTGCCTTTGAATTTTGAATTTTGAATTCCTGTCTGTTTACTTTACTGCTAAGCCAATTCATTGGACTTCTTACTAAGCTTTCGCTGTTTCCCGACGGATGATGAAGTCGTAAGGGCAGAATTACGAACCTTAATGCAATTTGACATCGGGACCTTCTGCGGTCGGTGGGAAACACCATTTTCTCCACAATTCATGGCGCAAATTAGCTCGGTATTCCCCGCCTCTCGACGTCAGAAGATATCTGGACTTTCATCAGGATTACCTTAAACACCAATTAAGCTAACCGCCAAGTTCTCTCATTGCCAATCCTGTTTCAAAAAAGTTCACAAAGTTACGGCATTTGAATCCATATCTAGCTTACCCCGCATGAGGGAAGAAGCATCTTAATTGCACATGCTCGTTGAAAGGTTTTTCTGTCGTCTATATATGAATGCATTGGCTCCTGAACCAAAAAAACTCCTCTAATCTTTGCCAACTTCATTTTCTAGTTTACAGGTATAATTTTTACTTGCCGTCCTTATTTTATAAGAAGATCTTTTTAGATTCGTTATCAATACCTTTTTGGGTTTCTTGGACTCTGCAGCAGAAAAAAATAACTTAATATTTCTTTTCCTTTAATAATTCCCTCCAATTTCCTATTCAATTTGTCAAGTATAGTTTGTGGGAATTTGTAATTCTCAGTTTGCTCGATTGTCTCGTCTCTTATTTATCCCTGCTTTCATTCTGTTTTCTCATATCTTTTCGTTTCCCTGATAGAATTGTTTCCTGTGGAACCATTTTGCTTCGTCAACTCATGAAAAGGGGTTTTACAACCTTTGTTCTACTTTTGCCATTGTAACTCGATCATATTCCTGAGTTGTAAGTCTTGTCGCTATCTCTTTCCAGCTATAGCTCATTCATTTTCTGTGCTTTGCTCGCTTTTTGGTATCTTCCATCTCTCTCTTCATTGGTATCAAGAAAAACAATTAAATACAGTTTATTATTTTTCTTGTGCGTCTTAATCTTGTCATATCACGACCTTGGCTGCCACTTTTACCGTGTTTCTTGTTTCGTTGATTGGAGTTGCCTCCTAAATAGGTTTGTTTACTTTTGTGTATCCGATCTTTATTCAAGAAATTTTAGCTTTGCGCCCCCTCCTCGTATGTTGTGGAGATCTTTCTATAAAAGAATATGAAGAAATCTACTATTCTTTGATAACCATTAAGTTTCTCTCTTAGTTTACGCTCTGTTCACTCTACTCTCTTTCTGTCTTACAAATCAACATATAAATCCCGCTCTTTACCCCATTTTTATCTAATTCGATTCGCTTTTTGCCTCAAAAACTTTTTTTGTCTTGCTTGTCTTTATTTTTTTATTTTTTTTTCATTCTCCCCTCTCATCTTTCCAGCTTTGTTATATTCAAAATGAAAACTTATGAGTGTCCCTTTTGCAAACGCATCTTCCATCGTCAAGAGCACCAAGCTCGTCATATCCGAAGTCATACAGGTGAAAAACCATTTGTTTGCTCATATTTCGAATGTCGGAAACGGTTCACGCGTCGCGACGAGCTCATCCGACATGTAAGAACACATCTAAGAAAGGCTCTTGTCAATCCTGACGTCCTTTCCGTTACTGTTGATGATACTCAACCTCATCAATTAACGAATGAAGAATCTTCTTCTAAAGCTGATCTTCCAGAGGACTCGGATGCCAAAAAATCTTCCGACCCAGTTCAGGCTGCGGTTGTTGCTCTATCTGTAGCATATGCAAAGCCAACAACAGTATCTCTGACTCCGCAAGATGTCCAAATACAATCAAAAGGAACGGTCAGGCCTCGGAGAAAATCCGTTTCCAATGTCGCCGCTCTTCACTCTAAAAATGGTGGTTCCTTTCGTCGTTTCTCCGTTTCTGACATCCTGAATCAAGGCACTACATTAGGCTTTACAGCTTTATCACCTTCTTGTTCTTCTCCTTCCTCGGGCTCATCTGGCCCCTCCGCAAGCCCCCAAATGCTTTCTGTTAAGGAAGAATCGCATGTAAATGATTATCCCATCATATCCCATCATAATCGAAGAAGGATTTCCGTTCCTTCCAAGCGCCCTCCCTTTTTCTCATCTTCTTCTGCCGCTACTACAAACTCCGTTTTATCTTCTACTCAATTAGCTCCTTCTAACGCTTCGTTTGGTTACCCTTATAAATCTATGCCTCTTGTTCCCTTACAACAGTCTCCCACTCAGCATTCATCATATGGGACTCAACCGATGACACAAATGTCAGCCCCGTATGCACAGGTTCCTCCTACAGCACCAAACCAAAGCGTTTTGAATGCTTATCAGGCACAAGCCGTGCTCGTAGCTCCTTCCCAAGAGTTTTCTATGCACTCACCTGTTGCAACTAGCAATCTTTCTCGTTACGCTCCTTCACAGGACGCCTACATGGGATCTGCAGATGAGAGTACACAACCTTATTCTGGAATGCCATCAGGCATGGAACAGCGTCCCTTTTTATTGCCCAATCTTACCGGAGTTTCGCAGTCTACGCGCATTTTACCTGATCAGCGTCCTTCGTTAAGAGCCCTGCCCACTTTAGAACCACCTTCGAATTCTAACACCACATTGGCTTTTCCATCCTGTACATTACAAACTTTATTTCGAAAAGATTGAGCAAACAAGTTTGTTAAATTCGGCTTCTTCTATAATGGAATCTTTTTATTTATTTTTTTATTTCCATTTTCCATTTTCCATTTCAGAGAGCCGATAAAACTTTATTTGCTATTTCTTTACACAACCTAATGTTTATTCCGAATTGTTTATGTTCTTACAACATTGTTACTTTTCTGACGTTATGCCCTTCACTATGGAAGGCACCTTAGTCGGATTGAACTTCGCTTTATCCTTTTTCTAATTGACTTTTCGATAATATTTATTGAGCGATCAAGCTAATTTCTTTTTTATCTTTACGCTCGATCTACCGGATTTCATTTTTGATTCTTTATTTTGCGTTTCTTCTTTTTTCCTATGATATTTTAGTGCCTGAAGGTATTTTAATCTTTTTGACTCTAGCTCTAATTTTTTTTTTTCTTTGTTCATTTAACGTTTCCAAGTGTTCTTTGCAGCTTTTGTTCTTCACCTGAGTTTCAACTTAATTGTTTACATTGCGTTTGTGCTCGGACTTTAAATGAATTTTGAGAGATACACTAACGCTCTTTTTACTTTATTCCTTCCAACATTAATACTTTGTTTCTTGTAAATAATTAGCATCGCTGCTGCTTTTTTTTTCGTTAATCTCTTTACTTTGGTCATTAGGACGCCCTCCCCTCTCACTTATTCTTTCTTTTAAAACATAATTTGTTACGGTATTTCACGTTCAAAGAATAAACAAAAAAAATAGTAAAAATATCGCTTTTTATATCGATATTTTGTTGTTTATATCTATATCAGTATTGACACCGAATACTTAATAACCTTTCGCGAGTCTATAATACCCTCAATTGATGACAGCTTTTGTGCTATGAATCTTCTTATGAAAAGTTTCGCCGTTCGAGAATGCCCAAAAAGAAAAATCCTTTCTTCATATTTAACATCCCCACTAAAAATCTTTTCTTATGATCAAAAAATTCAAAATTTCTCAGTTAATAAGTGTGCATATTCTCACATATGTAAGCCACCGCTTACGAAATATGTAACGTGTTCATTGAAACAAAAGTGTTACCGACTGGTTGGTTTTGCTACGAAGCCAAATTCTTTGACTGTCGGTTTACCAACATCTATAAAAATATTATCAATACGCCGTTGCTTTTCTTCGTCTCACAAAAATCGCTTACAAAAGCCTAAAACACCCTTTTTATTACCCCCTCCCAGTGAGCATCGATCAAGTCCCCACGTTGCAACGGTGACAGCAATCCTTATTTGTTTAATCAACTTTTTTTTCTTTTGGCATTGGGACCTTGCAAGAAATGAGATAAGATCTCTACAAGATTTTCAAAGGTTCAATTGGATGTTGAAACATACGCAGTGCTCTTTACAAAACTTGTACGAAGGTCGCTGGTGGACATTAGTTACTAGTCTTTTTTCGCATCAAGATTTAACTCACCTTCTTGTCAATTGCATCGCTATTTATTCTTTCATGACTGTAATCGTTTACCGGTTTGGTATTCTACGATCATTATCTACATATTTTTTGTCCGGTGTTATGGGAAATTTTGTAGTTTTAGAAAGGTTACTAAGAAAAGATGATGCAGTTACTTTAAAAGGCCCTTTGCATGTATGGGACATCCTTTTCAGAAAGGACAATCTTTTTGAAACCCAAAGTTGTCTGAAAAATATGAGGAGTAAGTTAACATTGTCATCATATGCGACCAAAAAGGGTGTGGAAATGTTGCCTCTAAGTTGGAGAAAGGGAGTACTTGGAGCTTCAGGTTCTGTCTACGGTATTATGGCATTATTTGCCTGTACTTATCCGTTTGCTCAATTTGTGCTGTTTTTTGTTATTCCTGCTAGAGCGTCAACAATCTTACCTCTTGATTTTTTTGTTGAATCGCTTCTCATCACCTTGAATTATGACGATAAAACCCAAATAGCTTTCGATGCTCATGTTACCGGGATACTTTTGGGTACATTGTCTTCTTTTTTACTTATTCCAAAAGTATGGCGCGCTAGATTTATGTACAAAAATAGCTTGTGAAGGTAAACTCAACAATCATCAGTAGTATTTTTTCTTAAATAATTAATAATGAAATGAGTTTACTCAATTTTGTCATACGACCATCTACGGTAATTTAATATATTTATAGTACTTTCTCAATAACTTACTTTTGTGCATTAATTGATTTGTAAAAAGCCTTTAAGATGCTAGATATCATTAGATTTATTTCATCATATAGTGTACAAGAAAAAGGAACCTGGCAAGATTACAAATTATTCCATATTCACAGGCAATTAGCAATTCCACTTTCAACAACAATAATTTACATGACTTATACAAATTGCAAAATATGGTATTAATTATCATTAAAACCTGTAGTAAATTCATTACGAAATAAGAATACAGCCATAAGGGCTTCATACAATTGCCAGGTAGAGATAAAATAGCAAAATATAAGAATTAAGAACAGAAGAAATTAAAAAGAAAGATAGGGCAAAATCGATAAACCGATATGATAGAAAGTTTAACAATAGCTGTTATCTGCATTAGTCACAATAAACGACGTTACCATAATTCATATATGGTATTTAACTGTATACTTCTTGAATTTGGGTACGATAAAACTGTTCAATCGTCTGTCTTTTAACCTTCCGAGATGCAGTTAAGAAATTATTCTCAGGACTCCATTCAAAATTACTAAGAATAACAGCGTGTGGAAGTTCTATAGCAGCAAATTTTTGGGCTTTTCCAATCGCTATGAGATCAGCCAACACGATATTTTGAACTTCTTTGTTTTCGCATAATTGGCTAAAAGCAGCCTCTGTATCACCACTGAAAGATTTTCCTTTGTGCTTTAGAAGGCAGGCCCGAAGAGCTTTTTCATCGGGATAAACAATGACTACCGGCTTCACATGATTAACATCAGCGTATGCGCAAACGGAAGACACAAGAGGACTTGTGAGATATTGTGTTTCAATTTTTTCCAAAGCAATATACTCACCGTTCAAAGATTTTACAATATTCTTTTTGCGGTCAATTAATCGGAGAGTATTACCCTTAGCTAGCTCTCCAACATCACCAGTTTTAAACCATCCGTCTTCAGTAAAAGACGAGGCATTGTCGTCTGGGCGATTGAGATAACCATTGCAAACGGCCGGTCCCCGAATCCAGACTTCACCCCTTGGAGGGCTGCCATTTGAGTAATAATTCAATTCTGGAATATCCACAAGTTTAAATTCAATAGAAGGGACTGGAAACCCTACTGAATTTGCGTACAGATGCCATTGTTCGGGGGATAAAACAAAGCTACCTGCGCAGGTTTCTGTAAGGCCATATCCTGGAAGAACAGGGCAAAGAGTAGTACTTAAGAAGGCTTGTGTAGTAGCAGCAAGTGCAGCGCCACCAGAAACACAATAACGAAGACGTCCACCGGTTGCGGCCTTTACTTTATTGAAGACTATCGCATCTAACGTTCCAGTGCCAGGAAGATTACGTTTAAGTAGATATTGTTTCAAAGCAAGTGAGCCGGAGAAAATTTTCTGACGATGAACAGGCATAGCAGACACCTTTGTGAGAATGCCTTTTTTGATTAGTTCGTACACGGCAGGAACACCAATTATGACAGTGGGACGGAATTCCGGCATATCACCTCTACAATTAACGACACTGGCATCTGTAAGCGTTCTGGGAGAAGCATAGCCTAGAACACCACCCCAATAAAAGCAGCACATTTCAAAAATGAACTCAAAGATATGGGCCAAAGGAAGGTAAGCCAAAACATAGTCTTTGTCGTTGATATGTTGAGAGAGAATTCGATTGATGCCTCCTAAGGCAGCAATGATATTACGGTGCAAAAGAACAACACCTTTTGGTTTGCCTGTTGAGCCGGATGTATACATATAGCAGCAAACATCGTCAGCTTTTGGAGCAAGGACGGGTTGAGGATGCTCTTGACCGAGTTTCAGCAATTGGTGATAGGTTAATAACTTAATGTCAGGATTAGCAGAGTGCACGAGATCAGATTGCTCCTCAGAAGGTTCAGAACTGCATATGATAACCTTAACTAAAGGGCAATGCTTTATAGGATTCACCAGTTTGGGAAGTAGGGTTGGGTCAGTGAAAATGGCTGAAGAAGAGCACTCTTGCAAAGAAGTTATGACACCGTCCTCACCCAAAGTTTCATAGGCGGTAACAATAGGAATGGACTGACTAATAGATCCTTGAGCAGTCAAAAACCATTTCTCACTAGTACCGGCAAAAAACAGAAGGCTACTATCGGTAGTAATACCGTTGACTTTCAAACCAGACCCGAGGGCAAGTGCGATGTCATAAGTCTGGATGTAATTCATAAACTCGTAGGGGCCTAATTCATAAAGCTTCCAGGTCTTTTTCTCTGCAACTTGAGTTCCATTGACTTTACGAATAATTTCACGTTCTTCCACATGCTCTTTGATCAGTTTTCGGGTGCCCATAGCTTCTCTAACTCCATGGCTTTTGACAGCGCCGTGAAACAAGTCATAAACAGTTTTCACACCATCCTCAGGAGTTGTAAGAAGCTTGTTGGCTGAGTGAATGGATCGATAAGTATGCGACTCGCCAGTCTGTCTAGGAGTGTTTGTTTCAACGCAATAATAGTCTTTAATTTCCATGACAACGAGTAAGAAAAAAGGGAAATGAAATAAAAACGAGTACAAAATTATAAGCAACAGAATGCCAAGGATGACAATTAATAATAAGTATAAGAAAAGGTTTCACTAATCTTGAAGAAAGCAAGGTGAAGCAGCAAATCCTGCAAGAATCCAAAAGTAAAGAAAAGAAGAAAAGTTTTAGGGTGAAAACCGTTGGAATTACCTTTTTCGATTCAGTACACAGACAAGTTGAAGGAAACAGGAAACAGCAAGGGAGAAGCGGTTTTAAGTCTTCGACGAGAAACCCCAAAAACTAAGATTTAAGAGGAAGTTATGTCTAAGGAAGAAATTATAATTGAAAATTGGGATCCAAAGCCTATAAAAAGTATTCGTTTTGCTGGGCAGAGATTACATGGAAAATGGCATGAGATGATGAATCCTCTCACGCTAAGGGTATGATATATCAAAGTTCAAGCAACAAACCATTGGTCGTGAGAACCGAAATCAAACTAGATCAACATTGGTGCTCGTTTAAATAAGCTATTTCTATGACGATCCTTTAGAATCAAGTAAATAAACAAAGAAACAATAATAGACGAACCAACATGTTTGTAGTCAAAAAACCGTTTAGAAATGAAAGGAGCTACTGAAAATGAACTCAAAGTTTAAATAAAATATGAAAAATGAACAAATGCGAGGTTCCAAGGTACTTTGTCTGTCTTCTTTTAAAAAAATTTTTGCTTTACTAATTGTTTGGTTTTCAAAGTTTGGTAACGATTTTTTACCAAAAGAAGAATTGGATACGAAATATGCTGCATTATTATGTTTTTGTTTTAATATTTTTTATTTATCTTCATTATACTCTAGCAAAAGTCTTTAAAAAAAAATGCATTGCATTCCCAAAAGTTTGTTGAGATCATCAACTTGATGAATTCTTTTCAATTCTTTAGGAAATATACTTTAGAGAAATATATTTTGAAATACGACCTTACAATCCATTTGTGGATGCAGTAGGAAATTCTTGGTACCTTGTTCTTACTGAAGTCATCGACAAAAGGACATCATCGTTCGTTACCTTTCCTCTTCTTTTACCCATAACAAAAAAGCAGCTTTTTATCATGGCCCCCGTTGATTTTGATGTTGTAAGTAAATTGAAGTACTTTAAATAGATTCAAGCATTTTCTCTCTTTAGTTATGGACTCTGTTTTGTTAACTTTGTCTCAAAGGTTTTAGAAAAAAGTAACGAACTAGAAACTCGATTTCTTCAAAACCCCAAAAACGATCTTCAAGAACTTCAAAAAATTGTTCAAGAGCAAGAACATGCCCTTCGTTTCCCTTCTGTCTCGTACTCTGACTGCTATACTCTGGGAGAAATCATTCGTAGACTATATAGCCAAGCCCGCTATACAGCTCCTATAGTTATCGATATCACGATCAACGGCCATCAAGTTTTCCACCTAGCTTTTGACGGAAGCAGTCCTGACAACGATGCCTTTATTAAACGAAAGTATGCTACTGTCAATCGCTTCCATATGTCTAGCTTCCGCATGGGCTTGATGATGTCCGACTCGAAAACAACAATCTCTACCAAGTATAATGTTCCTGAAGGGGACTATGGAGCTTTTGGTGGTGGTTTCCCCCTTACTCTTACGTCCGGTGTCCAGATTGGTGTTATTTGCGTATCGGTAAGGAATTGCTAGTAGGAATCAGCTAGAGTGTTCTAACCATGAATTTTAGGGTCTTCGTCAGGTCCAAGATCACTGCATTATTGTACGTGCTGTCGCTCAATTGCTTCAAAACGGACCAGCCGCGTCAAAGTAACTGCAACAACTAATGTCTTATACAATACCTGTTTATGACTTACAATAACACACACCAAACACTTCATACACAACCAAAAATATATACACGTATTTTTTATTTACATTTTTATAATTCTTGAATAAAATAAACAAAAGCTTTGATTCTTCAATCGTTTCCATATTTTTATAATATCCTTCATTATTATTATTATCCTTACACTATCATACCTGTAAAAGAATAACCGTAACCTGCTGACTATACTCCCAACGAAACTACATCTCCTCCAAACTTAAGTTGGAACCCTACCCTAATCCAACCCGAACAGTCACAAATGTTTAGGAAGCAAAAGTATGATGCCCGTAAAGTTAGCAAAGACATAACAAAATGGGAAAACCCGCTGGTTTGAACGCCGCTCGTAAGCTCCGTACTCACCGTCGTGAAGAGCGCTGGGCTGATGCTCACTACAAGAAGCGCTTGTTAGGTACTGCCTTCAAGTCTTCTCCTTTCGGTGGTTCTTCTCACGCCAAGGGTATTGTCGTCGAAAAGATTGGTGTTGAAGCCAAGCAACCCAACTCTGCCATTCGTAAGTGCGTTCGTGTTCAATTAATCAAGAACGGTAAGAAGGTTACCGCTTTCGTCCCCAACGACGGTTGTCTCAACTTTGTTGACGAAAACGACGAAGTCTTGCTTTCTGGTTTCGGCCGTAAGGGTAAGGCTAAGGGTGATATTCCTGGTGTCCGTTTCAAGGTCGTCAAGGTCGCTGGTGTCGGTCTTGCTGCCCTCTTCCACGAAAAGAAGGAAAAGCCTAGAGCTTAGAAAAATTATTAATGCATGTGGTGATTTCCCCTTTTGTATGATTGAACTTCAATCTATTGAACATATGTATCTGTAGGCATATATGGATATTGCAAGTAGAGAGTACTTAAAATACTGGGTACACCGTCGTACGCATTATGTGCAAGAAACAAAAGAGTTGCAATATTATTTTATTTAGATATACAAAACCGTAAAATGAGAAAAATAGAGTGCGTTGAAGAAATATGCATAACTCAATTTGTAACTATCTAAGACTGCTATCAATGAACTTTTGAAACATTGGCATTAGGACAAACAACAGGATAAAGAACATGAAAAACATTAACCAACAAATACCGAAATATAATTTTTTGAATAAAAATGCGAGAGAAAAAAAAAAGTAGGCCAGCGTTGCCAACTGTTTATGCAAGGACAAATATCACCATCAAATTGAGGAGAGATGGTGATGGAGATGGACGAAAAAAAAAGGGAAACAAGGAAAGCTAAACCTAAAAAGTGGCTAAAAAAGGAGCAGTTTTTAAAGTTCGTAGGGAATACAAGAACAATTGAAAAGAAGGAAATAACAGAAGAAATTCAAGGCACAGATACTAGCACTTACCTCGTAAGGGAAGTAAGTTTCGTTTCCAAGTTTGCCAAGCATCTAATCGCTTGGCATGAACATCGCGAATTTCTTCCATACTGCTCCAACCAGATTCCATCATTCGTTTTTCAGCAGCCTCGTACGCTGTATCTAATTGAAGGACTTCCTCTAGCATTGCATCCAAACATCTAGATCGTTCAGCAACGTCCATCTGTTTGACATCAGCAGATGAAAGACCCGCCTTCAGGCTAGGGGAACGAGACTGGTTCCCGGAATCATTCGCAGAAGAGTGATGAAGATGAGTTGTGGAGACAGAAAGAGGTGTTAGATCAGGCGAGTCAAGCGAATATATACCTGTAGTACTAGATGTGCGTAAAGGAGAGACGCGATTTAAACGTCCTAACCGGGAGGAAGGAAGGAAACGGCGCAAAATGCCAACCCCGCGTTTGGAAGACTGGCTTCGGGAGTTATCACAAACTTCATTCAGCTTCTGAAACGGCCACTTCAGTTTGCTAGTATACTCGTCTGGTGTGTTTTTCTCCTGACTATTATCTAGAATGGCACAATTTCCTCCGAAATCCGAAGAAATATAATTCTCCGAGGAAAGTGTGTCATTACCGTTTGTTGGATTACCGGTGGGATTTTGCAGCCTAGTTTCAAAGGACAACGAAGAAGGGCTAGACATATGAGCACTAGCACTGGAAGAAGGGGAATCGACCGAGTCTAGTCTAGAGATTTCAAGATCATTGGGACTGACTTGGTTTACAGAGGAATGGATGGACCCTATATCTTGTAATGACAAAGGGGATAGGTTAGGAGGAAAGCCGAGAGGAGTCCCGCTTGACTCGTTTGTCTTGGATTCCAGATACAGATCAAATTCCGTTAGTGATTCATAAGCACCATGATTCGGAAATTGATTCTCATAAAATGTACGACCTTTCCCTTGACCCATGGAAGAAAGCGTAGCGCACAAATCAAGTTTGATGGAGGACTAAAAAAAGTACAAGTAAGAGAAGAACCAGTCTATAAAAAGCCACACACAATGTCCTCTACCCAACGCGTCAATTGCAAGGAAGGAAAATCCAAGTTAAAAGAAGGCAATTTTAAGAAGAAAAAGAATGATTTTTACAAAACCCAGAATACTAACAAATTTCTATAAGTACTCGGTCACTTTAGACACGCGTTTAAGCAACAGAGGCACTTTCCAGTAGAACGATCAAATACAAACACAAGTTTCTTCACAATGTTCAATTGACGCGTTTGAGCCTTTCCGTATGAATCCGTAAAGCTCTATGATTTGTTGAGTGTATATTCTTGTTATTGGTAGGTGAGGTATGTCCTAAATTTTCTGTAGCCCAAGTGACGGTTGCTAGTGGAAAATATGGCAGCTCAACGCAGTACGGTTCCGGGGATAGAACAAGTAGAATGTTTACAGAAAATAGAAAGGTCAAATCCCATTGCGCTGTAGAACACCAAAATGGATACGCCTATATATGGATAAGATGGGAAATGGCAATCATTGGAGCATACACCTTGAAGCATAGAAGAAGAAAAGTTGAACAGTTGATTTAGACGAGTTTTTATTACAGCGAGCTCAATTTAAACTTTTTATTTATTTATTTTTATTTTACTTTCGAAACTATCTAGTTAAATTTCAAATAGAACTAAACCCTCTTTTCTTTTAAGTACCTACTCCCTTTAAAAAAGAATCATGCTAAAAACTAAGCGATACAAGCTTGTAAAAACAGAATAGAAGCACAAACTGTCTTTTTTGCCGCATTGTTTACTACCGAATAGCTCAGTCGAATGTTCCGAAAAAAGCATAACGAGTAATACTAGGAATCGGTAGCTTCCCTTGAACGAGATTCACCAAATGCTCCTTCGTTTCCAAGTGTTTCGCTATCTATTTCCTCTGTAGTACGATCAACGAAGGGAAGGGATTCAGACAAGGACAGGGTTGGACTGGATTGGATTGGACTGCTGATGAATGTTTATCCAGCCCCAAGAAAGTGCAAAACGAGAGATTCACTGAAAAAAGTGAAGGAACTTTTTCATGGAACATTCTATGATTTATGATGCATTTTCCCTTGACGTACTTACCGTAAAGGAAGAACAATAAAAAATACCGAAAATTTTAAGCCACTGCTTTACATCCCTCCACACTGTCGCTTTTACAAAGAACTGTTCTGCTACCCATGGTGTAACATCTTGTTACGGCTCCTCCTCCGACAATGATTGACTTCTAACTTATCTTTACCCCCCACCCTTTATCTGCACCCAATCAGTCTGGCGCAGGTTTATCTTTAACTTATCGCATAAATTATGCGGTCATTTACCGATACGTATATAATCGAAGGAAAAGAATGCAAAAAAAGACGACGCAAACGAATCCGATCCCTCGGTTCTATACTTCATGTAAACAATCCGTAGCAGGTTTGTTAACAGAGTTAGTTGAACTGGACGGTTCCAAAGATTAGATATCACACAAGCAAATCTTATCAAATAATCTCTTGATCTTTGTGCCTAATATTTAATGCAAGAAGCATCTTTCCTTTTCTTGCTAACGCTTGTTGTCTTCATTTGGTAGTCAAAGCGAATTTTACAAGACTTCAATCATCGATCACGTTTCTTTTTGTTCATCCATTTTAGCATTTCTTTTATTCATGATTATTTAATTTGGTTATTAAACCTCCAATTGCTTCATTTGGTCTAATTATTTATTTTTTTACGTCTTTTTTATTTTTCTTTCGCAAATTAATAGACAAGCTACTTATTTTGACATCGAAACATTGGTTTGTCTTAGTTCAGCCAATTGCTTATGTTTTGTTTTCTTTTTTCATTCAATTAGTCTTTTCATCTCATTTTCAACCTCGTTTGTTTGACTTATCCTTCTAATCCTTATTTATATGTTCACGGTATGATGTGGAACTATAAAAATAGCAAACTCTCGGATTTTGTCCAGCGCTGGATCCTTCTGAATGCAAAATCCGAAATGACCATGTCTGAACGGTTTCTCAATAACGAGGACCTCTACCCAGTAAAAAAACGTTTTCGGCTTTGGGATTCATGGAACTATGTGGCATTTTGGCTTGCAGATGCCATCAATGTAAATACTTGGATGATTGCAGGTACCGCGGTTACCAGTGGCCTTGCTTGGTGGGAAGCTTGGATCACGGTTTGGGTCGGTTACACCTTATCTGCTTTGATTTTGGCTGCAGTAGGTCGTGCTGGCTCCGTTTACCACATTTCTTTCCCCGTTTTATCCCGTAGCTCCTTTGGCATCTGGGGCTCTTTCTGGCCAATCCTCAACCGTGCCGTCATGGCATGTATCTGGTATGGTGTCCAAGCTTGGATTGGAGGTGAATGCGTAACCCTTATGATTCGTTCCATCTGGCCTTCCTTTTCTCATATTCCAGATACAATGAGTAAGAGTGGGACCAAAACTTATCAATGGTTAGGATTTTTTATTTTCTGGCTTATCTCTAATGTTGCGATTTGGTTTCCCGTTCACCAACTTCGTCATTTGTTTACCGTAAAATCATTTCTGGCTCCGCCTGCTGCCATCGCCTTCCTCATCTGGGCTCTAGTAAAAGCTCACGGAGCAGGTGATGCTATTCATTCGCCTACTACTCTAAACAGATGGGATCATGGTTGGGCTGTTGTTAGCGGTATTGTCAGTTGCCTTAATAATTTTGCTACCCTAATTGTGAATAATCCCGATTTCACTCGCTTTGCTACAACTCCCAATGCTCCTTTATGGCCTCAAATTATTACCATTCCCGTAGGTTTTGGTATTACAACCTTAATTGGTGTTTTGGTTGGCTCTGCTTCGAAATCGATATATGGTGAAAATATATGGAATCCGTTGGATCTTCTATCCAACTTTTTAAATCATTCAAATGCCCATGGTGTTCGAGCTGGCGTATTTTTTATTGCTACAGGACTGTGCCTTGCTCAGTTAGGTACGAACATCGCCGCTAATACCGTGTCTGCAGGAAATGATCTTTCTGCTTTGTTTCCTGCCGTCATCAATATTCGGAGAGGAGCTTATATTGCATCGATTGTTGGCATTGCCATGTGTCCTTGGAATTTACTTTCAAGTTCCAATAGCTTTTCTTCTTCTTTGAGTGCTTATGCCGTCTTTCTTTCGTCCTTTGCTGGAGTCATGCTTGCTGATTATTATGTTGTACGCAAAGGCTACCTAAAAGTTGGTTCCTTGTATACCACCGATGACAAAGGCCCCTACTGGTTTTTCCACGGCATCTCTTTTCGTGGGTTTATTTCCTATATATGCGGTTTAGTAATTAACGTTACCGGTTTGGCCGGTAGCGTAGGAGACAAGGTACCCCAGGCTGCTATGACAATGAGTAAGCTGGCTTACTTAATTGGAATCCTCGTTTCATTCATAGCCCATGTTATTATTTGCACTGTTTTTCCTGTTACTGAGTGCGGCAGCAAGTACATGGATGAACATTTTGAAGAGACCGACCACTACCTGCTTCAAATGGAGACTCCTACGGATATTGAAGAAACAGAAGGAGTTCCTCTGTCAACATTTGACACTGAAAAGTTCGATTCAAAACTTAAGGCTGACCATGTTCATTCTTCAGAATTAAAAGTATAACGGTTTTTTTGGTCCAACTTTTTTATTTATAAGCTTAATTATTTTCGGATCCGATTTTACAGGTTTATAGATAGAGTATAATTATCACTGCATTTTTTAAATTATGATTACAATAATTAGAAAATAATGTAAAAAGCTGTTAGAAGTTAACAAAAACTTCGACACCAGCAGGATTTGAACCTGCGCGCGGAGACCGCAATAGATTTCTAGTCTATCCCTTTAACCACTCAGGCATAGTGTCGTATGTTGTTAAATAAGCATATCAAATAAATAATATATCATGTAAATGGTAAGAAAGTCTTTTTAGATGTTTACTGCTTTGACCATGTAGATTCACCAGAGGATCCTTGTCCTCAGTAACAAGAGGACGTCACTTTGATATGCAGAACCATTTTCACACTATACAAGAATCTTTAAATGTTATTTACAACGTCTACGGCCATACCTAGGCGAAAACACCAGTTCCCGTCCGATCACTGCAGTTAAGCGTCTGAGGGCCTCGTTAGTACTATGGTTGGAGACAACATGGGAATCCGGGGTGCTGTAGGCTCCTTTTTTTCTCTTTTTGATTTATTTTATGCACGGATTTCTAATTCTTTTTACTTTACTAGAAAAATCAATTCCATCAGAATCACCTCGAGTACAACCTGGCTATGACTGCAAGAACAGCCGGAGAAACGAATTACCGATGGCTATTGAGGTCTAAATAAGCGGACATAAACTAAACGTTTGCGAGAGTATACATTCAAGCTTTAAGAGTTGCCATTATACTGATGAATTACTATCAAAAACTAGAATAAAAAAACATAAAGACAATTATTTAGAACATTTAATCTAAAATAAGTGTATTTTGAGTACGCGATAATTTTAGAAAATTTTCGTTGGAAACGATATTACTCACAAATAAGATACTTCGAATTCTGCACCACCCCAAAACAACATGGCCATCCTAGGTCGCTTGAAGCATGGTGCTTCAAACTTATCGATGATTCGTTCTGCTAAGGACATTGCTTGTTTTGGCAAGAAGTATGCAGACATAAGAGGTTATGCCAATCATGCTGCGTTTGTTACACCTCCTTACCAGAAGCTAATTGAAACGCTTGAACGTGTTCGGAAGATTTTTCCTAATGAAAAACTTACTTTAGCTGAAAAGGTGCTTTATGCACACCTGGCGAATCCAGAAGAAAGTTTTGCCGGTGTTTCTCCTTCGCAGATTCGCGGCTCGTTGTATTTAAAGCTGAAACCTGATCGCGTGGCCATGCAAGATGCATCGGCCCAAATGGCATTACTCCAATTCATGACCTGTGGTCTTGAACGTACTTTAATTCCCTCTAGTATTCACTGCGACCACTTGATTGTCGGTCATCGCGGTGCGAATAGCGATATCCCCGAAAGCATTGCCAATAACAAAGAAATCTTTAATTTTCTTCAAAGCGCCTCTAGAAAATACGGTATTCAATTTTGGGGTCCCGGTAGTGGTATTATTCATCAGATCGTTTTAGAAAATTATGCTGCTCCCGGTGGAATGATGTTGGGAACAGACTCTCATACACCAAATGCAGGTGGTTTAGGTATGATTGCCATTGGTGTTGGTGGTGCAGATGCCGTGGATGCCATGACAAATACTCCATGGGAGTTGAAGGCCCCTAAAATCATCGGTGTTCATCTGAAAGGCACTATGTCCGGCTGGACTACACCCAAAGACCTTATTCTTCATTTAGCTGGAAAACTTACTGTCCGTGGTGGAACTGGTCATATCATTGAATACTTTGGTCCTGGTGTTGAATCTCTCTCGTGTACTGGAATGGCCACTATTTGCAACATGGGTGCCGAAGTGGGTGCAACCACTTCTATATTTCCATATACCGAATCCATGAAGCGTTATCTAGAAGCCACTCATCGTGCAGACGTTGCCAATGCAGCTGCAAATATTCACCAACAACACAACTATTTAGCTGCTGATGCTGGCGCTAAGTACGATGAAATTGTCGAGATCAATCTTTCTGAGCTTTCTCCTTCTTTCAATGGCCCTTTTACCCCAGATTTAAATACCCCCATCGAAAAATTCAGTAAAGCTATCGAAACCAATAAATGGCCCAAGAAGGTTTCTGCTGGTCTCATTGGATCTTGCACAAATTCTTCCTATCAAGATATGTCCACCGTCGTTGACGTTGTGGAACAAGCTACGAAAGCTGGCTTGAAGCCACAGGTACCTTTCTTAGTCACTCCTGGTAGCGAGCTAATTCGCGCAACTATTGAGCGTGACGGTATCACAAAGCGTCTCGAAGATGCTGGTGCTGTTGTTCTCGCCAATGCCTGCGGTCCTTGCATAGGTATGTGGAAGCGTGATGACAAGGTTTCCTCTGAAGAACCAAACGCTATTTTGACTAGTTTTAACCGCAACTTCCGTTCTCGTAATGATGGTAACCCATCTACCATGAACTTTTTGACCAGCCCAGTTATTGTTGCTTCTAAGATCTTCTCCTCTGACCTTGCTTTTGATCCTACCCGCGACGTCCTTCAAACTTCTGATGGTAAACCTTTCAAGTTTACTCCTCCTACAGGCATTGAACTTCCTCCGTCTGGTTTTACTGCTGGTGATACTTCATACATTCCTGATCCCAACCCACAACCTCTGCCAGAAACTGAAGTAACAATCGATCCCAAATCTACCCGTTTGGAGGCCCTTGAACCTTTTGATTCTTACAAAGGCGGAGAAATGAATAACTTGAAGGTTGCTATTAAGGTTAAGGGTAAATGTACAACAGATCATATTTCTGCTGCCGGTAAGTGGTTGAAGTATAAAGGACATCTTAGCAACATCTGTAACAATACTCTCATTGGTGCGGTCAACGCAGCTACTGGTGAGGTAAACCGTGCATATGATAATGGACAAGGCATGAGTATTCCTGAACTGATGTGGAAGTGGAAGAATGAAGGTCAACCATGGTTGGTTGTAGCTGAACACAATTACGGTGAAGGGTCTGCTCGTGAACATGCTGCTTTGCAACCTCGCGCTATGAATGGCCGAATTATTTTGACTAAGTCCTTTGCTCGCATTCATGAAACCAACTTGAAAAAACAAGGTATTCTTCCATTAACTTTTGCTAATGAAGCTGATTACGAGAAAATCAATGCTGAGGATAAAGTTTCTACCCGCGGCATTACAAAATTGTTGAATGGCGCTTTGGATGAGCCTATTATTCTTGTCGTTACCAAAAAAGATGGCTCTTCAGTGGAAATCCCTTGCAAGCATACGATGAGTAAAGATCAAGTAGAATTTTTCAAAGCAGGTTCAGCATTAAACTTGATTCGTCAAAAGGCTCGTACTAAAGTTGAAGATCAAAAGGTATTAGATTCAATAAAACAACAACCTGATCACTACGCTGACGTGAGTGTATATAACCGACATTTTATAGTCACCAGAGGTGATCAGTTGGGCTTACCCTTCCGTATAAAAAACGTCCAGGTAGGAGATACCATTCGTTTTGATAAAGTTTCGAGGCTAGGATCTAGGGATTATACGATTGTTGGCAAACCATATGTAGACAGTTCTCTTCATACCATTGAGGCCACTGTACTGTCGTTCCCTAAAAGTGCACTAAGCGTGCGCGTTAAGCACAAGCGTCGTCATAGACATGATCGTGTAATGAAGCATAAACAAACCTACACAATTTTGAGGTAAGTCGAAGAAGAATTTGATTAACACAGTTGCTAACCTATACAGAATTAACAAGTTAGTCATTCATTAAAAGAACGTTAATATTATTCTATGTAATTTAATAAGATGCATAATGAACCCAAAAGAATATATAAGTAAACCGAACATTTTTTAGAAATTGCTACACAACTATATATATAAAAAAAAAGAGAAAAAAAGTAGGTTGTTATAAGACTGCACAGAAAACAAAGAAACAGCCCATAGTCTTGGTTAAGGCACCGAAATTGCAGAAAATGAATTGGAAAGATTTGCAGGGAATCAGTATTCAACCGAGGTAAAGAATGGAATAGTATACACGATTGCTCTTTTTAATTAACCAGTTCGTAAACGTAGGTGAGTATGAAAAAAAAAGGAAACATATATATCGTAATTGATTTTTGTGCAGATATCTATGCAAATAAGCTATTATACAACCAGTGGCTCACTAGAAGCTGAGCCTAGTACAGCAAGCTCTAAAGTCCAAACTCGTCTCACCCACACGGGAAATTCAATTCCGTTAAAATCTGTTTTCATAGCAGAATCCCACCAACATTTTCTAGCCGGTTTCTGCCAAAATAATAACAACTTATGGAAAACCGGAAAATAGTTTGGATCAGAAACAGGTCCTTTATCTGCTGAGAAGTCCAAATTCGTGAGTGTAGCAGACGTTATACATGCCCGATGTGGTTCTTGGATTCTCAGTTTCCATTCATCATCTTCACTAAAACCACTATAACATAACATTCGGACCAAATTCTTTTCGGCAGACTCCTCAGGTGTCGAATTTGTCACATGAAGGCAATCAAATATGCGCTTTTCCTGTAATAACTGTCTTGCTACTTTCTGTTTTGTTCTTGCAAGGTCGATAGGTTTCACTTCCATGGCTGATTGAGTTTCTGGGAACATTGGAGGTATAACATAGAATTCAATGTCTTCTTTTAGAAATATTATTCCACATTTTCCCGGGAAAGACGGTACCGGTGGAGATATAAACTGTATTTCGTCGTTAATTCGCGACTCCATCATCCGAAAATAGCTAACAATATATCCAAAAATAGAAGGATCAAAATCAGCAGTTTGAAAGATTAATGGTCTATTATTAGTCAAGTGTTCTTGAATTTCATAATCAAGCATTAGACCTCTAGGGAAAAGGCACATTAAGACGGACTCTGGCAACGATAAAAGTTCATTTCGAAACAGCTCAAAGATTACTCCTCTAACAAAAAGCTGGATTTTGGGGTTTACTTGTTCATAACTGTATGATGTATCCGCTGCAACTATAGGTGCATCTTGGGCATGTGTAATAACGGAGGACATGAGACACTTTGTATAAATCGTTTGCCTAAAACAAAATTAAGAGATTGTTTTTTTTGGAAAGCTTAAACAAAAAGTCTTAGAGAAGAATGGGAAATATCATCGGAGACAAATATGGAGTTTCGTAGTGTTTATGAGAATACCGAGTACCGTCTGGCACTGTAAAGGAAAGTGCAGGATAGCTGAGTGAAAGTGAATGAAGATGATATTATAAATTATTAAAGTAGGATTATAACTGTAATTTTTTTGGTAAAACTAAAGGTTGATTACGATGCCAAAACTTGATTAGGAGGGAAGCCATTTGAGAAGGAACGTCTTCATGAACAAAATGACCAGAAGCTGGAGATATTTCGAGTTGATATTTTCCTTGCATTTGGCCAATTATCAAGCTTTTATCCAATCGATCAGCACCGGCTACAATGAGCATTTTGCCGCATGCTGCTTTTAAAAACTTGTCATCCAAACCAGTGAACCAACCTGACCAAAAAGGAGAAGTAGCATTTAAATCTGTTCTCCAAGTATAACAGCTCCGATCTTCTGAAGGAATTAGCAATGAAGGAACTGTAATGCATGCAGAAGTCCTTTGTCGGATCGTAAGTGTTTTCAAGTGCCAGCTAATGGCCTCTTCAACAGAGGAAAATGAAGTAGGACGCGTAATAACATATCTGCGCATATAGCTAAAAGATTCCATAGCTGTACCTTCAACAGCATCTATCATGACCAAACCAGAGACATTTGGAAGTCTTTTTTGAACAGCAGCTTCTGTACAAATGGAGCCACCCAAACTATGACCCACTAAAATCATCTTTCCCTCTAGATGAAACATGTTTTGGACGTACTGAACGGCGTGTACAAAGTCATTTGTCAATGTCTGAAGAGACATATCCTTTTCTGGTTTGACACTTGTTTCTCCATGGGCACGAAGATCCAAGGAAAGAAAGCCCACCTTATGTTCTGATTCTGATAATAGCTCATGAACCATAGGTCCAAAGGACATAGCGCTTGAACCGGCACCGTGCTGAAGCACAAACAAACAGCTATCTGGTTGAGGCAAAGTTAAGTATCCAACTATATCTCCATTTCCGGTAGGTATTTCTAACCTTTCTTGAAAATAGTTTCCCCAATTACACAGGCTTGGTTCGTATGGAAATTTTTCTTCCGGTTTTAAAGGTACCTTTTTCCTGAGATTCTGTTGAATCAACATTCTCAGTGACTGGTCTCGAAATGTCATTACGAAATAATTTTAGCAGTGATTATAATATTATTCAGCTTTTTTGCCAGAGTAGGATCGTAATTTGATCATAAAACTTGCTGATAATTTCCTTCGAGCAGACAGCAAAGCAAGCACAACGTGCACGTTGCAAGCGAAGAGATGTTTAATAAAGCAATCCTTGTTAGAAAGAGAGTGTGATCAAATAAATCCTGCTTATATTTAAATATAAAATCGTTTGCTTTTTTATCACGAACTCGATAGATTATACTACAGTAAAATATACAACGAGATCATATGGAGGAAAAGACTAGCTATTCACTTATGACGAACTGAAGAATAAGCATTCTATAACCGAGGTGCGACATGTTCTTTGTACAATTTTACTTGAAATGGTTTCAATTATGTGAAATAAAAAAGCCTTGAAAAGACATTGTATTGTGTCTAATCTGAACTTGGGTCATCATTGAAAATTATAAGACGAAAATATTTAGCTATAAATGATTAAACTATTGGCTAGGAGAGGAGAGTGATGCTTGTAATTGTTTCTTCATAAGCTCGAGCCCTTTGGGAAGCGAAGTGGAAGGAGGCACAAATTCGTCGAGCTGCTGTGGAAGAATAAGTTGAGGGCGAACAGTAGAAAGGTGAATTACGTTATTTCGAGAAAAATTCTTTCTTTCTTTCGATCCGTAATTTGACGTTTCTTCTGTCTCTGAAAAGTGACTCATTTCAATGTTTTCTTCTTTTTGCAAGCGTTTTCTGGACTTCGCTCTTGGATGTTTGACTGAGGTGCCATTATTAGTAGCTGTAGCTGTATCATATTTATGCAAGGCTCGATCAAAACTTCCTGAGCGTACAGATTCAGGCTTCACAGAATCCAACATATCGAGATTGGCTATCTCTTCAGCTGATGGTTTGCTTGGTCTAAGTTTTTTCTCTGAAGTAGAATTTTCCCTGTTTAACGGCTGGAGACGCTGTTTATTTCCCTCATATTTGGGTGGGAACTCCGAAATGTTAGCACCTTCGTTCTTTGAATGTTCATTTGACTGCATAGCAGATTTACCAGAAGAAGCAACACGATTATTCGATCTTCTTTCTTGATAACCTGGAAGCTGTTCTTTATTTCCTTGAAGAGAGTTTCTTCTTTGCCTAATAGGACGAGCGTCCAGTTTCTCCAAATTAGCTTTTCGGGCATTGCCAGACGTTTTTCGGGTTTCGGAAGCCATGGTTTTAGATTTTTTCTCTTTCATAGACTTTTTAATATTACTAAATAAATCATCCAAAGATTGTCCTCCAAAAATTACTTCTTCATTTTTAGATTCATTGTTCCTTAAAAACGCTGCTGTAGAAAAGCATTGAGGCTTCATAGGAAAAAAGAGTTCATAACTCTTTCCCGTTTTAGCTGCTTTTTCGACATTCTTTCTCAAAAAATTCCGGTATGGCCCTAAGAACATCCTATACGTGAGCGTGTAGTACTGGACAAGTAATTGGGCTTGCAAAAAGAATTCCAGAGTTAGATGAAGGACAAATGAAAATTGAAAGTATAAGAAACTAAAGGCTTTTTTTTCTTTTCTTGGCTTTTAAAAAAATACATGCTGTGATATGACCCAGTTGATTAGGTTGCTTTTTCAAGCATGAAACGACATTATTTACATATCTCATTTCAACATCATATATATATTATTATAGGTTAATTCTGCAAACAATTAATACATCTTTTCATAATTTGAACATCCAGTAAAGAATTGGACAAAAAATTACACAAAGTATGGATATGGCATGGAAAGTATATTTCCATGCTTCCTTCGGTAGAACTCTACCTTCTGTAATCCAAATGTCGTAAAAATAATCATAAACAGAAACATAAGTGGCATCATATATGTACGAACAAGCATTTTTCAGGTTAGTTATGGTTAGTTTTAGTAACATCCGTACGATTCCATCATCAGACTCAACGCTGTTCGAAACCTGGCTAGATTCTAATAAGTTTTTCAGATCAAAAGTCTCATTCTCAAAAAGCATAACATCACTTTCAGAGAATCCAAAAAATATATTATTCACGAAAATACCAGGTACTTCACTCCAAACATCCAGCTCGATTCCTTTAGCGCTAAGCGGATATGGTTCATTTTGTAACAAAAGGCGACGAAAGACATTGCTTGGGGTATAGTAGGAAGTCTCATTTGCAACTCCCTCTGCATTGTAAGTTTCGTGTTGAAACGATGATCGTTTTGTAGGGGATTCAGTAAAACTCTTTTGTACATCCCCATGCGCAATAATTTGTTTATTCCTTCGAATTGTATAAGTAGAATCGCGCAAAAGAAGTGTATACATATTTGTCACATCTTCCGTCAACTCGCTACGTGGAGGATTGATCAAATGATAGATGCTTTGATGGTCATAACTGCCAAAAGAGAAATATACGTAGTCGTATAAGCCACATTTTTTCACACCAAATTCTATCAAAGGAGGAATAGCTTTTCTATATTCAAAAGGACGATAATCTTGACTGGCAACCTTGATATTAGCATGTCCACAGTCCCATCTTACAGTAGGCTTCACTTGAAAAGACAAAGCAATGGGAATAAAGGGAGTTTCTCTTGTAATCGGTACGTCAAAATTACTGAAAATAACATGTTGCTCCTTTGGAGCAGTAGTAATGAGCCCGTATTCATTTACCAAATGTTTATTTGGTGCTTCTACAAGATTAAATGATCCTACTCGATTACCTGATGGTGAGAACCATCGATCTTTCCAGCTCTCCAAGTCTTCTTTCGTAAATTGTTCAGCAAATACTGCTGGAACTGCACATGGCTAGCTTTACATTAGTCCAGAAAGAAAATTACAGAATCAACCAATTTTATAATTGATTCGAGGTTCTTAGACTTTCAACGCGCATACATACCTTGTAAGTTTTAGCATTTAACCTGGTAGCCAATGCCAATGATATTGGATGAAAACAAACGATTCCAACAATGAAGAATAAATGAATAATATCCATGTCTTTTAGGATTTGAATTTGAAGAGTAACATGAAGAGACAATTAATTCCAAGCGTTACAAAGTTATGATTCGTTAGCAGATCCCCAAAGGTTGATATTAGCACACGTAGACTCTGAACAATAGAGAAAAATAGGTTTAAATAGAGATGAATGAACCCTTGGCTTGTTTTCCCGTTGTAAAATTGATATGCTTATATCGTTCGTTTTAGGTGCTCAGATTGACATTACTCAGGTCACTTCCTTTAACTACTTTCGAATGTAAAAACCGAATGAATGTTAGGTAAAAAACGAAATTACATACATTTGAAACCCATTATTTTATATTGCTGGTGAAAATCCCAATACCGGTTATGAAATGATTTCAATTAAGTAGTCGAACTCCAAAGTTCCTGCAAGTTAATTGATGAAAATAGAATTAGAAAGAAGGACGTAATTTAGCTAAAAAATGTCCAGAGTACTGCATGCCTTCTCTGCTATTTAAGCAGTTTCTATACCAAGAGGCCCTAGAGCAACTCATAACCAAAATGAGCGAAGCTACATCTGTGGAAAAAGTAAGACTTCTGCAAAACTTTCAATTTGAAAAGGTGTTGAAGGAGGATACAAAGAACAAAATAGTAACACTTTACGGCTATATTGAAAATAAGGTCGCATTGCTACTATTAGAAAAGACGGCTTTTGATTTACATTGTATCAAGCTTCAAGAAATTCCAGACTATATCCAGGAAACTCGACTTGTGCAAAACAACGACGTTTTTCATTGGTACCTGAGTACTTTCCTTCAAAACAATGATTCCCTTCCCTCAGTAAAATCTACTCTAATATGGCCTGCTGCGGAAAATGTAAGCAATTTATCCTTTTTTCTAGAAGAGAAACTAAACCTTGGATGTAGCATATTCGAAAGTATTCGGATCAAAAGCGCAGAATGATCCGTGAAACTCCAGAAATGTATCTCCGAATTGTCAAACCATTCGTTGAAACTCAACGAGGTCCTCAAATCCAATGGGTCAATAATATCCTTAACCATAAAGCCGAAGCGGAACGCATAGTTTTAGAGGATTTGGATAAAGTGAATGGGTTCCTTGTTTTGCCGGATTTGTATGTGCAAAAACATATGAAGTTTGAAACTCTTGGAAGCGAGCAGTTTTTAATCATTTCTAACTATTACTAGGAAATGGGATCGTCAAACTATGTCTGCTTTAAATTTGATGGCCATTGTCCACAGAAACGATTTAGCAAGTATTCGTGATTTAAATTTAGAACACTTGCCCTTGCTAGAGAATATCCGTTCTCGTGTGTTAAATGATGTTCCGAAAAAGTTCCCTGTGGATAGAAATCAACTAAAGCTTTTCGTTCATTGTATGTGTAGCTTATTACTCCTATTTTGACTTGGCTTTCTAACGATACATTAGATCCTCCTTCTTACTATCATTTGCATGTTCATATCATGCACGTTGATCATGAAACCGGTGAAGGATCGTCTGTTGGACGTGCAATCCTTCTGGACGATGTGATTGAAAGACTGCAAAACTGCAAGCATGGTTTTGTTGAAAAGACGTTAATTTACGGCATTGGTGAGCAGCATTTTCTATTCAATGATTTAACGAGTGAGTCTGAATGAAAGAAAAACATAAATTTTTGAAACTCTTATACACTCTTTTTCAGATGGATGGAAATTGAATAAAGGATTGCTCGAGTTGTAATAGTCTATCCATTTTATTACTATTAGTGCTTTATCCTTAGGGGGGAATTAAAATAATTTTTGAGGTCTAGTACAATACAAAAGAAAGTTTAGATTAGGGAAACAGCTCCAGTACGAACATAATTTGCAATAACCGAATATTTCAAAAGTAATATATCACCACGATCTAAAGTCACATATTCATTTTCAGCAACCCGAAGGTTTTCTTCAACTGTTTCATTGACATAACAGAAAACGGAATTTTCCATGTCCGGTGCGGCTACCATAGAAGTTCTTCCTATCGTGTCGTCTAGCTTATTCATCTTTATAGGAAGCTCTCGAAGAAAAGATGCCATATATTGTCTATGCAGGAGCTGTTGATGCCGTAAAAGGTATTGTCTTTCGGTTGATGATAAATTAAGGAGCACATTTGGATTGGCCTGAATGTACTGACCATAGTCATCAATTTTACTTAGTCTTGTCCGTAAATAAGATCTTAAAACAAACTTAATGCGCTCAAGTTCAACTTGAATTAGCACACTACGATAGCCAGTAGCATTAGCGGTTCCAATTGAGCTTTGTAAAGTTTCCACTTGAGCTCGAAGTCTTTCAGTAACCCTTGAAACAACGTCTTCAGCAAATGGAAGCAACTCGGGAGCCATACGTTCATTTAACCATTGTGTACAGAGAGCAGAGTAGTCTTGTTCAACTTCTGTTGTTGGTTCAGCTAATAGTTCGTCCACATCCCAATCCATTCCTTTTTAGGTGAACCTCAAAGTTATTTGGCTTAGAAAGCGCTTATTTATAACCTTTGAAAATGTTTTCAAAAGGTAAAGTCAGAATAAGTTGTAGTAGCTGTGTTTCGCAGCGAACTAAGCTTACTGAGAGTTTAATTAAGCGACGTTTACTTGTTACTCTGAATGATTCAAATTAAATAAAAACGCTTAATTTGTTATGCTAAAATTGCCAGAATGCAGCTCCTAGAATCCTATTTTACAAAGTTTAAAGGGTTCGCATATTTTAAAAAATTCATTATCCCAAATCATATTGTTTGCTACTATTATACATCGTTACAAATCTATTGTGTTTTTACCTTTGAAACGTCGATTGGATCGATCGCCAGCCCGAAGCAATAAATGATGAGCGTATAGCTCAACGACTAAGTGTCTGCTTGACATATTAGCAATCACTTGCATTATGGTATCAATTTTTGGAATTCCTAAAGGCGTTAGTTAGAAGCTGATGATACATAATCACATCGAGTATTTTTTTTTTTTTTTTTTTTTTTTTGAACTTACGCACAACGTTGTTGTTCTTTGTCACAAGAGAAAGCATATTTTTGCTTTCATGAATACAAATTCCTTCAATTCCATTTCGAGAAGGACTTTTACAGCAAACAACTCGCATGTATGATCCATGATATTCAGCTTTGATCATTTTAGCAAGAAGGGATTCACCAGTGGAATTGCCAATTGCCTCCTCTAGGTAATTGCACCACATGAAATGTAAGGGTTCAAACTGGTCGTATTTCAGATGCTTAGGTACAGTGTTCAGCTGGAGTTTTCTTTTTTCTTTAGAAGACAGAGTCTTTTGTTTCTTGCTCTGTCGAGAAATGGTTTGTTTTCTTGCTTTCCCATCTGACATAGTCGGTACAAGCAGAACCGGTTTAAACGCAATTTTTTCATTCACCACATTTTCAGCTTCCTCTTTGGTTAAAATCTTGCTTTGATGAACAAGGCTTTCGGGACTGACAAGTTCGTTGGCATTCGTGCGTCTCAACGAACTATAAATCGGATCTTCCATTATAAACAAGGGCGAAAGACGATTTTACGCTGAAAAGTTCCTCAGAAAAAAAAACCAAAAAGAAATTGATAGACCCTTAAGAGATGAAATACAAAAGTTTTATACGTTATGTAGGTATCTTTACTCCTTTTTAGACATGATTGGGGTAAGGTGTGTTCCCTGTACGTGTTTCCTTTCATTAGAGTATAGTAATATTAACGGTTGGTAGCTAAACCATAATTGTATAAGGGAAGTTCCTTATTATGTAAGCACATGGGAAAGTGGGGTTTCAAAGTACTCAGTGGGGGCCTATGTAATACCCTTGAGTATCGATAGCATATCCAATAGAACTACGTGGGGGTCCCTTGTTTTTGAAGGGGCTAGTGAGGCACTAAACGAATTGAGCAAACGAGAAAAGTGCTAAATGTCGCAGGTCATCAAGAATACTGTAAACGAAAGTATATATGATGATACAAATCGATTAAATGAAGAAGAATGTTTTCTTTCTAAAGTAGACTTATTTGCGCGAGATCGAGGGTTAGTAGAGAGAAATTACATTATAAAAACCAGGGACAGAATTAACATCATGGGTTATATAGGATCAACTTTGAAGCAACTCCAAAAGTAACGCGCAAGCCAATTTCTCTTTTCGAGTTATACAAGAAAGTGAAAAAGAAAGGAGGTTATGATGCTATAAATAATACCGAAAATGGATGGTCCGACCTCGCCGGGGAATTTCGACAGTTAGATCCAACCAGAGCTCCCAAATCGCTTCAAAATTTGTACTTTAAGAACTTGATGTACGTTGTTATCCGTTCTATATGTGTAGTCTAACCGCTAATGATAGCGCCTGGGAAATGTATGATCTGTGGCACTTGCAAAGTCCACCTCCTCAGCTATTAGAGCTCAGTTCAAATAAGTATGTTTATATCTACGTTTGTTTTATCATTTGTTTTGCTTCTACTACTTTTGGCTCTAAAATTACTGACCATATATCAGGAACAATATTCTGCAACGAGTAAAAACATACAATTTGTCACCTTCTTATAAATCAACGGATGCATTAGAAGTTGCAGGTATGATGAATTACTCGATTAAGTATATATTACTTATTTACTAACGTTTTTATTTTTCCTTAAGACACAAAAAATTCGAATTCACTGAAGAATTTCTACAAAAGCATTCGTCCTCCCTCTCCTGTTACCCTTGAACGACGTGCCGAAGAAGCACTGAACTCAAACTATCAGCCATTACCAAATGCTGCTAATTTTTCCAATACGACTTTTCCGATCGTCCCTGTCCATCCCTTGCCGGCAGATTCGCCCTTACAACGACAAGTAGATCGCTCTTCAGGACCAGCAATTTCAATTGAGGAATCATTAGGTCAGGGGATACCTGGACCTCCTCTATTAATTCGCATGGCTTTAGCCCTAAAATCTCGACAAGAAGATGAAGTTGATTGGGCAGTATGTCATTTAGTAAAAGTCTCATTTGAACGATACCAAGAGTTTAAACTAGAAAGATTACCATTTTTGGCTGAATGTTTGGTGGAAGCATTGGGTTTTCAAATTTCACTTGTGAAAAAAGTTTCCAATGAATCTGATATTACTCAATATCTTGATAGGGCGATCGGTATCGCTTTGGTTTTACGGAATTCTGTTTTATCTTCTGAAAACGCAAAACTTATTGCCAAGGCCGAATTGATAGTAGGTGTTTTAGAATCTGCCATCCGATGTGCGAAAACCTTTGAAAATGTGGAACTTCTCCATTATTGCCTAGATATTTCGGAAACGATCAGTTCTTACTTATGTATTGAAGATGAAAAAATTGGGTTATACTTACTGCTTTGCAGCTTTCTCAATTCCTCTGACAATGCTGTACTCATAGCTACTTTACGAACGCTTGCTCGCCTTGCTTTAAACGACCGAAACAATAGACTTCTTCAAGATTTGGATGAAAAGGTTGTTATTAGGATTATTTCTTTGACTGAAACAAATAACGAGGAGCTTGTTGCAGCGACACTTGACTTTTTGTATCAGTATACAACCTATCGAACGAACACATCCGGTCTACTATCAAATTCTGCGATTTGGATTCTCGTAAACCAACTAACGAGGCTAATGATGTATCAAGCTCAGGAACGAGTTGTTACTATTGCAGTTGCAAACAGCGGGAAAGCTGATGTTCAAACACCCAATACCTCACAAACAACATCTTTTTTGCCTTTACCATACTCTGAGCTTCAGCAACTTGTTTTACTCCGAGAACCTGAGCGTTCAGTGAAATGGATGAGATGTTGCTTTGAATCTAGTCCAGATGATTATGTATTACAGACTGATATTTGGCAAATGTACTGTTCGGATATGGAGAGGGCCCAGGGTCCTGGCTTGATGGCAATCAGTCCTGCAGATTTTATTAAGGTATCTAGTCATGCCTTTTATAACGCTAGGGCTATGACGGTTTCAACCCCATTACTGCCGGTTGAATATGTTATTAATGGAATTAAGCGAAGAGAACTTCCCATTTCTCTAATAGGAGAAAAATATCAAGTTTGTAGATGGAAAAAAGATAATGGTACTTTATGCGGAGAAACTGTTTTAGGCACCAAATCGACATGGGCACATCTTCAGGAATTCCATATTTTTCCTCAGGTGTTAGAAGAAAAGCATTGTCGTTGGGGAGATTGTACCTACTATATCCATTCTGATCAATCTGGTGGATCATCGGTACCATCGCATCAGAGTCTTTTGAAGCATATTTTGACCCATTTGTATGACAATAATCTTCAAAGTACAACTAATGAGGGACGTAAATTATGCCCATCAAGAGAATTCCGTATCCCTTTACTTTTAACTGCTGTGGATGAGCAAGGTGATGCGACTGGTATTGCTTTGACAGCAACTCTAGTCCTGCGTAATCTTGTGCGGTCAAAACAAGGAAAAATGTTGTTTTCGGCGATTGAGGGTCATGTTCTTGAAGTTAGCACTATGAATCCTGCGGTTGCACCGTATGTGAGCGAAATGCTTCTTGGTCAAATATAAAAAGTCGTGTCATTGTAGTTATAGAATTATGTAATGAAGTTCAACGAATTTTTTTTTTTTTTTTTTTTTATTTACACTTAAATTACGTGAAGTATTTTACTGTCCTATAATTCACACCATATAGTAAGTGCCCAAACTTAATAATATTATCAACTAAGCTAGCTGCTTGCATATTCCGAATCTTTGTATTCAATGAATGCCCCCAAGTTTTCTAAAGCCTCCTCAGCTCGAAAGCGAAGCAAGCCGTCGCTTTTGCGATTTATACGCTTTACCATCTGAGTGAATTTTGGTACAAACTCGACTAACTGACGCAAATAGTTCTTTTGCTGGAAAACAGGAGCATCGTAAGGATATGATTTATCACCATAGACGTCGTATATAGCATTTAATGCTTCAACAGTCAATTGCGGGTTAGCTTCTGGTAGAGAAATGCAAGAAAATAAAGTCTGTCCGATTATTTCATTTACTGAAACGTTATCTGTACGGCCCAAAGTAGCAAATGCGCCAAAAATTCGGACCTGTGCATCCAACGAGCCATGAGTTGAAGCATGGCTAATTAAAGAAGTAATCTGTTCAGGAGTAACAAAGTTCGATACTTCTGGGGAAACTCTAGCAGTTGCCCAGAGCAGTCCACAAGTGACTGTGAAAGTTTCAGCACTGAATGGCCAAGTACTATCATTCAAATCTGCAAATATAGTTCTAAAGAGCCATTGTACGAGCTGGTTGGCCTGCATATTCCACTTCTTAGAAGAATCTGAAGCATCAGTAAAGACACCATTACATGACCATGATATGTTGTTCAAACATTCAAGTGTTCTTTCTGAAACTTCCAATAAGTAGCTTTTTAAATTATAAGGAATATCATCGGATGAAAATTTGGAAACCCAACTGAAATAGGAGCTTAACTTTGGTAAGACAGAATCCAACATATATTCAATTAGCTTGGAATTCGATTTTTCATTGCTTGCACCATCAACATCCATGGACAAGTCAGCATTTATTGGCTCCTCATCAACTACATTTGATAGATCCTCCAAATTCTCTTTATCGTCCTCCTCTGCAACGAAGGAATCACCAAACTCTTCTTCGACATGACCCTCAGCAAGGCTTTGAAGTAAAGATGTTAAAGAAGAAAGGATTTCCAAAGCGGCTGGAACTACCAAAAGATCGGAAGAAAGTATTGCTTCTTCATCCTTGAGCTGAGTAACTCTGTTCTTTTTGAAGGACTGTAAATCGCGGTCAATTAAATCTAAGTAAGTTTGCTCATCTGGCAGCAGGGCCGTCAAAATTGGAAGAGATTCATTAGACAATATATTCAACAAGCTTTCGGAGGACAAAAGTTCACCAAAATTTTTAGCAACCACTTTAGATTGATAAATGTTGAATAGGCAACCAATCGAGTAGACTTTGGCCAAAGGTGAGTCACTCTGCATGTAAAAGTGAAGTAAATCAATGATCGCTTCTGGAGTATTATTAGGACTTTGGAGTAAAGAAATCAAGCCGCTATCATTGTCATCGGTCAAAGTAAATAAAGCTTGCAATGATGTTTCAACGACAGGTAGGGGGACCTTAGCCGCGGGAACGATTAAGCGGAAAAGAAATGATAAAACATTCTTATGGTTGAGTGAATTAAGTACTTCGAAAGTTGTTTCACTATGTTGTTAGCATATGTGCATGTATGTATTATACGGAAAGCAGGAAATCAAATGCATACCCCAAATTTAGATACAAAGATGCAATATTTTCAGAAATAGCACAAAGACAACTGAAAGTTCCTTTTTCTTCGTAGCTTTCTAACTTCATTTTTTCTTGCACGATATTTTCCAAAAAAGAATCAACCTAATCAAAACATTAGCAATCCTAGCACAGTTCGAAGCACACATACCTTATTTTGCCAGGTTTCTAAAGGAGCGAGAATGTTTTTTCTGTACATGTCCATAACCACTGCATATTCTTCCTCAATGGCAAGGTTTCGAAGAGCACCAGTTACTTCAACAACGACTTCAATGGAGTCGTCCGTCAAGCGATTCATTAGCTTTAAGACGAGTCCATTCTTCAAAAGTTGTAGACGCCCATCTAGGCTACTAACAATGATACTAGAAATAGCACTAGCGGCCCACGACCTTTCTTTCGCTTCAGGATTTTCAAGCTACATTTCGGTCAATTTGTGACGCTTTCTACAAAGCTTGTAGTTGCACATACCCTAGAAAGCACCGGTAAAGCACTTTCTTTCAAATCCAAGGGCAATTCTTTGATAGCTCCGTCCTGTTTCTTCAAAGGGTTCAATCTGTTTTTCCTTTGATTCCTTCTCTTAGCATTTATTTTTCCCATTTTTCCTTTAAACCAAAATTTCCCAAAAATTGAAGGTTGAAAATTCAAAGTTTCGTTCTGTACAAGCCTAAATTTTCATATGAAACTTACGTTTACCGTAACTTCTTCGTTTCGTTAATCTTAAATACACCTTATAAAACTCGATGATCGGTGCTTACATGAAACCGTAGGTAGAAATTGAGACGTAAAATATAAGGATTATAATATATTTATGTTCGCAATATTCATATACCACGTATAAGGGTTTAGGTTATGAACAAGGATGAATACAAAACAAGAAGAATAAGACCTTTAGATCCGACTGTTGTAAATAAAATTGCTGCTGGTGAGGTATGTATTTTCATAACGTTAACATAGATTCAGAAGCGAAAGTTCATTTTCTCCGATAAGAATTCAAATTGAGTGACCTTGCTAACTAAATTCTTAGGTTATCGAGCGTCCAGAAAACGCTGTTAAGGAATTATTGGAAAATGCTTTGGATGCTGGAAGCACGTCGATTGAGGTCTTGCTAAAAGATGGTGGTTTAAAGTTGTTGCAAATTTCAGACAACGGTTCAGGAATTCATGTAAGCAGGCACTTATTGATGACGAGTCTTGCTGAAGAAACTAACTTAATCTAGTATGATGACTTACCTTACCTTTGTCAACGTTTTAGTACATCGAAGTTAGAAAAGTTTGAAGACTTACAGCAAATGCGAACATTTGGCTTTCGGGGTGAGGCTTTGGCAAGTATTAGTCATGTTGCTAAAGTGACAATTACAACGAAACGTGAAGGGGACGTGCATGCTTGGAGGTATGATTGGAACTTGTTTGCAATACATTTACAGCTTTATTTAGAGCCTTTTATGTCGATGGTAAGCTAGCTCCTTTATCCCCCTCTAATAGTCCAGCTCCGCAACCTTGCGCCGGTAAACAAGGTACGGTGATTACGGTTGAGGATCTTTTCTACAATGTACCTGGGAGGAAGGCTGCTTTGAAGCATGGGAGTGAAGAATATCGCCGAGTTTTGAATTTGGTACAGAAGTACGCCATTCATTCCAGGATGGTATCCTTTACTTGCAAAAAAGTAGGTGAAACCGTTGCGTCAGTGTCTCTAAGCTCTCGATTATCAACGAAGGATAAGATCCGTCATGTCTACGGGACTCTTGCTGTAAAGCATTTAAAGGTGTTAAATATTGCGGAAGGAGCTACCAATGTAGAAAGTTTTCACGCAGATGGTTTAATTAGCAGCGCGGATTATGAAGATAAAAAAAGCGTCTTTATTTTGTTTATTAATAATCGACTTGTGGAATCAATTGAGTTGAAAACTGCTATTGACGAGACTTATTCAAAGTTTCTGCATAAAGGCGCATCTTACTTTGTTTATTTATCTCTGGTAATGAAGCCTGAACAATTAGATGTCAATGTACACCCGTCTAAACGCATAGTTCACTTTTTATATGATCACGAAATATTCAGTGCTATAAGTGAAAAGCTAGTGGATCTTTTGCAAACTACGGATGAACAACGCTCTTATGCAATGCAAACAACAATTCCAAGTATTACGATGGTTAAAACTCCTGAGCTTCCTTCACAAAAAACTAAGAAAATATACGAAAACAACCTTGTACGTACAGACCCTAGAGAACGAAGTATAAAAGCTATGTTTTCATCCTCCCAAAACGCAGCTACCTTTAAGTCTAATAAGAAATCTTCTCTGAGCGAGGACCTGGCTAATGAAGAAACGCAAGTTGAGCCCTTGGCGAATCCTACTCCTTCGCTTGAAGCAGGATTAGATGAAGAAGAAAATGAAGTCTCCGAAGACAAAACTATTGTCCCATGCGAATTAGAAAGTATAAGACAGCTTCAAAATGAAGTTCTGAACTCTATGCATTTATTAGCTACTAACATTCTTTCCGAGCACAAATATGTTGGGCTAGTATGCCCGTACAAGAGGATCGCAGCTGTTCAGCATAATATTGGTTTATATCTTGTTGATTATGCAAAATTAGCTTATCATTTGTTTTACCAAATTTGTCTAACAGAATTTGCAAATTACGGGAAAATATGTATGAATCCTCCAATTCCTCTCAATAAGCTTTTTTTTGTTTCATTTACCAAGGACGAACTTGAGCTTTCCGAGAAAACCAGAAAACTTTTGGTAGCTAGGCGGGATATGTTACATGAGTATTTTTCAATTGAGATATCCACGGAAGGGTTCCTTAATGCTATGCCCTGTCTTAGCAAAAGTTATAGGCCCTATTTAACTAGGTTGCCATTATTTTTAAAGGATATCGCACCTGACAAGGTTGATTGGTTGGATGAACGGTCTTGTCTAGATGGAATCATGAAAGCCTTGGCCAAATTTTACGTCCCAGTAAGGTTGTCGCCAGAAAATACTAGCTATGAGGACATAACATATATGGAAAGGTTACTGGAAGAGTTTTTATTCCCGGAATTTCGCCGAAGGCTGATTTGTCCAAAAGAGCTCTTTGAACAAATGACTATTTTTCAGGTGACCAGTTTGCCACGTTTGTATACTGTTTTTGAACGTTGTTAACGTTCTATGGTTTCAGACATTTTGGCTTACTTCCTTTAATGATTAGAACATCCACATATAGCAATTTGAAAGAATAGTCAAAGTTCCCTCTGATACAAATTGAAAGAGAGTCCGTTAATAAGTTCTTGCTTGGTACTGCTGTAATCTAAAGGACGCAGAGGCTTGATTATATAGCAGCATTTAATGTTGGAGTTCAGATACTAGGAATTGTAAAACTGACGACTTACAATATATATTTTAAGAAAAAATAAACCTTATTAACTGAAAACTAATTGCTAAATGATAGCAGTAAAATACTCCTAGGGCGATAGCTACTTCTTTACTAGTACTATTGCTATTATACCATAGGTCTTGTCAGAGTGACCACAACACCACCTTTAGGTACCCAACAATACTTGTAAATATATTGGATAAAATTCAACAAGATGGTAAATCTGAACATAAAATCAATGCGATATTTGTCCGCAGAGGACTTTCGAACTTTGACAGCTGTATGTAAAATTTTGAGTACGCTCTTGATTACAAGAGACAATGATGGTTTTCAGTAGTCCTATAGCCTCTTTATAAAGAAAAAATTAATTTACTAATACTATAGGTTGAAATGGGAAGTCGCAACCATGAAGTTGTTCCTACTAGCATGATCAATCAGATCGCCAAGTTAAGAGGAGGCTCTTGTGCTAAATCTTTGTCAGTTTTATATATGACAAAACTGATTGCTAAAATGCCTCATATGAGCTATGATGGTTACAGATTAACCTCTGCAGGCTATGATTACTTAGCCTTGAAAGCATTATCGAAGCGCGCAAGCGTATATTCTGTCGGCAATCAGATTGGAGTTGGAAAAGAATCGGATGTTTATGTCGTTAGTGATCAGAAAGGAAAGCAGTACATTTTAAAAATTCATCGTCTGGGAAGAACTTCATTCCGTAGCGTCAAAAACAATAGGGACTATTTAAGAAATAGGAAAACAAGCTCATGGCAATATCTCTCCAGATTGGCCGCGACAAAAGAATACACTTTTATGAAAATTCTTTACGAGCACGGGTTTCCAATTCCCGAACCAATTGATCATTCTAGGCATTGCGTTATTATGGAATTCATTGACGCTTTTCCCCTGCGATCCATCGAAGAGGTAAGGGATCCTGCTGATCTTTATAAAAGACTTATAGATATTTTGGTGCGGTTGGCGAGAAACGGTTTGATTCATGGTGATTTCAATGAATTCAATATTATCGTCCATGAAGATGGTACGCCAGTAATTATTGACTTTCCTCAAATGGTTTCTACTAGTCACCCTGATGCCAAGTTCTACTTCGAGCGTGATTTGCAATGCATTGTTGATTATTTCCAAAAGCACTTCCTATATGAAGGTCCCGTTCCTGACTTCGACGAAATTGTAAATATGGAGAAAGAGAATTCCTTAGATGTACATGTTGAGGCCACTGGTTTTAACAAAAAGCAGGCAAAGGAACTAGAAAGGTACAGGAAAGATATGGAAGAAAGCAAAAACAGAGGAGAATTGGAATCCGAAGATGACAAAGAACAGGAAGAAGAAAGTTCTGAAGAGGAAGAACATGATGAAGAATAAAGAGTTCGGGATATTTTTTGGTTTTTCAGTCCGTAAACTTTAGGAAAAGTGTTTAAAAGACTTCGGTTGTTGGTAATAATGGATATAAAAACATAGAAATGTTATCGAATTGTATTTTATTCAATAATTAAGCTATCTTGATATTTCAATTTCCATTATAAAGCAAATTGCTTACAGTTCTTGTAAAATAGTAAAGGCTATTATGGTTTCAATTAAAATTATATACTATGAGAAATAAAGTCTTTCAGGTATTCAACTCCTTCGTACATGAAGCAGTGTTCCTTGTTGCCATCGAGGACTTGCCTAATACCAAACACAAATAAAAATCCAACTTCATTACCACGAAAAGGAATGAATAGTGCCCAAAGTTCAAATGAAATAAAAGGATTAAGTATAAAGAATTTACCAAAAGGTATGAATTGTGTTTTTGATGATATATGGATGATATCTAACATTTGCATAGAAATCCTTATTATAATATTTTCCTTTCTTGAGCCACGTTCATTATTATCGGTTCAATGCACTTGTAAGTTTTGGAATAGACTATTGTCGGATGATTTGAGTTGGCGAACTGCTTTTTTTCATCATTTTGAAGCCAATGAGTTTCATGAATTTAGTCCTCTAGGCAATGGAACCTGGAGACAAGAATACTTATTGAGGTCGGCTATAACCAGAGCATATGAGCGTGGAAAAGGTCAAACTGTTCAATACGATTGTCGTATAGGAGATTTGACTGATTTGTATTATGACTTTTTAAGTGGGCGCTTGTTTGCTGGTAACCGGCTTACAGGGTCTATTTCAGTCTCTGACCCGAATACTGGTAAAGTAGAGAGATCCCTATTGCATGCTAGCCTAGATGGATCCTTAATTCATACGCTCACTATTATGAACTTAAATAAACAGATTTTTGGTTTTGGTTTTGTAGATGGTCGTGTTGGCGCCATCATAATGACAAGGCAAGCAGAAAATGGACGGCAATTTCGATTCTTTATGGATTCTCATAATGATGCTATAACTTGTATGGATGTTTATTCTGGTGACCTTCCTCCAGTGGGAGAAGTAGGTATGGTAACTGGTGCTGATGATGGAAGTGTCAACTGTTGGGATGTACGAACAGGAGTTTGTTTGCGGAACTTTAAATTTGCTACGTCTCAGATTATATCAATCTGTTATCGACCTCGGTTTAAGTTTTTAATTATCGATACCTTTAATTATGCCACCGGTACCTATATGTTATATTTAATTAATGGACCTCTACAGTCAGTTAAAGTGCGGCCAATTTTGTTTGCCTGTAGGAAAAGGGTTTTGAATGATGCAGAAGAACCTCCTTGCCTATTAGCAGTAGACGAACCTGCTAATCATGTCTTTGTTTCATTGGGTGCACCAAAGAATTCTTTGTTAAGGTTTTCATTTAATAATGTCAAAAGCTTTGACTTTGATCCTTCAATGGTTGAGTCTTTCGTAATTCCACTTCAAGGAAACCCTGTGTGTTTGCGTTTAGATACCAACGCACGGGTTGTAAATAAGTCGATTCCTGGAAATAATGCTCGATTGCTAGCTATTGGTGATGATAATGGCAACGCTTATATAGTAAACACTCGATTTAAAGAGTTTAGGCATCCGATATTAAAAGCGTTTCCTGTGTTTCTTGGTTTTCCCATCTCCGACCTTTTCATCAATGAAGCAGTTATGGTGGTCGGATCCTCAACAGGGTTTAGTGCGATTTATGACGTTATTTCAGGAAATCTCTTACGGAATTTATCTGGGGCTAGGAACCCTGCTAGACGCAATCCAGCACGATGTATAGTGTTAGATTCAAATCCTCTGAGTCTTAAAGGTGTTATAAGTCTGGGTAAGCATGTCAAAGCGTGGTCATATGTAATTTCCAAATTACATATAAATAGACGATCCCGGATTGTTGCCCCATCCAAACCATTAATTGCATGGGACAGTCCTTCAAGAGTTGGGGAGTACACCAAGAATGAAGTTGATAGAGAAATTATGCTGGGATTAAATCAGATTGCCGAAGAAAGGCAAGAAAAACAAGAAAGATTAGAGACTCAACGTAAACTAGCACGGCACTTGAATGAAGGTTTAGCGGACCTTTCTGAAGAGGAGATGTTGGCTTATGCTACTATGCTGTCACAAGAGGAAGAAATGAGGCGGAAACAAGAGACTGCTGCTGAGGAGGAGGACTTGTTAAAAAATGCTGTTACGGAACCGGCAACTCCATTACCGTCAAGCTCAGAAGCTGGTCCTTCTGAGGCTGTAACTCAAGATTATAGCATTAGCGAATTAACAGAGGAAGAACAAATAGAGCTAGCGATGAGGCTTTCGCTTGATAATAGCTAGTATGACATTGTAAACTCTGTTATTTGGTTTGTAATTTAGTCTTTTTGTATATTAACCGTGAGAAATAAAGGAAAGAAAAAATATTTTCCCTTGCTTTAAAAAAGTTTACAGCGGCTATCTACGAAAAAAAAATAAAATAAAAAAATAAAAAGAAAAAAGGGTCTAAGGATAAAGGTTTTGTGTTTAGAAGTTAATGAATTAATCCAGTACACTAAAGTAGTCCATTGCTGTGTCTAGAAAGCTTAGTAGTTGCGCATATCCACCTTTTTTTATCCTGTCGTAAATTTACTATTGCTATATCTATAACTTGACACGACTAATTTCATAAGCTACGGTTGTCATGGACATTAAGTTCATTGTAAAATTACCTGCTCATGAAATAAAGCAAATAACTGCACTTTTCCTATACTACTGAAAACTGCTGCTTACAGTTTGGACTAACTATAGGATATTAGAAAATTCTAACATTTTAAATATATCGGCTTCTTCTTTATGATGGACCATAAATATTTTTTCATTTAAAACACCTTTTTTAAATGAAGAAATTTCCTACTGTTTACTTATTTACATATGGTTGTGTAAGGCTTCCACTAACGTACTACGATTCATTCCTGTATCAGAAGTTTAGCTTCATCGTAATATTTTGCTAAACGTGTATGTTAGACTTCGAGGAATTGGTAACTTCCACCTTTCTCTAACGAAAGTTAAACATAATGACCTCGAGAATGGCGCAGAAGCCCGCATATGAGCTTTTCTCAAAGGACACAAGGGCCTTTGTTTACGGGATGCAAACAAAGGCCGTCCAAGGAATGCTTGATTTTGATTATATGTGTGGTAGAAAAGTACCCTCTGTCGCTGCCATAATATACACTTTTGGTAATTGGAAATTGTTTAGCTTGCCTTCGTATTAATACCTTTTTAGGTAGTCAAAGTATTACAAAGATGTACTGGGGAACGAAGGAGATTCTTTTGCCAGTATACCGTACAGTGGAAGAGGTATGTATGAATCCGTAAATATTCACGAAGAATCAATTTGAATTTCCATCACGCCTTTTCATTTTGGTCAGATAATCAATCGATTCATTTATGTAATTGACTTACGATGTCTATTTGCATGGTTCAAATGTTCGGGTAACCTAACAGAATATGTAGGCTTGTGCTAAACATCCTGATGTTGATGTGGTTGTTAATTTTGCTTCCAGTCGTAGTGCCTTTTCCTCAACAATGGAGCTGATGGATTACCCCCAAATCCGTTGCATTGCTATTATAGCCGAAGGTGTTCCCGAGCGTCGGGCTCGTGAAATTTTGATTAAATCTAAAGAAAAGAATGTTGTTATTGTAGGACCTGCCACTGTTGGTGGTATCAAGCCAGGCTGTTTCAAGATTGGTAACACGGGGGGTATGATGGACAACATTGTCGCATCAAGGCTTTATCGTCCTGGTTCTGTTGCTTATGTTTCCAAGTCTGGTGGTATGTCTAACGAATTGAACAACATTATTTCTCACACCACTGATGGTGTCTACGAGGGTATCGCTATCGGTGGTGACCGTTATCCTGGAACCACTTTTATTGACCATCTTTTCCGCTTTGAAGCCGACCCTAATTGCAAATTGATGGTACTACTAGGAGAAGTTGGTGGTGTCGAGGAATATCGAGTCATTGAAGCCATTAACAACGGTACCATCAAGAAACCCATTGTGGCATGGGCTATTGGTACCTGCTCTAGCATGTTCAAGACTGAAGTTCAGTTTGGTCATGCTGGTTCTTTTGCAAACTCTGAAATGGAAACTGCAGTAGCTAAAAACAAGGCTATGAGGGATGCTGGCATATTTGTTCCCGATACTTTTGAGAATCTCCCAGCTTTGTTACATGATGTTTATGAAGAACTTGTTAAAAAGGGCGTCATCATCCCTAAACCTGATCAAACACCTCCTAATATTCCACTGGATTATGCCTGGGCTAAGGAATTAAACTTAGTTCGCAAGCCTTCTTCCTTTATTTGCTCTATCTCTAATGACCGTGGTCCCGAATTAACCTATAGTAATGTTCCTATCAGCAAAGTGTTTGAAGACGATCTCGGAATTGGAGGTGTTATATCTTTGTTATGGTTCCGTCGTCGTCTTCCTTCCTATGCTACAAAGTTTTTAGAAATGATCCTTCAACTTACTGCTGACCATGGTCCTTGTGTCTCCGGTGCCATGAATACTATCATTACCACAAGAGCTGGTAAGGATTTGATTTCTTCTTTAGTTGCTGGTTTACTTACCATTGGTACCCGTTTCGGTGGTGCTTTGGATGGTGCTGCACAAGAATTTTCTAAAGCTTTCGATTCCGGTTTATCTCCACGTGCCTTTGTTGATAGCTGCAGAAAAGCTAACAAACTTATTCCCGGTATCGGACACAGAATTAAGAGTAGAAACAACCCTGACCTTCGTGTTGAGTTGGTGAAGCAATACGTCAAAAAACACTTTCCTTCCACCAAGCTTTTAGACTATGCTTTGGCGGTTGAAAATGTCACTACTTCTAAAAAGGATAATTTGATTTTGAATGTTGATGGTTGTATTGCAGTTTGTTTTGTTGATTTACTCCGTAACTGTGGTGAGTTCACCTTGGAAGAGGCGAATGAATACATCAATTTGGGTATTTTGAACGGCATGTTTGTTCTTGGACGCAGTATAGGTCTTATTGGTCATCACCTTGACCAAAAGCGCTTAAGAGCTCCTCTTTACCGTCATCCCTGGGATGACTTTTTGTATCTTTCTTAAATTGACCTACGACTTCGTCATTTCTTTACTTTTTTTTGGTTTATGGTATAAATCTTCTCATACTTTTGCTATGTTTTTAAGTCTTTTCATTACATTTTTCTTCTTTCAATAGAACAAAATTGAATAATATCTATGATTATATTACTTTAATCTAAACTAGTTCAAGTTATTTTACATTTCGGAGTCTAATATTGTTCCATACCTGCAACCCTCTAAGGCCTTTTGTAAATGTTTTGAGGAGTGACAAGTAAGTCAAGAAACTCATCTAAAGGACTCATTGGAATTTGACCATTTGGGAGAACTTGTTTGGATAAACAAATTCCAACTAGGTTTTGACTCAGTAAGGATAATCAATTCACAGAGAAAGTTGCCATACCTTTGAAGATGTCACATCTAGAAGGTTTTTGGAAGCACCAGGCTTTGTAACGATGAACAAAATCATCATAAAAACCTCTGCCATGACCAAGTCGTGCTAAGTTAGAATCGAAGGCTACACCGGGCATGATGATTAAATCACAGAAAGTTTCATCATCCATAACTATTTTATATAGTCAATTAACAGAAATAAGTATTTCCATACAAACCTTTTGGGGAAGATCCATCTGGTTCAGGGATTTGCCATTGATTTTTGATCAGATGGTTAGTATTGTATACTTGATACATCGACATCGTATGGCGTCCTTCGCATCTTGGTAAAAATACGTTTTTTCCTATTCTGTAAGTAATATATCTAAATAGGAATAACGGTGCAAACCTTGTTTCAGAGCTTCATTGACAAGATCGTGAGTACGTATTTCCATCTTGGGCATGTTCATGAAGAGACAAATATTCTTACTCTTCTTCCATTCCGGAAGATTTAGAACTTTCTCACAAACTGAAGTAGCTAGCTTGAGTCAGCTTATCATCAAGGTGCAAATAGTTGTATTTTTGTACATTCAGCTTCAACCAGTTGGTCGCTTAGTCCAGCTAATACTTTAGACATCAAAGAGCGAATCTTTTTCTTAGAAAAATTGGTCATTTTGAGCTGCTTGGACTTTTCAACTCGTTTGAATATTTGAAAAGTTCAAAGTCCATTATGGAACAGGAAGCCAAAACCAATTAATAACAGTAACTTCTTAGAGGATATAAATATGTTTTTATAAAACAACAGTAATGAGCTTTATCGTCAATACTCGATGGAGGTTCTATAAAATGAAAGCGCACTTGTAAACGCGCCTAGGAAGTAGCTATGAGAAAGCATCAATTTTAATAACATAGATCTTGTAAATGAAAAACAGAAAAAAATGACTTGAAATCGATTGTGAGATTTAAATATTTACCTGGGTTGAAATTCCTTTGATCGGAAGCACATTCGCTTCTGTCTGCTTTACCTTTTGAAACTGCTGGATTCAGAATACTGAAGAAAGGAGCATATATGAAAGTTAATACTAAAAAAAAGCAAAGTTATGATTACTTTTAACAATGATGACTGACAGCAGAGCTCTTGTGTCAGAAAAGGAAATGACGGTGCAAAAACTTTCCTTTATAAGCAAGGAAGAGCTTTGGAAACTAATGTCTAAAGGTCATATTGATATTAAAGAACAACAGAATATATTATGTGATCTTCCCTTAAATACAAAAGAAGAAAAACATTCGTGTGAATTGTCACCAGTGTTAGCACAGCATGTTTCGTATCCTGTAGGTAATATGGAACATCCTCAAATGAACTTTCAAAGTTTACCAGTTTCTCCTATAAGTCCTTACGATTTCAAAACACAAGCCTCACTTCTTCAGCAACAGCAAGCGAAGCTTACTGCTATACAAACTTCTTTGGAGAGAGTTAACTTGGAATTGACAGCTGTAACAGAGAGACTAATTTTAATTCAATATAGAAATACTTCTGGGAGTAATTTATTCTCCTTTACTAAAAACTTGGCTTCTTTTTTTCGACCGTTTATATTTTGTCTAAAGGTATGCTGAAGCCCCAATGACAAGGATTTGCTAACGTGAATAGCTTCTTTTAAAAAACTGTATTGTAATTTTAGCCGCTTGTTATTTTATGAAGTCGTCTTCCTCAGCCTGGATATTGAATTGCATCCGTCACGTATATCTGCTTCTTCGTCGTTTAACGAATCCTGCCTCATCTCCGCGTTCTTTTATATCATCTGGTTTTTAAAGGTTTTATGTTATTATTATTATTCAACGGCATTAGATTTCCTTATCCTTATACTATACGGTTTGGGTTGTATTTAATTTACTTGCAAAGCCTTAATCCTCGTCCTGAGAAAGTCTCAAAACTGATTGTTTTCTTCTCTATTTTTCGTATCCTTTTACTTAAAGATTGTACTAGATTTGCTTATAATTCTGGATATCTATTAGAGAGTGAAACGTACATAGAATCATACTGCCTCCAAAAGCGAATTCCTTTAGTATTTTACCATATACTCTTACTTAATTAAATTTATTTTCTTTATTAATATAATCTGTTAATAATTTTTTACTTATGGGTGCATTTTATATTTTGCAAAGCAATATATAGTGATGAAATGATTGGTATATGTACTCTTTCACCGTTTACTCTTACTTTTAGTACCGTCCATTTTAATGATCATAGTAGAGTGTGCAGACGTAGCCATCTTACATTGTTTGAGGTCGATCCAAGTTTAGCTGCGTATGTGACACGAGACATGGATATGGACTCTGGGCTTATAGCAAGCTTCCTATGGTGTTTGTCAGCATTGCCTTTCCCATAGGTGCTGGGATTCAGTTAGTGCCGTCAAAGCTGTTAAAGCCGATGGTGAGTTACAGGACACTTAATTATACAACCGACTCAAGACAGAGCATCTCTATGATGCTATTGGAGCTCATTGTATTCTATTGACTCTTTGAAATTTGTTTGTTTACATTATCATATATGGATGGCAAGATAGTATAATATTGATACCTATAGGTGACGTGTTTAGAAGGTTTTCATAATATAACGCACCATAGCATATTTCAATTCCGTAATCTTTCTTTATTTGTATTATATAACGCTCATTATACGATTTGAAAAAAATTTACATTCACCTCCCCCTATAATGTTAACGCACTCGAATTGTTGATGCTATTCGATTAAGACACCACAACGTATTATAACACATCCTAAAAACCACGCGGTCTATGGGGTATTTCTACCTTAACTTATAAACCAGAGTTCGAGTCATCGAAATGGACTCTCTAATTCGGTATTGCTCCGAAGAAGTAGCATTAGATGGGAGCTCCGGCTGTGATATAGAACGTTTGTGGTCGTTTGCTGCTAACTTTTTTTTTTCGGCAAGGAATCGTGCAAAACTTGGACGAAGACTACAAGGCGTTTATCTGGCCATTACTACTACAGGAGAATGGGATTGAGCTTTGGATCCAAGATGACGATTTAACCAAAAGGCGGCATCAATTAGTAGATTCTATTCCTTGGAACTATCTAGAGATTAGTCCCTTATTGCGAACCAAGTTGTGGTTGTTCGCTTCAGAAGATCGCCAATGGATTACACTTACCTACAAAACAAAAGCAGATTCTAAAATTCAACCACTTGCCTTTGAACTATTGTCTTGTATTTCACGCTATCGCCAGGAGGGTATAGATCGCATTCAGCTATGCAAAGAGACCAAACAAGAACCTAGAAGTGTATTCGGCAGGATACAGGCTCTTGAAGATGCGTCTTTAATTTCAAAGATTTCTATTAGTCGCTCCAAGGCACAAACTGCCTTGTTGGTTTTAAAGCGTTTTGAGTCTGAGAATAGAACCATGAATGAATCTGTTGCGCAAGTTTCTGGAGGCCACATTTACAATACCGACAAAATTCGGCACCAAATATGCTCAGTGGTTCAGGAATTTAAAAATGGAATTTGTCGCCATGTGGATGCCCGAACGAAGGTAGGTTTAAACCGAAATAAATGGGAACGAAGGTACTTTTCTCGACAAACTAGTTATTTGCACAACAATGGCTATATTCGAAAATGCCTTACTTTTCTCCCTAGCGCCCCAGACCGTTATATTCGCTGCTTGCAATTTTTAAAGCCTTTTCCTATGCCCACTTCTGAGAACTCCAACCAGGACATGGACCTTTCAGAAGCAGATGATAATGCGGAAGAGGAAGAATTGGAAGATGAAGAATCTCAGTTCCCCATAAAAGAAGAGTTTGATTCTTCTTTTCTTCAACCCCTTGAAGACGAAACATCGATGGTACCTCAATGGTCTCGATTTAACCCGTTGGAATTCCAATGCTATGTCGTTGTCAGGGATTCCGGTTTGGATGGTTTGATTACTTTGAGGATCCTTCAGAAGCTAACTGGACTTAAATTTAATAAACCATTGTTTAAAGTATTGGGTTCTCTTGTTGAGAACAATTCTTCCGTCCCTGATTACCTATCTCACTTAGTCCTTACTAGGATTGAAGACAAAACAAATAAATCAAGACAGTACCGCTACTTTACCTTAGAAAACCAAATCCAAAGATTACTGCGAGACGGTTTATCCGTTGAAGAAATTGCCAGAATAACCCTTAATGCTCAACCTACTGCTGGCGAATTTCCTCCCTTTAACCCATCTCTTTTCGTAAATATTAATAACCTTTCTCCAGATAATGATTCCGCTATATATTCACCAGATGGTATGACAGTTTTACCCAAGAAGAGAGGTCGTCCAAGGAAGGGCACACCGAAGAATGTTTCTTCCAAATCCTCTCCCGTCAAACAAGAAGATTCTTTTTCTATTTCTATTTCCTCTCCAATGGTTCCTGAAGGTCAAACCGACTTATCCTCTTCTCAAAATACTCCTTTGGTCCAACAATCAATAATATTTAACTCTGATGCAAGATTGATAAATGCGGAAGATTGCGTTGATGTCGATGTCACTTCTGCTCTTGGTTCAAGACCTAGTGATCTTGAGTCTTTATTTAATTTACCTGTTAAAGATCAGAAACAACAGGCTACATCAAAGGAAACCCTTCCTCTTCCAAAAACGGAAACATCTGCACTGGATATTCCATTTAGTCCTTTTAATACCAGCAATATCGACTTGAACTTACCTCAAGTATTGCCTACTTCTTCAGAGATTTCTATTTCAGAGGGTTCTTCGGCGCCTGCTTCTAAACGTCCTCGGCATGTCGTGGATTTTGTCACATTACAAAGGAAGTCCCTAGTTCTCACCTATTTAGAGGAGCAACGTGGAGCCTTTGAAATCTCAAAAAGGATGTACGAAGACTTGGCAGATTTAAAGGTACGACGAGATCCCAATTCTGCTAGAACCGTAATGGATCGCAGGACATTACGCCAAACGCTTGATAAATTGCTGCATGAAAAAAAAGTACGTAAAGTTGTTCTGGCTTTTGAAAATGGTTTTGGTAAATTAGTAAGGAAGGACATCATAGCAGACTATAATATGAAGCCCGAAGATCCTCGACTTCATGAAATCAAGCATCAGATGATGAGCGACGAACCCGAATTTCGTAATGACAAAGAAATATTAAGAGGGGTCGAAATTGATATCCCTGAAAAGCCCAGAAGTAGGAGACGGAGACAAATCCTACCTATGGAAGACGTAAAAGCCCGTAGAGAAACTCGAGCCCTTGAAAGGAACCTAAAGAAACAAAAAGAAAAAGAAGATCCAATGCAATTGGCACAACAGCTTCTTGAATCGTTGGCACCTACATTGAGTCAACCTGGTATCACAGATGAAGAAAATATAATGGAGTTAGAACCGCTCAGTAATCCCTCCAATAAATTAAGAAAGGACCGCTATGCACCTGTACCCGAGTTGGATTACTATCCTAACCCTACGCATGCTAGTAAGCGATCCGTAAAACGATTTAAAAGCGACTTTACTGCTGAAGAGGATGATATATTAATAAGAGCAGTAGTCATTATTCAAGTACAATATGGAGGCGTGCACCGCAATATAAAATGGGAAGCTGTTCAAAAATGTTTGCCAAGCCGTGACATTACCTCCTTAAGTCGAAGATATATTTCTATCCGACAACACACAAAATATAAAAGCCTTCAGAAATTCCTTTTAGCTAATTGGACGCGAATGTATCAGGATGCTGTGGCTCGTGGGGATCTGGAACCCTACCCAGAAAATGCTGATGATTTTGACCCGATGCCCTCCGTTAAGGCATCTTACCGCCCTTATATTATAAGCTCTTCAGATATTTCTTCGTCAAATTTCCCTACTAGTATTGAAGAACTTTACGAAGATTATAACGTTGAAACAGTGAAAGAAGGAAAGGACCCTAAAGACCTACTGTTTGATTCTTCTCTTTCTGCAATGGCAAGAATGAATATTTTTTCGGATATACCATTCATTAAGCCTTTGCACGAAGAAAATATAGAAGGAGAAACAGCAGAAAAGGAAGTTGATCCAACTAAGCTTGAAGCCAAATCTACTATTAAAAGTATTTTAGCAATTCCTGATTCAGACTACGACTCCCAGTTTGCTCAATCGCGACTACTGAAATTTCCTGAGAAAGTCTTGCTTACCGCTCATAATGAACTGATGCAAAAAGAAATAGTAGCACGAGTGCACTCAGAAACAAACCGAGTGCAACCAGGAAGAAATTATCACTTTACAGATAAATTTGCTAACTCTTTAAAATCTTCACTCCCTCCATTCTTGTTGCTTCAAGCTTCCAAATTTTACTCCTTTTTGGCTGAAGGTTTCCGGGAAGGAAAAAGTCATATGATACAAGAAGCTTGCAATAGCGGTACGATGGCCTGTATTTTGGATTTGTTTTGCCGTGAAAAGGTCGAAACTTCGATAATCAACAGTAAGTTCAACGAGTATGGCTTAGCTGAAGGATATCGAACTCGTCTTTTAGAACATGAAAACATAAAAATGGAATTAATACTTAGCAAAAAAAGTGAAGAGTCTATAGAACCTATTGATTCTTCAAAATTGGTACATCCACCCAGAAACGAACCTCGGTTATGGCTCAATGGTAAAGAAGGAGTTATCGATCAGATTTGGTTGGAAATTAAACATGCCATCATTTACCAACTGCTTAGAAGGCCAGGAATACATCGACAGGAGCTCGGAAGATTGTTAAGTCCTGGTTTGGATCATATTGAGTTACGAGAAGTATTAGAGTACTTTTTGATAGCTGATGCCGCTGTTGAAAAGGATGGTCTTTTCTTGAATCCAGGATTTTATCATAAACTATTGTAGTTCTAAAGCTTGGAGAAAGCTTCCAGATAATCTCTGGATTATGGGGATATTGGGCATATGCTTTAACTTATTCATCGGTTCGTCTTATTATACTCAGGAAGGATATCGATGATGGTCATTAACTATTTGTACATTAAGGGGCGGAGTTTTCGTTATGTTATATATAATATATTATGCCATTTGCAATTAAAATTTTGTATGTAAGGATAGATATACACATGTTTATAGCGGTCCTGAACAAGAATCCACCCATATGACGGTGACTGTAAAGAGCCATTTAATTTCGTATAGATAATATTTTATAAGCGATCGATCGTTAACGGCCATACCTAGGCGAAAACACCAGTTCCCGTCCGATCACTGCAGTTAAGTGAAAACGTTTGAGGGTCCCGTAGGTGGTTGGAGACAACATGGGAATCCGGGGTGCTGTAGGCTACTTCTTTTGGTTGCTCTTTTTATTCTTTTATACATTGACTATTGCCTATAGCCGTTTTCTCAACAGAATTTTATTGCAAGTTGTTCCTTTACAAGTGACAAAAGACTAATTACGAGTTCAATGAAAAGAAATGAAACGATCGCATTTAATTGGAATTAAGAATAAGAATAATAGTAATTATAATATATGCTTGCGTATAAGGATCTAGAATGATGCCAACGATTCTCAGATTACGGTTCGTTTCAGTTATTTTATAAGAAATCAACGTATTCATTGCCTTTCGGTTGGCAGAAAAATGCATGCATGCCTTTCTATTGTCCACTTTTTTTTGCCATTTCCAATTCATATTGATACAAAGCAAAGGCATAGAAATAAACCTTCATCGGAATAAACCGCTTGTAATGTTCTCTTTTTCCACTTATTGACTTTCGACCGGAAGAGTCAAGGCTCGTGAGAAAAGAAACGCAAATAAGGCATTAACCTTGAGTGGTAGGATTGCTCTGCAGCTCTATTTCTTCGTTCGTAGTCGTCGGCGGAGGAGCTAGTGCATCATCCCTTTGCTGATATCTGGGCAACGTAGGCGAACCGGTGGTTTCAGTTGTATTTGCAAAGTCTAAACCAAGGAAATACATGAAAACTATATAAAATCCTTGGGCAACAGCATAAATAATATCACCAAGCAATACTCCAATATTACCAATGGCAATACACACAAAGATTATGGAGTAGGGCAAGGCTCTTATTGCCCCGATGGCAATTGGATGAAAGACTGCCTTTTGTTAGCAAACAATTGCATTTTTTTTAAAAAAAACAAAAATGATTCACTTACAATAGAAAAAAGCATAGAATATTGTCCATATCACAATCAAAAGAACTAAAAGACCAAGAAGGGTCCAATCATATTTATTTTCATTAAAGGCATTTTTTAGCCAAGAAAAGGGTTCGAAAGGATAGGAGATTGCTGCTGTACACAGCAACGAAAAAACTGCTGTTGATAATAAACGATAGTTTCTGTGTTTGAGGACCACATTTTCGGGAAAACCATAGTTTACTAATTCTGATGTTTTGCAGTGAAGCTCCTTTATGGACTCAAGAAAGCTGTTGGATTCAGTCATTATCGTTTTTTTGCTTTGTTTGGCTTTGACAGACGTTGAATTGGAAGTTTTGTTTATGTCTTTTGGTTTATGCAAAGGAAGTCCCTTTTCGAGTTCAACATTGTAAACATCAGCATGGCTGTATGCAGGAGGATCGCTTGAACCAAATTTTAGCTCCTTTTCCGACATCCTAAAAATAAATAAAGAAAAATTTCAATGAATAAATAGCAAAAGAGCGTCACATAAAAGCTGTTGATCGGTGTTCGATGCAAAATCGCAAATGTTCAGAAGCGCTAAGAAAGGCGAAATTGAAAGGGATTTAGCTCAAAGTAAAGTCGAATCTCAATCTTTCATCTAAAATAGCTCAGTCTTTCATCAAAAGCAGCCCAGTTAGCAGGAATTGAAGAAATAAAAAGTTGGCTCCAGCAAGAAATTTCGCATCACTTACGCAACATTTTTGCTCAGGATAGCGATGGGTTCGGTTGCGCTATCTCCTATAATGACATATAGCATAAGTCGTTGAAAATACATTTGAGTCACTAAAAAAAGTAACAAGTTTCGCTAATCTCGCGTTTGTTTACGTCTCTGTAAACAAAGCAGATCTCACTTTTCTGTGAACTGTTGAACAATTTTTTACCTTGAAAGTGAGTAACAGCCTACAGCCAAAAAGTAGCCCTCATGGGTTCTTCAGGATTAAAAAAAACCTATGAATTACCTTTTTGAACCGAAAGAACTGTCTACGGCCACACCTAGGCGAAAACACCAGTTCCCGTCCGATCACTGCAGTTAAGCGTCTGAGGGCCTCGTTAGTACTATGGTTGGAGACAACATGGGAATCCGGGGTGCTGTAGGCTACTCCTTCTTTTTGCTGCTCTTTTTGATTTATTTACCTATTTCGCGTGGGCTCATGTCAGCTAATTTCAGATACTCTAGAGTAATGCACAATTGGGAAGAGCAATATGAAATATATTATTACTTTATAAACAATTAATTTGTTTGAAATGGGAAACCCAAACTTACAAAGATAAATCGGTATTCCCAAAAATAACCCATTGTACGTATTCACATTAACCTCCACGTCCTTAGGATTCTAGCAAAAGTGAAAATCTGTACAGCGAGACACCAAAATTGGCGTTCTTGTTTTAATCAAATAGGAAAAAATGTCAGATAATCCTATAGAATTAATTCGTTCTACGTTAAATGGATTTGAAATCGCACCTGATTTGAAGACTTTGTCTAAAATACAAGACTTGGGCGTACAGATAGAGAGAACCAGAGAAGAAAAATTAGATGATTCAAGGAATATCTTAAAAGGTAAATTTAATAAAAATATTAGAAATGATTGATTCCTAACGAAATAGCATTGTCAAGAAAACTTGAAATATCATCGCAAGTTACTGAATCATTAAAGCGAACAACTGAGTCTCCCGAACATGCAGAAGAGCTTTTACAAAAGGACAGAGAAAAGTTTCAGTTGGCTAAACAGTTAAATGATACCGAGACTGAGATCATGAACTTGGAATCCCAATTACAGAAGATGAAAGAGCAACTATTGCAATTGCAAAAGGAAGAAGAAGCAGAAGATGATGTTCATCATATCGAGGATGACGCTGCTCTTTTAAAATTACGATTTTATCACTCCTTAGGTTTTGATCTTCAAAACTTTGATGACAAGGAACAGAGAAAAGTAATAGTCTGTAAGTTGTTACGAAGAAGAGCACTAAAAGCAATTGAAGAAATAATTGATATTGAAAAGTTATATGCAACTAACATTTTCAGATACGAAAAACGATTTACGAACGGTGCACATAAGCAATAAGTATACACCATTCTTCTATTCAAATTATTTATGGGATTTAATGAACGATGATGAGGAAAAAGAATAAAATCAACCGGACGAACATTATTATTTGATCTGCTTTTTTTGTTTTAAACGTTGCTCTACATACCGTATAGCAGTTATCAACGTTGCTGTTTTAATATCATACAGTTTTGCTATTGTCGAAACAACCCGAAAAGATATACTATCAGGATCAGGGCGAGGTAGAAACATTGGTAAATATGCTTCCTCTTTCAAAGAACTTAACTGAAAATTTGCTTCATTCTTTTGCACAACTTTGAACGAACGAGCTGTCTTTAATGAGAGTTCAGAGTTCATACCAGAAGTTTCAGTGTTTTTATCTTGACTAGCAGATTCGGGTCTTCCTGAAGAAGAAACTGAAAATAGATCAAGGATCCCCTGTGGAAGCTGATTAGGGTTCTCATCATCAAGAAATTGTCTCTCGTACCAATTCATGTAATCATCGATCTCGTTATTGTCTAAATGGTGCATTGAATATTCGTCCATCTCCATAAATGACTCTTGACTGGCCTTTCGGAGACGCAAAATAGATTCTATCCAGTTCTTCCAATCAGGAATTATGATACTGTCTTCTAAGTCGATAGAGTTGGAAGGTGTAGACCGTTCGAAACCATACAAGATGTTTGCGGAAACCACTAACGCAGCAAGGATCATTAACTCTGGATTCGTTGAAGTTTCCGAGGTCGATTTAAAGGGAGCACTGGCTTGAGGTAAAACAGATGCTTGTCGATGTGCTTCCCCCAAAGACATGGGAAGATTTAACGAATAAATTAGTCGAATGGCTGGAAGAAATAATTCTACGGGAAAAATAAAAAATTTGATAGTATCTAATAGTACCAAAGACACGTTTATAGGAGGAAGTTGTATGCTGTACCTTGGAATTAGTATTTGAAGGATTGTGGAAACTGCCCCCTGCAAACGATGATAAGAAGGATAATGGTATGGAACCAGCATACGAACATAGTTAATAGGAAGTCGTTTTACGACTTGGGAAGGAATGATTTTATAAGCCTTATAATAAGGCAATGTATCTGCTCGAATCCATCTTCGGATTTGATGAAGGGTAATGGGAAGACGTAATAGGAAACAAGAAATATAAATAAAAGCTGGAGAGTATAGAAGCTTTGGATATGATAAACTCTGATCTCTGTGGATACTTTTGCTTACTTCTGACGTGTTAGAAGTTTGCGTATCTGGATCTTCCATGTCCAACTCTGAGTCTGAGAGTTCGAGAAGGGATAAGTCCTTATTGAAGGATAAATAGCTAGATGAAAATGATTCATATGCAAATGAAAGGTAAAGTCCCCATAAATCACGGACTAATCCCTCAATAGTTTGAGGAAATTTTAATTCAGAGACTAATGCATTACACTGAGTCTGCAGAATTGTTTGATAAACCTGAAAATATAAGTCCCGACCAGCAGCACCATACAGAGGTTCTTGAGAGTCGCCAGTATCTAAATGTTTACGAAGAACTTTACGTTTTCTCGTTTGATAGAAAACACCTGAACCAGGTTCATCATCTTGGGCTATTTCCATTCCCTAAGAAAAGTTACTATAAGTGTCAAATCATTATCAAACTTACATGTTGAATATGACCTCGTCGACAAACCGTTTGGCCTTCATTCGTGAAATACCAAATACATTTACAATTTCGAATAGGGCAGGGAGGCCCTTGAAACCAATTACCATCCATCTTCTAATCTAGTCATGAAATTCAAGGAAACACTGCTTATGAATAGTAAACACCAATATGACCTGATACGATGTCTTTTTTCGCTCAAAAAAACGTGGATGGTCGCAAACCAACAATCATCAATAAACGACAGAATCTAGTAAACCAAGAAAGATTTTAAATAGATGTTTTGCGTACACTCAACTTAGTCCTTTTTATTTAAGGCATGAATTTGCAGTTTTTTAAAAAAAAAGAAGTTACACGCAGAAGAAGCGAAAACAAACAATATCAATAAGTTTCGTTTTCAGTTTTTCCTAATTAAAGTAAAGAAAAAGTTCAGTAAAATAGAAACAACAAGCCTTAAATCGAAGCAACCGGTTTTGACATAGTTCTCTTACTGGGGTGTTGTATTACTATAAGGACGAAAGTTAAAAACTTTACTTCCCTTTATGAGGAACAAAGTTTGACTTTAAGTATGATTATCCAAAACGAAAAAGCCGCTATCTTTACTGTTACAACTGCTCAATACACTTTTTCCTTTGCAGTGCATTTCAAACACTGATTACCCGAACAAAAGGTACAGATGATGGTGTTTAAATTTATTTCTACTTGGGAAGTTGATTAAAACATTGACTATACAAATGCCTACACTCTATTCTCAAATACTACGAATCAAAAATGTTGCAAAACCAATTTTTTTAGACGTGTTTATACGATCTAATGGGTAAAGAATACTTTTCCCCCAATCTAAGAAGAGCTGGGAGCTTCACGAACGCTAAGGGGAATTTCATCACCCATGGCAGAGACAACAGAGATAATCAAATCCTTGCCTTCTTCAAAGCCTTCTTCGATTTGCTGGCCAATTTCACCCTCGGGGATACGAACATCATCCTTGGTACTGCCATCAGAAGTCATGAGAGACAAGAAGCCATCATCAATGTGGACCAATTGGTAGTCATCACGCTTAACAACGGGAACTTCCATGTTGTGGGTTGAAGGAGATACATCTTCGTACTTACGGCCGGTGAAGATGTCGATAGCAACAATGTTGACCTTAGCGTGACCGTGCTTACCGGTCTTAGAGGTGGACATTTCCACAATCTTGCAAGGGCGGCCCTTAATAACAACGTGACCGTTCTTACGCAAAGCAGAGCATTGAGTAGGGAAGGTCAAGGAGGCGCCGGCTTCACCACCTTCAAAGTCAATTTGGTGTTCTTCTTCTGCCATTGTTAATTCGTGGTCTCTGTGAGTTGCAAAGTTACTGTTGTTGGTATTTGTTTCCCGTGACTATTTTTAGCCCTACCCTATGAAACCCTACCCCGTCTTATGAACGAGTATCGTGAATGCTTGCATTAGAATATGTTATGATATGTAAAAGGGTACTTACTGGCTCTTCATTCCGTTTCGTAAAAGGTACAATATAGATCGTGAAGTAACTTACTTTTTGGTTGTACAGAGGTAAAGTCCACCAAAGCAAAATCTAGAGGGAATGTTTCGAATCATAACACTTGGTTTATTTGACTAATTAAAGAGTTATGATACAGAATAATGAAAAAGAAGCTACTTCGGAAAATGCCATTCAATTCGACGCATTGGAACAAGTGTTGCAGAAAGTTGTTGGTTCGCTGGAGAAGTTTCAGGTAAACTTGGATGCCGCAACAGCAGACATTGATAAAGTAAGTCAATGGTCCAGTGAAATTCAGGTTCGCCTGAGTAATATGAAGAAGGTAGAATCTGCATTGGGAGCTGAAATTGACACTCATCTTTTACCCCCTACATTAATAAAAACAATATGTACTGGCGACATGGAACATCCAAGCTGGTCGACGGCCCTAGAGCAACTTGAGATATATCTTGGAGACGAAGGAAATGCTACCAATAACGAGAAGTTAACGCTTTTGTCTCATAAAGGTAGCGAGGAGCAAGAGGAACTATGCCAAAAGCTCTGTTATAAAGCTATTGAAAGGATTCGAAATTACATCGTTGTTACAATCAAACTGTTTCGGCATGGTCTTGTTGATGTTGCATCCATACGAAAGCATCGTTTTATTGGCAAAAAAAATTATTATACATTCCTATCGAAGCATAACCCATTGCTTTCTCTTGAATTGCGTAAAGCATACATAAACACAATGAACTGGTATTATTACTATCACTTTTATCACTACTCTCTACTGTTGTCTCGAGTCAACATTCTTAAGGGTGAGCTTATCCGTCCCGAAGAAGACAGAAAGGGTTTCTTTATGCTTGGAAAAGGTTCATCACAGATTCAGTCAAGTCGGATGTTTTCCCTGGATTTACGTTCTCAAAACTTTGACATCAATTCCGTGCTAATGGCTTCAACGGTCAACCATATAGAATCTTCACCGCAATTTTTGGAGCGTATATACTTTTCATGGGAACTAGTTTTTACAGAACACGCCAGCGCTGAATATTTTTTCTTATTGGAATACTTTGAGCTTTCTACTGAAGATCAAAAAACGACTTTTCATTCGATTTTTGACGGTAGCTTGCAATTGTCTCAACAATTTATTACAGATCTAATAAGCACGAGTATTGATAGCATTGCTATTTTAAAATGTATTCGTTTTACCCAGGAACTAATTTTACAATCTCAAAAAAATCTAGTTCCTGTTATAGAACCTCACTATACTTCTATGATCATATTACTTTGGCCCCGTTTACAAGCAATCATGGATTTACATTCTGAATCATTGCAAAAGTCTCCTCTTCCTTCTAAATCTGACGACCTTGCCTCCACTCCCCATCCATTAACCCAGAGAGTTTCCGAACTGCTGTACAGTCTTGCAACACTCAGTGCGAATTCCTTGGAAGCAGAACCTTTAACTCATAGTGTTTCTCGATTGTCTCACGATTTTGTTGCTTTACTTAATAAATTTTGTGAGGGTATGTCCGACGAACGAAAACGGAATCGATTTTTGTCTAATAATTTTACGCTCATTTCAACGGTCTTAAGCGGTGCTCATGGGAAACTGGCTTTTGACCAAAAAGCATATTTTGAAGAACTTAATGAGAAAGTAAACGACTAATGACAGTATACCTACTAATTCAGTATTAATAAAAACGTGTCTTCATTATTATTAGTACTAACATATGGAATATTCTTAAACTAGTTATATGAAAATTAGAATGCTTCCTGCTAACCTTGCATTAAATGCTGTTATTTATAAACCTTAGAAGATTTTAAGCTTGGTGCTCCTTCACAACCCGTAGGAACCCTGCGACACGGCCCATATCCACTTCTCCTTGTTGGCCATCACTCTCTACTGCCTGTAATAAACTTTCGAGTAAAGAGTCAACTTTGGTTTCTTCAACGCCAGTGCATAAAGATACTACTCGACGGCATTTTGATTTAATATTAGTATTGCGATGACGAAGAGTTTCAGCAAGGGCATTAAGTCTTGCTTCGTTTCGTTCGTAAGCAGCGATACGGATCTTTAACTCAGTAAGGGACGGTATATTTTTAGAATTTACCACGAAAGATGCGTCCGCGTCGATATTTTCAGATATATTCTCTGGATTAAAATTTGCATCTAAAGCCAGTAGCTCATTCTTTTGCTCTTCTATTGATACTTCTAAGTTTTTGCATCTCTGTTTCAACTCAGATAGCATAAGAGAGTGAGTTTCCGAGCGCCGCAGCTGTTCCCGAAATTCCGCCAACTTTTTTGTAGATTCTCTCAATTGTGTGTATGTGTTATCAATCATAGATTGCTTCGCAGCCATTTCGTCTTGAAAATCTTTATCTAAGGATGTTATAACATCCGTTACTGAAGTAATAATGTCTTTGCTTTTTTGTTGAGCGGGCATCACAAATTTTTCTTTTTCTAAATTGTTGCTCGAAACCTTGACAGTTTCCTTAAAATCCTTTGTCTCATCATCACCAAAAATTCCAAAATCATAAACTGTTAAACCTGCCCGATTAGGGATGCTTTTAGAAGCACCGGCTTGTAGCAAAATATCAACGACAGTCTTATTACCGATACGAGCTGCTATATTTACAGCCGTATCTCCATTTTTGTCTTGGTAATTTAAATAATTTTGTATGAATTCTTCAAGTGTATAACCATTGCTTGGGGTTGCATGAATGTCAGCCCATTTCAAAAGGGTTTCCAAATAGTATCTGGCGGCAGATCCTCTACCCTTAATTCCGGCCGTCATACAAATGTGGTGAACAACTGTACGACCTGCATTGTCGATACAATTTAAGGAGGGATAGAGTAAATCAAGCAATTCATGAAAAGAAGACTGGTTTAAATGGTTGGTGACCATAACAGATCTCATTAAGGCAGTCTCTCCGGTTAAATTTCCACGCAAAGAATTAGCTTTTCTACTAATCAGAACATTTAACAATGGCATTTTCGCGAGGGCAGCTGCCCAATGTAGAGCAGCATGACCTAACTCGTCAATAGGAACGTCCAAATCTAAAAGATCTGTCAGTTTTGACTCAACAAACTTTATATCAGAATTGTTTAGGTCTAAGAATATAGAGGTCAAAACGTCTTTGGAAGTATTATAGTCGTGCATAACGTTTTGATCAAGGGGTGGTAGACTAGCCGTCAGTGCAGAAAATGATATTGGAAATTCAAGTTTTTCCTTTTTGGAATGCACTTCTTGCCGTGAGGAAGAGGGGTATGCAGAAGGATACGGTGCAGAGTACAAATTGTCGGACGAATGGAGCTTGTGTCGCTTCAAATTGTTATCAGGAGAAGAGATGGAAGAAGAGTCCAAGAGGTATATATTTGAACGCTTTCCATTTTTTTGCTCTTGCTTGTTCATAAATGAAGGCGACGAGAGCGTACCAACATTATTAGAGGAAAGAGAAGCTTTCCCAATTTTAGATAGATCATTACGGTTATGATTTCTTAGAGGTAAGCGGTTAGATAGATATGCTGCCTGAGTCTCCTTCCCGGAGTGTTCTGAGTTTTTTGCCAGCTTTGGAAACAAATCCAAATTGAACGATATTAAAGACTGTAGGATATCGTAAACACCATACTTTTTCGCTGTAGAGACAGCTTTTCCAAAGGGTACCCAAACTCCATCTACACGAGGGTCCTTGATGTCGACGTTCTCGTATTCACCGTTTTCAATAATCTCATCCAATTCTGCGGCATTCTCAAGGCTGCTTGTTCCAGCAAGACGGAGGATTTGAGATATATTAAAATGTGAATCAGAACAACGACGGAGAGCAACATGTTCACCATATTGCAATTCAATGTATCGAACACCGGATAGTTCAATAGCGTTTAGTTCAACTACCTTTCCGTCTCGCAAAACTTGGGAATTTATAGAAATTCTTAGACTTGAGTTGTCAGTGTATGTACTTTTCGTTTCTTCTTCTTTGGACGCGTTGAAATGTTCATGGTTCCTTTCATATGAGAAAGAATCGTTTCCGAGCTCGAATTGAGAGATAAAATTTGCAGATGTCATGATATTACCACGATATCTATAATCTAAAAGGAGAATCGTGTTTTTCTCTCAGAGTTTCCTTTGTATAACACGCTCATTCAACTCCTTCAAAAGACTCTCGTGTAACTCCTTGCAAAAAAAATATTTAGATGTTCGGGCTTTTTTCAAAGCCTTTTTTTGTTCGGTACTGAATGTAAAAACTTTTTAAATTAGAACTGAAGTGAAAGAAGTTTGGGTGAAGTGTTTGTTGTTTAGTTGTACCCTCTAGCTACTACGAACAACCGTGTTCGTTTTAACGATATTTCCTTTGAAGCATCTCGAAATGCCGATGAATTCTTTTTTGTATTCGACTTCTGAGAGTTTATAAATGGTTTCCTAGTTTTAGAGAGTTTTCTAAGAGTTCTATTCGAAGAAGACTCATGCTACGAGTACCCACTCTTAAAAAATTTTCATCTGACTCTAATTTAAGCAATTAAACTATTCGTGACATTGTATATAAACAACATGTTTCTTTACTTCTTTCATTTACTGTTTCTCCTTTTTACCGAAAGAAAAACGCGTTTTCCAGAGCGAGCTGGTTTGTTTACTATATTGTAAACATTGCATATTTCAGCTCATGTAACCTGACGTCATGATGCGACGCGCTTTGTTTTTTTTGTTTGTTTACTCAATGACTGTCAATAGCTAAACGAAACAACAGAATAAAACTTGTTTTTGTATAATATATGTAGATTTTTTGGCTTATAAGTTCGATGTCAAGGTAGTTGAAAGATTTCACTACTCAAGTATTTTCACAATCTATTTATTGTAGGGAAAGAATAAAGTCCTGTTAAACTCAAACCAGAGCTTGAACTTTTGAATTATTTACTGATTTGTCAGAGCTTGCTCCAAGTGCATTCCTTTGAACCGATGTGATGATATGAATGAAAAGTTAGTTTATTACTAAAGATAGAAACGCACTGTTAAATTGAATCACCCTCGAAGGAAACGCTTCCGATTGATGAGAGAAGTTGTTTATATCAAAATATATTTACATTTTATCAGTCCTGTACAATGTTTTAGGATTCATTAGAACCCCCATCAATGTAGAACATACCTAGGCAACAAACACCTATCAAGTTCATTCACCGTGACACAAGCTCAAGAAAATCGCTAATGTTATACTTGTAGAGAATGAACGGGCATTTAAGGTACTTGTAGACAGTTCTTGTACTCCTTTATTTATGTAAAGCAAACAAATTAACAAAACAAAGCACTCTTCCATAAGCACATAATTTTGTACGATATTCGTAGCCGTGTATGTACACTTCATGCTCATTTTGTACTATCAAGATCCAGTTATGTCGAATGAACCGTTTAATGGTCCTTGTTCTCGGTATGATTTTCAAGTATAGGAAAGTTCGGCAAGACAATTCTAATCATGAAGAGAAGTCTAACTGTACAGAATTTGCTTCACCTTATTGAAACTCAATAAGAATGTAGAGTAATATACAATATGCAAATCCAAGAGTAAAAACAAAGACTTCACAGAAAGTAAGCGTCGGGATATATATTGCATAGTAGATTTTATTTTATTTTTTAAAAACTCATTGACCATTAAAATACGTCGCCTGTTGTTTTACATTCATGTCATCAATGAACTCAAAAAAGACAGAGGAAAATGAGCGAAACATAAGGAATTTAGCTCCATTAATCAAGAATTTGTACTTCTGATTAAAACATCTTTTCGCATGTCATCGTCAGAGATGCGTCTCATTCGGGAAAATGGAAAAATAATAGCTATGATTTTCGCGGTAATCAGACCAGCGGAAACTGGGCCAAATTGATTACTATCTCTGTACAATAAATAATCAGCAAGTATACTTTCAGAATTTTCACTTACATCGAATGAAACTGTTCGTCTCCTTCAACCCAAACATGCCCTTCTGGAACAGGTACAAATCTTGTACTTTTCGGTGGTCGTGTTTTTACTAGATCATTTTCAATGGCAAGTACACGCTTAACAAGGAGCTTTTGGGGATCTTCTGGAGACCTAAAACATTGTTAGAACACCAGAAGACAAGCATTTTACCCACCTTAATATGACAACATCACCTCTATGAAAATTCCTATTCCATTTCCAGATAAGTACTTTGTCACGTTTTAAATAATTGGTTTCCGGGTTCAGTGTGGGTTTCATAGACCTTCCATCGATGCTTCCAATACTGAAAACGTGTTGCTCAATGAACAGTAAAGCTGGTATCCATAAAGAAATTCCAAGAAAGTTCTTAGTAAATGTAAAAAGAAATTGTTTTTTACTAGACTGAAATTTCACCATTGTCTTTTCCACTTCTATATAGTTTGAACCAATTCACAACCTACTTTTAAAGATTATACCTTCTTTCAGAACCAATTGTTATTTACAAGTATCTTTAGATATTTGTAAATTGCATTGAAAACGATGTGCAATACAGCCTCTAGAATGAATGGAAAATAAACTGGCGTGCAGCGGTTACCTTTCACAGTACATGGTAGCTGAGCTTTCCTGCTACACCACTATCGCATATCTGACTTCAAACTTAATAAATTTGTCTATTATACAAAACTTCTAGAGAATTATCACTTTGTCTATCATAACCACAAAATTTTTAGCCCACATATGTACATGCTTTAGAGGTTAATATCTAACTCAAACACATCGTTTAGCCAGGCTTTCAGCTGTATTATATGATTAGTAATTTTGAACAACATTTTTTCATAGTTTTCAGGACTTACCTCTGAGTAAGTAACTGAAGCACAGTCTAATTCATCTCTAGAAATTAGAGCTATAGACTGATTGATTCCAGCATCCAACTATATAAATGTTAATTACTAAGTTAATAATAAAAAACCCCTTTATCTTACCTTTCCCAACGCAGTCAGGACCTGCCATAAATCAATAAGAGGACATTGATCCTCATCAACTTGATGGAATAAATAATCCCGCAACAAATGTAACAAATAAATTTTGCGATCACGAAATCCTGGCAATACAGCTAAACGGTCATTGCAATCGGTGATATACATAAGTTTAACCAATATTTGGAAGAAACGCTTATGTTGCAAAGTTTGTGATAATCTTCTTTCCATTGCAGCATTTTCTCGGTAGGAGGCATCCATTATTGAAAGAAAATGAACAGCATAATCTTTTAGAAAAATATCAATGTCTTTCTTCACAATGTCTTCAGAGATGAAAAATAATACTGCCTTGTAAAAATCACGCGAATAGGTATGGTTAATATGCCGAGCAGCCTTGGACATATCACCGTCTAAACTTCCAGTAGCTAAGTTGGCTATAATACGTCCAAAATCTTTTAGGTCTTGTTGTTGTCGACTTTCAAGGGAAGGTTTAATCGGTACCGCCAGTTCATAATCAGCACAGCTATTAATGCGGATTCTGTTTGTTTTGTTTAGTATTAGGAAAAGGAAATATAAAATATCGTACCTTCCATTATGGTTTACGAGTATCCTTGAAGGAGATAGGTTGTTACAAGCCAACCCATTTTTGTGTAAGTGAGATATTGCGATGGCCATTTGAAACATATAGTTCCATAATTCTTTTTCATCTGGCATAGCATGGTCGGTATGAGATTTTTCAATCGTGGAAGCACCTTCAAAGTACAGTTCTGTTAAGGTTGAGCATCGCGGATGATAATCATACACAAGTATTAAAGCTGTTAAGTTAGCTTAATAACATAAGTTTTCTTACATTGATCATTAAAAGTATCAGAATTGAAAGCATTGTAAAAGGTAACGATATTCGGATGAAATATACGTTTCAAGGTCTCAACGGATTTTGGATTCACAGGATTGGGACAATCTTCGTTGTTAGTCATACAGAAACACGTTTAGATAATATTTGAGCCGTACCTTGTAACCTTCTTAAAACATAAGTGTTTTTATCAATCGTAGAAGTAGCTTGATATGTCCAAACATTAAACCCTAAATCTTCTTTATAGCGATATAGCTTTTTGTTTAAAGGAGACAAGGATGTGTAATCGGAAACAATAGACGGTAATGCTTCCTAAAGTTAGCACCTCAGCGAAATGATGAACTCACCATGCAAAGTTTGACGAGAAGCTTCGCTATTCCGCTCAATTTCTTCTCTAATGTCGTCTTCTATAAATAAATTATTCACATTTCTTTCATAAGGACGAAGAGTAGGTAAGGTAGACGGTTGAGGATTGTAAAGATGAAAACGCGTCTAAAATATTAAAATTAGCAACCGCCTGCTTTTTTAACATAACAGAACAACTTACTAATTTAAACTGATTTTGCTGAGAATAATATAACCCTGCATCATTCGAATACATCCCATCTGCCCCCAGGATTCCTGAGTTTGCATATGGATTTATAGTCTATCATTGTTAGAACGTTATAAGATCACAATCTTAAGTGTACATTTTTAGAAGAAGGAATAGCTAAAGGAGTGCGGTCACGAGAAAGAAACATAGGAGGCTCTTGGGATTTGGGGATGAAAACAGCAGCACCAGCAGCTTTTGCCGAAAGCGATGATTTAGGTTGAAATGATGCAGAAGTAGCATTCAGCTTTTTTCTAGTTTTATTTGTTAGCAAACACTCGAATGCTTAAGGCCGATCGCAAAACTAAGGCCACAAAAATAATCGAATCGTACCTAGCAAAGGGAGGCTCTGGGGTACTGCTTTTTGGTAAAAATGACTAAAAACGCGTAAGTTTGATAGAACACAAAGAGCCAAAATCGATGATGATGATCAAGAAAGCACATACATTGTCGTGACGGAACATACAACCACTTTCAGAATACTTGCAACTCCCATATAGCAAAATGTTTCTGCATAAGGTACGCTTAGCCCGTGAAGAGTGATCTATTCTCGTTAGCAACAGAAATTAATCGTCTGTTAAGGGATGCATACCTTTTTCTTCAACTGCCAAAGGATACCTAGGAGAGGTTTGTATATTTTCTCCTATCTTTGGAGATACAGGTACAGAATGAGATTCATTCATTCCTTTCGTAACCAGGGAATTGTCTTATTTATCGTTTCGTGCTCCAGACAGCTTTTGCAGGCTTGCACAGTAAGAGATGACGCGTTTAAGGAAACACGTTAAAGTTCCGTAAAGGAGAAAGGAAATATATTATTTAGTCTAGCAATGGAGCTCTAGTAATGAAGCGTGAAAGGTAATAAAATAAAATGAAAAACTGAGGAGCTTTTTCCTAAATAACCTTTCTTACTAATGTTGCATGATTAGATACAAATCATAGGTTGCTTGGTTTCAGTTACATTGTGTAACTGATGAGGAAAGCAAACGTTCTTAGGAATAATATTTCTATACAAACCCACACATATGATTTGATAAATTTCTTATAAAGTAATCACTTCAAGCTACTTGAAACACTCAATGGTTATTTCTAACTTTCGTATATATAGTTATATCATCATTGTTTACTACGGTAATTCACGAAAATGCAGTAGTAAACAAATCTAAGGAAATGAAAGAGATTGAGTTATTGACCTTGTTCAAGGGCATAGGAGCCTTTTATACAGTTTTACCGTTTTTATTATCCGCAGTTGATTTCCGTTGATATAAAATGAGTCCATTTTAAGTGTTTTCATTCATATAGTTTTAGCACTAGTTTTCTGCGCTTCAGACATAAACCATAGGAAAAGTAATATTCTTTTTGATATAAGATTCTATAAATAATACTTATATTATGTCAAGTATTCGTTGACTTTTCGCAGCTTGGATCTGGTTTCATTTGCTTCTATGGAAAAGTTTTGCGTTTATTCATAATCTATTTGCTTATAATATTTATAACAAAATAGAATGATAGACTTTTTCTTGACATAAACGCTGTTTTTTCTTCATCCTTGTAAATTACCAGGTTTCATTATGAGCCCTCTGTCAGTTTCCTAGAACCACTCACTATTTTTGTTTACTCCTTAGGACACCCACGTTTAGACCGACTTCCAACGTTTTCACATATATATAATATTAACTGCTTGTAAAAAAGAAAACCAAATATATTGTGCTTATAAACTGTACATTTCATCAGTGATTCATTACGTTTCTCTAATGGTATTTTGCTTTTCTTAAAGTGCAAACCTACTACCTTACCTTTCCTTTCTAAAATACCATCTATAGTTTAATAGGAAGTTTTAGGAAATGAGTTCTCTTGGGTCAGGTCCCTGGTTTTCCAGGGAGCTTGAGCATTCCCACAGATTGATGAATGAAAAAACAAAGGAATTTTCTTTCTTGGTTTCAGAAACTATGGATTGGCTAAATGAACATATGTTGGAGGTTTCTAAGTTACGTTTAGAAGGGTATGTTCTGGTTTATATATTTTAGCACTCTAATAATTTATTAACTGTTTTTTTTTTTTTTGCAGAGACCTCTATACATTGGCTAAAACTCCTAACAGAATTAAAGAAAAATATACTACGCCAAGACTAAGTCCAGTTCGACGCTGCGAGCTGCCAACTCCTAGAATGCAGTTATCTTCAATACAGCAACAATTGGAACAAGCCGCAGAAGGCAAAGAGAAGGAAAAAAATAGTCTTCGTCTGGAACAAAAGGACTTTCTGCCTATTCATACCGAAGAAGAGCCAAAACCGGAGTCGAAACCTTCTGAAGTTTATGTAGACAACAGCCAAAGTCCTGCGCTACCGAAATCACCCTCACCCGTGTCTGATGTGAAGCAACCAGACTCAGAACATCAAAGTAAGGATGCTGAATTGCTAACAGAGATAAAAAAAGAGACTCCTACGAAAAATCCTTCACCTGCTTCAAATCCTCAACAATTTACTGAATGGGATATTCCTCTTCGTGAACCTTCTCCTTCTCCTATCAAGTCCACCGCAAGTCCCAGTAAATCATTGCAAAACAAGCATCCTGCTTATTCCTTTGTTCATTTACCAAAACGAGAAGATATATTAAGACGTCCTGCCTCTCTTCAAAACCGAGCTGATTCAACAAACTCTTTCCTGCATCAACTTAATCGACGATTAACGAAGGAAAGCACTTTGAACACAGCAAATTCTGAAGTTGAAGCTGCACATCCAAATGCTCAAAATCTTTCAAAGTCAAGTTCTTCTTCTCTCACTAGTCCTTCTCGACTAAAACGATTTTTATCCTCAATTGCATTTGGAAATAAAACTGAGTCTAGTAAACAGGAGCCTGCTTCTACAATTGAAAATTCATCACCTAAGCTGAACCCGCATAAGCGTTCCTCAGATGTTGCTGCAATCGAGGACAATGCTCCCAAAAATTTTACTAAACAAAGGAAAACTTCCCCCGAAATGCCTTCTTCTAAAGAGTTTACTAATGACAAGCAATATTCTAAAAGCATTGATGTACCTTCAAGGTCGGAGCGGCCTGCAAGTACTTCAACTGAAGATATTTCGTCACATGATGAACAGAAGCTTGACAAACAAATGGATGAATTTGTTCCTTTAATGCATGAGGAGAAAAGCCCTCTAAAATTTAAATCAAAGTCTACGTCAATGTTTGATAGGGCTGAAAAACTCCGCCAGCAAATTCACGGATTAGCCGGGAATCGGACAGAGGAACCCTCAACTCCTCCAGGAATAAAAAAGCCCGTTAGTGCTGTTCTTGATGCTGCTAGAAATTCAACCGCAAAAGATTTACAACTAGCAAAACTAAAAATTGGAGGATCTAAGCAAGAGTCACCGAAGACCCCTAACAAATCTCACGTAAAATCTGAAATTCCAAAGATACCTTCCATAGCTCCATTTACAAAGCTATCGACTAAAAGCTCCGTGTCTCAGCAGAAGGGTCCTTTAAATTCATCTCATTCCAACTCAGAAACCCACGAAAATGCGCTTGAATCACATAATAGATCCAATATAAGCTCCAATCCTCAAACGTCAGAGAAATCGTTGGATATTGCAAAAGAAACTCGTAAATTGACGGAAGCCGGATATTTGTCTACACAGAGTCAACGACCGGTGGCTATTCGTGTTGCTACGGCATCTCAGCGTGAATTGGAGCAGACAGAAAGAAGGAAAGCTAAAGCTACCTTGTCTTCTTCTTCGACACAAACTGAATTCAACAATGCCGATAAAGATTTACCGAGAGCTTCATCCTCTTTAAGCACCAATTCTGATAATAATCGAAAATTAATACCAATGCGTCAAATGAAGACCTCGAACATAATGAAATCTGTAAACTCTTCAGAAGATCGAAATGAAGCAGGGAAATCGCCTGAAGCAAATGTGAAGGAGGAGTCAGTCCAGTCACAAGCACATATTAACGGTGATAAACAAGAAAAATTGGGGTCCAAACGTTTAGTGACAAATGCAACTGGGTCAAATTGGAACAATGCAATGATCAAAAGACAGGAAGAATCAAGAAGACGTAAGCTTTTGGCAGAAGCTGCATCGTCCAAATCTAAACCTGGGTTGACAAGAGTTACATCAAAACCTACGCTTCGCCCTACTCGTGAACTGTTAGAAGACAAGTCTTTGGCTTTGCATTACTCTGGTTCCAGAAAGATTGAAGGCGACACGGTCACGTCTTTACCAATTTCAACTACCAATCATAAATCCAATAATGAATCTCATACGAATGATGAAGTTAAAGGATCACAATTTCAGCCAGCAGCGCTGAGTAAAGTAGGCTTCAAGCCTCAGACTATGAAACCGTTGCGACATAATTTCCCTCCACCCACAAAACCTGTTGCTATAAAAGAAAATAATTCGGTATCCAACACAACTGCTTTAAATAACAGAAAACCAACCAATTCTGCTAATACGGAGCCTACAGTCGATAGAAAGTTATCTGGGTCTCAAAAGTTGCAAAGATCACCCTTGGTTAAAACTCCTAAAACTAGTCAGTTTACTGGTTATGATTCATATTCTCCTAACGCATCTTACGAATTACCTGACATCGACAGTGACTATTTAGATGAAAGTGATGACGAAGAAAAAAAGAAAAAAATCAACTTACCATCGTGGGCGGAATCACCTGAACTTCAAGAGCAATTGAAGCGACAGCAAAAGTGGGATCCTGATAAGATTTTTGGATCTATAAAGCCGTTACATATGGATGAGTTATTCAAATCAAAAGATCGAAGTAAGCTACGTTTTCGTCCAAGGAGTTCATCCGCCGACTGGTCATCTCAAGACAGGCTAACGCAAGCGGAAATCGATAACTATAAACGGAATATGGGGTATTTATAATCATCTAATTAGTTTTGGAGTCACAATTTGTACACTATTAGTTAAATGAGGTTGATTGATTCATAATGTTAACTTGGAAACCGAACTTTGTTTTTTTTTATTTATATTTATTTCTAATGCAAATACAATTTTTACTTGTAATATTAATACTGAAACTACTAAATCAAAAGGGACAGCAATTGGTTTCTACTAATATGATTTAAGAATGTTATTAAGAATTTAGTTTAAATTTGATGTTGTTTGCACCAAGCTTTAAATTGCGCGTTCGTATACCCAGTCTTTCGGTTTTGCCTTCCTTTTATTCTTTTTCAAACTACCCCACCAGATACATACAACTTGGTCATTTTGTTTAAGAATATTGTGTATGATTTCTTTCTATACCTCTATAAATAATTGAGATTGTGTTCTTAAGCTACAAGAAGCATGAAAAAGAATTCGTTGGCATGGATGACTACGAGGTATTCGACGTTGAGGACTTGAATGATTTTTTGGAACAGCTTGATAGACAAGAAAGCTCTTTTTTACAAATAAGCTCAAACCTAAAAGTTGATGGAACTGACTCAGAAGTGGAATGGGGAATTACCTCCATTGAACATGACACTATAGGTATGCTTTTGTTCAGCTTTTTAGGATCAAAGAAACTATATATGTTAACAATATAATCTAAATTAGAAGCGGATATGTTTAGGAAAAAGACTTTGTATGATTTGTTTCGAAAACGTCGGGGTTACCTTAATGTAGGAAAGATAGGCTTACTTACAGAGTGAGACATATCTGCTGAAAGATGCTAACAAAACGCATTTAGGTAACTGATCTGGTGTCGCCTTTATGGTGTGAAGTACAACAGGATTACTATTTGACTAAAAAAATAAAAAAGACCTCCCCACAAATGATAAAAGGGAGCTCTGTACACCAACACCTTGAATATGAAACAACACCGCCTACGGATCGCATTTTGCTGAATAAAACTTCGAAAGAAGAGCCTTGGGCCCTTAAAATTCTGAAGCAAATTGAAGGGTTACAGCAGCTATATCTGAATGGAATCACTCGAGAATTCCCTATTTGGGGACTTTACAAAGATTCGTTTGTTGTGGGTATTATTGATGAAATCAGCCTTGCCCAGCAAGGAACAAGTACAAAAGAGCATAGCGATATTCGTGATTTTTGGCTCCCAGGGACAAGAAATATTTATTTTACTGATAATAAAACCAGGTTTTCTAATGCGAAACCAAGTATTTCTCAAGTCTTTCAATCAAAGATACAAGTTATGTACTACGCTCATCTTTTTCTTCACTATTTTCCCTCATTGAACATTAAGTCTACTCAACCTTTGTATGCTACACAAAAAGATGACAACCAAATGAAGCTAGAAAAACCTTGGATGGATTCATTTCTTAACAGTTTGAATCTGGATGGCTCTAAAGATTTGGGCACAGAGTTTTTGGAGCAGAGTATTCGGACAATCCCAACGATACCTGAAGACGATTTTAAAGAAAATAATTCCTTGAATGGACTATACAAAATTTCTTCAAAATTAGCACGGCGTTTGCGCCTAAATATTTCTGATAAAAATTTGGGCATTGTAAGTATTATCTAATGATTTAGTTTTACCTTAACAACGGTAAGAAAATCTATTTTAAATTTTTATTATAGCTGAAAGTTACTTTTTCCTCATAGTTTTGCTTACCGAATTTTACTAACAAATATGAAGACATACTGGAACCCTCAAACACAACAGCCGTTGCACGTTGAAAAGTTTAACTATGAACCTACTACATTAGATGACTGCTATAATAGAGTAAATTCATTATGGCGCACCATGAGAGAACCTGTTGGTGTCTCTCCTAACGAAGTATTTAAATGTCGCAGCTGTGAATTTCGTGAGGAATGTTGGTGGCTTCAGAAGAAGCAGAGCATGCCTATTCGTAATTTTGAATAAAGAAATACGAATATGAATTTCTCTATTGTTCATATACTTCTTCAATGCAATTCATATCGTTTACCGAAATGATCCATCTGATGCTCATCTTGAGGTCATATGTACAAAGACTAAAGAGCCAATACTAATTAACATTACTTGAGATCATATTTGTGTTATGCATTTATGAAATGTAAATTTATTAATTTATATACCGCTGATAATTAAATTGAACTCAAGCTCAATACTTATCATGAAGTTAGCTGGGTATATTCTATTGAGCTTTGTCGCGCTGGCATCTGCACTGCCTTCTGTTCCTTTTCTTAATAAGCGCATAGCTGAATCTGATAATGCAACTTTATACAATTCTACCAGTACTGAGACAGTTCCTACTACACCTGTAGTCCTCGACGTTGTTTTATTGAATGGTACTTCTTGGATTTCAACCCGCGAAAGATTCTGGGCAGTTGAGAGCAGCAAGGATGAGTTTACCATTGCTGAAACTTCACACAGTTTTAAGTCTATTGACAGTGTCCTTTGGAGCCCAATCTTAGACAACATTGACCATCCTCGACTTTTGGTTTTGGATGAAGTCGCTAGCAAAAGTCTTTCTAAGGTTGCAAGTGGCGTCTCTGGTGTTTCCTCTCTTTGGAATCAAACCGGTAGTGATAGTAATGCAACAATTTCTGGTAACTTTTACCCGACGAATACGACAACTAATTCATCTATCGCTTGGAGCCCAACCTCAAATCAGACTAACACGTCTTCATCTGTCTCTACTGAGGTCAACTCTAAGATTCTTTCTTTCTTTGGATTAAGTGAAAGGCATGTTAACCATTCAAGTTCACGGCTAGTGATTGTAGGAACTGCGAAACCAACACTGAAAAATGTCACTGTTTTGGATTCTTCCGAGAAATCCGTTTATCAATCATTGGTTCAAGAAAATAATCGGTATATTCGACGTGATATTCCTGAGATCGACGCTGAAGTTATTGATGTATTTGGCTTTGACTTTTATTATTTGGCTTTAAGCTCGTCCATTTCGTTCTTAAAGAGCTTTGCCTTTTGTAATCAAACGTCAGCCTTTTCATTATTTCAGGATCTTGCTTCATGCGGCGTATCAGGTCAGCTCAGCTCTTCATCTTGTGCAGACGGTAGTTATTATTCGCTTTTCGGCCCTAATGGCTATTTTGTGACAGATTTGGGAAGTACAGCAGATGTGATTGTGGTTAATAGTGAGACGAATTGTAATGCCTCTGTTTCCGCTGTTGCTTCCAACACCACATACGTGAATGTGAATAGTGCCGTTAATCTGACATCTTCTTTGTTAACGAATATCACGTACAATGCGAATTATACTAACAGTTCAATGTCCACTATCCCCGTCCATGACGTTACCAATGCCACTGGCACTAATACGACTTCCTATAATGATAGTGCTCCTGCTTCTGGTTTTAACCCTTCAGTGTATTACGGATCAGGATTCTTGAATATTACTGATTATTTGAATACTGATGGTGATGGTCATATTGTTTTGAAGGGACCAAGTGGACGAGCCTTAGGAGACTTTTACATTCTTAATGGTACACAAGTGGCCTTAGGAGATTATTTAATTCCACTATGGTGGTAAAGGAAATGAGCCGTATACTATTGCCAATTTATTTTCTATATAATTTAAATTGTCAATAAATCAATTTGATATTTTTGTTTACAACTCACCGTAAAATATAGTTTATGTTTTTGTATCCTCTCGAACCAGTTCATTAAAATAAGGTAATCAAAAAGTTTGACTTCTATGAAGCCAAGTACTACCATTTTGGTTACATCGCTTATTGAAAGGTTCGTGCTGTGTCGTCTTCTGATAGTAAACAGATAATAAAATCGTCATTATTTAATATTACTACGTACATACAAGAGCACTTTAGTAAAATAAAATACGTTAGCTTAGATTTTTCAAGATGAGATCAAATTTTTATAAACTTGACGAGCATCTACGTTATCGGTTTCGTCAGAACGTGGAAGGGCAATCCATTTGGGGTTTTCTCTGAAAAGACGCATAGCATGAATGTAATCATCACTAGAAGTGGTAAACCGGTGGTAAATTCCAGCTGGTAAAATGATTAAGTCACCTTTTTCCATGAAAATACGAATCCACTTGTCATCGACTGAGCGCAAATCGAAATAGCCCTTCCCATCCATAATGAGACGAATTTCCTCGTCTTCATGTAAGTGCTCTTCAAAGAACTTTTTGACCATGGAATCGTATCGTTCACCTAACGTAGCACGGCTGACAGTTACTTCATCACGACTTTGAAAACCATATTTTTTCATCAATTCGTCAGCGAACGCATATAAATCACCATCAGAATGTGAGCTGATTACCTTTGCATCATTAAGTTCTGCTTCACTGATAGGTATGCCCGAGTCATTTGGCTTTCTCTGATCTCCTTCGTCTTGAAAAAGATAAGCTCTCATATTTCCAAATGCTCAATCAAATCAACAACGATAGTTTAATAAAATAAACAGAATAAATAAAAGAATATCAAATCGATTAACGAACCAAGTTGATACTGAAAACTGAGAAGGGAGGGGAACGAAGTTGAGTTTTGCAAAAGCAAAATTTTCGCCCGCAGGGTTCTTCTTTAGCATACTTATCAGAGATCAAGCACGCAAGCATTCCAATATCGAGGTTGTGGTTCTGGATGAGATCTAATTAAAAATAAAACCAGAAAAAAAGCAATAAATTTGAATGTTCTACCATAGCTCCTTTGTGGAGTTTTCTTCATCCGAAGTTGCACAATTATTACACCAATTCAACTGAACGTAAAAATCAGCGTGTGCGACTATTCTTCTTTTTGAGTTGAAGGATTTATAACTTATTATACCCATTAGTAAACGTGTTTTGCAGTATTACGAAAAGCCATACAAGTAGAAGTTTGCACTCCAATAGACAGAAACCGAATATCCTTGAGTTTATGTTTACAAATAAAACCGTTCTTATGATACTTTGCAAGTCTGATTTTGGATCGCTAAAAAGGAGAGTATAGTGTGTTTGCCGCAAACTATGATTTCCACTCTAAGGTTATTTCAATTTCCTTTTCGTATGGGACGAATTCTTTTTTTTCAAGCAATGGAGCCCATTCCAAAGAGAGGCAATTTGTATTCATTTAGGCAAAACTCTTGTCAATATCCTTGGATGTCTCGCCAGTTTCAAATTAGCGCGTCATCTCAAACACAAAAGACAAAAAAACCGTATTTTTTAGAAAAAATCAATGAGGAGGAAGTTGAGGAAGTTTTTGTTCGCGGAAGTGGACCAGGAGGCCAAAAAATAAATAAAACAAGCATTGTTTCACAATTAAGACATATTCCGACTGGCATCACAGTCCGGTGCCAAGAAACACGTTCGCGAGAACAAAATCGGAAAATAGCAAGGAAAAGATTAGCTGAAAAGGTTGACGAGTTTTATCATGGAGAAAATAGTTTGCTGTCATTAAAAGCTCAAAAGATTGTTCAGAGGAAACGGAATCGTCAGAAAAAAAGTCGAAGAAAATACGGTCTTGAGAAAGATAAGGGCCAAATCTGGAATGATGAATCTTCTAGTGAAAGCCCAAACGAACAATCTAAAGTCGAAAACTGAAAATTTGCTTAGATGTATAATAAAAATCCCCGAGCTTAATCGTAAAGAATAAGAGACAAAGGACTGTTAATTAACTTTAATCATTACATGACATTAAAAAAGTTCAGATCAAGCACCACGAATACGACGAGCTAGCTGCATATCGCGTTGCATTATGGTTACACGCTTGGCATGAATAGCACAAAGATTCGTATCTTCAAACAAATGCACGAGAAAAGCTTCTGCTGCTTCTTGGAGGCACTGTAAAGCCGTTGATTGCCATCGAAGCCCAACGTCTGTAGAAAAGTTTGCAACAAACTCTGATGAGATTTCACGGACAATACGAGAGAATGGAAGACGTTGAATTAGTAAATCCGTTGTTCTCTGATATTTTCGAATTTCTCGAAGCGCCATTGTCCCCGGGCGGTACCTTTTTTTACGTGGATGAGGAATTGGATCTCCTGGTTCTGCCATTAAAGATTTTTTAGCCATTTCTGCTATAAAGTCCTATTTACTTTAAGTAAAAGTTTAATAATGCACGGTTAAATTTATCGATATTAGTGAAATTTCAGATGGAAAAAACAAAACAGTCGCGTCGCGTTTTTTTTTCCAAGTTCTTCTGCACTTGTTTATGTCTTCGAGTAAGCTCCAAACTCATATAAAGGTTTTTTCCAGTAGACTATCACTTTTTAAGCTGCCTTCTTAATGAAGCATTCTCAATTTATCGCCTGTTTTCTACTTTGTTCAGGATACGCTACAGTAAACAATTCACATTCAAAAGCAATTACTCGAAAGGTCGTTATAAAATAATTACCACATTGGTGTACATTGCTGTTGGATGCGCTATAATCCATTTAGGGACTTTACAATCGTCAGCCGATTTGCGGTATATATAGAATATGCACTGGACAGTAGTATGGTAAGTTACTTTAGTACTTACGTACATAGCGCATTGAAATTTACTATTTATACTTAGCACATTGTAGCTTAGGGTTAAATGGCTGTTACCGCTAAACGCTCTAGTTCCTAAAAAATGAATTTTTCCTTATATGAATAGTTTGGTTTATTAAGAACAAATTCATGAGCGTCTTCATATCATAAACGAATGTACCTTGTTTTGTTTATTGTTTATTTATTTTTTTGTCTTTCACAAGAATCTCTGCTCCAATAAGTTGAACCATTAGCGGTGGACACCAGGCACATTCGCAGAGACAACCGGATAAGGAGCGAGAATTAGTGGTATAAAGCGACCTATATAGAAGACACAATGAGTTCGAAACAACAAGATCAGCATTGTCGAATATCTTATTTATACCAAGCAGCACATTACTTGCTCCAGCATACTGAACAAGCAAAATTTTCTCGACACTATATCTCCACAGCGAAGCAGGTATCTCAAAAATCTGTCCTACGGTTACACCCAAATATAAAGAGAACAATTTGCAAGAAATGTAATTCTCTTATGGTTTTTGGAAAAAGCTGTTCGGTCCGGACAGAAGAACCGTCAAAAAGGAAGCCTGAATGCGATCGTAGTTTGTGGGTATGCAATGAGTGTGGATCAACAAAGCGGTTTCCTTTTTCAAAAGCAAAAAGAAACAAACAAAAGAAGGATGATAGGGTGAATGAAAGTGAAATGATGGCGCCATAGAAAATCAAGCAATCGAGCCCAATAAAATGATATTCATGATCGTAATAAAATAGATACCAGAATCCGTTGAGGTCTCTGTAAGTAGTTGATAATTCACTTTTTGGCCTTTTGAAATTGTAGAGGCTTTCGATTATACATGGGCCATGCAGGAATGCATATCTGAACAAACACCGTGTTAGTAGAGAATTATGCTCTTCTAGTTCAAATACATACGATTCCAACGACAGCAGCTAAAATAAAAAATACTATGATGCTCAGGTACGAGTCTTGTGCAAACCATCCTGCAATGTACGCTCCAACCTATAAGAGACGCATTGTTAGCAGCTTCACCGAGATACATTCATTCACCGTACACCAGACATTAAGATCCCATAATTCATGTATTTTGCACAACGAATTTGACCATTAAAATCGATTTTTCCCTCTAAATAATTCATGGTAGATGTAAACTCATTGTTTTCCAAATTGTGAGTGATATAATGAAGCTGAGCATTCGCTCTGTTCAGTCATAGTGGATTCCGGTGTACAAGGAAGGAATTTGCGTTAATAAACAAAACGATTCAAATGAAGCGATTCATTCAGTTGGAAAGAATCGAGCAAAAAATCAACGAATTTCATCTGCTCAAGCCTAAAAAATGACTTTAGCGGCCGCTTTCGTTCCTGGTAAGTCTGTTTGGTAGTTCATGAAATCAACCCAAAGATGAAAGGAAACATCACTACTAAGCTATGCTACTAACTTCAGTCTTTCCCTATTCCTTGAATCCTGAGGTTTCTAAACATTGATGAAGGAAATTGTGCAGTTGAAGAAATAAATCTGATTTTGAAAGGCTGACTTTATTTTTGGTATAACTTCCAAGAGTGAAATGCAAACGAAGTAGCATGAACAAGGCCATCTGGGCTAATAGTTTCGCCGTTTCTTGAAGTGCTTTTTCCTTAAAAAATAAATTAAAAACTCGATATACAGAGATATTGACTATTCTGCTTCTTACATTGAGTCTCACAACTTGTTTTGTCATCGAATATACATTACTGTTACTATGGCTTCCAGAAAGATTGTACTAAAAGAGTTTCTTTCGCCTAGTTCTATTCATAAATTACAGGCCCTGTTTCAAGGAAAACTTCCAGAACCTAAAAGTTCTTCTGGTTTACAAAGTCAGTCATTTGTTGAACTTGCACAGCATTTTGTTTACCTGAACAGTGCTTCCTCAGAAACCAATTTGGATTCAGACGGCTACGAGACCATTTATGCTCCATACGGAAAGCCTCTGAGGTATAAGCATCGTCTTTGGCTGCATGGGGTCCTGAAGTTTCATGCACCGCTTCGATTGTTTCAGGAAGCTGAATGCCATGAAATCGTACACACGAAACCGATAAGTCAAAAGAAAAGACAAGTGTCTATGGCAGAGGATTATGATCCGACATTAAATCCCCTTCCTACACAGGTTCTAGTTGAAAGAAAAATTTACGATCAACAACAGAATCTATGCTTAGAAGAAGATCGTACCTTGTACTATACAAACAAGGATTACCTGACTGATGAAAATAGGATTACTAGCAAATATCCTTCGAAAAAGTCTTGGTCATTTACTCCTACGGAAATCATGGTATTTCGATATTCATCTCTAATGTTCAATGCTCATTTCATTCATTGGAATAGACCATATACAACATCCGTGGAAAAATATCCTAATCTTATAATTCCGGGTCCGTTGCTCATAACAGCCATGGCTAATTTCTTTAGATTTTCATACCCAGAGTTGAGTAAAAGGGTTCGCCAATTTGACTACCGTCTTTTAGCCCCCGCATTTGTTGGTACTCCTATTCGTGTTTGTACGAACGATACAGCTAGTGTTTGGTTAGAAAGCGAATCTACGAAGAATTACCCTACTCTATTAGCAAAAGGAAGATTTTCTTTTGTTTCTGCGTAGGCAAGTATCACTTACAAGCAACTGCTACAAATAAAGCGTACACTGTTAACAACTCCAACAATTACGGCTTCCTTAAAAGTTTCAACCTTGCTTTAGTAACAATTTAGCTTATCAAAATCAAATTTCAACATTATTTTTCTTTAATATTATTATTAATAACCAATGAATTAATTCACACCAAAAGGAATTCGGGTACACAGAGTATTGAAAACAATAAACGACAAGATCAACAAGAAAAGATAAAATCCAAGAAAAGAAACAGAGAATTATTAAATATACATGAACGAAAAAAACGTAAACCGAAAACCTCAAATTGTTGTAGACATGTTCAAGAATCGTCAACAAAAAATTACAAAGATTTTCTCATAACTTGGCGTAAGATAATAAAAAATTTTTTTTTCCCCAATTTGAAAGAACTGATCCTTTTTTTCTGTAAAAGCACAATTATGGATTGTTCTTTTATCTACCGTGTTTTACTCGTAAATGTCGAACAAGAGCATCGTGTCGGCTGAAATGCCTCTGATCTCCACAAATTTCACAACGGAAAACAGGGCGAGTTTTAGCATGAATAGTATCTTGATGACGAATCAGATCATAAGTTCGAGAAAACACAGTATTACAGGTTTCACCAGTAGTGCGATTCGGTAATGTACAACGTACTGGTCCTGCTTGTTTACCAAATTTAAATTTCCTCCGTTTACGTTGTGTTCCTGCCGATGTAGTTAAACTTGGGGTTGGAGTAGTATCAACAGGAATAGAGTTCTTCTCCCCACTAACAGCTGCCACGGGATAATCTTCCTTCTTTTCGCTGGGCGACGCCCTGGGTAAAGGTTGAGCTTGTGGTGGTTCGGCTACAGAAGCTTGTGCAGAGACCTGCGATTTTGCAGCGTCATATGGAGTAAATCCACTATTAGCAACTGTATTTTTAATGGGAGATGTAGACGGAGGGGACGGGCTAAGAGTGGTATTGGAAGGAACGACAACAGGCGGCTGGGTAGGAGAAAGGGAATTCATGGAACCAAGGACAAGTGAGGGGCGTTTAGGACGATAGGAAGTATTAGCGGGACTAGGGAACGTATGATTCGGTTGAGATTGTAGTGATTCCGACTGGAATTGGGAGGTCTCCATTTGAGAAGGAAGAATATCAGGAACACCATCCAAAGCCTCTGAACCATAATCTTTATTTACGGAAGGATTTGGAGGTAATAAAGAGTCTGCAGCTTCAGCTAATGCCTGTGAACGCTGAACAGTGGGATAATCCAAAGAGGTGTCAGGCACAGGATAATTGTTATATTCGGGAATGGTTTCGCCATCCATAGGCATGTTAGACTGTTTAGGAAGATCATTATTCATGGTATACATTTGGAAAGCTTGTGATAAGTTGGGTTGAACTTGTTCAGGATATTTTTGCGGAGAAAAGCCGAATTCTTGCTTAACAGGCATCGTGGAGGAATTTTTCTCGGTTGAGGAAACCAGAGGAGGAGCAGTTTGCTCCTGTTTCAGTTGCTGCTGATTTTGTGATTGAATAGGGGGCGGCATTGGAGGAGGTTGCAAAGACGATTCTTTTTTAGAATAACCTTGTGCGATTCGGTCGGGGGGAAGCAAATCAGTTTCTAGAGTAGGGGAATTCAAATCGAATGGATTGGCATTAACTTCAGGGATTGAGCCAGTCCCATCGGGAAGAACTTGGCTCGGAAGTTGTAGCTTATTGTTCGAAAAGGAGGAGGATTCGTTGACGGCAGGAAGTGAAGGAGTAAGAGGAGGAGGAATGGAGATGTTAGGAGGTGCTGTATTGAAATCAGCATTTGCAGGTGGAGACAAAGGGATATCTAGGTCATTGCTATTTGGGAGAGAATTGTTTTCGTTTGATCCATTCGAAGGAGTTGTAACAAACGGGGGATTACTTCCCAATGACGACGGAGCACTTGGAAAGTTTCCTCCTTGTGCATACTCCGCAGACATTGGATCAAGCGATATGTCCATAGTTGAGTCTTGTATGGTGTCAAGGGTGAAAGGGTCCATTCCATCAGCGTCATTATACACACGAATGGGGACATTCATCATATAATCCCAAGAAGACATATCGGGATATCCCGAAGCGTCCATAGATTCTTTTGAATTCGGGTCCAATCGCTTCAAATCCATTTCGTTTGTCGAAAGTTGGTCAAAATCGTTATCTGAGAAAACATTAGGAAAAATGCTTGGTACGGGTTGTTTATTGTTCTTTACAGGGTGATTGTAAGGCAATTGAGTTTCCTGGAATCTCCAGTCGCTACCATACGGTTCATTCTTTGAGTTATTTGACGGCAGCCTTGATTGTGAATTTTCTGTAGTGTCCATAAAACGTACAAGCAGAGCTTCCCAGATGTATATATATATGGATGACGTCACAACAAGAATCTAGAAAGCCGAAATCATTGAAACAACAAAACATAGTGGCTGACGTCTTTTAATACCAATTCGTCCAATACAAAACGAGTATCGAAAAACATGAGATAAAAGGAACGTCAACTATAAGTATAATTGGCCGTGTAATTTACTGGAGGCGCCGACTTTCTTAGCGAATTCCAATCGTATGTTACCTTGCGAAAACTGCCGATTATCCTTCAAATAATCATAAAGATAAGTAAGCAAAAAGATCATGTAATGAAGTGCGTTATGCTTCAGTATTCTCTAGAAACGCAAAGAAGAATGCGATTAGAACACCATGAAATGTGCCTGAGGTGATATCGTCCGAGTACTTTTCATCGTGAAATCAAAGGTTTACCCATTGGTGAAAAGATACGATGCAATTGCTGCTACAAAGAAGGCATTAGATTTGGGAGAACTTTACCGAAGTCGGTTGCTACCCGTTGAAGTAACATGTCATGATTGTGTAAAAATTTGTCCCTGTAATTGAATTCCATCGAACTGAAAATTCAGACGACCCAATTGCATGTTTAGCACACGTGAAGAGCTTTGAACATATGTTACTACGTCTATTTGTTGCTATGAACCTTACAAAGTAAAACTCCGAAAGGGGGTTTGTGGGGGAAGATTTCGCTAGTTCAAAGTTAAAGCTGGTCAATTTGCGACCGTCGTTTGCCCTAACGAAAAAACTTGAATAATAATGAAACGCACAAATGGAAAGTCGTCATAACTTTAATTTCTTTTTCTTTTGAGCCAATTCCTCATTCTACTTCGCTACCAATGGAGCAGGGATCGTAGAGCTTTCAATCCTCTCTTCTCATTGTTGTTTTGTCATTTTCGAATCCCATAGATCGCCGACTATGTATGGACCGCAAACTGGATTGCTTTAATCATATTATTATAAGTCATTTCAATTGAAAATATATGGATGAGTGCTTTTGTATTTCGTCCGAATGTACGAGTCATCTCCACTGTTACAGCTTACAAAGGGTCTCTGAAAGTTGATTTACGTGGAACTATAAACACTTATGGTTGGTAGCATTCAAAAATGGGTAAACCCTTTTGTCCTATGTCAACCTATCTTTAGTAGTATATAAACAAATCAACAGTTTCTTATGACATAAAAAAGAACGACCATATATACTTGGAAACTATTTTGCTTTCACAGACACTAAAAACTTCTATCGTTTCCTATGCAATGAAATAAGTACAACTATGCTTTTGTCACGAATGAAAATCCTTTTGATTACAATCTACACAATTTCTGATACTTTCATCACCAACAAATTCTACCTCTACTCGTGCATAATACTCAATTCCATCAATTAATCAATTTTTCTAGCAAATACTATACAATGATAAACAAAAGCGTGCGAAACTCATAATAAACAAATACACAAAGAGCGATCCATCCAAAGAATGCTGTAAGAGAAATCCTGCAAAAGCTGTCGAATTCTATGCAGTACATCCTGACATTTTGTATTTTCATGCGCAGCATCTATACCCGACAGATTCAACATTTACGAGAACTGTCGAATAACTAGATTTAAGGCCATTATACCTTGATGCTATTCCTAGCAAAGCGAATCTACACTGCACAGATAAATTTCTCCTATATTACAAATGGAATGTCTCTGGAAATCCAACTTGCATGCTATAACACCCACATCGGTATACAGCATTTAGCCACCGAAACCGTAAATGGTACGGCCTTGGCGCTTCAAAGAGTAGACAACGTCCAAGGAAGTGACAGTCTTACGCTTAGCGTGTTCGGTGTATGTGACGGCATCACGAATGACACTTTCCAAGAACAGCTTCAAGACGGCACGAGTCTCTTCATAGACCAAAGCAGAAATACGCTTGACACCACCACGACGGGCAAGACGACGAATAGCAGGCTTGGTAATACCTTGAATGTTATCACGCAGAATCTTACGATGACGCTTGGCACCACCCTTTCCTAATCCTTTTCCTCCTTTACCGCGACCGGACATTTTATCAATAAATTATTTAGCGTAAAATATAGATATTTGCTAAAGTTCGCTAGTCCGAATCCTCACTGAATAAAGTTGGGCGCCAGTCCCCTATATATATGATGCGATTTTCGCCATCAACCATTTTACGTCAAATCTTATTATGGGGTTAGGGTTGTTGATCAAATTTTGGGATTTACTGTTCATATATAAGGAGGAATCTGCCACCATCAAGTGGAACTTTTTAACAATACGAAGTAATCCAATTTTAAACAATGGCTCGTACTAAGCAAACCGCACGTAAATCAACTGGTGGTAAAGCCCCTCGTAAACAACTTGCCTCCAAGGCTGCTCGTAAGGCTGCTCCCGCAACTGGTGGTGTCAAGAAGCCTCATCGTTATCGTCCTGGTACCGTTGCTCTTCGTGAAATTCGTCGTTACCAAAAGTCCACTGAATTGTTGATCCGTAAGCTTCCCTTCCAACGTTTGGTTCGTGAAATTGCCCAAGATTTCAAGACCGACTTGCGTTTCCAATCCTCTGCTGTTGGTGCTCTTCAAGAAGCCGTCGAAGCTTACCTTGTCTCTCTTTTTGAAGATACGAACTTGTGTGCCATTCACGGTAAGCGTGTTACCATTCAACCCAAGGATATGCAATTGGCCCGTCGTCTTCGTGGTGAACGCGCTTAAAAATAAAAATAATTCTATTTTTTTGTTTCTTTAAGCGTTATATGTGCTATGTATGATTTCGTATGGGTCTTTGGATAAGTCACTTCTATCCGTTTTTTTCGCATTGTCATTCTTGTTTTTTTAATTGATTTTTTTTTTATCCCATAGTTTGTTTGATGAACTCGGGCGGGTTCTCGAGTAAAATTTTACACTTTCTCTATGGTTGAATTTGTTATTTGATTTCTTCTGCTTAGATGGTGTCTTTTCGGCACTTTTAGTAATGATATTTTTTTTGCGCGCAAAATTGCTCATATGATGGTACTCAGTAGAAATAACTGTTTATTAGGAAGGCGTAGCTTTAAGGAATAGATAAATATAAACTCTGTTTTGAATTAACAGATATTAATTAGGTTCCAGAGTAATGAAAAGGTTATATTAAAAGAAGAACGATTCATCGAATTCTGGTATTTCTGTTGGCGCTGGTTTAATCTCTTGGCCCATAATGGTGGTGTTTTTATTTTCTGAAAGAACTGCGTAAGGTTCTTCTTTCCCGGTAGCTTCTTCCTTTGCTGATTTTAGAGCAGGAAGACTTGACGGAAATTCAAATTTCCAATTTCGTAACAAGTCAAGAGCAATTAGGTCGCAGCCCATCTCATTATAGACTCGAGCGCTATTGAGAACAAAGCGATATTCCAGAATTTGGTCTTTTCTTAATAAGTCACTTCTCAGAAAATCGTATAGTAGAATTAATGCAGGATCATCTGATGTATATTCATTCTTGGTTTTGTCATGATTCTCTTCAGTAGTCTCTGTCTCTAAGGGGTAGTCGCCTATTATTCCAAATGATTCGATCAGATCGTTGTCAACTTCAATAAGAGATCGTACTGGGACTAGCAGACTTTGTACCGATTTCATCTTCTCATTTATCATCGCAAAACCCCAGTTTGTAAGCCAACGATCGTTATGATATGCTGCTGATGGCAAGACAAACTCTTCGATAATCCGTTTTAAGCAAGTTTTACCATCTCCTTCATATACTCGGACAACAGCCACAGCTAGTGATAAACATCGCAAATTACGAATGCAAACTTTAGCCGCATCATAAGGACTGTCTGCTAAAAGGAAAAATGCTGCCGCGTAGAAGTAACGATGTTTACTTAAAAGTGCAAACGCATTCTTAGATGCTGCTACCTTCCATCGCTTCTGTGTAAAGTCATTTGAAAGGAATTTAACAGTAGGTCCTGATTCTTTATGCCAGCTAGCCAAGCTCCAAAGGCTTCGTAGAACTGCCACCTTCCCAAGCGCTACATGGTATAAACTGACTTTCTCGGGATCACGTTCACCGTTGTTGATATAATGGTTTCTGGATAATTCCCCAAACACATTTATTAATGCTTGTTGATTTAACCAGAATGGTAAACCGTACTCCTCTACAACCGGCCATAGCAAGGTTTTTCCATGAACCTTTACTGTGTAGTCAAGCAACACACTTTTGTTGGTACTATAAAATCCCCAAAGAATATCACGAGTAGGTAAACGATTAGACCGGCGTTGATATTTGTTTAATACATATTGGTTAAGCATAATACAGAATCTTCTACCATTCAGATCTAATGACTCTCGTAGATGATACGCTTTGTCAAACGCCTCGATAACATTGAGTAGGTAAAACTGTGAGGACCGAGTTAAAGTTCCTACCTTTTTATTTTTTAAAAGTAAGCATAGATGTGTCATAAAAGCGTTCATATAGGTAGTAACATCCTCGGAAACAGACGGCTTCTCTCCAAAAGAGTCTGCCTCAACTGGAATTTCGTTAGCATACGTCGTTAATACTTCAAAGAATTTTTCCATTAATTTTTCGTCATTATGTTCGTAAAAATCAGAGCAGTCCATATTCAACAAAAAGTGCATAGGGTAATCATTTTTTAAACAAATATAGAAAAGAAGAAGAATTTTTCTAATCAAGAACTCTTGGTTTTTTAGCAAAAGTTGCTGTAAAAACTGCGGGTGAAATACTGGTAAAATACCATTCAGTTGATAAGCAAGATCGAAGATATTATTTGCCGATCGCTTAAGAGAAGCAGGAAACAGTAAAGATTTATTATTCGGGATCTTGTTTTTGAAAAAGAATAGGTTATTTCCAGCAGCGGTGACCAAGGTACCATTATCTAGCCACGAAGAATCACTAATAAGCATGTTCGTATACATACTCAAACTATAACGTCGAATAGGTACCCAGCAAGGAGCATCGCTAATATAAGATCGACGATTTTGACATAGTAATATAACTTCATGTTGAAAGCCTACTGCAAGGATGGAATGAGAATTCGGTGTCGAAGTCCAATCTAAATCAATGATCGGCCCATAATCATTAAAGACATTGGTAAACTCTTCATTAGAAGTAAACAGTGAGCTTCTCGTATCATAAATAGACAAGCGAAGCCGATTATCTGAAACAACTGCTACTTTCCTCGAAGTTGATCCCTTAACCATGCTTGAGGATTTGATGTTCGTCTGTAGTCTAGAGAACTCTGAAATACTTGCTTTGAAGGGCTCTATAACTTTCGCAATCCACGTCTGAAGTAGGCCATCATCAGAAATTGATACAAAAACTTCTCGTTCGAATGACTCTAAACTGCTGAGACTTAAGGTTGAGGACCATCCCATAACGTCTACCGCCGAAGCAGTATTGATTTTAGGAGCAAAAGCTACTCGATCCAAAAACTCGAGTTTCGAGCTTTGAGAGGCTTCTAGTAGTACATTATAAAACCAAGCATGACCACCTTTTGTTAATGCACATAGCACGGAAATACGGTTTTTTTGTACAGGCAAAATAAAAAATGTAATGATTTCGCTGTTAGGGACTTTGCTACAGGAACAAAGTAATAAAGGAGCGAAGGCATTATCACAATGCCAGAGCTTTATAGTAGAGTTATTAATAACTGCTGCATATTCTCCAGCATGTAATGGTAAAACAAAGTCATTTTCCTGTAAACGGAGTTTAGACCGTTGAACTAATGAGCTACGACTATCGCAAGAGATATACGATTGAAACATGCAAACGCGTTGGTTATCACAAGAAGCAATTCCATGACCGTTTGATGTTCTCACTAACGCCTTTATAGGAACGTTATGCCCATAGAACATTTGAGTCGTAACTAACGCAAACTCCTCATCTGAAAATATATCTGATAATTTAAATGCATACTCATTGGCATGATCCTGAAAATGAATGAGAAATTTATAATCGTATATTTCTTCTTTTATGGTTCTATACACCTGAATAAATCCACGTGGCGGTAATGCATTACGAGGAAATTTAACAGGTACACTCCTAACAAGGTTCACGGTGGTGAGGTGACTTTCATCCATGAGAAAAGAAAACACATGTACTTTTGTATGAGAAAAAATGAAGAATAGTTGTGGATGGGAATTTGCCAGAGCGACGAGCTTTGGAAGGACAGGATCATCAGGCAAATTGCCTGAATAGCGACTGATGGCATGAGCCAAAGCAGCAGTAAAATCATCTCTTTCAAGGAAAAAACAAAAGGGTGCTGAGTTTTCTTCAGTGAATTCCTTCAAACTTAAAAAGCAAGAAAGATGCATGAGCTGGGATCCAAACCGACTACCAGTTTGCCATATTCGCAGGACCTGATCAAAACCAATTGTGCAAAAAAAAGGAAAGGAGCTACTAGAATCTGGATGCAACGGTCTTGACCATGAGAAAAACCTTATAGGTCCTGGATGAGGAAGATAACTATAATCATATAAAGATGTTACGGTTCCTTGAGGAGACGACCTTAGCCAGACTTTAGCCAGAGGATTATCATTTTCGATGGAGGCAATGTAACAAGCATCAGGTGATAAACTTGAGCCAACAAAAGGGATTCCCGACGCTGAATCCAGGGACCACAGTACACGGACTTCCTCGTCAGAAAAATTTAGGATGCTTAAGTTTACGTTTGTGCAAACTAAAAGGTCTAGATTGTATCCCCAGGATAGGCTCTTAATACAGCTTTCGTCAGGCACCTTGTACGTTATATGATGCTTCCAATGCCATTGTTCATCGGGTAAATACACAGCTATAAACTTCGAATATGCAACAGCAAGCGCGGCATCTCTACGATTAAACGCTATAGCAGAGACACCGTTATCAAGCTGAATACTCTGGTAATGCTCATAATTATTTACAATAATAGCGACAGAGCAAGCAGTCCCTAAAGACTAGGAACGTATTAGTAACCATGGCACTTGGATGAATTTGGATCTCAAACTTACCAAAACACGCTTTTGCTTCCAGTAAACATAATCTTGGGTAGAAGCGCCTTCTAGAGGAGTTCCTGGGTTTACAAAAGCCAGGGGCATTCTATGTAGGAATTCAAACCATGAATTCCCAAATAGTTTCCTTTCTTATAAAAATTAATTGAATGAATGAGGTGTGTTTTTGCTTAAATGAAAACTGCCTTTAAGGTTGCTTTTCCATCGCATATTTCATCACAGTATAGCAGGTGACATCGTTACTTAGTAAACAAAAAAGAAGTTTTAATTAATTGACAGGTTTGAAAGGAATTTAGGGAATCATTACTACAGTTATAAGCAATATTTATTATCTGCATAGGTACAGGGAGCCACTAGGGTATTTTCCAATACCGAACATTTTCTCCATTCTCTCTGTTCATGGTAATATAGATTGCTATACTATACTATCATAAGTCGAAAGAACAAAAGCAGCAAAGGAATGACTACTTTAAAGGAGTTCTCTCAATGTTCACGAATTACTGAAGTCATCGTAGTTTGCGTTTGTAAATAAGTATGGAAGTATACAAACTTACTGGATGCTCGTAATGTAATTATACTTAAAGCTGCTCAGTATAACTCTTACACCAATTTATGAATTTAGTTGTTGAAGCAAGCGAGAATCATGTAATACGCGGAAGCTGTAATTGAAGATCCCAAAGCGAATGGGTGTCAAAATCGTCCATAAGGTAATACTCTAACGGCAATGCGTGTATAGTGAAAGACACCTAATGCCTTGCACAAAGCCAAATGGTTGCTATAATGAGGGCAGCAACAGAATGTGTCAAATTTGTTCATACCCACCGAGGTAGGCAATCTTTGATTTAAACTCCAATGAAGACAATGCTTCAGGAGAATAGTTGGAACTTATAGGAATTTACACCATTTTCAATTCAAATAGTAAACACACCGAAAACGTATCGAAGAATGTATAAGCGCTCTGGAGCTAATAAAGGTAATATTACCCCACCTGTTGAATGACTTTCGCCTGTTTATTAAGGAGAAAAAAAACTAAAAGATTCATTTTTCTATGGCAGTTCATATATATTTTTACATCATTTCGGTAGATCGTCGAACAAGACGTCTTACTCGTTTTTTGAATTCTTGAGCTGTAAAGAGTGGTTAGTACAGAAAATTCAGACTTTTCGGCATGATTTGCACATACGGCTTTCGCGGAATTCTTTGGCCGCATCAATATTGGCTGGTGATTCATCATTTGGTGATGATAGCATAGAAATCACACTGATCAATATGGTTTCAGGCGAATGGACAGGTAACCAACGCTCACCAGCATCTTCATAACCAAATTTATCATCACCGGGAGGATGGAGAATGGAAATGCAGACTTCGCCATTAGGATGCACATTTGGATGCCAAATTTCAGTCGTGAACTAAACAAGTAGTTAGTATTTATGCTACAAAAGTTTTCTAGCACTGTAGTATCAGCAATAGCGAATTCAACAAGTGTGATCATTCATAGAATTGAACATACTTTCATTTTTGGTGGCATTAGAGGATAATCCTAAACAAAATGGTTAGCAAACTTTGAAACTGCTTTCATGTGTCCTTAAGTTCAATCGTCAACTTGAAAAAACATACTTGGGGGAATGTCAAGGTTGCATGGAAGAAACCACCCTCATAAAGAGTTTCATCAGGGCCGATGATCATAACTTCCCATTCATAAATGGATCTATCATCTATCAATCCTACACTAAAGCCTTGGGGAGGATTTTTTTTGGATTTCCTAACAAACGTTAGCCAGACTAGTTTCATCTCAAACGACAGAACTATTTCATAAGGTAAAAAGTAACCTTAATAGTTTCTAAAAACTTAACAAAAAACCATACCTTCAATTGCTTTCGAAGAAGCTGTTCACTTGCTGGCGAAGACATGCTTGCAAAATTTATTTAGATGGCAATCAAATTTTTGTGTTTTTAATTTAAAGAGATTTTATGTTATTAAATTTTTCAAACGATAAAAAAAAAAGGTAATGAGAAGGAGGAGGAGGTGAAACAGTGTAGGGAAATTTGCCTGCAAGGTACTTTGCTTTGGATAAACAGAAATCGCACACCTAAGTTCAATACCAATGATGGCCTCGTTGGGTGCCTTCATTTTATTATAAGCCATTTTATTAAATGTTTGCTTTAAATCTTTATAAAGCACGTTAATTCTCTAATGTAAAAATCTCTTGAAAGTTGTTTTCCATAAATCATCCAATATCAAGAACAATTATGTGTCTTGAATCAACTCTTGGCTTGCTGAGATTACATTAACAACGAAATACATTCATAAAACCTCTTCACTGAAAGTGGAGCTTGTGGTTGAGATATTGATAAAGGAATTCAGAAAAAAATATTCAATTTTAATGTTTCATTCTATATACAAAATCAAGTTTGCCGTCATTAACATCATATATTAATAAATATTCAGTTGTTAAACTGTCCAATTCGTTAGTCTATTTTAATGGAACCATAAATTCTGTTTACAAAGAGAAAAGAGCCAAAGAAACCCACAGAACCACACAAAAAGAAGACTAGAACAGAAATCATTAGACTGTAGCCAAAGTATAGGAGTGTAGTCGCAAAGGAAGTCGAGGAGATTCTATTAAGCCAATAAATAATAGAAAATACGAAAACATAGACACCGCAAAAACCAGGTGTAATGAAAGATCGCCACCACCAGTTATAATTCTCGGTACATAGTTGGATATACACTGTGATGATTGATACCATAACACAAGTTGTAATTAGAATACCAAAACAGAAGAATGAAAAGCCAAACATGAAATACAGGGGATGGAACCACAAGCTATCAAGAATAAAGTAAAGCTCAATTAATATGGCGACAAAAGGAATGGATCCACCAATAAGGGCAGACGATGCACTGGAAATCCATATACTTTGAGTAGGAATCTGACGAGGGATTTGGTTTGTTCTTACAGGAGGAACAAATTCTCTGGATCGGAATCCAATCAATGATCCCGCAAAGCTTAAAGGTACAGTAAATACTAAATAAAGCACGATCAGTAGCAGCCAGCTTGTGAATGGCACTGCTGAAGACGAATTTTTAACCGAGAAAACTATGTTGAAAAACAGAGCCCCTGCTAACAAGAATCCAGGAACAACAAAAGGGGTCAACAAAAGATTTCTCTTTCTCAACATGCCTTGCATAAGTTTGTAAGAAATTGAAGAAACAAAACCTGAGACGAAACCAGAGACAATAAAGAGAGCTACTACGGCTGTCGCAAGGCTACCACGACGTGAGGGAGCAATGAACCCGAAAATAGCCAACAGGATGATAGCGGAGGTCATGAATAATAACTGAGCACCGTTACCCAGAAGAATGGAAAAGAGCATGGGTCTACGAGGAGGACGGAATACATCACCATGAACCAATTTCCAACCAAAGTCTTCTTGAACGTCCTCTTGATCCAAAAAGGCGCTGTTGTATTTATTAATGTCGCGGTTTAAAGTACGGAACAAAATGAGGCAAACAATAAAAATCAAAAAGGTGTCAAAAATACCAGAGTACAATAAAAACATCCATCGAACTTGGTTGGAGGGCCCGTGCATATACTTGTCCCAACGAGTAGCCCAAGGAGTGTCGGAATACTTCCAAGTTACTGAAAAGGAGGTGACAAAGTCTAAATCATCGTGCTCAGGTAGTATTTCATAAGAAGTAGACGTGGAGCATACGGCATTGCCATTTTCAAAATTAGATTTGCGGGACACCGGTTTTAAATAGGCACCTACAACTCGATGTTGATTTTCAGCGCTGGTATGATATTCTATAGTAATATTATAGTGATTGTAGAGGATTATACCCTCTTCCGTAACTCTTCCTAGTGGAAATCCAGGAGTCAACAAATACTCATTAGAGTCTACAGATTCCGCATAAGTAGCAATAGGGAGATTATCGATATTCCAATGAACCACATAGTTCTGAGAAATCAAATCTTTCAAGAATTGAATATCTGACTTAGAAATGTTGGATGCGCAAAGTGGGACACAAGAAGCGTTCTTAAGCATTCTCAATTCCAAAGGAGAATTGTAAAGACGGTCGCCAAATAAGACGCTTCCAAGAGATTCAGGCTGTTGAATAATCGAATCGGGTCGGCAAAAATGAAATCGATTATCATAGTCTAAAACCACGAATTAGCAAATAAGATCTATATATTTTTAAGGAAGAAAAAGAATTGCAACAGGTAATATTTCTCTGACATCTCATTTGCCTTCACATCATTCAGTGACTTACATTCATAGTTAAAAATGTCAGATCCGTGTTCAGCACCATAAGACGGAGAAATAGTGTTCACCGTTGTATCAACAAGCTCGTCAGGAGCATAATTTTTAGGACCAAAGTTCGTCAATTGAAATGCCAAACATGATGGAAGCAGATACAGAAGAACGAAGAATCGAAAAGAAAGCAATAAATCCAGAAATAGCCGCATATTTTATTCAAATCATAAAGACACCAGCAAAAATCCTTAAACTACGGAATTTGACAAGAAACTGCAAAAGTTACAAAACGTAGCAGTTCCATCTCAAGTGCTCTTCCTTTTTCCGCTTTGCGTATCTGTATATCTCATTATATAAAATTACCACATTTTATTACAATTCCGTAAGTTACTTTACGTCCCATAACGAAGGGTTGTATTTTGAAGAATAGTACTTGAGCAACACAATACTGGAGTTGGAGATTGCAGTCAGAAATCGGACTGTGGCAGTCTTTTTCACTCTTTTTATATGATACTAAGAAGTATTGAATTTTTTTTTTCATGTTTGTTAACGCTGCTAGCAAAATGTCGGTTCATGAGTTTTTGGATGTATTGAATCAGTCAATTCGGCAGAAAGATGCCAATGCGTTTTCACAATGTTTCGTATTTTCGACCTCTAGTGCAGTGAATGCAAAATTGTCTTCAAAACTCCCACAGGTACCGTAACATGAGTCATGCGCTGACTATAGCTAATGTGTTTCTTATATGATATAGGACCCAAAAGGCAAAAATAAACTCAAGAGTGAAATACAAAAAAATTTTGGAAAAATTCGAGGGTGGAAGGAGTCTGTGCTTTCGTATCTGGAATTTGTGGACAAAGCTGCTTTGGGAGAGCCTATATCTTGCTGGTCTTCATTGCAAGCCGTTTATGTGTAAGTAACTTTTTCAATATCTGAATGGAACTAGGTTTCGATTGAAACTAACTCTCACTAGAAATCTGACTACCTGCTTTGCACACCTCGATGGAGCATGGCTAGTGCCTATCATAAAATCAGTGTCGATATTTTATGTAAATTTATCCATTCAATTAGATAGGGAATCCCCTCAGGACTCTGGCGTTTTAGATACGAATGGATTCCTTGAACGCAATTTTATAAGCGAGGCCTCTCGAAATGTCCAGAGGACGTTCAACATCATTTTGAGTGACCGACAGCCTAACGTTAGTCCTTCAAAAAAAGATGCAATATTCACTATATCAAATCTTTTGTATAAACTATATTTTCGTCTGAAGCAGATTCGACTTTGTCAAACAATCCAAGCTAATGTATTATCCTCTGGCGTGTCCATCAACCAAGCTACTAGTGCAGAGATAGTTACTTTCCGCTATTATCTTGGTCGCTGTCATCTGTTCCAGCATAAAATTCATCAAGCGGAAACACATTTGAAGAGCGCTTTTCTTAGTTGCCCTGATGAGTATTATAAGCAAAAGAGGTAATTATTAAGTTTTATTGATGGCGCTAACTGGTTATAGACTAATCTTGATTTATTTAACAACTTGTGGCCTCATCCTTGGTAAATCACCAAGGTTGCAATACCTAGAGAAATACAGTTTGATACCGATGTTCCAGTCATTAATAGTAAGCATGAAAAAAGGTGATATTCATTCTTTTCATCTCTCTTTGGAAGATGTCTCCAGGCGAAATTGGTTCATAAAACATGGGATTTTTTTGACATTGCACGATCGTTGTGAAATTGTAATTTGGAGAAACTTGTTCCGTAAAGTGTAAGTGTGGTTCTTCAAAACTTTTGCTAATAAAAAAACTTAGCTTCTTCATGACATTTCAAAATGCCCAAAAAACACCCCATGTTAATGGTCAGTTCCTATTGGAAGCGGCGCTTCTTAGCACACAAGATCAGACATTTGATATTGATGATGTGGAATGTATATGTGTATCTTTGATTGACCAGGGATATATCAAAGGATATATGATTCATTCTTCAGCGACGCTTGTTCTGAAGAAAGACACATCTTTCGGATTTGCTCCTATAGAAAGTGTTATGCCAGTTGTTGGAAAAGATAGAAACGAAGAGGAGTTTTTCCAAAGGAATTAAAAAGATTTTGGTTTTTCATATTGATAAAATGATACAAATTTATGTCAAATGGTTGCAATCGCATTAATTCATTTTTAAATTCCTCTAACTGTTTTCACGTATTAATATACTCATTTGGGTTTTGCAAACTATCATAATCAAATTTCATAGTATTTTCATATACACAAGGCTTTTCACGAAAAGAGTTTTAGCTGTCTTCCTCCATTTCTGGATCAAACAAGTCGAAGTCTGCAAATATATCTTTACTGGAAGGCATGGATTCTCCCCCTTGTGTTTCAGCTTGTTCGGTTGCATTCGTAAACGTAGGAGACATTGTATAATCAACCGCATGCTTGGCTTTCTTGCTTGGAGAAGTAGTAGCATCGGTATCTTCTTTGCTTGGAGCAGAAGTCTCTTCCAACTCATTGAGTATTTGAGAAGCATTAGCAGATGGATGAGCTATTAGATTTGTAGAATATTGGAATAAACTTGTCTTTCGCATTTGATCTTCTGATGGCCAAGGATAATGGACAGGTGCTTTGGCATCCTGACCTGTTTCTGGATTATATCCAGGTGGTGCCGAAGAAAATTTAGATAATCGCCGACCGTATTCGAGAAGTGTATTAGCGTCAACTTTCCTTCGAATCTTTAGATTGTTGTTTTGAGGAAGGGTGGTATCATAGATTGATGTCAATTCCTTCATACTGCTTTCAATTTGTCCCTCCAAGGCATGATCCTCTTCAATTAGACTTTCGATTTGGGAGCTCAACTCTTGGCTTAGTGTATGCTCCGATATTAGATTTTGAAGATTCTTTAATTGATGTACCATTTCAGACCAATTTTCCATGACAGAATGGTAGTTGACTTTTTCAGTCGAAAGACGGAGATGTTGATTAAGGCATGTTTCGATTTGTGAAATTACAGAGGAAAACTCCATAATAATGATGAAGAAACCAAAATGAGCCTACTCAAACGCGTCGCGCGTCTTTCGCTAATGTCATCTTTTCAACAGTGTAGTTTGTGAGGAACTACAATTGCGAGATAGAGCGATATCAGTAAAAAGGGTTTAAGTTTAGACGAAGGGATTAATTTAACTCGTTTTAAGCGGAACGAAAACAACCTTTTCTTAGCGAAATGTAATTTACGTTTGTAAATTGAACTTACACCATCAGCATCATATATAGGATAAACTAAAGCAAAAAAATAAATTTTTTATGTTAGTAATATTTACAAAAACAATAAAAACGCTACACATGAAAGACATTACAACTAGAAACGATTTTGGATTAGGATTATTTTATTGATAATAATAATAATAATAAACGGAAACGACCAATTAAGTTAAGCATACAGGGGTCACCAAAACCCTAACAAACGAGAGATATGTAGATCCAAGATATAATATTAGTGGACATATTATGAGTTTAACTACAGTAAGAAGAGAATTTTCTGTCAGTCAAAGGTTGGGGGAAAATTCCATTCTCGACGAGTATACCCATGTCCCAAGTAGCGCTCTGGCCACCAGTTTTAGCAGTCCAGTAAAACCAACCAGCGCCACGCTCCAACTGGTCCAATTGAGTCTCGATAAACAAACGAATAGCATTTCTGTACTCATTGGTCCATGTAGTAATGTTACCACTGTTGACACCGATGAAGGAAGAGGAAGATTCACTGTTGTTCCAAATGGTACAGTCGGCCAAAGTAGAAGACCATTCGCCAGTGACTGTGATGTAGGGATTATTGGCAATTTGATCACCGAGGCTGCAAATGCTGTTGAGATGATCGTTGTAAGTCTTGGAGCATTCACCGCTTTCGTACAATTGATAACGATGAATATCCATCACCAAGTTATACATATTGCCAGAAATAGGGCCATAGGTCCATTCCGACAAGTCCACATAAGCATCGTGGACAATGGTAGCGACAGAGTTGGATTTATTAGCAATCATGTCATAGACTTGTAAGTCATATTCCTTGAGCTCATCCATGTTAAGAGAATTACCTAAGGGTTCATTCACAGTTTCAATGCCAATAACGACGTCTTTGTAAGAATCTTGAGTATATTTGCCAGTAACGTAAGACATGATTTGAAGAGTGCGGTTAGTATTTCCGTCCTTTTGCCAGTCGACGCTACCAGTCTTACCGGAATTTTCGAAACCGTTTTGACTACCTGGAGCGCCATGCAAGTCGACCCAAACCTTCATATTGTTCATGCGGGACCATTCAATAGCCTGATCCAGCCAAAATTCTTGACCTTGAACGTAAGGCTCATTGTCTTCAACGCTGAAAGCCCAATAACCAATAGGAATACGAACCGCGTTAATACCCCAGCTAGCAATGCGGGCGAAATCTTCGGCAGTGAAGAAAGTGCCCCAGTGATAAGACAATTGATTGTAAGCTTCAGCCTTACCAAGGGTTTCACAGAATCCCCACTCATCAGAGGGGGCATTGCTATTGCCATTAAATTGGGAAAACAACTCGGGATTGAGCCAGTCTTCAATGAGAAGCCAACCACCAACGTTGACACCACGAATCTTTTCAGAAGTGTAATCAAAGACAGGGTTATTGCGCTTGATCACGTACGCAGAAACAGCGTGGAAAAGAAGGAAAGTAGTAGTGAGAAAGGAAACAATAGAACTTAACGAAGGCATCGTGCAAAAGAGAGTATAGAAATCGAGACAAAGAATGTAATCAAAGATTTAGGGAAGTTGCAAACCGAAAACTTGAAAGTCTATGAATTCAGGAAATCTCAAAGATAGAATTTGTAAAGAAAGCAAGGGAATTTAAATCTTCAAATAACAGACAATAAGAGAATACTAAATGAAAAGAGAGACGTAAGGAATCTATAGAATGGGAACCAAAAGATAATAGAGGTATCAAAATCGCAAAGAATGAGTGATATGTAAGTTTTAGAAATATAAGAAAACTAATTAACAAATATAATGATAAATTCAAAACTGGAATTGGCTTTCAAAAAAGACCAATATACCAGGAAATGTGCGAAAATTTTTGTTATATGACTGTCTAACAAATGCTGCTCGATATATGTAACCAAAAGTTTCGAGTCCTTATTAAAAAAAAAGAGTGTTTAGAGGTCTAATGATTCCTTTTCACGTGCTAAAGAATGCTCACAGAGGTGGTTATCCTGTCGAAAAGTGAGAGTGTCTTGGGTCTTTATATAATATGAGATTGGTATCTTTTGTTTATTAGAAGTATCAAAACTTCTCAAACCAATCGTAAGACGATTAGGTGTTACTACCCAGGGAGATTTTCGGTACCTTATTTGATTGGCTGATTATGCGGCTGGTCCTTTGTTTACAAGACAAAGAGAGAGTCGGTATCTGTTTATTATTGTGTCATATTGTACCCTTGTTGTCAGGTAATCCTTCTACAGCGATAACAAAGCGTATGAAACTACGGTAAGCAAATATTTCGTAGCGCAGTAAATAAACAAGAAGCCATAGCAACAAGGTAAATAGAAACAACGAAGCCTATTTTTGGATATTTTTGGCTAGTTCCTAAGGCAAACATGAGGAAATTGGTTTCGAGAAACTACGTAACAAATAAACGAAACGTTTTCTTAAAAAAAAAGGATCGAAAGGATGTTTCGGCATTCTGCAAGCAGGACATATGGAAGAAAGTGGAGTAACACGAAGAAAACAATATCTGATAGATATTACGTAATTATTGGTTTACAGAAGAAAACTCAACCCGGTTTTTAGCACCTACTTATTTGTATGGATTCTATTCAATACAAAGTATAAGTAATAAGTAATAAATAATAAATGAAAAACAATAAATATAAATGAATAAAACACAGAAATGAACCCCAAGAAATAAAAGTCGCATAGGAGAAGAGGTAGACGCACCACGAAGCAAGTAACAAATTTCTCGAAAATTGAATCGTATCATATCTATGGCAAGAAATTATCCCTTTTTTTCCTTTCATTTTTGAATGTTCTTATTGATCAATTTTCACATTTTTTCACGCTATCCGTGAACTCGCCCGCAAATAATAATACATTCTAATAAGGGAGGTAGGAATAGAGGTGGAGCCGTGAATTGCTACTCCTCATAAAACTATCATATGCGGGACAAGAATCCCGCTTTTCTAGAACATGCAGATTTTCAAAATGAAACATCCTTAGAATTTTACTTCGCACACTTCTTAGTCTGTTCAAGGCGTAGCCATTTTCATAAACGCATGTTCGACACATAACGCGAGATTATCTGTTCGGTTTTTATTATAGGTTTCTTCAGTTTAAGATCTGTTCATTAATTTAGCGAAAGGTAACGACAATTAAGCTTTTAGTTTGCGAACTCGTTTAAGAGAGGAAGACTTAATATTAGAAGCAACCAGCAGCTAATATCTTATCTATCAGTAATTTATTTCAATTTTTTGATTGTTTTTGGATGAATATATCATTCGCAGGAAACAATAAATAAAAAAAAAATGAAAATCATTATAAAAACAATAGGAATAGAAAAAAATGCGAAACTGGTCCAATTGTGGATAAATCCAAGAAAGAGTCAGCAGTGTTCAACTCTTTCAACGAGAAAAGGCTCTTTATACATGGAGAGAAAGTTGGAAAAATTATAATATTGTACTGAATCTCAATAGTCGATATCATAGAATTATGTCTAAAACGATATATAAATAAACAAAGGAAAGGAATTTTTTGAAAATAAAGAGAATTGCAATAAACCATACCATTTTGTAGTAGATTGTCAATCCAAAGAAGGGTTCTGAAATAAGACTATGGCTTTTCATCATTAATTGTTTTTGAGAGCGACTTTTACGAAAACTGTGTTCCTACATGTATTTCTTTCGCTAGAAAACTTTTGCTCGTTCTTGCCGTAAATATGGATGACTTCATAAAATACCCTCTCATTTTCATACTTATTTCTCTCTGGTTTAGCTACAATGCCATTTTCATGTTTTACCAGAGACAAAGTTGAATTGTTTACAACAGTATCAGAATGGTAATTTCTATATCATTTTCTTAGTTTTTTTTTATAAAAAAAGCGATGATAGTAAAACCGCTTTCTGATTGTCATATATAAATTGCAGGTTTCCCTTTTTCATTGATATGTTCTGTTGTCCATCCCTACCTTTAACCAACATCGTTTCCGTAGTAATGCATAGCAGAGTTCATTGAATTCAAATTTGCATGTAATATATTGTTTTTTTTTTATGTAAATTTTGTTTAAATTATTATCAATACCTATCCTTTTTCTTATTTGGGCGAACTCTTATGAATCCATATTAATTCCTTAGCAGGCAAAATCCATTGAAGGTGAAAAAAATGAGTACTTTGAATCCCAACTCTTCGTTTTTGTCACGCTCTTCTTCCTCAGAAATTGTTAGATCGACCAACCTGTTGGCTAAAACAACGTCGATTCGAACACTAGACAACTGGGAATTTCAAACGATGCATGCATTACAAGACAACACGACTCCTTCCGCTGTCCGAAGAAACATGAGAAAGCTCTTGGTCGAATCCATATAGTTCGTTTTCATTGCTACGACAACAATTTTATGTCCTGTATTCGAGAAACTACTCAAAGTGGCTATTCTATACTAGCCGTCAAGTAGTCAGGGCGATGGTTTTACAGTGTACGACTCCATTCTCAAAAGATATTTTCTGGAACATTTCCCTCCTAATACGTCGAACGCTCAAAGTTTGCTCGTGAACCAAAAACAATGACATCTGGATTCATAAATCTTTTTCAGCAGCTTATGGAAAGAATTCTCCAGTAACAAGAGATGCGTGGATTAGCACGGTTATGATTCTGACGTGTGGTTTTATGTCAGCTTCTTTCACCGAGTTCGACTATAATTTGAAATCTGTGTCTGGGGAACTTGAGTTATAAGAATTTTCAGGAACTTTCCCTTAATGAGAACAGGATTCGATTACCGCTTGTTTTGTTTTTCCTGTTATTTCGATATTGCCTTGGGCTTGGTTTTCTGAGACCATGGCAAAAGTGATGGCAGTCTTCCATCAGCAAGAATTGATACTTCAAAGCATTGTATATTCAAAAAAAAATTTTATTTTAATGGTTTGTATCATGCTAACTTGTTTCTATAACCTGAATGAAAAACTCGTTTTGTCACATAACCAATGTGAAAGTAGCAAACCAAGTATTTACTTTGATTGCCAATCTCTCTTCATTTCAATATAAGTAACAAATAAGAAATCATTTTATACATTCCATTAAATAATTAATCCTACAATATACTAACTTACTACACGTATCCTTTGACCTTGCTACGCGCTCGGTATTGGTAATATACCTTCAACTTGCTTCTACTACACTTTGCATTTTTCTGTATTTCATTCTATCTCTTCTTTTTTTAATTACAGCAGCAGAGACGAATTAAAAGAATCTCGTATAATTTATGTAAATTTGTTTTAAAGTGGATCCCCGAAAGAATTATTGAATCTTGGAACCTTTTGTCGGTTGTAAAGTAGTAATTGGCAAGATTAGACCCTAGAAAGCTTACTAGTGAAGTTTGTAGAAAATAATGTTGCATCTCTGGAAGAATCAAAGCCTACAAAGCCAAAAAACCTTTGGACTTGCTTCAAATCTCCTGAAAGAAAAGGCATCATGCTGGTCTTTAGGATCTACAGCTCTAAATCTCCGTTGGAGTCATCAGTACGCGCCTCGACGAGTGAAATTTAAGAAAGCACAAAAAGGTAGAGTTCCCGTCCCTACTGGCGGGTCTACAAAAGGAACGCAGCTGGAGTGGGGAGATTATGGTATGCGTCTTCATGATCGAAGCATTCGTTTTCGTGCCAAGCAACTCGAAACAGCCGAGCAGGTGATCAAGAGAATTTTAAAGCCGATTAAGAATGCCTGTATCTATACTCGCTTCACCTGCAACATCCCTGTCTGTGTGAAGGGTAATGAAACACGTATGGGAAAAGGAAAAGGAACTTTTGAATACTGGGCCGCACGTATACCTATTGGAAAGGTGGTCTTTGAGGTTGGCGGGGAAGGCATGCGTGAAGAGTTGGCTCGACATGCTCTTCGACAAGCTGCTTTCCATCTTCCTGGAAAATTCGAGTTGGTTACCAGAGATTCTCCTAAACGACTTGGCCATACTTTGCTTAATAATACCCAAAATCATTCTATGGAAACCACCAATTCAAAAGAAGTGGATTCTATGTCGACATAAGTGTTATAGTCCATTCATCCATCCACCCAGCTCTTGGTTGGTACTTTCTTTTCATTTTTTTTTCTAACGCTTTTTTACTTTTACATACAACTTGTCAATGCATTGATTTCTCGTTCTTTGCTTCTGTATCTAATTCTCAAGTCTATGCATATGTTGAACATTGAACACTTAATTTTGTTAAAATTTCCCTTTTTTTAAAACACAGAAACTCTGAAACCTGCCGTCGTCTTCTTTTGTCGTCTCTTTCTTTTCTTTAAAATTCCATTCATGAAACAAAGGATCAAACAAATGTTCTAAGAATTCTATTGTTTTAAAACTGGGGATTTGTGTTTCAAAAGATCGGATGGCCTTGCATTCAATTGATGTTTGCTTATATCCCTTAGAGGAACTATCCTGTCCAACATCACAGGTCTGGTCTCTATAGTATCCTTGGAAGCATCATTATGTATGCTCTGTCTGCCTGATGAAAACAATCTTTCTTACCTTTCCTGTCTGTTCTGCTCCAAGCCTTACTTTGCATTCCTTCCCCTTGTGTTTATTTGCCTCTACCTCTGTTTCCGCCTCTGTTATTTGCCCCCGATTGTCGTTTACATTTACGCTTATTTTACGACCGCCAACGTAACAAGGAAAAACTAAAAACTTTGTTTCTATTGGATGATTTACCACATGTTTGAGTCACTCTATAACCTTCCATTAAATTTATACGTCTATTTCTCGAAGGGTTAGTTTCTTTAATCAGCGATTGGCTATAAAACTTCTAGGCCCCAATTAACAAATTTCTTATATTCGGCCATCAAAAATTGAATGGCTCTGAATTAGTCACCTTACTTTACGGTTTCATCGGTCGGTGATCTTGAAGATTGTCAATGGATGATCAAATTGATTTTTTACGTATAAAAGGGACTTTGCGCTATACCTAAGTGACTGTTTTACTTAATTGGTCCAGGTTAGGGTTAACGTAACGACTTGGAACTTACCATTTACATATACCACATATATATATATATTATATGCGTCTTTCTTTTTCCCGTAACAGAACTTGTCTAGAGTTCAGCAGAAGAGTGCAAGCTAGAAATTCGAATTTAGTTCGTTTTCCTTCTCTTCGAATTGCTCAAAGTGCAAAGTTTTCTACGAGAAGCGCACAATTGGCCTCCAAACCTACAACTGCAAAAATGTCGTCCATCAATGAAGCTACTGGAACTCCTTCCGTAGTTCCTCCTCGTAACCCTTATGGAGCTAACCCGTCTGATTTTCTTTCCCGTGTAAACAATTTCTCCATTATCGAGTCCACTCTTCGTGAAGGTGAACAATTCGCTAATGCTTTCTTTGATACCGAGAAAAAGATTGAGATTGCTAAAGCCTTGGACGATTTTGGTGTTGACTACATTGAATTGACCTCTCCCGTTGCTTCTGAACAATCTCGTCGTGATTGTGAGGCTATTTGCAATTTGGGTCTTAAAAGCAAAGTTCTCACCCACATCCGTTGTCACATGGATGATGCCCGTGTTGCTGTCGAAACCGGTGTCGACGGTGTCGATGTTGTCATTGGTACTTCTCAATACCTTCGTAAGTACTCTCATGGTAAAGACATGACCTATATTATCAACAATGCTACCGAGGTCATCAACTACGTCAAGAGTAAGGGCATCGAAATCCGTTTTTCCTCTGAAGATTCTTTCCGTTCTGACCTTGTCGACCTTCTTTCTCTTTACAAGGCCGTCGACAAGATTGGTGTGAACCGTGTTGGTATTGCCGACACTGTCGGTTGCGCTACTCCTCGTCAAGTTTACGACCTCGTTCGTACTCTTCGTGGTGTTGTCTCTTGTGACATCGAATGCCACTTCCACAACGATACCGGTATGGCCATTGCTAACGCCTACTGTGCTTTGGAAGCTGGTGCTACCCACATTGATACCTCCGTCCTTGGTATCGGCGAACGTAACGGTATTACTCCTCTTGGCGCCCTTTTGGCTCGTATGTATGTCACCGACAGAGATTATGTTACTGGAAAGTATAACTTGAAGAAACTTCGTGATCTCGAAAACCTTATCGCTGACGCCGTTGAGGTCCAAATTCCTTTCAACAACTACATCACCGGTATGTCTGCTTTTACCCACAAGGCAGGTATCCATGCCAAGGCTATCCTTGCCAACCCTTCTACATATGAAATCCTTAGACCCGAAGATTTTGGTATGAGCCGTTACGTCCATGTTGGTTCTCGTTTGACTGGTTGGAATGCAGTTAAATCTCGTGCCGAGCAACTTAACCTTCATTTGACTGACGCTCAAGCTAAGGAGTGTACTAATCACGTCAAGAAATTAGCCGATGTTCGTACTTTGGCTATGGATGATGTCGACCGAGTTTTGCGTCAATTCCACGCAGACTTGAAATAAGTTTGTAACATCTAGTCTATCCTGAATGTTCCTGTGGTGCTGATATCAGGAATCAATAGTTTTATACATAATTGATAGAGTTACACCGAAATTTACTTTTTGGTCATCCAAAGATGGGTTTTATCCATAAATTATTGGGTTTCTACGCAATGCATTTTTAAGTTATACTAATGAATGCCCGTTGTTTAAAAAGCCTAAAAAATAAAAATCCCTTTCAATGGTTAATGTTTTTTTCTTTTCATAAGGTTTGGTGTCATTACTTGTTTAATAATATATATTTGCGTTTATGTCTTTTTGAAATAGTAGTTCTTCCGTGTTGTAAATTCAATAAAATCATGTACAATGATTAATTAATTCAATTTCACAAAAACATAGTTGTTGATGGTAGCACGAATTATCTTAATTGAATTGAATTTTATTGAACCTTTACCCAATGAAACCTAGACGGCAAACGTTTCTATACCTATTTCCTCTGCTTTTTATTCGAAGCCGCTTTTGAGCTGTATTGATTAACCCTTTTCTTCCCAAAATCTAGCAGTACTTGTTAGTTTCCATACATTATATTGTCTGTTTTATACTCACCTCTTTTGTTAGTGACCTTTTGGCGGTTATTTTTCTTCTTGCTTTCTACGTTATTAGATGGCACATCGTTATTGTTGATATGATAGTTATTATCCATCTCATCGGCTTCACTTTCATCATCTTCATGCTCGATTTCAACCTTCCTATCTGCTCGAGAATTTCGAACCTGCAAAACTCGTTCCAACCATTTCTTATCCGCATCATCTTGTGTGAATCGGGAAAGTTCATTATAGGAGAATACTCGTAACATTCTGTCAAGCAATTGCTTCGCTTTAATCTTTACAAAAGCGTTGTGTTCTTTAAGCCATCGAAAAATTGAAGGCATCAAAGAATCCAGAAACTGCTCTATTGTAGTCTTCGGACTTACTGTAATAAACATTTTGACAAATCCTATAGCAGTACGTGCGACTTCTTGATTGCCCGATGACAAATTTAATTCCATGAGCTCCATTAATGAGACGGTGGTAGATTGATTAATTTCATCTACACAGGTTAATGCTAATTCATTGTAGTTAAACCACTTACCTTTAAATTCAAAATAAAGTCTTGTTAAAGAAAGAATTGTACATGTCGTTAAATTTGGTGTTGATTCAAAAAGACCGGCGGATACCATCGTGAAATATTCTTCTAGAGAGGCAGGAACCGTTGGGTCATTCGAATCAGCTCCTTGAATACGTGAACGATCAATTTTTCCTCCCTCTTTCATTACATTTCCCATTTCAACAAGCAATTCATAGGCATTAGCACGTACATCAGCTATATGATGTTTGCATGCTAGAACTGTTTCCGTTATTAAAGGAGATATTAAGTGTAAATCGTCTTTCGGTAATAAATTCAAAAGGAGTTTCCACGTCTTAAATCTTTCAAGGACAATAAACTTTGAGTTAGACTGAATATTGGCACCAACGTCGACCAATGATTCAACCAGGTTACCGATAAACGGTGATACTGTTTTCACCATATTTGTATTTGAAAGACAAGCATTCAACAACTTGTAAGCAAATCCAGCACCAAACTTTAGGGAGGATGTTTCACTCTGAGATTCCTTCAAAGGTTTTTGATTGAAAAGTTTTACCAGATGAGGCAAGAAAGGCTTCCACGTGTCACCAGGAGCAATATTTAGCAGACCAGGGAATACATTGACAATTGCTTTGTTACCTAAGTTTGCATCACTTAAAGGAGCAGAATTGATGAGCATCTGTATAATTTGAGATTGCTTATCTCCAGAAGCAGAATATATGGATACCATCGCATCAATTATACATTGCGCTAACGGATGAGAAGGAGGCATGGTTGCAAGGATATTACCAAGCACACCAATTATGTTTCCTGCATTTTCTGAGAGTATAGGATGAATTGAGGGAATTTTGGAAAGTAAAGTGAACGATCTAGCGATAGGTTCACGATATTTATCTTGTTGATAAACAGCTGAAGCCATATTTTTTAATACTTCCTCACTCATGGCATTAGGATCGTTTACAGATGAACAAAAGGCGGGAAGGACTGACCACCATTGAGGAGAGCCAGAGTCAATGATTGGCATGAAGACGTCAAGGAAAACTGAAAAGTCATTGTTTTCGGTTTCAAGTATAATATCTTTTAGCCAAGAATATCTTTCAAATTTTGAAAGCTCCTCTTTGGGAGCCAACGAGGTTAAAGTTTGCTCAATACCCAATTTATCTAATGATACCTTGAACAGCTGCTTTACTTCTCCTGATTTTGGGGTTTTCCATTGGTTAATTGCACGAGCAATGTCTTTTAAGGTATCAGACAATATGTGGATATATTCCTTGCGTGCTGCTTTCATGAATAGCGTAAGGTATGCACAGCATGTATTTATTACAGACGTACGTTTTGGCCGTGACGAACGAGCGGATCCAATCAACTTTGACAACTTACCTGCTACATGGGTAATCACAGATAAACCTATAGACTTGTTTGACAATGTATTTGCCAAGTACTTCTCAATCAAGCCATCGTCTTCCTCAGTAAGAAATCCATATTTGGACTCATTACTGTCAGTATCATCAGATGCAGAATCTAATAAAAGATCAAACAATTGGATAAGCTTTTTTGTTCCTTTGGTTTGGCTTCTATTAGCAAATGTAGTACTAAATAAAATAGTAACCAATGGAGCTTTGGTCCAACATTGAAGCATTTTGTCCACTTGGTCAGCGACAAACGCATCAGGTATAGCGTCCATTCGTTTTGAAAGAAGATCAGCGAGTAATGAAGTAGATTTCTGAACAACAAACTCTGAAGAAGTTATGTCTGATTGCAAAATAGAAACCAAAGAACCGGTAATGATTCCAAGGTCAGTACCGCTTACATGTTGGAAATTAACAAACTCGTCCAACAATTGCATACAATGAATAGAAGTTGAGACATTCGCTTTTTCTGATGAAACGGATTCATGTAATTCACGAAACACTTGGGAACATAAACCTATGATACGAGATGTTAAAAAAGACAAAGAAATCTCATTCCTCTCAGAAACGCCTTGTAAAGCCTGGAAAGCGCATTTACGAATCTTTGGCCTGGAGTCAATCGAATATTCTAACAACACAGTCAGTGATAATTCAAAGCATTCCGAATGCAAATCGGTATCCTCGATTATCATAGCAAACAAGAACTCCTGTATGCATAGCAAAATACAGCGAATAGTCGGAGCTTCAGTGTCTTGTTCCTTCAAATAAGGAACAAGATGCGATTCTAGTATTTTAACATGTGTGAGCCTGTCTTTTTCGGGGACAGCTGGAAGCACAATGGACAATAAATACACAGGAGAGTAATCTAATTTATCGCTTTGAGCTATAAGGGCAATTAAAGCTGACATGTACACGACCGGAGACAGTTCGAGCTTCTTTTGAGTTATGTATTTTTCAATTGAACAAAGCAAAAGAGCTGGTTGTCGTTGATTCTCTAATTTACCTTTGGTATGAGATCGAACTACTCTCAGCATACGATCAAAGTTTTCAGATTTTGACATTTTGTTTAAAACCAACGAATGAGAGCAAAAGATCAAGCACTAACTATCACAATAAATTACCAAGCCAAGACTTTATGAGAAAAAACAATAAAAACGGTTAAACCAGTAAACCTCCCAAAAAGAATCCAAATGAAGAAAAACCAACGTTTTCCCTAACGACATATTCGGGTTTCCAGGATCAGGTTTAGCGAGGCAAAATTCGTATCGTTAAGCTTTGTTTACTTTTTTGTTAATATGTAAAGAAGTAATTTGTTGAAGTAGATCTATAGTTTACTCGGTGTTTAGTTATTATACAACATTGCTCAGTTCATATCAAAATTCACGTTGAATACGTGTTTGGATATACTACGCATAGTACTTGTATTGGATTCTAAAATTGCTATTCATTTTATGAATTGTTTATACCTACACTTGGGAATGCATCAGCTTTAAAGCGTAAAAAGTCATCATATTTTAGCATAATAACTCAAAAAGAAGACAAGAAAATATGTATCCAGAAGTCTATAAAATTCATATGTCTATAAAGCTCTATAATGTTTATCTTGACTTTTCGTCCATAAATCATTCAAAACTCAATCATAAAGCAGGAAAATGCAAAAAATCCTTGAATCAAGAAGGTAACATTTTAATTCTAGTAAGTAAGGGAGAGAATGCAAAGCAATTGGACAGCTTTATAGGCACCAAACAGTAAAGCATAAAGAAAGGCATCGTCGAATTAACATTATAATTATAAAAAAATCATTTTCTAATTTCTCATTTCACATCTCTCGTAAACAATCAGTCTTCTTGTTCCATTATAAGGAGGTAAAAATTTTCCCGAGCTCTAACAGCGTATAAACTTCAAAATCAGAAAAAAAAAAGAAACAATTATTCATAAACTCGCAATCATCATAAAAATTGTAAAGTGTCAGCAGAAAAGAAGTATAAACTGCTTATTTTATCTTTCAAACATAATTGAGCGTTTGCCATACCCAAAAAGAGATGCTAATTTTTAGAGATATATTTATCAAACTCAGCAAACGCTACTTGAATGTAATCTCTTCCAGTCAATCCCATCTACATAAAGGCTCATGAGGCCACAAACAATGGGTTATAGTAAATTACCAACTTGCTCCTGCGGAATCATTAGCAGGAAGATTACTTTCATTTACAGCACACATCCATATACGAGTCTTGTAAACTTTAAATAAATCACGAACAAGCTCGCGAAAATCAATACGTTGCTTAGCATGGTAGTAGAATGTAAGTTTCTTTCGATCCCACTGATATTCTCCATCTAAAACTTCCATAGGAAGCTTTCTCTGTCGTACTTTGGCTTGACAAACCAATAATGCTTGCGATTCGTCTTGATACTTTGAAGCGAGCTCATCCACTTCTCGAGGCTCAGCTAAACGATAAATGTGCTTTGGATGCAAACCTGTAGTAGTAGATATACTACTATCACTTTTAGCTCCAAAAGTGTTGTTTCCTTCAGCTGGTCGTAAAGCTGCTAATTGTTCCTCTTTCAAGCTTGCTAACTGAGCTGCTGCTTCAACAAGAGACAAGTCCTTCGCGACAACTCGACCTAAATCTTGACCACGATCTGCCTCTACAATAACATAGCTATTAACTTTGACATCAGTCAAGTGACCTGCATCTGCAACAAATACATCTGTACGACTAGCTTTAAATTCAACTAATAGTAAATTCGAGGCTGAAGCGTTAGTTTGAGCAACTGTAGACGCATCTACATCTGATTCTAAAACGTCAGACAAAGGAGCAGACAGCGGAGGCACATTTGGGAAATGCAAGGTTTGAGGCGGTGCTGAAGACGGAAGTCGACTGGATGCCAACAGAGTAGGACGCAAAGCAACTGGAGTGGTACATACATCAAATGAAGAGCGCAAAGGAGGAGGAACTAGTCGATAATTTTTACCATCTGTAACAGAAGAGCGTCTCTGCGCTCTTGGCCATGCGAATCGATCCTCGGTCAACTCATTTGGACTTGCCAATTCTTCAAGGGCATTTGCATTACTAGCTAGATCTTCTGAGACAATAGATGGTTTCGCAGTATTAATAGAAGGAAAACTAGCGCTGTTGCTTCTCTGTTTCAACGACAGTTGAGCGAGGTGATTTTCTAAATTCGCCGGAACCCGTCCAGTGGTTGGTGAAAATAGGGAAGAACGTGAAGAACCTGAGGCAGAATGACGGGTCCAAGAGTGTGTAGATCTTTGTGCAAGACCGTTAGCATTTGCAAGGTCTAACCGATCAGCAACAAGGTTAGGTACATTATTACCTTGTACAGATAATCGGGAGGAGGACATCGGAACTGTAGTATCAGAAGTATGGGAGGGAGTAGAAGCAGAGTTTGACAAGTTATACTTTGTAGAAGGGGATACAGAAGATTTAGACCAGATCGAATTATCGTTCAAAAAGTCAAAGGACGTAAACGTGGGATCAGCGGACAAAGGTGCCTGAGCCCCAACATTGCGAGGAGAAAGATTTAAGGCAACATTCTGCAAATTTGACGATCCCTGAGCGCCGTTCAGGGATGGGCCACTAGGAAGACGAAGACTAGTAGCGGGTATGGGCCTTCCGTGATGATCAGTGTTTAAACTAGGACGACGGGCAGAAAGACCGGTGGACAAACTAGAATAAGCATCACCACTGTTAGGCCGGACAGACTGTAAAGGAAATGAGGTAGAATTCTGAACAGAAGGACTTTGCTGTTGTTGTTGTTGAAGAGCAAACAATTGGGACTGAGCTGAGCGGTTAGGACTGACAGCTTCTGAAAAAGAAAAACGATTCCATTTTTCAGCATTATTTGGCGAGTTTCGCAAAGGGTTGGCCAAAGCAGATGGATTGGCAAGTTGTCCTTTTGAGATGGAAGTAGGGACATGAGAGGAATAACGATCATGAGAAGGAGAAAAATTAGGTGGAGTACCTTTCGATAAAGTAGAGGATAGCATAGAAGGAAGCTCGTTAGGAGGAATGGATACTTTTGGATCAAAAGATAGTTCATCTGAGAGCAATTGGGAGGAGTGGCTGTAGAGACCTCGCTGGTTAGGAGACGACAGGGATGAAGATGATGAAGGGGGTGAAGATTCATAGATGCGGGAGTTTGGATTTTCCAACAGATTGTGATTAGTAAAGGGCTGGGAAGGAAAAGCCGAGTAGGAATTGGATAAGGCAGAGGTAAAGGGAGTTCTAGAAGAGGGGCCCGGTGGGAGAGAAGGGCTTTTTTGGTTACTAGAGGTAGTATAACGGGGAGATGAAGTATCCATAGAGGTCAATGGCTGCGAATCAGAAGGAGCTGGATGAGAAGATGGGGTAGATGTCGAAGCTAAGGAAGAAATAGAATTCCATGGTTCCATGATGGAAATAGAGGAAGAATGGTTTAATTGGCGATTAAGCGGAGTAAGTGATTCAAACTGAGGATTGGGTACAAAAACTGTATCCATAAGAGCCAATATTGGTGGCGGACAGCAAGAGTAAATTCAGGAAGGGAGTACTGGAAACGGAGAAGGTAGAAAGGAATGGAAGATGAAAGGAAACGAAAGAAAGAAGAAAAAACAATGGGACACACAGAGCTTCACTTAATAAAAAAAAGCCAGTAAAGGCCAAAAAAAAAAGAATGTAAAAAAAAAATGCAAAATAAAAAAAGGACTACGGAAAATAAATGGAAATGCCTCTGTTTCAAAAAGGTGAAAGAGCAATCAATCAACTAGGTGGGGAAGTTGTTTGACAATATGAGAGAAGGTAAAGGCAATCGATGAGCAGTGAAAGATAATTTACGGAGCCACGAGGAAGTAGTAGGCAGAGAAAAGTTATGGAATCAATTAGGAATGACAAATGACAAGAAAAGAAGCAACTAGCGACCTTTTTCAATAACAATGGCTTTTTTAAAGGAAATATAATTTCGAATACGCCAATAAGGACGATCCGATATGAGTCCTAACAAAAAAAAAGATTAAAACAAAACCGTATTATTTTTGAATGATGGTAGAAAGAATTCACTACGACAAAAAAAGCAATTCTTTCTAATATATATACAGACAATGCCAAATTTATGGCAGCAAAAACAACGAAGAAATAATACAGGTGCAGGTTGGTTCTAGGTAAGATGTTTGGAGACGTCAATCAGCCTTTCTAAGGTAGTTGCATTCGACTACGGTGTATGGGGGAAAGTGAGCGGGAGAAAGCGTTGGTTTACGTAGGACGATGATCCCACTGGCTGGGGGGTAAGCGTATTAAGACAAAGCAACGGAAGTAAATCCTCCTTACAGGTGGGTCAAGTCACAAACGACTTTCATGCATTAGCAACTCAAAACGAAGATTTACTGGAAACAAAGGACATAAAAAATGAAAACTAGAAAATAAAAAAAAACGTAAAGAATTTTATTCAGATATGAAACAACGTCAAGTCAGTAGAGTCACAAGTCCTCGTAGGTATGCCGAAATAAAGGCAGCTAGGAATCCTTGTGACCTGCAAGCAGAATACGAACCAGTAACATGGAAGAAAGTGTGCAATTCAAAGACAACAAATGTGAAGAAACTAACGTTATCGTAACATTTCTTAATGGCAAAAAAGGCTAAAACCGATATTCCCGTTTATCATGATTGGATGAGATCCCCCACTGAAAAAGCTTGAATCTACCAGATGAAAAGTAGGAAGAAATTGTCGGAGTTGGATCGGAACCTTTTTTAGGTTAATATCATCAGGTCTTTTGTCTGTTGGAGCGACTCCACAAATGACTTCTTGTCTGTAGGTATCATTTTAAAGTCGGGTTTCCTTTGTTTATATGATTTTAAGGAAAGAAGGTAGAAGCGTCATATGAAGATACAGAGAAAGCAAAAGCAAAGCGCTGGGAATGAAAGTGTACTGTGTCATGAATGGTGAATGGATTTTTTGTGACTAGAATGGATCAACTAGAAACGTCCCATGGAAAAAGAAATGAATATAAGATAAAAAAAATAAAATTAAAAAAAATAATAAAATGAAACTAAACGAATCTATCTAATGTACGCACTATAAAAGTACAAAGAAACCTACCTCTAATAACAATGTAACTAGACGAACCTTGTCGATTCCAATTTGTCAAGGGCCCCTAAACAGCTTTCTTTCCATTAGCATGCCCTCGTGAGTGTAACGGTAGTCACTACAGAGATGTCCTTGCACGAATCCCCGCGAATTGCAAACGCATGCCTACTAAAAAGTGATATGGTAGTGGTCATAATGATGCTGAGCAAATGACCTAATCGTGAGCAAATCAAGAATATACAACAAACTGCGTTATTTTAGATATTGTACTGGTACGTAAAAGAAGTCTTATAAGGATGGATGCTAAAGTTCCATCTGGCTGCATTCTGGTTCTTTGCTTGTTGTTTTTTTTTTTTTGGAAGCTACATGAGTCCTAATCTATAGACATAGACATGGATTCAGATGTCCGGTACTATCCTTAAGCGCTTTTGTTTACAAAGCAGTCATGCACTATCAGAGCCGGCGAGAATGTCTCAAGCAAGTAACGTGACCGGTCAATGTTACTTTCAGGCGAACAAGCAAAAATAAACAAGTCAGCAAAAACGCGAATTGAAATCAGTGTAAGCGATTCCAATTTTAAAATTAGCTAGCCTTTCCAACAAAAAAAAGTCATTTAAAGAAAAAAGAATTCTAAAAAGAAACAAACAGTGGAGGGTTGATAGTTATCCAAGAAGCAACGTTGTCATCGATAGAAAATAAACAAGTCATTTAGAGGAAGAAAGAAAATAATGAAACGAAAAATTATTTAAGTAAATAAAGATTACAACTAGAAATGAATTTGATTTCACGTCTTTCCTTCATAACGAACAAGAGCAAAAAAAAGCCTCGCGATTCGAGCTACACACATTTTGATCAGACAAAATAACCTGTGCTGTTAATTAAAAAATTTACAAAAAAATCATTTTGTATTATCAAAAGATACACATTCTTGTCTCTTTTCAATGGTTATTTATTTATTTCTATTGTTCTTTGTCTTAAGACTAGTAACATACTACAACATTGGAAAAGCCACTAAAGTCGTAGGAACAAATATTCTATACCTTCCTTGTTCAATCCCTGTATAAAGCTTGGTTTGATACCGTGAATCGCGCAACAAACGTTCGTCGTATCGAACCAAAGGAATTTTGTGAACGAGTGCTTTACGTCTGTGTCTGCGTTAAGGAGGGAGAAAACATGCGACCCGGTGTTACTCACAGAATGAGCCAGAGCGGTCGCCTATAGAAACCAAAATTTTTAACTAATGATAAGCTAGCATCCATCTCTCTTTCATGAGAAGATAACATTAGAAAACTTATACAAGATTTGTATTATGAATCGAATGAAGGGCCATGTATTTACTACAGAAAAATGAATCAAACGAAAAAAAGCTATACATTTGGGGTTTATTTTTCGACGCTTTAGACAGGGACTCTAATGTTTTTTGATTTATTTATTTATTTTTTTCTCTCCTTTCCTTTCCTGGTTAGAAATAGCTTGCTTTTACAATTGCGCCACCATCGTCTATACGTTCACCGGTGGTTTGCATCATGTTAATCGCACTCAATAATAACGGACTCGGAGAAAAGCACTCCATGTGGTCCTCCGTCCCCTCGGGAGGGATAATGATTTCCTCTATTAGAAATTTCCATTTTTTATAAGGGGTAGTAGCGTCTCTATTGTTGCAATAATGTTGTAAACAAAAAGCAACTGTTCTATATCTGTTTGTCCAATCGTTTTTGGATGCGAAGTCGCCATCGACGGTAACATCCGACAACATCTACGGGTACTGAACCTTAAGATGAAAACCAGAGTCCTACTCTTTATAGATTGGTTCAAATTAACGAACATAGAGACTAGATTCTTCCAATTCCGTTGGTTTTTTCTTTATTTTCTTTCAAGGTTGAATCAAGAAACCATCCAGCACACAGAGACTATGGAAAAATGTTTTTATTTTATTTTCTTTTATTTTTTGCATTTGCATTTGCAGCATCGTAGTCTCCAAAGTAATATGTTTTTGTCGTTCGTTCATGCTTCATATTCATAAGTTTTCTTTTCGCTACATCTACTTCTTTTTTTTCGTTCCTCTTCTTTTTTTTTCCCACCCTTTCCCCTCTTCTTTTGCGACAATTAATTATCGAGATAAATGTCATTACCCCACACTTTAAAAATTTCTCCTCCTTAACGAATAATCGAATTACAAATCGTACTAGCCATCTGTCCAGACCATCAGCGAATTAATCCTTGCTTCTTGTTACCTTGCAATGTCGCTTGCATCGAATTCCTGAAATCTGTGCTTGCATCCGTTTTCTCCTTTCCCAATATCAGCGTTTTCTAAAGTTTTTTTATATAAGGAAAACTCTATTGCCAAGAAAGCCGTTGGTTTCTTTATTTTTATTATTTATTTAAAATTATTTAATTGAACGCACTCTTTTTGTTTTGGTATTGAATTCTCCTTTCTATTTGTATTTCTGTCTGTATTTATAAAGGCCGGTTCCTTATTTACTTGTAACCGCGTTGTCGTTTTTTCGTTTGAAGAATTATCAATTTTCTTTTCGTTTACACGTTTACGTTTTTGGGTTTTCAAGTTTCGCGGCCAAAAGTCTTCTTGCTTACCAACTTTCTATTCGACTTCTCCCTTCTCATTGAGCACTTAGAAAGTTGACTTGCCCGGACCATCCTCTTTGAACTCCATCTCTCAACCTCCTTAATTATTGCCACACGCTGTCTAAAGAGATTCACTGATTCATACCGTCACCTGCATTACTTTGTCTGATTCCTCTTTTCCTTTCGATCTGCATCAATTTTTTCATGAAAACGGCGTTTTATCTTTCAACCTTGATTTTACTCTCCTTTTCCACACAATTTCCTGGTCGTTTTTGATTTTGAAACGGGTTTCCGCTTTCTTAAACATTTAGTGGGGTTGCATTCTTCCACTACATCTTTATTTTCTTTCGGTCTCTTGTGCCTATTTTAGGTGCTTCTGTTTCTATTGAAAAATTCAAGGGTTTTTTGTTCTATTTTTTTTTTGCTTACTCTTTCTCTCTGCACCTGCTATCCTTTTGGCTTACTGGTGACGGTTCTTTTTGATTGTTTCGTTTGTATGCTGTATATTTGATTTTGGCAACCTACAACACTGGTTTTGCCAAGTCATCGAAAATTCCGAGTATCGTCAATCGTTAATCTCTCACCTTTAACTTTTTGCCTCGTGACTTTGTTAATTATTCTTTCTTTTCTTATACTTTTACGACATTTCTTTCGTCGTCTTAATCCTGTTTCCACAAACAAAAGTAACAGGTGTATTCTGATCCCCCTCAGTTTATTATAAAACCCATATACCTTGTATTTTTTTGTTGATATAGACGCCTCCAACCAATCTTTTTTGCTTTTGGATCCTTACGGCTTATTATCAGTAAAAATCAATTTCCTGAAAAGCTCATTTATCTCAATCTTTCATCATTGTTTACCCACTAATTTATAAAAATGGTTTACTCTCCTGTGTCTCGTCCTCAAGTTCCATTGACGTTCCGTCAATGGCCGCCTTATGATTATAAAACTGATCCATTGACTATCCCTAGATTTCCGAGCGCTAACCCACTTCAGAACAATTCATCAATGCCTACTCCTTCTTCACTTTTGGACACATATGGCTCTTCATTACTTTCCAAATCTGCTAATACCTTGGGAAGTTTGAAGCCTGCAAGTAATGCCGTCCTTTCTCCTGACGAAACTTTTCCTTCAACAGTGATGCCCCAATATCGCTCCATGGATGTTGGTACCCCTAGATCTCCTGATGCCGATGGCTGGCCTTGGCACTTGACCTCTTCCAACAGTCCTCAAGGTTATGCTTGGCCTCCTACCTTTACTCCAAATGGTTCGACAAATCATTTGCACACTTCTTCTCGTAATCTAAATGATTATCCTTCGCCTATATCCTCCTTAGAAAGCCTTCCGTCTAAAAGTAGTGTGGGTAGTTCTGGTTTAGATTATCATACTTTACCATCTAGTTTTAATGATGATACCAAGCCTACGGCTTTTCCCCTGAATATGGCCGGTGTCCCATTGAGTGATGCCTCTTCCCAGCCTTCGTTTGCCTTTGCACAAAATTCTGTCGATCGTGTCTTTAATCCAAAGCCAAAGTTGTATTATCCATCAAAGTCAATGACAAACGTTCATAACTCTATCGCGAAACCTGCTTTATCTAGACAGTCCTATTCCTCTGGGTCTATTCCCTTGAAATCAAGCCTCAACACTGCTGTTAGCGCACAACCATCGGCCCTCTCAAACCAAATCTCACCTGTGGTAGGAAGTCCTGTCCTTAATTCATCAAAATTCTCAGTCTCAGCTCCTCGCGCAGATCAACTATCCCCTGAGCTGCAACAGCTGAAGCAGACAAACGTCCCTTCGGTAAGTCAGCGTCCTCGTGCTGCTACTCCTGGAAGTAACAACAGTTCTACTACTTCTACTGGAAAACGTGCTTTGTACAAGACAGAGCCTTGTAAGAATTGGCAGACTACTGGTAACTGCCGCTACGGCAACAAATGTCAATTTGCTCATGGTGAAGACGAATTAAAGGAACCTCCTCGTCATCCTAAATATAAAAGTGAACCATGTCGCTCTTTTATGTTATATGGCTACTGTCCTTATGGATTAAGATGCTGTTTTCTGCACGATGAGCAAGGCTTAATAAACAGTCAACAAAATAATATTCAAGAAGCTGTCAATGCGGATATTAAATAATTGGTGGTCATTGCACAAGATTTTGAACCGTTTTAAGCTAATTTATTGTTTACATTACGTTTATCATTGTTTTTACAGTTACTATTTATGTTTGTTGCGCCGTATTATTTCATGCGAATATTCGATACAGCGTATGATAGATACACCTAGTGTTCACCAGTTAATTTGTGAATTCCGCTATGGACCTGATGTTCGTAACTTCTTTCTCTTTTTACTTCTTTATTTATTGCAGTGTCAAAGTATGCACTTATCTATGTTGGTTTAAAAAAATTAAAGGATTTAAATGAAACAATTCAGATTTGTGCACGAGATGAATTGGTTATTTTATCTTGCAGAATTTTAGTACAATTTATTTATTTGCTTAAAAAGAAAAAATATTTAACGTAAGTTTAGTCAATATGAGACATTTTTGTACTCCATTTATGACTTAGATGGATGAACAAATCGTGGTTATACTTAATATCTTCCTTACACAATCCTGTGAAAATCCTACAGATGGAAAGTGTAAATGCATAACAAGTTGTCGTTTATTAAGAATGTATCATAAATAGACATCGAATAATCCAACTTCCTAGATGCCTTTCAAAACTGTATTCATTCATTATCCGTTTGTCGTTCAAGCATCACAAGAGAATTAATTTTCTGTAGAGCCAATTCCAAACCTTGCTTTTTACGCTGCAGCTGAAGTTGAGACTTCAGACGAGGATTTTCATCCACAAATGATGTCAATTGTTCAGAAGTAAGAGAATGAATAAGTCGTTGGTCTAGCTCTCTAGGAAACTGATAATAGAACTCGGAAAGAAGTTCAATATTTATAAATAATACAGCTGTATTAATTAATTTATTGGAAACAGCATTAAGGAAAACTTCAGGACACAGGTACTTTGACTCTTTCGATTTACACGTTTTAGACTTCATGGTAGATAGGCGCAGCTTTAAAATATTTTCCCGCATTTGCAAATACTGCATTAATCGACCTTGATCCAGCACTACGGCACTGTGAGCAACAGGTAATGGCTCAGGAGATTTTGCCTGTGAATTCAAAAATTCAAGTACTTGCGACAATCTTTTAGAACCTAACGCCTTTCTTATTTTTTCTTCCGCGTTTTGACACATACTAAGTTCCTTTTGTATCATTGATTGGGCTTCTGAACGACTGACCTTCCATTCTTCGTCATTTATTTCAACTTCAAATTTATACGGCTTCACACAATTTTCTACTTGTTCGGAGGTGTTGTGATATCTTCTTCGTAGAATGTCTTGAGTAGCATTTAAGATATACTGCAATGCCCCAGGATGCTCTCCAAAAGGACTTTGTTTAGCAATCTCTTCAATCCTTCTTGATAATAGCTCTGTAACCTGTAGTGTAGATACCCTACCCAAACCCATACGCGTTAGCAGGGAGACGCAACTATCGAGTTTGTACTGCCAATGTTCATCAGTAGCCTTGGATTGTTTAGTCCAATTTAAAATGTTTTCGTCCATCCAATATCTTTCAGCCAACAAATCTAAAGTTTTTTCATTTAGGATTTCTTTTAGCAATGCACGAACTTCGTTTTTATCAAATTTTTGTGACAACTCCTTGAATGCAGCTTTCAGAACATCAAGATTTTCAGCAATGTATGACTCCGCGGTTAGAAGGCGATCATTATATTGAACTTTATACTGATAGTTACAATCATCCAGTTCTGAGCGTATGGAGTCAGCTGTGTACTGTAAATTCTTTGACATTGTATATTCAAGCACATGAATTAAGTTTTTGCGAAGATTCTGGATTCCTAGCATAGGCAAAATGGGAAGATCGTGAAACTGAGGATGAGCCGAAAAATATGATCTTTCTCGAGAACTGACAATATCGGTTAAATTTTGATTACGCGACCAAAGACTCAATGGAGGAACTTTGGAGATTACACCAATATACCCGTAGTGCAAAGGATAATGCTCGTTACGTAAAATAGAAACAGCTTTTTCAGGGGGAACCAAATCCATTTTTGTTATGACGCCGATTGTTCGCAAGCCCAAAGGATCTACGCGTCGGCTTGCTCTCAAAGCAGTCGAGTTAGCAAGATCAACGTCGGCTGCACAAACAGCTAAAATGATATTTGGTTCTTGGATATATTTGTCACATAAAGCAGATATTTTATCATCCAAATCAGCAGGTTGATCTGACGAATGGATTTGGATATAGCCAGGTAAATCAATAAGTGAAAGGTTAGGAATATGAGAAGCACAAATGGTAAGACGGATCGGGTTGTCGTCGACACCCTGACGAGGAGGCACAGCCATATTAAAATCCGTCAGAACCTGTTGAACTTTAGTAAAGTCAGTGATGTGCCCAAGTTGGACACCATTAAACTCGCAGTAAGGAGTAGTAGTTTCTTTGGAATGAACCAATGTAAGTTCAATGGGTCTTCTTGTCACCATGTTAGAACCTTTAGGCAAAAACTCGTGTCCCACAATCGCTTCTAGAACACTGCTTTTTCCGCTACTTTGTGAGCCTATCACAACAATACTAGGTAGTGTAATGGAACTATTGTCATCTTGTATGTCGTGCAAAATATTCCGGATTTCAATCATCTTCTTAGTGAAAATCATCATGCGATCATCTTTAGATGATTGGGCCAGTTTTTGCTTTTCTTCTTCATTCAGTTTTTCAAAATCATTTTCTTCGTCAGTTGCCAACGTGGAAGCGACGGCCCCAGCAAGACCAACCACCACACCCTCAGAATTATCATCGCTGCCAGAACCACCTGACTCATTTCCTTTTTCGCCTAATTGTCTTTCTTTTTCTTGGCTTTTCCTCAACTGCAGTTGGCGACGGTTTTCGACACTCTCTTCGTCAAGGCGAAGGATCTTTTCCATCCATCCCGGCATATGGATTTCAGGTAAGTTGATAGAGGTAGCATCATTCACTACCTCTCTCGTTTTATCCCAAGCAGAATTAACAACATCGAATGATCTATCAAAAACATCTTTCGTATAATCAGAGGCTCGCTGGACCTGAGCACCGACGTAAGCAACCCCGCCAGCGACTAGAGAAAACCCAGCAATTGGGAGTCGTAAAGATCGGAAAAAAGCTTTCGGTATAGATGAAAAGGACAGGAATCGTGGTATATTCACCGTAGGAAGCGAGTTACCTTTCAAAGCTCCAGGCCCTTTTAGGATGCTGTATGCGCGAAATGGGTGAAACCCTGACAATGATAACAAGCTTGGCGATTGATAATGTACATTTAGTCTCCGCAACCCTGTTCTGTATCGAGGATAATGAGTAGGGCTTCCTAGCTTGAAGCAAATCCTAGAAAGATACTGTTCAAATCGCATTAGAAAAACCCAATAAGATAACTTTTAAATAATAGCAACTTTAAGACATAGAACACATGAAAAAGATCAACAATGTAGCCTTCCCTAACTGGGAATTTCTAGATTAAAGAAAGACGGCCAGTTCTTCAAATACTAAAAAGATAATGGATTTCCAGACTGCGACCTCTTCGAATTGCTTCAGTAAAGTTAAAGATCAATGAATCTGTTTTGTTCTGTTGTTTTTCCTTAGTGAAACGAGATACGTACCTTCTTCACTGAACATAGTCTCTAGGAAAGCAGAATACAGAGGAACGTTGTACGACGGTATGCAAATTAAGCAATGAAGTTTAAGCTTCGTAATATAGTAAACAAAGCCAGAATTGCTAGAATCCAAACAAAAAGAGTTTATTTTCAGCTTCATCATTTAATTTAAATTTGAATTTGTCTAAGTAGATGCATTATATTACCTTATCAAACCAAATTGTTATCCAAGAAGTTCTTCCCTAGCCAAGACAGAAGGTTGAATTTTGACGAGGATAACAGTTCGTTGAGAGTGTTGAGCAAGGGGTACAGTATGTGCCGAAGCTTTGCAAGGCTATAATTTTAGAGTTAGCATAAACAATAAAAGAAATACACGAGTAATAGGGAGAACCCGGCTAAGTGGCTTGATTTATCTTCATTTCATCTTGCCAGTGAAACTTCCCGTCGCTCAAGATATTCATGTCTTCGATAAATGACTGCAAGAATAAATTCCATCGAAAAGATGAAGTGTCAATTCAAGTATAGGATCGCGGCCCCGTGTAGATGGGAAAACTTACAAATTGCGCACTGTCCAAGAAGCCTTCTACAATGCCAGCCAAATAGGCACAGCAATTAAGTTGGCTCATTTCTTTTGGCACAGAAATGAACTTGTTGAATAGAGGATTGTTATCGACGATCATGTCTATAAAAGTTAGACGAAGCAGGTTCACCATGAAAAGCTGTGAAGCTTTATCTTCAATAAAATTGAACTTACATTCGTCTTCATTCTCCTTTGATTTTTCAAGAGAGTCTGCGTGTCGTCCAAAAAGATATTTCCATAAAGTAGAATGAATGTATTGAAGAACATTCAGGATGCGAATTTCACGTTTGGGATTCCTTTCTCTCCAGATTACCAACTCTATTAGCCTTTGTCCGACCCGATATCCATGTTCATTCAGCCTAAAAAGAAAATAGTCAGTTTCACTGCAAAAGACTTCCTTCCAACGGATTCTTACTTTTCTTCAAATTCTTGAATACCAGACACTTGAGATTGTATCCTCTGGATTAATTCACTAAATAAGAAAGCAAAACAAGACAAGTTTACTTCAGCATTACGGATTCGATTTAGAGTCTGATCATAAATATTTCTACTCAACAATGGAGCCGTTGAAGTCAGTGACTCTGACACTGAACTCTTAAATAAGTTTTTGTTATGGGATTGCATGTATACAGTTGTTTTCGCCTTATACACTTCCGTAGGTTAACCCAAACCAATTGACTCGAATTTATAATGTTGAGGTTTTAAATAAAGATGTACTGTAAGAGAAAATTGGAACGGGAGCCTAACTATTGGATCGTCCTGTCACTTACAGTTTGTTGAAACAATGAAACCAGAATTCTAAATATTTGTCATATCTCAATCTAAAAAGTTTTGAAAGTAAAAACTTACAGGGTTCTTTCAGTAGGTCGTGAAGACAAAGTCGTTTTTATTCGCTTGTATTAACTAACAGACTTTTTACATATACAAGAAATATAAAAAATGCAACGAAATAAGCTTCTATGAATTTAGTAATGGCTTACACCACCACTAGAAATCGATTTTCGAAATCAATCTAATTCATCGAACGAATTTAGATACCACATAATAAAAAACACTTCCATGAATTTTCAGTGCTCTTTCAAGTTGAATTAAACGTTTGATCACGCATTATTATCCCGAGAAACATTGATAATATCAAAGGAGAAACAGGTTATTACAATTATAATTTGAAACACATTATCGTCTGTAATTAATTCTGCCTTTGTCAAAAGAGAGAATTACAATACCCATTTTTTTTCATCTCAACCTGAAGTAGAACAAGATCTTCGAAAGCAAGAACAAATATTTTTTTTTATAATCATATCGTTATCTTAATCACTTAATTGATCGTCGGATTCACTAAAGACCCCGTCCGGAGTAAACTCTCGCGAGTCATTCTTTTGGCTCATGCGTAGTCCCATTCTTTCACGCAATGCTTTACGTATGAGGTATGCCTTGTTTTCGTTGCCTATTTCCTCCTCGGGGGTCGAACTTGTTAATTCACGAGGATAAGGCGAATATAAATATACGTCGCCTTGAGATAGAATATAATCTTTAGCATCAGCATTCATATCCGTTTCATGAAGTTGGGATAAATTATCCACATCGGATTCGACTGAAGAACTAAGACGACGAGTATACCTTGACGGACGCTCTTGTTTTTCTGGAACCAAACGATGGGCATCGAAATCTGGGAATAATTCCGGTCCTAACGTGTTTATTACGTCTGTTACTTCAGCAACGAGCTCTTCTCGTTCATGTTGTAAAATGTATACGGCATTCGCTTTGGAAGGAATTAATGCAAGGAAAAGGGGTCGAATGGACTTATAAATATCAACAGCCACTTCACCAAAGCGCAAAGCCGCATAAGTAACCATAGGGAACAAGACCGAAGATATTATTGGGATAGCATAAACAAAAACACTTGAATGAGGGATTAATTTGTATGAGTAAATAAAGTAACAGCAAAGCAATGCATAAAATGAGTATAAGATGGGGGTCATTCCTAACGCGACCAGTAGTTTCCAGGTAGCCAAAATGTCACGACCTTGAATCTTGACAGTCGATCCTCTCAGAGCTTCTTCAGCCTTGCGAACGCTGATGCGTTTTGCAGCGATAAAGACAGGAGAAAAAAGGATAGCGCCTGGCAAAGCGCCGAGTGCTAGCAAAAAGAGTTTACAGCAGCTATAAAGTAGCTTGTACAAGATCAAAAATCGGGAATACCGAAGGCCTTGCACTTGATGATCACGAATCCCCAAGCGATACAACTGCCGGTTGTAAAGAAGGATCCGATCATGCAAACGTATTACTCGGGGATCATTTTTGAAATGATTATATCCGGTAATTAATTTACGATTCAAATCAACTACTTTTGGCAATGAAATCTGGACATGAGCTGGCTTGTACAATCGGCGACAAGCTTGAATAACCATCAACGTTTCATAATCGGGAGTTTGTACCGTTACGGACAAAAGCGAGCCATATATCATATCCAAGACACCTTGTATAGCCTGGCGACGGTTTCCGTCCTTATAAAGCTGGATGTACTCTTCAGGGATAGATAAGGGAGAGCCGAACTCTAAAACGGCACGCGAACGAAACCGGTGGGGATGAAAGTAGTTCATACCACAAGAGACAATTTGAAGGCCGCAATCTGGATTTTGAGAAAGGGTTTCAAGGGCCATAATAGCAACGCCGGCTTTTAGCGGAAGCATTTCAGGTCGGTCATGCGAGCCACCTTCTGGGAAAATTGCAATACAGGCGCCATCAACGAGACGTCGTCTAACATTATCGAATACAACTGCTTGGTTGATTTCAGGAGCCACCTTGTAAGTGCATCCCTCGGCAGAATGGAGCACGCGTACAGCATCTTCCTCACGAAATTCACGTTTGATCCGTATTAAGTTATCGCTTTCAATGGAGGCTATGTGAGTGCTCCCGGAATTGTTTGGAAGAATAATTGTGTCCCCAGGACGATGATTTGTGAACTCTGTATCCTTTCCATGAACTTCGGTTTGGTCCCCATTGGGTAAAATGAAGATTTTGCCCTTACCACGTATAGCTAAGTCTTGTGCACGCTCCACCGGAATTGCACCAAAAGCCCTAGAGAAAGCACCAATAATTTTTTGGCGATAACTTTTAGCAGCAACCAATGTCGATGTTCGTCGATTCACTTCCCGTCGTAATTGAAGCATCAAAATCAAAGGATCAACAAACTGAACTTTGTTAACATAACAGCAATTGAGAATGAAAGAAAAAAAGAATAAACTCTGTATCACCAAAACTTCCTATGGAAGGGCGCAGTCGAATCATCCACTTTACTTACCTGGTTGGCATGAGGAGCAGCAACCAAAAGAATAGGTCCCTTTCTGGGTACTCGAAAAGCGCCTCTCGTCTTAACTTCTCGAAAGAAAAAATCAATTAATACTAAACGAGTTGTTAGTAACGGCCTTCCTTTTCATTCACCAGAGTCAAATTCCACTCAAAGGTAATTTTCGAACCTACTCGAAAGGATCCATAATATTGTATCATAGATGAATGGATGATTCATATTACTTTGAAAATTGACCTTAAAAAGGCACTCAAAACCGAAAAGTTCTATGCCCTTTCCCTCTCAGATATTTGCTATTTGCAAACCCATCCAGGCTCATAAGTCAATAATTCTTCGTTTGATGCACGACGTTCGTTTAACATAGTTCACTGGAGTACTTTATCCCTGTCAACCCTATTTTTCTACGTCAAGCATAAGGGTACGAGTGAATCGCCTTACTTTAGGTCACATATATTATAGACTGAGGAAGGTCATGATAAGTGTATAAATGCAATGATACTTGATAGGAGAATATTCAAAAACGAAGAAAAGTAGTTGAAATCCATAAAAGAATCGATAGAAAGAAAGGCTCTAGTTGTTGTTTATACCAAACATAAAAGGAAACATCAATTTTTAAATTTGGATGGTCGTTATAAGTTGTATGCTTTGCTCTCTTATAAGCCTGCTTTAGACTTCGTTTCATAGTAAGTAAAGGAAAGTCATTGACGTTGAGTAATTACCAGACTACATTTTTTATTTAGCTATTGATATGTATGAAATGAAATGATGAATAAGAATCCCTATTTTCTTCTAACCTTGAACCAAAAATATAAGCAGCATCCCCAAAAAACCACAGAGATTATGTATTTTGTAAGTAGGAATGTTTACCAGCAGCAGTAGAATCCTAACAATTTAAATAAAAGAAAAATCACTGACTATCTTCGTTTCCTTCATCCTTTTCGGTTTCTTTTTCCTGGCCTGCTTTACGAGATTCTTCTTTTTCTCTTCTTGCAGACTTTTTCTGCTCTTTCTTTAAACGCTTCCGCTCCTCTTTAGACAAAGACATATCCTCTTCACGGCCATGCTTCTTTGAAGTCTTTTCTTCTGGCTTGTTGACTGTTTCTTCGCCCAATTCTTTGGTTGATGGGGTCTCGTCAACTGGATTGTTAACAAGGAGTGGAACATCTTCACCTCTCAAATACATCAAAACGCGGTTCAATTGAGATAAAACACTTTCGCTTCCAGACTTCTCATCTTGGAATTGCTCAATCTTTCCGACGTATCCTTCTAAAAAGTTGAGTGACTTGTCTTTGCTAAGTTTCTCTGTCTTTCTTAGGGCAATGGTAGGAGGACAGTCTGTAGCCATTTTCTTTTTAGATAAATAGAGTAATAACGTGAGAGGAATCCTGTGGAGCCTAGGAAAGGCTTTTTTATGAATACGATGGTTAAGAAAAGCTTCTGTTTGGTGTTGCAAAGAATAGGGATCGCAAAAGTTGAACTGGAAACCCGACTTACCGTAATCTATTGCGTGAAAAGTATCCTAAATAACGAGTTTATTATTTTTGATTTTTTTAATAAACAAATCATGTTTTAGATATATAAACTAAAAACAATACATAACAAATAGCAAAAGCAATTTAAGTGCCTCTACAATAGACCGCAAATTTCATATTCGAAGTGGTTTCATCGATGACGACGGATCGTCATTTGTTAACCTAATACGTTTTCTTCTTGAATTTGCTGTTTTGCCAGCAGGTATAGAAAGGAATGATTTCATATATACCGGTCTGTTCTCTCTGCGATAGTTCTTAAAATTTAAATGAGCAATCCATCGCGAAGGAGAAAAGTATTTATCTTTCAAATAGTCGACCATTTCTGAAGTTTTGACAATTTGAGCGGTGCTTCTTTTTCCTTTCTCAGTATTTAAGATTCCTTCATTGATCATCCTTGTTTCAATTTTTCTTGCATCGGCCAGATTACAGTCTAATTTTTTTAGTTAGTAAAGTACCTTTGGACCTCACGTAGCCCTTGTTACTATGCATACTTAATCTCTTTGCTAGTTTTTGGGCCCCTTCGTAACCGAAAACCCAAGCGGACTGGATTGCGCGTCGATAAACCGTGAGTACCGTCATCCTGTCATATAGCTGCGGTTCAGACTCGCTAAGTAAACAGGTATAACAAAGTAGATTGCTGGGCTGGCGAGGATCACTATCACTTTCAAAGCCATAACAGTAGCAATGAACCCATCCTTTACAAGAATCACACTGAAACTAAATAATCGTTATAGAAAGTAATTTGTACGATACTTACCATATCTTGCTCTTCACTAATGTCACCACATTCGCAGCCTATGTGATTCGTATTATTCTGTATTTCCTTCGTAGACGATACCTTGGGTTTTGTTAAAGAGATATTTCCTTTTCTGGATTCATTATTTTGATTTTTAATTTCTCGTAACCCAGTCTTTGGGATAGTTATCTTTGTTTGTTTTTCAGTTTCCTCATATTCGGGCTCTAAAGGCTGAGTCGATTCAGTAGGCTGAGTATTGTATGTTGGTTGCAAAAATGACTCCAATTCAGAATCAATTTTCACCTGTGAGGTAGTAATTGGATCCTCAATATCATCAGTTTCCTTTTCGAATAGTTCGATAATACTCATAGGGTCATCTTCTTGATTATCTCCATTTTGTAAAACAACAAGACTAATCATTAGTTAGTATTCGAAATGAATTTACATTTTATTCATACGACTCCGCCTTTGATGTGATAGATGTTAAGCTTTTCAGGTTTGTGGTATGAGAACAGACAAGGGTTTTCACGTTTTCATCTTGTTCAAGGGTTAAGCGAGAATCCAATTTAGTCCGGTTTAAGGAGATGGCATTTGTTTGAGTCATAACCTGAACACACTTCATGTCTGAATTTGATTCTGTTTGTTAGCTGATAAACCATCTAACCTGCTTACCTTCTGTTTTCGACTCTGATTGTAAATCTTGCATAAGTTTTATGAAGAAGGTTTTAAGTGTATTTTCATTATTCCAGTTTAGTAATCTTCCATCCGAATTGATTTCGAAAGCATAAATCTTTTCGATATGTTCTGTTTCAATGTTTAATCCAGGTAGCCCTTTACTAGAAAATACAAGGTACACCGTGAACCGAGTTTTAGAAGCAATAAAAGGATATACATACAGTTTCTGTTGTTTTAGTTATGCATTATAAACGTGAACATACGATGTTTTCTAAAAATTTGTCCGCGTATGAATCAGTTCCTTCCTGAATACGTACGATAGGAACCAAAGGTAAAAACGCGTCTCTTTTAATTAAAGCACTTTGTAACGCTTCAACGTGTTTATAAACGTCTCTATGGAAACAATTCCTTATACAATTAGTTGAAATACCCTCTTTAAGAATTTACGTGGCATCATTTTGCAATGTAGTTTACCTTGAATAGCAGATCATAGAAACTGCAATTAAAAACAATTCTTTCAAGTTTAAATAATCATCAGCAATGGCTTCCTTTTTTATTGCTTCCATTTTTATATTACTTGGCTAAGGGTTCAAGGTTGACATGCAGCGCACATTTATAAGGCGCGTCGCATCAATTTTAGTATGATATTTGGAATATTTATGTCAGCGTTACTGTCATGATAGGTGTTTTTTAAAACGATAAATATTACAATAGAATGGTTTATAGAAATATTATCGAATGTCATAACTTTAAAGCACCTCCATATTACAAATAGTAAACAAAGCATGGAACCGCTTTTCAGAACGTTTATATTAGAAGTTCGGCGCCTGTAATCATAAAGAAAAGAAACTATCAGTCACATAAAACTACATTAAATTGACTATACCAGAAATGCTATATATATCATGAGTCGACAGTCGAAATATTCAAATTGGAAGCTTATGGCTAGTTTGGTTAAATAAGGTCGTTTTGATACTCTCGATTTACTTTAAAAAAGTTCTGGAAATTACTACCGTCTTTATGCGAAGTACAAACAACGTCCAAGTATTTATATCACTCAAAATAAATAACTTTTACAGTGTGAGATACCTGCACAGACAGAGAAGGCCTTGACATTGTCGAGTATTACACATATTTTATAACAATATGGAGTATATTGTTTTATGACGTTACTGAACCAAGACAAAACAAGAAAACAAGTGAAAACACAAATCCAAGCAATAAGAAAAATCCAATGATTCATGACTTAGGAATAGCTTTTACTTTATTAGATTAGAGCTACTATTGAGGTGGCTGTCTCCAGAACAAATCTCCAGTAAGATAGTTTTTGCAGGTCAACCAAATGACTTGTTTATTGATCCATCTTTGTCAATCAGGCTCATGGGAATACGTAGAGTAAAATGAATTTCATCCAGTTCCCAATACGTATGACAATTCTCCATTTCTTATTCCATTTATAATTTATTCGTATTTGGTGTTATTCTTGTGACAATTCAACAAGTATACTACTTACAATTGGTTTCAAACTTCTCTACTGATGAGTGAAATATTGTAAGAGTATAAATATACATTAGATTTTATGTATAGTCAAGATCATTTTAGATAGAATATGTTAATCCATGGAGGTTCGGCATATCTATATCAAAGATATAAAATTTAGACAGGAAAAAATATGCTATTATCATAAATATAAAATAAAGTCTAAGATTATTAGCAATAGCTAATAAGGCTTACCATATAGACATTGTAGCTTGTTATTCCGGTATTCAGGTTTCTTTACCTAAAAATAAGTCGAAATCGGCATGCTTTCTATTGAGTATGTAAACTCGCGGAGAAAGAAAGTGATGAAAAGGACGAAAGAGAACTACACTTTCATAAGCTACAGATCAAAGACGGTGAGTCAGTTCCAGTTTATTTCTGCGAACCTGTTTTCCTCCTTAATAGCGATAAGAGATGCATCCATATTCCATAATAAACATTATAAACTCAATTAAATGACATCAAATATATCATCATCGAAAAATCCGCAAATTAGACTTTGTGCATTACTTGCAAAAACGTTTCAGAAATGAAAAAAGTTCGTTGAAAACAAAGAATAGAAATAATAATTCACGACCATTAAGGACCGACCAGATTAACATTTTCTTCCATCTACACTGCCTTCACGAGGAACTTGCTGAAGAGCCGAAGTCTAATACATCAATCCAAAACCGATTATCTCGTAATACAGCGGCTACACAGATATTCTCGTTGTAACCAACTTGCCATATTGAATCCAGTTCTGTCAGCAAATCACGGACCAATTTTCCACTTCGAATATCCCATAACTGTAATTTATTTTTACTGCCGCTTATAATTTTACTTTCATCATGCTGAAAGAATATATGACCAATGGGACACTTTAGAAAACAGAGGCATTTTCCCGACTTTGTATCCCACACTCTTAATGAATTGTCCGGAGAAGCTGAAGCAGAGACGAGAAAATCATTTTTCAGAGTTACTTGGCTAACTAGACTTGAGTGTCCATTAAGAACTTGTATTAGCTCACCCGTTTCTGTATCCCAGATTCGTATTTTGGCATCTAGACCCGCACTCATACAGCGTTTTCCACTACTATCGATGGCAACACTATAAACTCGACCGACATGCCCACGTAAAACATGCAAACAGGCACCAGTTGAAGCTCTCCAAACACGCACTGTGCCATCATAACTCGCGCTCACAATAGTATCGCCTTCGCATGCTACTTCTCTGATAGAATCTGTATGACCTCTGAGTGTTCGTAAATGATAAGGATTAGTCGGAGTAGGAGAATTTTCGTTTTCTTCGTTATTCGCTCTTTGGTTCATAAAGGGAGGGTCATTAAGGTCAGGTAGTCTCCAAAGACGAATTGTACAATCACGAGAACTAGATACTATATAGGGTGGCATTAATGAAGCAGAATTAATATTGTTTTCCTTTTCAGCCATTATATCCGTATTTAAATTATTTCTACAAACGATTTTTATGCAACGAATAGTAGATCTATGTCCGTGGAAAACTTGTTTACATTCTCCTGTGCGCAGATCCCATACGCGTACAGTTCTATCTGTTGAACCCGTAACCAAAGTATCTCCGATGTACTCGAATGCCCAGACCTGACCTTCGTGTTCTTCTAAGCTTCTTATTAACGCACCAGTTTTTGTGCTATACACATTGATTTTTGGGCTGCATGTGCTCACTACTATTTTTTCATCATCAAACTGAACTTTCGTAATAAGATCAACACCATGTACGGGAAAGGAATAGTGTTTTATTCTTTTTGGTGCATTCATCCAGCGTTTTCGAAGTTGGTAATGTCGTAGGTAAATTTTCTTCATGGTATTACAATTAGAGAGAGACCTTTTTAAACAAAGGGTTTTTACTTGGTCATCATAAGAGTCCCAATAAAATCCCTCTCGAATAAATAGATTTTTCCAAAATTCATCGCTGTGAGACACCATTCGAGACCAGCCCCGGCAAACTTTGGAAACTGCGCAGAGAGAAGGGGCATCAAGGTAGCTAAGTACAATACGACTGATCTCGGGTGGAAAGTTAGAAAGCAAATCCTTTTTGAAGACGGGGATCAAAAATTCCGATATCTTTTGCAGAGCATGCTTACTCGACTTCTTTAAAAGATGAGAGAGTAAATAATGTTGAACGGATTGAGGGAGTGTTTCAAAGGTACTGATGATATTATCAAGCTGTAGAACAGCATCTAGTTCTTCGTTTCGTTTTCCAAGAGATTTATTAGAACTTGTGTTTGGCTCGGACGGAAACGAATGAGAAAACATAGAAGTACCTTCGGCGGATAAAGGTTGCAGAGAAGAAGAGATACTTTCCGTCTGATTTTCTTCATCTGAAATAGTAAAAGTATTTGACGATTGCTGGCTAATATACATGGGAGAGGCAAAAGCCTCCTTGGAAAATTCGGCTTTATTATAAAGGTTTTGGTGAGAAGGATTGCTGTCTAAAGAAAAAGATGGGATAGCACGTTTCTTATGAACTGCATTTATCGTCGGGAAGCCTGCTGGTCTCTTTACCGGCTTGGGGTACGGAGAATGGATGCGATTGACGTCCGTAGTACCAGAGTCCCGTAATACATTTTCGAGAACTCTCAAGTTTTCATCATCTGACAGTTCTGGATTTTCTGTAAAAGTCCATACTTTCTCACTGGACGCTACACAAATCTGGATAGGGGCAGTTAGAGAATCCTCAAAATCGTCGCTAGAATTTCCGCCTAAGTCTTGTACCTCAGCATTCTCAGTATCAAAAGATGGAATGTTCATTGACTCTACAGAGGGCGTTCGCGTTATGGTTTTAGCTGTCGAAGGGTTGGAAACTTGTATAGCTAGATCATCAAACTCAGCTGATGAATATGATTTCGAATTCCAAATTTCCATGAATATAAGTAACTATTCAAAGAAGTATAACGTTTGTTGGACAAGCTAAATAAAACAGTAGTAAACGTTTTCAGAACCTTTCTCTGATTCAAGCCTAACAAATGCAGACCGCTTCAAAATACATGTATAGATATGGAAAATTTATAAATAGATTACACTCACACCAGAGAATTTTGAATTTTTTGCTGTTAACTGTACGGTGGGTGGTCCTTTTGGTTGGTAGCAACAGTCTATACTTTGTATGACCCATAGGGAAGTTCAACTGTTACCAAAAGTAACGAGTGCTACATAGCTTAATACGAGTTATCACCTATAAGAGGATATTAATAAAAAGCATTCAATTTTTAAAAAAGTATCATAAATTACATAATTGTCTATTCCTGTAACGATTTTGTCACACAAAATGTGTTTTTCTCCTAAAATACATTCCTATACATACTATGTTTATGCCCTGTTTATTAGCAAGCTACAGATTTGTTTACAAGTTCAATGTCATTAAATTTGCAACGCGCAGTGAAATAGGTAAAGCAATCTTACTCGTAAATAAGACATGGTGTACAAGGTATGCGGGAATACAAATGATTTCACAGAGATTGAGTAAAATTTCTTAGTATATGATACCTTTCTTATCCAACAAGTCTGGATACGCAAGCGTGAAGATCAAAAGGATCTACTTTGATTTACTGAAGTTTGTTGAAAAGCATTCAATGACTGGTTGTGCAGCTGAGCCTTTCTAGAGATTTAGATCATAGGTTTTTTTCTCGGACTTCCTTCTATTCGTTTCTTGAATAAAACCTGATCAACCAAGTTCTCCGACATATGGCTCCATTCTTCTTTGCTTTGCTAACTTATCATTCTGGCATAGCGTCGTTAATATGCGAATCGCATCCTTGTTGTAAGTTTAATGAACTATAGAATATAAACATATTGTTTTTATAAATAAAGATTACAATACGAATTTCTTCTCTTCAAAGTGTTTTCTATTGCTTAGATAATATCATATTAACTGTTATATTATATAATTACTTTGAAACACCTGTAAACTGTTATTTTCTGCGCGTAAAATTGCTTTTACCAGGTAATGCGCTATAGCTTTTATTCTAGACGTTTCGCATTGACCAAAGATGAAAGAAAGCGCCTATCAAAAAGTGAATTTACGCTCAGAAAAAAATTTTCGCATTGCCAGATTGACTAATTTTGCCTCATTATATTATGTTACCAGACGGGGCCCATTTCTCCACAAAAAATTTTGAATATCTTTCTTCTGATTCGCTTATTATGTCAAACGAACTTTTGGGCCAGGGGGATAGGAGAATAACTTAGCCAATAAAAAAAAAAGGCGAAAAAGGAAGAGGAAAATGTATTATTATTGGCTGTCTAAATTTGCCCCGCTCTCGGGAATAGACGAATACTGGTAACGAGTATCAAGAGAATGGCATCCGACAGGCTTGTTATATTATTAAGTGGCAATCGCCACGGTTTTCTTGATAGGTTTTGAAAAAAAAAAAAAGGCCTTCAGAATGCTATAAATATTGGGACGATTCCTTCTATGTTCTTTGTACTTGACAAATCGATCGACGAGTCCTGATACCAGTGATCATTCTTTTGATTTCACATCTATCTTTATATCTTAATCGTTGATCTTTTTAGCAGAATGCTTTTCAGCAAATTACTCGTCTCTGCGATCTCTCTCGCTCCTTTGGTTTCCGCTGTTCCAGTAGGAAACGTCCATGGTCATCGTCATCACAATCAAACCGCTATTAAGAGAGATGGTGGTGGATTCTCTGACGGTGTCTATGATTGCTCGCATTTCCCTGAGGACCAAGACGGTGTTGTAAAGCTTGACTACCTAGGCTTCGGCGGATGGACAGGCGTTCAAAAGAACGATGGTAATTATGGTACTGCTTCCACTTGCGAAGATAACACCTACTGTTCTTATGCTTGCAAGCCTGGTATGTCCAAGACTCAATGGCCTTCGGATCAACCCGGAAGCGGTCAATCCGTTGGTGGCTTGTTGTGTAAGAATGGCAAACTCTATAAGACCCAAAAAGGCTCCAACAACCTTTGCGAAGGTGGTCATGGCAATGCTTATGTCAAGAACAGCTTGGGCTCTAACGTTGCCATTTGCCGTACTGACTACCCCGGTACTGAAAACATGAACGTGCCTACCAACATTGACTCTGGTTCTCAACAACCTCTCTCTGTTGTCGACGAAGACAATTACTACAATTGGGGTAACAAGAAGACCTCTGCCCAATACTACGTTAACAAGTCTGGCCGCTCTGCTCAAGACGTTTGCGTCTGGGGCAATGAAGGTGATGACTTTGGTAACTGGGCTCCTTTGAACTTTGGTTCAGGTTACACTGATGGCAAGATCTGGTTATCTATGTCCAAGAACCCCTTAAACTCCAAGTCTAACGTTGACTACAAGATCAGCATCAAGGCTGATGGTGGTTCTCTTAGCCACGACTGCAGCTACGAAAACGGCTCCTTCCATGGAGATGGTGCTACTGATGATGGTTGCACTGTTTCCGTCACCGGTGGTGGTGCTTACTTTGAATTGCATAATTAAAATGCAATTCAAATCAATATAAAAAAACCCAAAAAATATTTTGAGTTTTAAATAATTGAAAACCCATACATTTAGAAAAAGAAAAAAGAAAAACTGACGACCCTGCATTGTTTGAATGATTTTTTTGTTTTGCATTTTCATGTTTTTGCATTTTTATAATATTATAAACTGTTAAATTTTTTGCTTTTTTGTTTTGTTAAATAATTAATAAAAATTTGTTTTTGATTTATATTTTTTTCGAGTAGCTACTAGCTAATTAGAATTCCGCAGCATGTGAGCCATAATTGAAGTTTAAAGCTCACTCGCAGTATGCTTGATAAACGACCATGTTCTTCGTTGAGGAAGAGATAGTCAACGGATAGTTGGCAGAAACAAAAAATACAAAGCCTGGAGCAACGGAAGCGATATCTCCATTTTCTCCATGAAGAAGACCATTTCCTTCTACAACAATGAGAATGCTGGGGCCTTGAATATCATGAATTGATTGCTTCTGGCCAGGAGCAACCGTAGTTTGCAAAATATTAAATTCTTCGATAGGAGGTTTGTAGACGACGGTTTTACCGGTCCCATGCGCCTTTGGGAACGGAATAGGGCGTGTGAGTTGGTCGTCAGCAGAGCCAGTTTCATAGGTTAGGTTTTTTACCAAGGTGTTCTTATCCTTAAATTTGGAAGTGAACCCTGAACGAATGACGTTGTCACTAGAAGCCATGCATTCTACAATGTTACCAGCGATATACGCATGAGGATCTAACGCACGGAGGAAGATGGATTCTCCGGGTTTTAAATTAACGTGGTTGAGCAAAAGAGTAATAAAAAGGCCAATATCATTAGGGTATTGACCATTGAGACGAAGAATCAATGCACTTAAATCATGACCACCGAACGGCTTACCTCCAAACTCATGATCAGCATCCTTGGCGAATTTGACAAGTTGAGGGGCATATTTTTCGAGTTTGTCATTATCATTACTCATCAAAACGTTAAAGAGCTCACGAAGAGCTTCTCTCTCATTTTTTTTGTATTCATTTTCAAATGTCAAAGCAGCTTCCTCTCCAACAAATTCGCGGAAAGGAGGAATGTTTTTCAAGAAAGAGTTGATTTGCTCACCGTGGCGGAATCCACAGAGACCTTGGAATTCTGTTAAGGCAAGCGCCATTTCAGGCTTGTGGTTATCATCCTTATAATTTTTTGGGTCGTTGGCATGTAATTCTTTTCCAAGCTTTTTATCAGGGTGAGCTTGCAAGGAAAGAACCTTGTTGATGGAAAGGACCTTGAACAAGAAGGGAAGCTGGTTTCCGTATTTCTCGTAAATCTTCTGTCCCATCGTTTCTGGAGTCAATAATTTATCAAGAGTCTCGCCAGTCTGCATCACGATTGAAGGACCTGAATGATATGAACCCATCCATAGCTTATTTTCGTTAGCTTTCACTCTTAAATGGTGTTTTTTTTTAAAAAAAAATCTGTTTACCTCTGCATATGGTTTGTCTTCCTTGACATCAAACCCACTTCCATTTTTTGCAAACTGTGCAGCTAGAGAGTCATGACCGACTCTACCCCAATCATAATCCATTACTTGACATTTTAAGCGATACATATTTCCTTAAAGTACTTTTCTCTCGAGTATTAGGACAAAAAGGCTTTCTGTTTCTAGTTATTGTTTTATACATCATGGTCAGTAATGTCATAAATAATCGAGTATCATTGCTACTTGGGCCTGTGCTATATGTGCAGTGTAAGGTATCGCGTTATTTTGTAAACAAACTATAGCATCCAAGCAAGTAGTAGTACTAGGTGATGTTTGGAAAGAAAACATTAAAATAAGAGTTGAGATTCTTCTAAAAAAAATGAGCCCATTGGTTCCTATCTAGTTGGAACCATTTCAAACGGATTTTCTACGTTTCGCAGTTTTCTAAAATAATAACTCTGTGGTATCTTTCATTTTAAAAGAGGAACTCTTATGTGACTCTCAGTGCTTCCTTTGAGTCTTTATTAAGTGAAGCACGTCGATTCTATAGCGAACTTGGAATCCCATTGGAACCATGAATTCAAAGTTCGCAAAAGGCGAAAGGGAGGAAGCAAAAAACGCATAGAAATTCCAATTTCAAATTTCATTGCTGGAATTAAATAAAGCCTCTAATGATAATTCAATGCGGAAAATACATCTACTCAGCTACCAATACTACATACAATACTAAACCATACTTCCTATCGTCAACGAGAGAAATTTTTATGTTGCACATGTTTGTTTAATTATTATTTATATATATATATATATATAAAAGAAATAAAGGTCATTAGCGAGCGCACCCTGTATATTTGCATTCAGCTATAGAAAAGCATTGCCTTTTCTTTTTATGACCACGAACCTGGATTATTTTCAATCTCTCAATTTGGACTCTCTTTTGAATTTTTTTGGGG